TTTCCAGAGTGATCTTGTCATGCATTTAATAAATTTAAAACTTCTGTTTCTCACCAGACATACACATTTCTGATTGGCATTATTTCTCAAGTGATCTTATTGTGTAGACTGTTTTGCATGCTTTCTACTAATCAGTGATCTGATCACCTATGTATGTAAACAAAAGTTGTCCAGTTTTGCAAGAACTACAACTTTGATTTCCCATCACTTTTCTTGTCAGCATTCCACTTATACTCCACTGCTGTTAGCAATAACACAGCTTTTGATTTTGCATCAATTTTTGATGATGTAAAATACAATCTCATCTTATCCTCTAGACCAAGATTAACACGATCCAATAGCAGACCCTGATAGTCAAATCCAGGGGAAATCTGAACTTGTTGTAGCTAGTCACAATTGGATCAGTGATTTGGAACAGTTTCTATATTGGGCATGTTCAACTTACACAACAATTAACAGATAGTATATGCATGGTCGCTTGCAAGATCCCGTGATAATTGAGAAAAAGCAGGGGTTCCGCTGACAAATTTCTCTATGGGGAAATCTTGATGCAAATTATGGCAATTTTGAAAGGGAATTAGTCTGCCATGTAATCACTTATATTTGGCCTCCTCAAAGCTGATAGACTGTTATACAATGTCTCTATATTCGAACTCTTTCAATGTCTCCATATTCTAACTCTTTCAATGAAACTCTATATAGCTTTCAATAACAACACATGTTTCCCTAGGTATATCCCTATTTATAACACTTGATGCTTCTCAAGCAATGTCCTCCTGTCTTACATCTAACAGTAGAGCCATTCATTGCAGAAACAGAAAAGGAGTGGAAGCAAGGGCAACAGGAAAAAATGAAAGTCATTCTTGTAATACAGATATTCTTGCTTCAGGAACCCAAAGCTTTGTGCCACTTCATTACAGTGAGTCATTTGGAAAATTTCCAAACCTGATCAATCTAAAAATTCTACTCTATGTATTTTATTCAGATCCTGATTTTACATTAGTAGTGTAATAGAAACTCTGTAGGTGGGGAGGCAAAACAGCTGAGTAGGGCCCATTGATTAGATGATATATATAAGTGCAACCTTGAGACAGGGCTTCCCCTGACAATATATACTACATGTCACAGAGCAATGCCACATCCTTGGTCCAAACCAAGCAAACACTGCATCCACACCTCAACACATTATCAGTTCTCAAGCCAGCTGCTTCCTTTGTTCTTACCTCATGAGTGTTGATATTATTTGAACTTGCTCTTGTTCACATAGGTCAATGAATGTATGGACTTGTATGTATATTTAGTAAAAGAGTACTCAAGGGACCTTTGTCAAAGACCAGATCTGGAGCATATGTTGTGCAGCCTCCATGTACAGATGACATTTAGAGCCCCTAACCCAGACCGTGTGATGCTGTGATCCATAACAAGATGATTGATCAATGAAATGATGTGAAAAAGGATTAAACTATGACAAGTTCAGTCTGAGTCACATCTACAGCTATAAGTCATAATGATTCCCAAGGCTATGTACCATATAAAACACTAGTCATGGGCTGTGGTATAGCATTCTTGAACACATATTGCACAGCTGCAGATAGCTTCAAACCTGGACTGAAAAACACCAAGCCCCTAGTCTGGGCCGTGAATGCCTGGATCCATGATAAGATAACCCAATATCAAGATGAGATGATTGATCAATGAAATGATGGAAAAGCAATCCTACTATAACAATTCTACTCTCTCTTCAAGGTTAAAATGGATTTCTACAGTAATTTACACTCGGAACATAGATTCTTGAAATAGGAAGGCAAAATGCCTAGAAAAATTCTGAGTGAGATGTTTGACCAAGATTGAGATGTACTACTACTGCATGTCATAATTTGATCACTTTTTTGTCATTTCATTGATCATCTTATCTTATCTTGATATGGGGTTATCTTATCACAGATCAAAGCATCACATGGTCTAGATTAGGGGTTGAGAAGGGTTATCTCTATCAATCCAAAGCTGCACAACATATGCTCTGGAAGCTTCCACTACAACCCATGACCAGTGTTCTATTAAGGATGGGTTTTGGACTTGATCACTCTCTGGTGATTGGGTCACATGATCTGATTCCATCATTGTTCCCATCTGTTCCTATCACTGATGATATCTGATTTCATTAGTGTTCCCATCATTCTGCTCACATGCTCCTGGTCACATGATTCCTATATAGTCACATGCTCTATCCACATAGATAGTTCTTGTCTACCTGGAGTTCTTCAGCTTCTTACTATTGACTCCAGGTCTGTAGATTCTTTTCTTGTCTTGCAATGCAGAGCTTCTTACTGTTGACTCCAGTTCTCTCTGCATTTCCTACTTCAACACATTCTACATGGTACATAGTCTCATGACTCATTAGTTGTAGATATGACTCAGACTGGACAAGAGTATGAGTACTGTAGCTATTATGTTGTATTCTCTAGTCTTGGAATTCACTTCTCTTATCAACTTCTGTTTTTGAGTTGATTGTCAAACTGCAAGTCCAAAAAAATCATGACTGTTGGGTTTTCTCCTGCCACACTATCCCAATCACACACCCAAGATAATGCCTTGGGCCAGAAGTTACAGAAAGTAACACAATGTGTTGCGGAGAGATACTTAAAGCAGGCCACAGATAAGGATCATGTGCTGGCAGTGTCACCATTGCATGCACAAGAAAAAATAATGCAAAAATTACCTTGGGTCACATGATGTGACATGTCACACTGGCAGAGCAGGGCAGTGAGTGGGACATCAAAATTTGGGATGTGTCTGATATGCACATATGAAAAAAAAAAATGATGTAGAAATATGTTTGTGACCTAGATCAGAATGTCTGATTGGTGGAGGACAGAATAGTGAGTTGGACTTCCCAATTTGGTCAGCAGCAGTGCCCAGTGATGGCCACAGAATGTTCCAAGCAGCTCTGGGGCCCATAGGTACTCATATCTACCAAGGTGATGTTTTTCTGCCAGCCTTTAGGCCAGCTTTTGGCGCAGCAAGCCCTTGTTCACATATGAATCTATAGTTATAGGTGGTGCATAGGGGGTACCACCACCTATTACTATAGGTGTCTAATGAGATTTATAGGTGGTTCACCCAGCATGGCAGCGCGGACTTGTCTGCCTTTGGGATCAGGAAAGCAGGTGATGCAAACGGCAAGTTGGAGGGACGGATACGTCCCGCTGCCAGGTGCTTATCAATCAAGATTTGCCAGGCTTCCCAATATTTTTGGGGACTCTGGTATGTGTAAGGGGAGTGGAGCCCAGGGGCCAAGTCGATAACAAGACTGGGGATCAGAGATCCCCAGCAACTATCTATATACAAGTAGATGACGTAAGAAGCATGACACCGCTGACTGATAACCCTCGGATCACCGCCGGAACACCGCCGGATCAATACCAATGACCTCATCCTGCTGACACGTCTCCCCTGACATCATCCCCTCTTCAAGATTCGTCGCCTCGACGAGTATACCCCGAACTTGTAGGGTTCATGCCCGGTCGTAGCCGGGATCACCTGGAAACAATAGGTTGCCGTGGGAGTCAGTACGTGCGGCTGATCCAAGAACACCATGCCCTCGCCGTGCCGTCTGCCTCCGGGGCACCCTGGTCCTCACCGCGTCGATGGCCATGGGCGATCCGGCAGGAGTGAAGGACTGAGGGGTAGCGGTTGCAGTGGGCATGGCCACCGAGGGGACGAATGGAGTAGAGCTGGGCTGCGGGGTAGGGATAGCGGTTGCCATGGCGCGCGTAGGGGCGTAGGGGGTAGTCGCACGCTCATGGGGTAGGGGAGCCGGGGCAGGAAGGGAAGAGTCCTGTGGTGCGAATCGAGCCCGAGCCCGGTGCTGCGGGGCCGGAGCTGTGGGCGGAGGTGCCTCACGTGGCTGCGGGGGGCCGGAGGCGGCCGGGACGAGTGGATCCTGCTGCCGAGTCTTGGAGCGTCGTGCCGCGGGTGCGGGCTCCTTGAGCGGGCTGGCCTCGGGCATTGCTACGTCCGAAGGCGCCGGTGCAGGGCCAGGAGGGGGAGGAGCAGGGTCCCCAGAAGGGCGTGGCGGGCCCGTCTTCTTAGTGCGGACACGCTTGCGCATGAAGCGCTTCCCAAGCGCAATGAGGGCTTCACCGACTTGCTGGTCGGTACCCCGGATAGAGACGTGGCGTTCGGCGGGAGAAGTCTTGTCAGTGTAGACCCGCAGTTGAGCGCCAGAAGTGTCGTGAGCCTGGTGAAGGCCCTTGCCGCCTCGACCAACAATATGCCCAACAACAGAGTCGGGCACCACAAGCGTGCAGGAGTAGCGGCCAGGTGAACCAGCGGCAGTAGGGAGGGTCTCGGCAAGTGGTATGGTGGTGTGGCCGACGGCAATGACGGCAGGGGTAGGGGCTGGAGTAGTGGGGACAGACTGCCAGCGAGCACCATCCCAGGCAGGGCGCCAGGCATGACCGCGGGGGGTAGAGGCTGCGGTGTTCCCATGCTCCATACGGTCCAGGAGGTCATGGAGATGCTCAACCTCATGTCGCAAGAGCTCGCAGTAGGAATAGATATCCAGGTGGCCCGCGGGTGTAGCCATGGTGTGGGAGGTGTAGGGTCGAGGGTAGGGTGAGGGCAGAGTAGGAGATAGGGTGGTCGACTGGGGCTAGGGGGAGTGCCAGAGCCGAAGAATAGTCTTGTTATGCTGTAAGGGGAGTGGAGCCCAGGGGCCAAGTCGATAACAAGACTGGGGATCAGAGATCCCCAGCAACTATCTATATACAAGTAGATGACGTAAGAAGCATGACACCGCTGACTGATAACCCTCGGATCACCGCCGGAACACCGCCGGATCAATACCAATGACCTCATCCTGCTGACACGTCTCCCCTGACAGTATGTCCGTTTCAACAGCATCTTATTTGCATCTTTAAGGCGGATCTCACAGTGAACCTCATCCGCCAGACAATCAATGTGCGGGATAGGTTCGAAGATTTCACGGAACTCTGATTTCACTTCAGCGCTTCCCAATTAGACAACACGTCTATTCGTTCTCGGATTGCCGCCACCATGTCTGTCTCTTTAACCGGTTCGAACAAATTCCTGGATAGCATGTCAAGACGTCTTGTCTTGCACACTGCTTTTAATTCTGCCTGCAGAAGTCCCAGGTCGGCACGCGTGCGTTTCAAGCAATCTTTCAGCCCAAGTCGTGGGCTGGGTTTGGGGGGAAGTGGGGCAGGATCCAGTAAATTGTATTGTACACGTTTATCGATAACAGTTCGGGCTTCCGCGTCGATCACAATGTGGTTACGTTCCAACCACGGCAGCCCGAGTATAACATCTACACACAGAGAGGGAGCCATCAAGGCATGGGTCACGTTTGATTCCCAGCATTGGTCTAGAGAGAGAGCACGCAATTTCACATATTCATGTAGTTTTGTTTGTTTGGATTTGAGTCCATTGGCTGTTGCCACATCAAACATTTCAGGTTCATGCAATTTGAATCGTTGCAGGCCGAGTCGTTCCACAAGGTCTTCTTGGATTAACACTATATGCGTCCCAGAATCAATCAGTCCGTGTACAGCATTGGGGGTTTCCATGTGTGGACCGGTCATCAGGAACTTCCACAAGAAGTGTTTGCTCCGATGCAACAGATCCACACGTTGATCACAATCACTCACGCGGGACGCCAAGTCATCCTCGGACTTGCTCTCTTTGCCCTCCTCCTCATTCTCGCTGTCTGATTTTGGGAAGACAGCCGCAACAGCCTTGATCGGTAGACGGGTGATGCCAAACTTGGCCGCCTGAGTCTCGGATAGCGCGTTACGTATCGCATTTGCGTTAATGAGGGTGAGCGGTTTGTAGGAGTCGGCAGATGGGAAGGTACAGACTTGATCCGAGGAACGGTGTTTGACGTAGAACTTTTGGCACGTGCGACAGCCATGATGTTTGTTCAGCAATTGTTTATCCGCTTTGGACAGCAGCAGGAGTCGGCCGCCACAGGTTCCTTGGGTAGACAATGAAGAGGCAGGAGGCGCGGCGTTCTCGTTCGTATGGGGTAGTTTCTTAGGCCGGGCGTCGTAGGTCACCACGGCTGGTGCCGTACGTTTTTGCTGTGCCTCAAACATCCCACGTGCGCGAGCATTCTCTTTCACACGCCTCCCATCTAACCGTACCACTCCTTTCACCCACTTTCCAAAGTCCGTCTCATCGTTGACCGTCTTGTCATCGATGATCAGATCGTTGAGGTCAGAGACCATTGCGGTTTTGAGGTGCAAGCGCATTCGGTTGTCGGCAAGGTGATATTTTGATCCAGTAAGCAGCGCGTTGCGAGAACAAAGGAGGGTGGAGAATTGATGAAAGGTGTCGTCGTCCGACATCTTCTGCTGCATGATCTCGCGCCGAATGTCCAGATCCCATTCCGCTGGCAGCATGACGCCTCTGATGATGCTCATCAGATTATCAAACGTGCCAGCAAGTGCAGCGGCGCGTTTGTCCTCCAACTCCAGCAGGTCGGTGATACGGAAATCACGGAAGCATGAGATTGCGATCGGGACCTGTTCGTCCTTGGCAATCTTCTTTATGGTAGCGTAGTCGCAGAAGGAAATCGCGAATTCGCGTAGTACGGCTGGAGTGCAATCGCCCTCGGTAAGCACGGGCACCTTGCTTGAGTGGTTCTCCACTACAGCTTTTGGAACAGTGTTCGAATCTTGAGACGGCATGTATGGTGAATGCGGTGGGGCAGAATCCGACGAAGTGGAGGAAGGAGAGGAAGAAGCTTGAGGCGGCAGGTAGGATACAGGCGATGACTGAGTGGGCAGTGGGCGTGATGGCAGGTTCGATGCAGAGCGCGTTCTAGTGTTTATGGTGGCGGTCTGACGGCGAGTGCATAAGGAATGTGGGACGGAAGGTTGAGGAGCGGCCAGCGTGACTGTATGCAGTCAATACACCAAGTCGTCGTCTTTACAACAGCAGCAGCACAGGGCAACGTCGGACACGGTTGTCACGAAGCAGTACAGTACGGTAACAGAATCCCAGCAACTTGCTATTCCCCACGAGGGCTCACGAAGGCTCTCAGAGGCAGTTGTGCAAGGGGGGACGTCGCTAAAAAAGTGGAAGCTTGGCGTACCTATACGCCAAGAAACACTGGGAAATCTGAAAAAGGCGGGGGGAACTGAACTAGCAAAAAGTCCCTTGCGTGGGGGATACGTATATGCGTTACAGAAAGGTCGAGATGTGTAGCGAGAGCGTAGCTGGTAAGCCGTACATATGGTAGTCTGGTGTGATGTAACGCGTAAGTCCGGTGGGCGGGCTTACAGAGAGATTGTAATGTCATAGTAACATGGTGTGATGCAGCACATGCATGAGTCCAGCAGAGCAGGCTTACAAATAGGTCTGCTCGATTCTTGGTTCATGAACCAGGTTCACGAGGTTTTGATGAACCCGACAGGTCCTGACAGTTGCCATCACGCTTAACTAAAAGAGACTGATGGCCAACGGAGACAACCCCTTTTAGGGCAGAGGGCAAAACATTGCAGGACGCAACTTTATCCATGGCAGTTCCTATCATGTCAAGAAAGGACAGGGAGAATAACTGAGGATACTTGAGGGCCCATTTTCAGTATATGTATGGATTTCTTTCAACTGCCTACCACAATTGGAATGAATCACTACTTGGGAAAAAATACAAGCACATACAGCCAGGGAGTCAAGTAAGTTGAAGTAACGTCTAGGCTTGCTCTCGAGTATCATTTTGGTCCAACGCTGCAAGATCGTACATGTTTGTCCTCAAACGGAGACATCTCTGCTGGCCCTCGGCCGATTTTAGTTAAGCGTGATGGCAACTGTCAGGACCTGTTGGGTTCATCAAAACCTCGTGAACCCGGTTCATGAACCAAGAATTGAGCGGACCTAATGGCGGTACAAAAGAGAATCTTTAATATTGATATTTCATGCAAGTACAGTACAATTAACTAAACGCATTGATGCGTTTCTACTTGAATAGTTACAATTGAACAATTAAACAAAACCCATGTAGCTCAGGAAATGCTGTCTTTTCACCTGCAAGCTGCCATTGGTTATTACTGGCATCAAACCAGGTGCACCTGCAGCAATCAAATCATTGATTGCATGGAGATACTGGGTCGCTTGAGTGGAAAGGCATATTAATTAGATAAGCAAACAGGAGAGATAAGTGGATCACACACCAGTGAATCCTCCCAAGGCTTGCTCCACAGTCGTTGGCATGGCTGGGGTTTGCACAATGCCAGGGGGGTATTGTACAAGTTCATATGGTCCCGCAGTTGCATTGTAGGCACGCATTGGGACCAAGTCAAGCCTGAGATGATTCAATAATGTTTCTAGTATCACAAGAGGGAGGCCTACCGCTGCACTACGTTGTCAAGACGTGCAACAGCAACACCTTGACCTGCAGCAAGGATATCTTGACGTACAATAATGGCGTTAAGACGAGCATCAATAGCGTCAAGACATGCAACAGTGGTGTCTTGACCTGCAGCAAGGGTGTCGAGACGTGCAGCAGTGGCGTCTTGACCTGCAGCAAGGGTGTCGAGACGTGCAGCAGTGGCGTCTTGACCTGCAGCGAGGGTGTCAAGACGTGCAACCGCAGCCCCTTGATGTTCGATCATGGTGTTATGCCCTCCGACCAGTTGCTCTTGAAGTTGATTGAATCCCGCAACAAGTCGAAGCATGTTTTGATTCATGGCGAGGATTTGTTGTGTTGGATTCTTCTCCTTGGTCAGTTTCAGAATCAGTGGAAAATTGTCAATACATACCATGTTGGGGATCTTTGCTGTTTCAGCAGCAACTGTCTGCATTCCAACCGAAAGTTCGTTCCAGTCAGGTTGAGGCAGGACGACATCTGCAAGAGGAAGCTCTAAGAGTTGAATGGGGCGGGCTGGAGGGAGATGTCTCGGAGGTGGATGATCCATGAAAGACGCAAGTGAAAGACAAGTGAGATTGTGTGAGACGCTCTCAGTCACAATCATCCAGTCACGTTCATCACCTGGCGACTTGGACGAGGCAACCAGGACTCCGCCGTAACACATCTTCTCCTCTCAAAGACGCGCCATTCCGTCTTCAGCGCTGGCCTTGATCATCGGAAAGTGTTCGACCGCCGGCTTGATATGATTACGGGCGGCAAAGTCGAGCATGGATTCGTGGACACTGTGGCTGGCCACGGCCGCCCCTTGGATCGTGATTCCCCCAGTCAATACGGGCGGTTGAACACTCAACTGAGGCGTCGATAACTCCCAGACTATGCTCTGCGAGATCCATACATCACGTTGGTGGTGTTCGAAGCGGCCAGACGGCGGCTGGTCACCTTTGTTCGGTCTCTCTGGTGTTCGACGGTTTACATGGTTTTAAATGCTGGAGAAACAATATGGTCATGGAACACTCGCATACGATGTCCACCCTCTTTACTCGGACGGAGCAACCAGGACTCCGCGGTAACACATCTTCCCCTCTCGAAGACGTGCCATTCCCTCCGCGACACCGGCCTTGGTCATCGGAAAGCATTCGACCGTCGGCTTGATATGATTACGGGCGGCAAAGTCGAGCATGGATTCGTGGACACTGTGGCTGGCCACGGCCGCCCCTTGGATTGTAATCCCCCAAGTCAATACAGGTGTAGAAGGGATGACGAGATTGCCGTCGGTCACAGTCAAGGGGAAGATTCCACCCCTGGGTCGCATGATGCGGATGTAGCTAGCTCACGGTGAGTGGTGCAAATTTAGAGAAGCAAACACCGAGAGCTCACGGAGTCCAATCTGGTATAAAGCTTGTCGTGATCAGCAGATGACCAAAGGGCTTGACGCCCTCGAACTGCGAGAGACCTCTGGTCGCATGGAATCCCGACACGCCCAGTCGCATTGTCTCCCCTGCTCCATCAACGAAACCAGCGCACCGATGGACTCCCAAGCAACTCCCCATTGCTGTTGCTCTCCGGCTGCACGGCACTTCTGGCATGAGCAACTCTTGGCGGTGTCTTGCCTCGCGCATACACAGCGAATTATTCATGCAGATTGGGCGAGACTTATGTCCGGTCATGGCGTGCAGCAGTTGTCGCTGGTGAAGAGACACGACCGCCAATAGGGACCACGCGTGTATTTGCAGACTTTTTTGAGATGGAACGTTGCATCGTGTCCCATGGACATTGGATTGCACCCCCAGCAACTCTTGAGTACAGCGCACTGATTCTCCAGAAAGCTGTTCAGAGGCGGAGCAATCGAGGTAGGGCGTTGAATTATATGGAGTAAGAGGCGATGTGCACAGAAAATGTGCATTCAGCTTGAACTTTCCAAATGGCGAATGAGCTGAGCCAAGAGCATTATGTAGCACAATCAAATGTTTTCATTACATTCATATTGTAACCCGCAACTTAAGCTGATTAGGGCGACCAATGTAACCAATACTGGTGCTACAGAGCAACTACGGCAACCCAACCCTAGTTCTCAGCTACTGCAAACATCGATATGCCAGTTTTCCATCGAAACTCTGCCTCCTGAGCAGATAACATGGGAGTTTCCTCAATGTAAGTCTTGCAGCCGTTATGAAGGAAGCGGAAGAGCCCCCCTGCTGTGTACTGTACAACTGAGAAGCGCTTCTCACCTGGGCCAATAGGTGTGTTAGAGTGACGGAGAATAGCAGAGGGCAAAAGGATTGTTGAACCTGGCGGGAACCGTATAAGAAGGCGAAGGTCCCACAGGATCAAGTGTCCACCGCTATTGCAGTCAAACTTCCCAAGGGCTGTGACAGCACACCAGCCCCATGCCAGGTTCGCAAAATCGAGATGTGGCCGAGTGGCTGTGAATGGGCCAAGGTTAAATGTACAGGCTGCGAAAACGCTTCCAACAAAGTTCCAAGCCAACCACGGCCCCCATGCTTGCAGCGAGCGCATCTCACTACAGTAGAAGAGCCAGAGCATGGGTGCAAAAGTTTGGAACAGGCCTGTGCACCGTTAGACCGGGGAGGATTGTATCGGCTCGAGCATACAGTTCGTGAAGCCTGCAATGCGCTTGATGTGTGGGCTTTGGAGAAGGCGCTCAGCAGCAGCGGTGTTACTTGGTGAGTTGGCAAGGTTGCCTGGTTGACGCTGTCCACCTCCAAAAGATATGCCGGTGTGAAGAGCTGCATATCCTTTTGATGTGGCCCGGCGATGGTGTATGTCGCCATGCGTAAAAACGCAAGTGGCTGCTTCCCGCTCAATATCTTCGGCAGCAAGCTCCATTGCTTGGGTGTATCCACTAGCATCCCTCGGCATGCCTCCAAGCAGGGCAATAACGCGTCGGTGGCTGTCCAAGATCCGGATACTGACCCTGGCGCTGCGTTGTTAAAGTCCCAAGTAGCTAGGGAGAACGAGACGTACCTTCCACCCCAGTTGACATATGAGAAGCCCGGTTCACCAACGAGGCCGTCAATCTCTGCCTGAGTAGGCGCAGCCTCGTTCTCAGCCATGCCCGACAAACCCGTGGGCTGCGTTACCGCAGCCGGCTTGCTTGGTAGCGGCGGCTGCAGGTGCTCGCTTCGCCCAATCCAGCTAGGGCCGGAGCGTGGAAGCGCAGCAGCATTGAGATCAACCTGAATGTCGCGCCTGACAGCGTCTTCGCTGCGCTTGACATACACACCTTTGCCAGCCATCTCTCCTGCCTCCTGCTCTCGGCCCTGCCTTTTCCGTCGCTTGGACCCTTGCTTCCGCTTCTCCATGCGAGGGATTGAGGGTCGAGCGTATGTGCTGTTTGCGGAATCGCTTACAGGCGCCGCGGGGGGATTGCCATTGATCACGGCGTCGATTTGCGCATCGCTTTGCGCGGCGACTGGGGGCGGTGACGCCGATGCTGGCAGAGGGAGGGGGGGTCAGGTGAGTCGCTGAGAGGCGACTCGGGCCGCAGGTAAAGGTTAGCAGCGTCTTCGTCTGGTGCTGCTGCCTGCGCGTCCACCACTCTCTGCTGCAGCAGCTCGGAGATGTCGAAATGGAAGCTGGGGGATAGGGAAGTCGGGCTGGCAACCATGTCGAATTCCGAAAATTCACGCCCGGAACGCGTGTGGCGACCTGGTAAATGTGATGAAGCTCCAGGCCAAGACAATTGGGTAGGGGGCCTCTTAAGCAAGGCCTGCCGCGTGCCTGTCAAGTCCCATGGTCGGGTCTCCGGACATCATGCGTTGCAGCCTCCTTAAGAGCCCCCCATGTAGAAGGCTACGCACCTTTCATTGGATGGTGAAGGGCGGTCGCGTTGGACAATGGGGCCAAAATTGATGGCGGTATACTTACGGTAAAGGGCGCGCGGAAAGCGGTTGCAAATAGTGCTAGCCGGCTATCTGGCGGAGCCCGCTGATTCTCGTGAATCAACCTCAGGGTTCGTCGACTTTTTTCACTGCTCTTCAGCTTGGTTTGCTCACTTTCGGCATACAAAGATGTTAATCTCACGATCCCATCTATTAAAACTTGCTATTCCTCATGTTGCCGAAGTGAGCACCACCTACTCAGTCAGGTCGTTCGGCCCAGCGCTTACTATGTACTTCACATCGCAGTCCGGCTTTACTCGCACAACTTTATCCCGGTCGGTGCTGCATCTCCCGTCTCCTCACTCGGAGCCTCTATCCGACTCTGCTGTTTCTTCTCTCTTTGGTTCCGGCAATTCAGCTCAGAAGACTTTGATCAACGCATGGCTCGAGAATGGTCTGGACAACATGAAGACCGACAACCTCCCACCCCCTACTTTAAAAGAGGCTCTGCACACGAGGCTGTCCTATAACGAGCCTGTTCTAGCACATCTTCCCGAAGTCCGCTGTGTTTCTCTTCGCGAGCGTATTCCCCCAATGAACCGGCGTTTGTGCTAGGCGTTTGCTATTCTTTGCGTCCCAGAATCACGCATGGCGTTCCCGCCCCTGGATTCGGTGCCCGCGCTCAAGCATGCAGCCCATATTGCCGACCAAGCCTGCTTCGTTTCCGGGCAAGGCCTGTCGAGGGTAAGCGGTCATTTGCAGTCAGCAGCATACGTAATCACATCTGAATAGGAATCCTGGTATGCGAAACGCGCATCCATCATGGGAATCTACACTGCGGCAGGTAAAACCACTACACGTATCTCATTTTTCTCCCTCTCTAAATGCACCGTTCAGAGTTGCATCAACTCACTTCGCCGCGAACGGCTCACGTATTTCTCGATGATCTGCTTGGGAGCTCGACAAAGATTGGCCAGTCGGTCTCAGATATGAAGGAATATGCGGATTACATCTTCAGAAGCTGGGGAGGCCTTGCTCGGAGTCGCGGATGGTAAACCCTGGATATGTACATTGCGCTGTACGGTCTGCCAATATCTCAGGTCCGAAAGGTCCGACGTTCGGTTCGAAAAGTGGCTTTGTATGAGATCCTCAAAGTCGTCCTGAGTGTTCAAGGCGACATGCGACGAGCGGGCGCTGTACGTCAATGGTGATGCGCTAGTTCGGCTTTCGGGGCCGAACATTCGTTCGGATCGGTGCGCCATGGCTATGCACACCACAACTCAAACTCGACTGTACACTAAGTACTTGCCAACGCGATGGCACGACTCGCGTTACTCCTAATACTTTCCTTCGTTGTCTTCACATACGCGCACTCTGACGATGATCGGAAATCTTCTGGACGCCTCATGCCCGGGCCTGAGGTGCCCATTCTTGTACGTGTCACGACGGAGGCGTGGCTTACACGTCGCTTGCCGGGCTTTCCTTTCGCGTGGGACTAAGCTCAAAGATCATTTCTGGTCAATGTAGGCATCCGAGGTCGACGACTGTCTCCCTGTGTGGCGTCTCAGTATGATCAAGAAAACCCTAGAAGCCGAGGCGTCTCCAGTGATGCGCACCGTCTTCAACTACTTGTTTCCTTTTGGGCCCGCGTGGAACTCGATTTTAGGCACATTTTACATTTCATCGTGCGTTCGCTGTTGTCATTCTCAGCTCTCGCTGTCCGACTGACGGCCCTTTCACGAAAGAGTACCCAACTTCATCCTCGCGTTCATTCCGGCGAAGATCAACGCAAACACGTTGAACACTATGACCGCATTTGCGGTACGCTCGTGGTGTTGACGACTACCTGTTCCCCGATTCATTTTGAGTCCAGACGGGTGGCCTGCTGTCGGACGTTTTCCTGCACCTCGTCCCGCATTCCTTTATGGGTGAACGCCAGGGGGATGGCGCACATTTCGTTCTGGTCGAAGAGAAACGGAACATCCTGATTGGGTCAGTCTGTTGACGATCCTGTGAGCTTACCTTGACCATGTGCAGGCTAGGGATATTCGTCGGCTTTGCATCGTTCTTTGTCATGGAGAAGACACTCCGTGTGCTTGCCGGGGACGAAGATGGAAGCGGGGGGCACGGGCATAGTCATGGCGGAGAATCGAGTGCATTAAGCTCTGGGGTGGAGAAAACATCGCCCAACGAATCGGAAGTGCGGTCTCGCAAGTCCAGCGGCAAGCCGGAGCCGGAAGAGGCCAGTGGATCCGCCAAGGCCGGAGGAGGGCCATCGAAGATGTCGGCGTACCTCAATCTATTTGGAGATTTTGTCCACAACATGTGCGATTAGCTTTCGTGGGATGTTCTTGTGCGAAGCTCACGGTCCGATCCGCAGCACGGACGGTCTGGCCATGGCTGCGTCGTTCTATGCCTCTCCACTCATAGGAGCGACGACCACTCTTGCCTGCTTTGCTCACGAGGCAGGGCCTGGACCCTTTCCGCGTTTCGGCTTTGGCTGACGACCGGACAGATCCCACACGAAATTGCGGACTATTCTATCCTCATCCGCAGTGGTTTCACGAAGCGGCAAGCCATGCAGTCGCAATTCTTGACTGCGATCGGAGCATTCGTGGGTTCTCGCACTCTTTGTCAGGACAGGCTCTCACTCGCCTTTTGTTGTTGCGCTTCCCTCTTCCTAAATTCCCACTGCCTGTTTGATTTTTGCACGTTCGCTCCATGCACGATGCTTTCGCGTGGTGGCTTCCGATCGCGCATTTAGGTCGGGTGAGCCATCGCTGCCTGTTCGAGCGACTGCTCCAATGCTGATTTTGAGTAGGACGTTCATTGGCATCGCTGTTCATACGGCCACTGCTAGCGATAATGCCGCAGGCCCGGCATCTCTCGACCTTGCTGCAGCAGTGCGGCAGAAATCGGACGGGCTGCTGGGGACGACGGCACAAATATCGGATCTGGTAACCCCCCGGCTATCATCTTCGCTTATTTCGGCCGCTAACCCCATTATGCCAGGTCATCCCTTTTGTCGCTGGCGGATTCATGTACATTGGCGCCGTCGCAGTGTTACCGACGTGAGATTCTTTTGAGGGTGCCGCGGACAATATTAAACTTTACCCCATCCAGATTGCTTGCAGAGAGTAAAAGCGCGGCTCAGGCGTTGCGGGAGGTACTTCTGTTTCTTGCACGCCATTTTGCAGCGCACTGACTGGGGTGTGTATAGTTTTTGGCCATGGCCGTGGGTGTCCTATGCATGCTACTGGTGGCGTGAGTTCTATCTCTGTCTTGGCAGCCACTGGGAGTCTGAGCATCTGCAGGTGGAACGAGTAGAACCAGAAGCCATCGGCGAGATAGAATATCAGATTGATTTTTTGGCAACGAGGTGATGCACACGACTGCCACTTCCCAAATTCAACCCGATCCGGGGCGCTGTCACTCGGTCTGAGTAGCTCCACGAGGAGATTCGGCACAGGACTGGCTGCACGTCTTCTGGGCCCATTACCGATAACGAACCGGCCGTTCATCGGGGTGGTCTCGACCTCAACGATATTGCACTTCAATCGCCCCAAGTTCATGTCCTCCAAGGCTTAAAGTCTCGTACCGGTTCACGTTTGTAGCTTGACAAAACTGGCTCAAAGTAACGGATTCCTTCCGTTCTCATCTCAAAATCACGTGATCTGCGTTGATCCGGTCCGTCCAGACCGGCAAGACTGCCGAGACACGTTCGTCGCATGCCAAATTGAGCCGTTGACGTCGAGGCGAACGGATTTTTTCTCCCTACCTTTGACCTGCACAAGACCACCGCGGCCTCGCGTACGTGCCTACCCTGCAACCCAGTATATATATCAACGTCCAAACTACAGGATCCGCAGGCCCCTGCCTCGAACTCTCTCTCCAAAACGTCCTCCGCCTGTTCGCCACAGACCGGGCGCCAGTTGCGCTCGTCACCAGCCCACCTAGCTGATGCACGCTTTGTAAACGCTACCCACGCCCCCGCCCACTTCTTGTCTTTCCCAATCATGGGTACAAAAGGCCGTTCCAGTCCCCGCATCGTCTGCTGCGCCATCCCCATTGCCCGTTCCGCCGCCCAGGTCCTCTTAATTACCAGCCGCAAGCGTCCAGATAACTGGGTCTGTGAGTGGCGCGTGCCCGTCCGGTTCCGAGTCTCGGCTGATCGACTATTCTGCTGCCCCTTACCGCAGTGCCCAAAGGCGGCTGGGAAGCGTCTGATGTTCGACTAGAGAATGCGGCGTCTCGGGAAGCATTGGAAGAAGGTCTTACCCTCTCTACCTCTCTCTGCGGCGTCTGACGACCCCGTAGCGGGCGTACGCGGGACGATCACGCGCTACGTCACCACGCAGCATAGTCCGTCCGCCACGTACCATTTCTACGAGCTGGACGTCACCAGTCTAGATGCGGACTGGCTCGAGAGCGGCGAACGGCAACGAGAGTGGGTCGACTACGCCGAGGCCGTCCGGCGCCTGGAATGGAAAGCGGAGCTTGCTAACGGCTTTCGACTGTCGTCTCTCGCTCCCCAGCGGTGACCGAGGTCGGTCTGAGGCGGCGTTGCGGATCTATGCGAACAGAAGACGACGGGGTGGGCACTTGCTCTTCTCACACGACCCGGTTCCTCCGTCCGCGATAACGCACTGTCAATGACCATGGGCTTGCCCCGCCCAGCGCCCGGCTCGGAACTTTTGATCCTACCTTACGATCCGTTTAAACCATACCCCTCGTGGCATCGATCGCATTCTTTCCCCATCTCTCGTATACACGGATGTGTCGTATCTGCACTGATACAGTTCATCGTGCGCATGTCCCGGTCGCTTTCTTATCCTACAAGTTGACATCTAGAGTAGTAGTATATCATCCTATTTAGTAGCTGTTTCGGATGACCATTCAAGACCCCAAGTTGTAGCATACACATTTAAGTAGCCGTTCCATAAAATAGAGCTATTCAAGATACCCATCGTTCGTGTGTTCGCACGCCACACCCTCTGCCACGGCCGGACAGTGTGGTTGTGCACAGATAGATATTCACTCTGCGCTGAGCTGGGCAAAATCGCTTAGCAGGCACTGATGGCCGGCCACACGACTCTTTGTAATGCACGACGTTATCGATGATGTTTCTCGCTCAGGGCGCCGAGCCCGCGAGCGTCTAGGCCTTTCTCCGGTGTTGTCCTCCTCTCCGGAAAATTATATATGGATCAGCCGGACGTAGTGCTTACACCACTGTGCCTACGTCCATAGCATGATTCCACTGACTTCCCTTGATGTTGTTCACCGAGACGCCCGAGACCAAAGGTCGTTTCCGTTTTCGTCAGATAACTGTATGGTATCCATGTTCAGGCCCCCTGGAGGATCTCAGCTTTGGAATCGCGTGGTGTCACCTTCACGTGAGGTGTGACAAGCATCTGGACTCCAATGATTAAGCCTGTGATCCAATTGGGCGCTTGGGTGAGAGTGTTCGATTGGAATGATGGGCGACTGAATCGCTTTGTGTGCGTGACCCCAGAGAGTCTGACCAAGAAAGACTTGAATCAAGATGAGTCGCCATGAGCGTAACCCGAAGCTGCGGGACGGGTTTAAGTTCCGAGCAGGCCAGTCAATTCAATCTCAGCGCGGGAAGCAACGACTATTGACGCAAAGACCTAGGCACACCGACACTCTCTGGGCTGAGCGGGTCATCGAATTGTGTTTGTGCGAGAGAGACCTGAGATTGTGCTGGCGGGAGATACTTGTGATATATATGTGCAGTTTGATTGTGCACCGGAAGAACCACGGTAGGTGGGAGAAGCAGATACTTTTTCGCGATCGTCTGGGACTGCGGTTCCTGATGGGATGCGTTGAATGGTCTCGTGTTTTCACAAATCCCAAAGTCAGGTCAACTGATGCAGACGCTCCTGAGAGTTGGAGTGCAGCATTCGAGACATGAAACAGCGACTCGTGTGCCGGATGTGTATCTCGACGTCTGGTGAGAGCCAACAGATAGCAGAGGCAGGCATACGAGGCCTGTACAGCCAAGAAACCCGACATGGAGACACGCTGCGGATATCGCTTTTTCCAGTACCGTCGTTCTCATGCCGCGCATAGATAGGTTCGATTCGGGCTGTTTCCGCCGGGTTTCTTCCCGTTGACATGTATCGGCTGCTTATGTGTGAGACGCTGAGACAAATACCTTCGAAAAACCCGGGGTCGCTGTGGATTCGGAAGACGACCATCGCCTCGCTGGCTACTAGTGTCCCATGTGATCCGTGTTGACGCGTTCATTACATACAGGTGGTTTTCGGCCAATGAGGTCGATGTGGGTGTTGTTAGAATACAACGCGGACCCCGTGGATAGCCTGCTTGGAATTCAAATAAGTATTCGAGGGTCGATTACAAGTTTAGATCGTGGCTGTGGTGTGATTGCATCCGCTTAGATATCGAATACTGTGACCGTGATGCACCAACAAACACCGCGTACCAAGCGTGCCATTGCTTCAGCTTGTTCACCCATCTCGTCAACTTGTATGTCCAGGAAGGTCCCAAGGAGTGACTCTGCGCCTGTCCCAATCCCCATGCGCTCATCACCATCTTCGGAATTCACACGTCCTTCGGATAAGCAAGTGGTATTTTTAGCGTAGGAATATATCAACCGTCTTCCCATATTCCCGCGCGGTCATATTTTTGAACGCTGGCCCAAGGCAGGCGAACGCGTATCGCAGAAGCCTGTGTCTGGAGGGCTCGAAGGTTGCGTCTCATGCTGGCTGTCGCGTCCATTCTACGCGCGCTTCCTCACGACCACGAGCTCGCGCCGCGGTCTCACCAACACCACGGCACGGAGACATCAGGTTGACGTGTGTTGTTTCTTCTGCCGTCGAGAGCCACTGAGCCACTGATAACGTCCCAGATCGAGGCAGAAATAGATCACGCTCCAGGTGGATGCGGCTACAGCCCTACATCATGGCCCAGATAAAAGCAAGCTATCATTGCTCCCGCATGATCAGTGCTTCTTACGAGACCCCACTCGCCTCCCGTCATCATGGCCTCTATGGAACACGATGAAAAGGATGTTATTAACGAGAAGGCCCCTGCGACGCCCGTGGACGAGAAGAAGAGCCACTCGAGCGAGGACATCGAGACGGCCGGGGACCGCGGGGACGACGAGTTCGCTGTGCTCCGCGACGAGCGCGATATCGCGACGCACGTCATCACCGTCGAGGACGACGAAACGCTCAACCCGTGGACGATCCGCGCCTTCGTGCTCGGGCTCGGTCTGTCGGCGTTCGGTGGTGTTTTGGGTGCGTTGTGTGTTCCGTATATCTGTGAAGGCTGTGGCTGAAGCCCCGGCGGCAGCTGAGATCTACTACTTCAAGCCTGTGAGAGAAATGATGTCTCTTCCGTACTCGCTTCTTTCTCACTAACCCGAATTGCTTCCAGCAAACTGTCTCCGTCTCGACCCTGTTCCTGGCTATCATCTCGTACGTGCTGGGAACAGCATGGGGATCTCTCCCGCGAGGCAAATCCGGATTGCTCTACTGGCTGAACCCGGTAAGAGAGTGATGTGCATCCGGCCCGCGAGCACGTGGTTCTCATTGTTCCTTGCGCTACACAGCACCCGTTCAACAAGAAGGAGAATGCCTTCATCGTCATCATGTCCAGTGCCGCCGCGACCTCGGCGCTTGGGACCGAAGTCCTTGCTGTCCAGCGGTTATATTACAACATCACGCCGAACCCAGGTGCTAGTATCTTCCTGCTGTTTGCGAGTCAGCTCGCCGGGTATGGAATCGGTGGACTGCTTCGCCCGATTCTGTTGTACCCCTCCAAGGTCAGTCACCTCGCGTATCAGAGATATGGATGACTGACGCGTCTCCAGATGTTGTATCCCGGCGTTCTCCCGCTCGTGTCGATGTTCGATGTCCTCTACAGGGACGCGGAAGCTGCTCAGAAGCGAGTCAAGCTGTTCTGGATCGCATTTGGCTGGTGTGTATTATCTTCCCCCGATGAGTGCCCCAGACTAATGCTGTGTGTGTTACCATAGCATCTTCCTTTGGGAAATCTTCCCGGAATGGGTGCGTAAACGAACCTGTCTGGCCGCGAAGTTTGCGTGAACGATGTGTCCGTTACAGATCTTCCCGCTGTTGACGGGATTCTCCATCTTCTGCCTGGCAGACCAGCGATCCCCGCACTTCACACGGATTTTCGGCGGCTCGAACGGCAACGAAGGACTAGGTCTACTCTCGATCTGCTTTGACTGGCAGTACATCTCCGGCGGAGTGAACCCCATGGCGATCCCGCTCAAGGCGCAGTTCAGCAATCTGCTCGGGTACATTCTGTGCATGATCGTCTTCGTTGGCGTGTTCTACGGGAATGTGTGGAATGCTATGGCGCTGCCCTTCGTGCGTCGCTTGGTCCTCCTCTCTACTTGCTGGCTTATCTAGTCTACAGCTCTCGCAAGAACTGTTCTATGCCAACGGCACTGTGTACAACCAGACGCTGATCTTGAACGAGAACCTGGAGGTCGACAAGACCTTGCTGGCCCAGCAGGGGCTGCCGTACTATGCCTCGACTTGGGTGGTGCAACTGCTGGCTACCAACTTGGTAAGCCTATGATACCACACCGAGGCGCGTGGGTTGGCTGACACATGCCGCGGCGACTTTCTCCAGAGTATCGCAGCGACCGTGACGCATCTCCTGCTGTGGAACCGAAATGACCTGAAGGCGGCCTGGAGCTGGGCCGCGCCGTCCGCGCTCAGAAACTCGGTGCGCAACATCAACTGGCGGTTCTGGCAGGACGACGGGCTGCGCACGGCCCCCAAAGACGACGCGAACCTGGACCCGCATTACCGAGAGATGCTCAAGTATCCTGACGCGCCGAACAGCTGGTGTGTTATCCGATCGTCTGTGCAGGATGGTGTCGATTGACACGGCCGGCCGACAGGTACATCATCTCCCTTCTGGTCTCGTTCGTCATGGGCATGGTCCTGATCTACAAAACGAACTCGACGCTGCCCTGGTGGGGATTCATCGTTTCGCTGATCCTGTCTGCGTTCTGCACGCTGTTCTTCGGCGCGCTGTACGGCATGACCGGGCTTGCGTTCATCATCCAGCCGTTTGTCCAGGTGCGTGCAGCGTTTGTGTCAGCGATTGGCGGTAGAATGCTGACATGGAGTATGTAGATGCTGGGCGGATTCATGCACCCTGGAAAGCCGATGGCCAATATGTACTTTGTGCTGTTCAGTTACAGTCAGTGGAAGGGAGTGTCTTTGCTGCTTCGGGGCGAGCGCTGAATTCTGGCAGACTCGGTCACGCAGGCCCAGCTTCTGCTGCGAGACCTTAAGATCGCACAGTGTATGCACTTTGATTGCTTTTGAGCGATGCGTCATTGTAACCTTGCTTGACAGATATCAAACTTCCCCCGCGTGCAGCGTTCACAGCCCAGATCATTGGAACGTTATTTGGTGCTATTCTGAACTTTGGTCAGCGGAAAAGAATGGGATGTGTGAAGATATAACTGACACCAAAACAGTTCTGATGAACTCGATTATCGATAACCAACGCCCGATTCTGCTTTCTGTGCAGGGGACGAACATCTGGAGTGGCCAGCAGCCGCAGCAGTACAACTCCCAGGCCATCGCATGGGGCGGACTAAGCCACGAGCTGTTTGCGGTGAACCAGCGGTACCAGTGGGTCGCATGGGCCTATCTCGTCGGGCTGGTTGTCCCGGTCCCCTTCTGGCTCGTGCACCGGTACTGGCCGAAGCTGCGCACGGACTATCTCTACACACCCATCATCTGGTGAGTCGCTGCGCCTTCGATCGATCGATCCTTGTTCCTGCGCGGATTCTGACGGGGTTGGTTGTGGAAGCTACTACATCGGCTGGCTGTGCGTGGGCATCAACTCGTCGATCACGAGCTACTTCGCGATCGCGTGGATATCGCAGTGGTACCTGCGCACGCGCTACCCGCGCTGGTTCACCAAGTACAACTACGTGCTCGCCGCGGCGCTCGACGGCGGGACGCAGGTGATGGTGTTCATCCTGTCGTTTGCGGTCCAGGGCGCGTCGGGCAACAGCCATCTGTTCCCCGAGTGGTGGGGCGCCGATCAGAATGGTGCGTGTCTCCTGTTGGAGTGAGGTGTGTGTGCGCGCGGCTGCTGACTGGTCGTGGATTCCAGGCAACTACGACCGCTGTGTGGTCATCCCCACGAACTAGATCGACCCCCTTAATGACTGAACGTCATTGTTGTACTTACTCCCTGACACGAAAATACGAACTGAACCAAACGATTGTGGCATTCGAATGGCAGTGATGAGACGATGATGATGTACATACATTTACAAGTGTGTGGGTGGTCCTACATGCTAGTGGTGTCATGAAAGAAAGAAAGAAGCCTCCCTGCTCACTCGCTACTACACAGGAGCAGGCTTCTTCTCCCCGTGCTCAAACGTCTCGACCATGCCCTTGTCGTCCTCCACGTCATCCCCGCTGGCAGGCGACTCGGTGTTGCGCTTGATCGGCGGTGCGCGGCGGTCGCCGAGGAAGAAGCGGCCGCCGGGCGCGTCCTGCACCGCGCGCAGGATGACGTGGTCCTCGAAGAGGAGCCCGATGTCCTCGAGCGCGTAGCCGGTCGTCTCGGGCAGACACGCCCACGCCCAGAACGCCATGCACAGGCAGCACAGGCCGAAGATGAGGTACGTGCCGTACGTGATGCTGTTGAGCATGATCGGCGTCAGCCGCGACACGGTGAACGAAAACAGCCTGTGAGGGAGAGGGGGCCAAAGGTCAGCAGCGGGTAAGACGCGGGAGGAGAGGAGAAGTGCACGGACCAGTTCACGCCTATCGCGACGGACATGGCGCCTGTACGCAGGTAGTTCGGGGCGACTTCGCCCGCGACGACCCACGGCAGTGGCCCCCATCCGATGCAGTAGAAGACAGCGTAGAGGTACACGGCGACGATCGAGACGTAGCTGGAGGGCACGATGTGGCCCTGCTTGTGGATCCCCGTGTATCCGGCGAGCCACAGCATCATCGCCCCCTGGCCCAGGCCCCCGATGATCAGGCACTTCTTGCGGCCCAACCCTTCGACGGCGAAGACGAGTACGAGGAACACGGAGACGACTTTCACAGCTCCGTAGACACCTGCAAGGAGAATAACACGTGAGCTGCCACACAACTCGCCAAAAAAACACGCACCGGTCGCCAAGAGCCCCGAGGTCGTGCTGTTGATCCCGAGGCTGGCAAAGATCGTCGGGCTAAAGTAGTTGATCGCATTCGTCCCGGTCCACTGCTGGCAGAACATCACGAAGGACGGGATGAAGCAGCGCAGCGCAATCGTGCGCGAATCGCCCATGTGCATGATCTGCTGCCACAGGGACAGCTGCGTCCGGTTCTCAAAGTCCGCCTGGATCTCCGCGATCGTGGCGAGCACCGCGGGGTCGTCGGGCGCCGTCCCCGCCGCGCGCGCGAGACTGCGCGCGGCACGGTCGAGCCGCCCGTTCTCGACCAGGTAGCGCGGCGACTCGGGCTGGAAGGGCAGCAGGAGGACGAAGAGCATCCCAGGCACGACTTGCACCGCGAACGGGATGCGCCATTGCAGATCGGACGTGGGGGCGATGTTTTTGGAGACGCCGTAATTGACCCAGACTATCGGTGCGCGCGTGTTCAAATCAGTCTCGTGCTCGGAAATGAACGAATGGGACAAGCGGGCCACGCACAGGATAACATGATCCCCAAGTTATTGGCCAGCTGGATCATCCCCGTGCACCGACCACGGATCGCGCGGGGTGTGCATTCGGAGACGTACGCGGGGATAAGGGCACTTGCGGCACCGACGCCCAAGCCCGCGAAGAAACTGGGGGGCAGATATTGTTAGTCAGAAACTTTTACGAAAAGCGTCGTCACATGGGCATACCGAGCAAAATAGAGCACCTTCAGAGCCGTCGCCTCGCTCGTTCCCAGTCCGACAACAGCCTGGATGACACTGCCGATGAGGTAGATGACACCTGCCGCCAACATGGACGGCTTGCGCCCGTATCGGTTGGAGAAGTATCCGATCCCAAGCGCCCCGAAGCTACCGCCGCTGCGTCAGACATGGTGAAACGAGGCGCATGCGGTACGCACAAGCATCCGCCCTGCAGGATAGCAACGATGTTCCCGCTCAGATTCGCCTGTCCGGACTTGCTGAGCTTCGCGACCTCGAAATACGTCTTGAAGGCCGGCAGGGAGATGACCCCGCCGATGATCCCGCTGCGCAGCGGCGGGGGGTCAGCATCGCGGACAGGAGAGACGCGCGACGACGCACATGTCCCAGCCGTAGAACAGGCTCCCCATGGCTGCCGAGAGCGACAGCAGATAGGCATTCCGGTATTGCGCGAGCTGCAGGTCCGCGCCCATAGTACGACAGTTGTGTGTGGGGTAGAGAATACCTGCACACGGAACCCCGTGGGGTAGGGTCGCCCATCTTTATGGAGTTCGCTAATGACTAGGGCGCCGGATTTCTCGCGTAGAATTTGATGAGGGGTGGTAGCGAGCCCGGCCCGCTTGGTGCCCGGACGGGGAATGACGAACTCGGAGGAGTGCCGATGTTCGAAATCATCACACGAAAGCTTCGAGGGATCGGGTGGGGGTGGGTGTGACGGTGACCTCGTCAATGAAGATCCGGCAACAGCTTGCTGTGCTCGAGAATCTCGAGGACTCGAAGACGTTCGTAAAGTCTAAGCGAAGTTCGATGCCGAGTATATATGTATGCTATGTAGCACTGAGCTCGATTCATGGCTGCAGAGGTACATTCAGCTCCTTCCAGTCGGAATATTCGGGCCGTACGACAGGCTCGGAGGTCGGTCCGAATGAATCAATTATTATTATTATTCTGTGGTGTCCGTGATCATATGATACTGTGTGTTTCCCAGCACACTGGCAGAACTTGATCACATTCGGATAAGGCTGCAGTATGCCAAAGCTGGAGATCATCACATTCGCGATCCAATGGTCCACCAGCAACCAGGATCATAGAAGATGAGAACGGGCTCGGGGCATACGACGAGATGAAACATGTGTCCCCGGTTGTGACTTTCTGCTGAGCACAAAGCGGACAAAGGCCGGTCAGCGACATTGCAAAGCGTGCAGTATGGATCCGTGTCGTGGACTACAGACGAATAGGACGGAGTTCTTTGAGGCTGTCCCATCGAGATTCGAGCGCACTGCCGTGTCGAAGCTTCATTGTTGCTAACCGCCACCGCTCTACTGTCAATGTCTGTGCGCCATAAGTGACTTTGGCATGAATCTTCTTCGCTTGCAAGGGCGCATCAACACATCGAGGACGTGGGAATATGATGCCGTATCGGTGCTGATGATCAGCGATGGCCGTGGCGAGATAGTGAGGAGGGGAGGGAGGAGGGAAGATTGCAAAGCGTACAGCAGGTTTTGAACGAGCCCGGCGAATGCGATACACCATATATAGATGGCCGGTTTCAAGGTGACAGCCCCCCGAAGTAGGTATCTCCCAAGACTGCGCCCGGGATGAGCTCATCGATGAGACATCTGACACGGTTGTTGATCTTTGAGAGGCTTTGAGGTCGGCTTTCTTCCATTGGCGGCATGTTCGTCAACGCCCACAGCCGCCCTCAAGCGCCTGCAACCGAGTGCTCGGTATATTTTCACGCTTGGTCCATCGGGAAAACGGACTGCCGCCGCGGAAGGAGATTAAGCACCTCGGCCGGATTAGCGGATCTCTGACGTCCAGGCTAGATACTTGTGGTTGCATCACCGAATAGCCGCAAACCCGTGGGGGTGTAGTCCGTAGCTGTTCTGGGGTTCCTTGGCCCCGATTCTCCGCAGAAGATGTGGGCGGATGAAAACTCCGATGAACAGTAGTGGAGTAGTGGACTGTCGGCCCTTGACTTGACCGCATGTGGAACTTGGAGACATTCACGCTGTTACAGATTTGATCATCTGATAAGTGTCACAAGGTGATGGATTTCGGACGCCAGCACGCGTTAAGCGCTTGGGGCCACTGTGACCGAGCGGGAACAGAACGAAGTGGAAGGCGGGGAGAGCGATACTGGATATAAGCGGTTCATCCGCGCAGGCGACGGGTGCGTGAGAGCAAGGACGAGCGATGGTCCCAGTGCGGAAAAACAATTGCAAAATTGTCACGGGTTTGGCAGTGTTTGAATCGGCAAGGTCCGGCGTGGTGAAGACGCGACGACGCGCCTTTCTCCCATCCAAGACCTCGATCTCTCTGTGCTACATTCTCGCCGTTCCTCGAGCCAAGCACGAGCACATCGACACATTTCGGGACCCCCTGCCTCACGACGCGCGCAATGGCGACGCCTTCATCCTCGGCCACGTCTGAGTCGTCGCCCACCCTCCCCTTTACGGCCCCTCTCCAGGACCCAGCCAATCCACCCCACGCTTCCGCGCAGGATGTAACCTCCAGAGCCGTTCAAAAGTTCAAGGCAAGAGCAGAGATCTCCAACGTGAGTACTCAGACGCGTCGTGCCGCGCGAGGAGGGGCAGGCTGTGTCGAGGCAACGGTGCTCAGCACCTTGCGGTCGGCTGTCGCGCCGCCACTTCGGTTTACCACCTTTAAAATTAGGTTACTGACTGCCTTATCCCTTTTCAGGTGACGCGGAATTTGCGCGCGCGTCTCTCATATGCATCGTATAAGGCGACTCACAATCTGGCCCATCTCCCTCTCCGCGACATTGAAATGCAGACTGCGCCTCAGGTGCAGCTCTACTCGCGCTCTCTCGCAGCGAAACGCAAAGCAAACTCTACCGCTTATGGCACACCGGGTGCGAACAATTACTACAATAATCCTGCCACCCAAGGTGGAGCATCGCCTGCGCCGACCTATCGCAAGCCGCCTGTGCCGGGGACGTCAATTATGGGTCGGCCCTCGTACTACTATCCGGCGAACAGTCCCGAAACACGTCCGATGACTGCTAGCCTGTTCACGTCCATACTTGCACCGCCGCCGACACAGCCGGCGCGGACGATCCTGAATGCGGCTGACCCCCCAGTAGCGCCACCTGCCAGGCCACCCGCGTCGCCCAGGACGCGCCCCAGTAAGACTGCCTCGCGTTCCCACGACAAGTCGCGCTCTGATCGGAGCCGGGGCGAGAAACCCGAGAAGCGTAAAGCTCGGCGCGCGCAAGACAAGGGCAAACACAAGCAGCGACGGCCCGAGGTCGATGCCGATGGCGATGTAGACATGAAAGCAGCTGCGACTTTGACCTCGCTGTTACTGAATCACCGGCCCTCGCTTGGCAGCCAATCATCCCCACGGTCAAGCATGGACGATTCGGACGTTGATTCGCTGCACTCCTATTCCCAGTTTGCCCAGAGCTCTGCCAGGAATGATGGCGGTGATTCGTTTAGTCCATCCACCAATGTCGCGTCGACATCCGCTGCGGGTGTGCCCAGGTTCCGGCGTGCCAGTGGGACACCGCCTCCGGGTCAGACCTTGTCTCAGACACCAGCAGCGCCGTCTCATGCTGGGACACCTCGGCCGGGCCCGACAGACAACGAGGCTGCGGATCTGATGCTTTTCCTGGCAACGTCGCCTTCCCCAGTTCGAAAAGATGCCCGGGATCATGATGCAGCGGCGTATCGCGCGCTGAATGGTGGCTCTAGAGCCAAGGGGCGTGTGTTATTCCCGAGTGCAGGCAAGCTAGAATCGCCAGAGAAACAGGGTACTGCGCTGGCTCGTGGTGCCGCAGGGGACAGCTTCGTGTCTAGCGTGTCCAGTATCGGCGGTGACGTCCACGGCACACCTTCTGCCGCGGGTTCCAGAACCTCGACACCTGTTCCGCCGGCGAAAGCGATGTCGCCGTCGCCGGCTTCACGCCCAGGAACTCCGGCGGTGGGGCCTGTCCCGGGGTCTCATTTACTTCCTTCGGCTGCATTTCCGGCGTCGGCGGCGCCATTGTCCTCAGCACCGAGCCCCAGAGCGGTCCAGGCGCAGTCGACTGTCGTTGATTTCAACCTAACCGAGTTTCTGCAACCTTCGCCATCTCGGAGCGGCACTCCTCAGACTCTTCAGCAGAAGCCGAGTCTGGGACTGCGCGCCGATATAGGCCGCAAGCTGTTTGAGGAAGAGCAGATGCGTCTTGCGATGAGCAAGCAGGCGGCGGCGAAACCGGATATGAGCATAGACCTGATGCAGAGTTCGGGATGAACTGTGGTGAGGCGGCCTGCGCGTGTTTACTATTTTCCTGATCTGCTCTGTTGTACTCCCGGACGACTCATGTCATGTATCACCAGCCCACGACCATCCATCCATCCATCCATCCATCCATCCACATCCAGGCATCTTAATGTGCGAATCTCGAAATCCGCGCTTTTGTACTATCTTCCTCAGCTGTGTCCCGCATGCGAAGGCGCCGACATAAACGAGTTATGGGCCTCCCTCGGTGTTGGTCGATTCTGCTGCTTTTTCTATCGTCTCTCGTCTCTCTCTATCCAGTCCTCGCGCCATCCACTTAGGATGTCGATTCTCTGTCCATACTATCTTACCATCTCCCACATTACTCCGTTCTCTTTTTGTTTAACGCCGGTTCCATCTAAGTACACTACTTACGAGTCACACGTTACGTTGTTTACGACTGGTCTGTCTGTTTTGTTTACACCAATATCAATGTCTATTAGTTTGAACTTATCGCTAAGCCTTCATTGGGCGACCGAGTCCCAATACCACCGAGGAAGGAACCCGACCCGGTCCTCACCGGCCACCACATCCGCCACGTCTGTCTCATGATCCAACAAGCGCAGCGCGATGCCTGATCGCGGAGTGAAGCTGACCCGCCAGACATCCGTTTTGTTTCCGATGCATCGTTCCTTTAGGAACGAGAGCACCGCATCGCCCCACCGGAGACACGCTGAGGGATCCCACGCGTGAGGCTTGCCGCGGACGAGTCTCGGGATCTCGACGGTCCGGAATGTCTGTGTGGTCAGCACTTCCCCCGATGGAGTTCGAAACCCGACGAGGATTTCCTGGCGGGTCTTCAATGTCAGACACGATCAAGAGGAAAGCACTGTACGGGAACGCCCAGGAGGAAGGATTGCATGTAGAACTTGAGCAGTTTCCTGAGGAAGGATGTCAGTCGAGAACGGGAACAAGATCGCGGAAGCGCTACTTCTCGAATCGCACTTCATCTTGCGCGCCCCGGATCGACATCGACGTTTTGAGCTCGACGAATGTGTCCGTCTTGCCCGTGTACTTGTCTGGATCGCACCTCAGCAGTGATCACTCGCGCTCACTTGCGAACAACTGACCTCTAACACAATCGACTTCTCCCCCTATGACTAGTCTTGTGTTCCCCAGCTTCGTGCGCACGACGCTGCACCACTGCACATTGGTGTCGACGTCCCCACCCCAGCCGACGGGATCATTTGGGCCTTGCGGTGGATTGGGACTATTCCGAGGCGCAGAGGATGTGCAGTAAGACTCGAACGAATAGCCAAAGTATGTCTGCCGCCGCTGTCTCGGGTTGAGGTCATTCCTGAGATGCGAATGGGTCAAGAAATCGAACGATTACTGACAAGTTCACTTACTTTGCCTGGAGACAGGCCTCATCTCTGTGTTCCTCGAGATACAGCACGCCATTGACACACATGACATTCATCAGCCATCCATCCGACTCACGTTCCTCGTACGGTGCTGTCAAAATGCTCTTCCTCGCATCAATATACGGAGAAGAGGAGGGAGAAACCACACATGAACATACCGAGTGAGCACGCCACGCCACGCGACCGCACCGACGCCAGAGCTTAACGCCGGATGTTTCTTGTCCTGGACTGCGGAGAGCGCCCTCAGAAGCCCGTCAATACGCGACCGCGCCTCGGGACGCCGGTTCCACCGGTCGTACCCATGTCCCAACTGGGCTCGGGGCGGTGGCGGTGCGAGGTATCGCAGAGCAGAGTCGTTAAATTCGAGTTCGTGCTGGTCATTGTACGAGAAAGATATCAAGGGTGTGGGCTGTTGGAAAGGAGGACTAGGTCCCGCTGGAGGAGGCGAGCCGGGAGTGAGCAAGGAAGGGTAGGCGAGCTGAACGGAAGGCGCTGTGATTTGCTGTCGCGCAGGAGATGGACCTGTCGGCTTCAACGAAGAGAGCGAAAGTTTCCGTTTAATGGTGCTTGGTTCTGGTACGGCCTCTGGGTCAATCTGCTCGAGAGTTCTTTTCGACATGGAGGGCCAATCCAAGTGTGATACCAGTGTGTATTAGAGGCGATCGGATGTGGTAGAGCGATCCGATCAATCACTTGCTGAAAAGTTGGCTTAGATCTTGCTTGCACTCTCATCCGCCATGTCAACCGCGTCATCAGCCCCCCCGTCCTCGTCCGTGCTCTTCGCGCGAGGCGTGCTCGCCCGCCTCAATACCTGGGAAACGCTGCGGATCGCAGTGCAGGAAGGCTGGGGCGGAGCAGGCGCCGTTCAAAAGCGGACATACCTTGCCTCCGCGATCGTCGACGCGTTCGAAGAGACCGTGCCCACCCCGGACGACCAATATGTCGAAGAGATGATGCTGCAGTACCTTGCTGACGAATACGACACGATGGTCGAAGATGGCAGCGCCGAGCCGGTTGCAGTGGACATCGTTAAAATGTGGGATGCCACGAGGACCGGGAAGGACGAGCTAGTCGTCAAGTTCGAACTCAAGGCAGAGTCTCTCAAGGGGAAAAAGGCAGTGGCCCAGGAGGGCCCGAAAAATGATGACGATGAGTGGGACGACGAGGACGACGAGGGTGATGATGAAGAGGACGATGGGATGGACGTGGACGAGGAAGCGCCACAATTAATCGAACGCAAACGGGAAGAACCTGTTGTCGACGAGGATGGATTTACGCTCGTCAAGGGAAAGAGCAAAAGTCATAGATAGTCAGTCGGTCCCCATTACATCTAATCTTCTCTCCGTTTTCTCAACCTGTGTTCACCGAAGGTCTACAACATCTCTATCTTCGTTCTCATCCATCACAATGTTATGGAGAAAGATCATCTATCGCTTTGGTTGCAGTTGCTTTGCTGTCCGTTCTTCGAAGGGGCCCTCGTTGGCCTATACGAGATTGACTCAATCCTAAACTTCGAGCCACCAGTTTTCGAAACAGTTCGAGTTCGAGAGACTCGGTTTTTACCCCAATCTCTGTAAACCAGACGGCTGGGTACGATTCCGGTTCCGCATGGCCACCATCTGCCACTCGAGATGCAATGTGCTCTTTGAATGGTAAACTCTAGAATTTAGCCGTACACATCTGTGATTTATTCTCCAAGTTTGTTGTCGTCACAAGCACGTCCGATGCTTTCAAATGCAGACGAACAATACGTCGACTGTCGACTTCTGCCGATGGACTCTGGCTTTCGATCCTTGACACAGAGCAAAGGCTCAGGATAGTTCCATTACGAAAGGAAGATGCGCACCGGACTGAAACCAGCTTCTGTCGTTCAAATTCCAGCCATTGGTGATCGTCCACGGGTCTCAAGATTCCTTGGATGATGTACTTCCCCTCAAGGCATCCATTCTGAAGTCGAGCGATGTCAGCGCGGAGCATCACCAGGGGAGAGAGAAAAGGGCACCTGATTTTGAGATCCCTCATCCAGCGTTTCTCTTGCACTGACCCATTGCACGCTGAGCCCTTGAGGGGCACTTTGGCGCATCTCACAGACCAATCGACATATGTCGGCGAATGATATGGGGCTTCCGTTCATGGTGCCAATCAGATCAGGTGCGAAAGTTGCTTCGATGGCCCGGAAGCTCCGGTCATCGGTGGCCGCCTCGAAGATGTCAGAGATGTGGGCTTTGGACCACGCTTCCAAGGAGCTGAGCATGAGATGGCACGTTGGGGTGCATTGCAGACATTATGTGCATATATGCGGGGCGGATACCAGCCGAAGGTTTCAAGTTAGAGGGAGGCTCATCGCATACGTGTATATGTACATGAGCTTGAGCTTGAGGCGGCATTGAATCGATAGAGTGGCCAACAGAATTCAATGAAAGTTGAGGATTACATCCAGGTTGTTAGCTTCCTAGATAATCGCTTCGGTTGCATGTGGTCAACGTGAGAGTAGAAGGAAGGTCACCCGTGACCTAGATCACCAAATGGGGAATCACAAGGGCTCGAGAGCTGAGCGTCTTCTTCTCCGACTATGAATGTCCCTGGAGCCATCATCGGACTCGTAGTCACAGACAACGATGCCCGTCTAGTGAGAGAGACTATTCAGCAGAATAATGAACTCGTTGCCAGGTCTGTAAAGACTATGTTTTACGATCACATCCAGAACGAACCCTCTCCAGTCTCGATGCGGAGATTGCCAAAGCCCAGGCTGCCCTGCAGGAACTTCTGAAACAGCGCACAGAGGCGCACCGACTTCTCTCAAGCAGCGCTGGGCCGTCGGAAACTGAAGCAATGTCTATTCGAAATGTCATCCTCACGAAAGAGGCGCATGTCGCGCGGCTGCAAGGGAAGATCGCTAATGCAGAGGACGAGCTTGAGATCTTGATGCAGAGGCGGGAACGTGATCCAGGGAACGCTGAAGATGCAGGGAGCGTGGATTCAGAAATTGCGCATACACGAGCAATTCTGAACGGACTGGTCGCAGAGCACGCTGAGCAATTCGCAGCGCTAGAAACGCACCGTGCCCTCCTCTCTCCCATTCGCTCTCTTCCTGCAGAAATCCTCAGTGAGATATTCACCCACTGCCTTCCTCGAAACACTTTCCGGCAGCCGTCCGTGCGCAAATCGCCACTGCTCATCTCACGCGTGAGTCGAACCTGGAGAAGTGTTGCATTGAGCACACCAGTCCTCTGGGCCTCCCTTACTATCAAAGTCTCCGTCGACTCCTGTGTCCCGAGCCTTCCCATTGTCGCGACCTGGCTGTCGCGCACGGGCTCGTGCCTGCTTTCGTTTTCCATCACGGAAACCATCCAAAAGGATTACTACGAAGAGGGGATGATCACATCTGCGCGGGTATTGGATCTTTACGCTCCGCACTACCGACGATGGCAGAATGTGCAGCTCGAGTATCAGGATTGGCGAATCGATACTGGCCTTTCCAGGCTGCCCCGTGACGCACCCCCAGGTGTTTTGGAGCGTCTTCATCTCGTGCGGGATTTCTGGCGGACGAACGAGTTCGTTAATGAGCGGACGGAAGAGGAGAAGCAACTCATGTTGCTTCTTTCAGCACCGCGGTTGCGGGAGTGCACCTGGACAAGCAACACCGATCTGAGTGTGTATTGTCCACCATTAGCCCAACTTACGAAGCTCTTTCTTGAGCGGCCCATTTCATCCGAAGAGTTCCTACGTATCCTGCGGGACGGGGTCAACATCGAAGAGGCGCAGTTCTTCGTGCTAACATCTCCAAACACGGATGCAGACCCGCCTGTGTTGCGACACAATCTGATGGTGCTGGAGCTTACGGCAGATCTGTGCGGGCGCTTATTCCACCGCCTGGAACTTCCCCGTCTGCAAAGGCTCTCAATCCGGGGCATTGGCATCATCGCGGCGCCAGTGTGGCCACATGAAGAGTTCATTTCGATCCTTGCCAGGTCCAAATGCTCGATACATGCGCTCTCCTTGGCCGATATGGACATGACGCCTGCCCAAATGGCCGAGTGTCTGCAGCAGGTGTCTCATTCACTATCCTCGCTGACGCTGACCAATGAACGCCGTATGGCACACACCATCATCGACGAGCGCGTGCTAAGTCTTCTCACGTGGAAATGCGATGCCGCCGGCCAAAACATCTGCCCCAATTTGACTTTTCTCAAAATGTGGGATTGCGTCCAAGCGCCGGATGGAGCACTGGCTGACATGATTGAGTCGAGATGGAGGAAGCACGATTCGAATGGTCCCCGAAAGTCTCTGACCATCGCCTTTCTTATGGTCGAGCGCTCAAGCCATCCTCATGATATGCATCGACTCCAGGCGCTGAATGACGAGAGGATGGGAATCAGCTTGTTGTTTAGAAACTAATCTAATCTGCTCATCAATCAAAGTGACTCACCGCACGTGACCGTGATTCGACGCGCTTCCGACGCTTCAGTCTTTCAATAAATAACCCTCTTCCTTTTCACGCCTCATCTTTGACCCACCATGTATCCCACCGAACAAGAACATGCAGTGATTCTCGCTGCCGAGAGAATGATGGAAGAGGTCATGGCGCGCTACGATCCATCACACGACGCATACCACGGTGGGCCGCACTATCCTTCGATGATCTTTCTGCGGCTGATCAATGAAAAGTCCAACGTGTGCGCAAAACCGCACTAGCGATCGCGAGAGCCGTCTCGCCGCAACCGGATCTGCTTGTGGTGGAACTGGGTGGGTCGCGGGGGCACGCACCATGACGCAAGCTGCGACATCGCTGACGCGTCTCCTGCCTCAGCTGCACTCCTGCACGACGTCTTGGACAAGAAGTATGTCCCAGCAGACCAAGCGGCGGACCCATATGCCTTCTTCCTTCCCTTCTTCGAGGATCTGGCCACGCAACACCCGCCCCTCGACCTGGTCAAGGACGGGCGTGCGCGTCTGATTGCCCAGGTCATCGAGCACGTCAGCTGGTCTACCGAGACCAAGCTGCGCAAGAACGGTGGATGGACCGAGTGGCACGACTCGTGTGTCGAACTGCACTGTGAGCAGCGACTTTCGAGGTTCGGAAGACAGAAGCTGATTGACGGTGCCAAGGCGTCCAGGATGCGGATAGATTGGATGCGATTGGGGCTTTCGGTCCTCTCCTCCCTTGTTTCATCCTGCCTTCACTGAATCACGCGGCCCGTCACTCTAGGGATCCTCCGATGTGCCGCATACAGCGCTGCGGTCAACAGGTGTGGGACCGATCTCACCATGTTCTTCCGCGCTGATGCAGCGCCGATTAGCCCGTTGCATGTTCCATCAGACGACTCTAAATTAAAAGCATCCGCTATCCAACATTTCCACGACAAACTCGTCCTGATTAGGGACCGTCTCAAGACGGAGCCTGGGAAAAAACTGGGAGCGAAGAGGCATAGCGTGGTATGTTACAGTGTGCAACTGAATCGCGCCGGAGCTTAACTGACGATGCGTAGATCGTGGCCTTCATCGAGTCGGTAGAAGAAGAGTATCGTCCCGAGCTGGCAGATTTGTGAGACGATGCCATGTGGAATTTCTCCGACCAGTGAGCCACGAATCTTTTTGGATACCTTTCTCTTGTGGGGTCCATCTAATATAGTCAGCATTGAATTTTGCCCTTGGCTTCCAAATTTTCCGAACTCGAAACTGGGCTGAGAAGAGAGTGAATCCACCACCAGAGAACATGTCAGATGTGCACATCAAGAAATTCGGTTGCAACAATCAGCAAAACACCTTATTTGACTGGGCGATTTCGGCCCCATTTCTCAACAAAATCAGTAAAACTCAGTTCTGCAACAGTATTATGAACACCGAGAGAGACCTGTCCGCCAATATTGCAATTATCGGCAAGCGTCACCGGCGACATCATTTTCAAGCAGCGCACACCACTTTTTCTTGCCCTCATTTTTTGCTCGAGCGAAACAACCTGACGACCGCGCCATGAACCGCGCCATTTCCGCCAGTCATATTGAACGCGTGAATCAGATTTCGGCGAGCATCGCCATGTCGACTGTCGAGGCCCTCGATGCCAGTTTCGTGGTGCAAGTCAGTTGGCTCTGGCAAGCCGGGGCCAATGCTCTTCTGAATACCATCCATAGGAAGCCCTGCCGCGCAGGAGATGCTACAGATTGGGGAAAAGCAGCAACCAGGTCATCTGGCCGCCGCACTTGTATGTCCGTCCATTTAATGGCGCTGTCTCGGTCTCACTTGTGCGCGCAGGGACGCTGCTCTTGTCAAAGGTGTTTATCTTGAACATATGCATATCAACGCTCCAACCCGTCGTTCTCCAGGACTGTATGCATATAATGCTGAGCACTGGCGGCAAGAGAGCCAGCGCGAGTCGTGTGATCGGGCCAGCACCGCAAAGAAGAAGAAAAAGATTCCGCGCAACGTCTTTGTGTCCAATATCATTCTCCAAGAGACGAACGAGCTGAGGACTTCGAAGCAAGTTTCGAGCCGGCTGCGTCAAATCCAGGCGAGGGCGAAGGATCAACGAGGTGCGCAGTCGAGCTCCGTCGGGTGGTGGCCCTGACTCTTGGCAGTCGTGGATCTGCTCAACGGACATGCGTTCTACGAGATCCCCGCCCCCGAAGCAGCGATCGCGGAGTCCCCGAGCCCTATCGGCACCGCGCCTATGCAAGTCGCGATCGTGATCGCCGCCCGCAGCGCCCCATTCCCTTCCCAGTGCCCGGCGATCAGTCTGGAGACCAGCACCTCGCAGCAGACGATCGGCCTGCGCACGATGATGCAGTGGCGGCCGTCGACCTACGCGTACCGGGGCATGGACACCTCCGTCGACCTGGTCTCTCGCGTCCGCCTCGCTCCGGAATCGGACATCGCGGTCTTCCGGCACGGCGAGCTGCTCTGGGCCGGATCAATCGTGATTACGCCCGCCGGGAGAGTGTCGGATCTGTGGCGATACGCGTGTGTCCTGTTTCCGCAGCGCAGAGGGATCTGGGAGGCGGCTGTGTGCAAAGCGAGCACCGGTGCGTGTCGATGTCGACTGCGGTCCGGCGTTGCTCGTCTGACTTTTGCGCGCGCGCGTGCTAGGATTGACGATCACGCAGACGGTGTACCGCGAGCCGGGGACGTGGACCGGACCCTACGCCCAGCTTGTGTATGAGTTTCAACCGCAGCCGTCGAGGCGATGCCAGCGGATGGTCAGCTTCGCACCGGGACTGCTTCGCCAGGCGTTGGAGGCGGGGATGATGGCCCCGTCGGTGTGTTATGTTCAGATCAGAGTGGATACACAATTTGGTGACAGCGGTGACCTAGACCCTTCAATTCCGCCCGTACCAGGTCGCTGGAACTCGTCCACAACTCGAGCCGGCGCCGGGACCTGGCTACGTGCTAGTGCGTAACAACAACATGTGTCAGGGACACTGACTGAATGCACAGACCACTGTCGTAAGATCGGAAAACGAAGCCGGGGAAAACCCACCACCCGTTGGGTATCAGGCTGAGCTTGGCTTCGCGCTGGTGCAAGATAATTCCCAGGATCATGCTGTAATTTTCCTGTCTACAGCGCGTAGGATTTACACTCATCAAGCAGCAGAACATCGCCGTCTACGAAGAACGCTATGATTTGCCGTATGTGCAATATCGCGCCAGCTATTGATGCATGATGCGCAAATGTTGAAAATATGAAAATTTGTACATATTGTAATTACGATGCTATTCTATTCGAAGTTTCCTCGGGCCCATCCTCCTTCTTGGCGCGGGCACTCGCGATTTCGACAACGTTGAACTTGTGCAACCGATTATATTCGCGCACAACCGACACACCGCACACGCTCTGGTAAATCGTTGATCAAAATCACACTCGCGATGTACGCCGGCAAACCTTGAACAATTCGACCAAGACGAACACGTCCGGGTTACTGAGGTCGACCGAGTGGCCGTCCGGAACACATTTTGCGATCGCTTCAATCAGCGCGTCACGCGGGATAGTCGTGTGGTTGCGCATCTTGAGCTCGATTTTGTACTGCAACCGGACGACGTCAGGACTCCCCACCCTATGATTTTCCCCGCAGAACTGACCTTCAATTTCTCCTCCTTGAATACGGGCTCGAATAGTTTGCGGCAGACGGCCTCGATTTCGGGCATGTTCGTGACCGAGCTGGCGGAGACGGGGCAGAAGCGGAGGCAGTGGCGCGTGTGCGTGATCCCCGTTTTCGCGACGTCATGCAGGTATCGCATGACGAGCGCGACGGGATCGACCGGTGATTTGCAGGATATGAAGATCACTGCGGGAGGGGATCAATCGGGTGTGGGTCAAGTGAATCAACGGAAGACGACTGACGGCAGGGGGTATTGGTCTGGCAGTTTGCTGCTCGATATGTCAAGACAGATAACGGATCGCGCTGGGAAGTTGATGTTCACCGAACCGTTGTTCCGCTTTCGGTTTCTTCATCGCAGAAACTTCATTCGCGATCTGGGCCTCGATGCTCAGCTCTTCCTCGTCCTCGGCATCATCCGACTTTGTATCCGCAGCGTCTTGTTTCTCGGGCCACATCTCTTCCCCCAGCTGCACAGAAAATCAATACCGGGCCGATTTTAGAGAAGGCGCGGGTTGATTACGGTGTTGAACAGGTCGTATATCTCCCCGACAGCTTGCTTTTCCTTGCCTTTCGCGCCTGAAACAATAAATTTTTTGAACCAAAGATAAAGACAACCCCGGATGCACATACAAGTTACCCAGATCCCCGGTCCGTCAATAAAGCGTTTGCCCCAGATTGGGGTCCCATCCTGCCTGCCGCGTCATCCGGTCGTCTTCTTTCGGAAACACGGCGGTTCACATACAGAGCGGTATTTTTTCTTGCGCCTGTCGCTCCCGCCTTGAGATGCGCTGCTTCGTTTCGTAGCGCCAGACATGGAAGTCGAGATGAGCCAGTCGATCGATGAAAGCCGTGGGAAGATCAACACGTGACTGTTCCATGGCTACAAAAATCTGTCACGTGCGAAGTACAACTTTGAACGAACGCGATATTATTTCGTGCCCCGGGATAAATCTTGCCTGTATGCTGTCGCGTTCAATATTTTTTCACGTGGATCTGAGCAATATGCTACTATTTTATTCTGCTGATCCGACGTGCGTAACAATTCGAGTAGTAGTTGTTACATAAACCGCCAAGCCCGGCGTTCTTCATGGTGCTCCGTAGAAGTGAGACCGCAGCTACTCAAGATTCCAGGGGGACACTTGGAAGGAAGGCTTTCTTTCTTTGGGAAATAAGAGTCATAGGAAACGAGCTGCTGTCTGATGCAGGGCTCGGAATCTCAGCCTCGCCCCGCCGACTGTTCAGGCGCGTGCCTGACTGACTTGCGGGATGAAAGTTGGCCGGCCCAGGTGCTATGTAGATGTCTATCCTATCCAAGCGCGGGGACGGATCACCGACTGGAGAAGACGGATCCCGGAGTCGCGATTGGTTATTACGCACGAAGTCTGAGCCACCTCGCAGTCTCATGGATGTACCATCGGAGGGAGGATCCGATGGAAGCAAGGTGGGAGCGCTGGCTAGTGCACGCGCGAAACGTTATTATGGCTCATGGGACGACTCATGGGCGTGGCCCGAGTCTGCGGACTGGTGAGGCTTGGATGACGCGCCGAGTAGAGAGATAGATGGCATGGCATGATGATCGACGCGAGCTCCGCAGCTGCGCTGCCCCGCCGCGTTCGGGTTGAAGATTACGGCAATCTGGCTGGGAGACTTGCGATGGGAGGCCTGCATCGGACGACCTTTGATCTCGGTGTTATCGATAGGTGGATGGTACGCTGAATCTGCGAGAAGAGCGCCGAGATCTGGAGCGACATAAGTTATCGCTTCCGCCTTGAGATGCACTGCTTCGTTTAGCAGCGCCAGACGTGGAAGTCGATCGATGAAAGCCGTGGAAAGATCAACACGTGACTGTTCCACGGCCACTGAACCCTGTCACGTGCGAAGTGCAACTCATGTTCAAACGAATGCGATATTATTTCGCGCCTCGGGATAAGTATTGCTGCATGCCGTCGTGTTCAATAGGTTTTCACATGTATTTCAGCAATATGCTACCAGGTTATTCTGTTGATCCGACGTGCGTAACAATTCGAGTAGTCGTTACATAAACCCCCATGCCCGGCGTTTTCATGATACCCTAGAGGAGTGAGCTGCAGCCAGGAGTTCGAGAGGACCGTTGGAAGGAAGAGACTCTGTCCTTCAAATAAAAAAATCGTTGCAGTATACGAGCTGCTCACAGATGCGATCCACGAAATCTCGGCCTCGCCTGCCGACTGAGTCACTATGCAGGCGCGTGCCTGACTGACTTACGGGATGAAAGTTGGCCCAGGTGCTAGATGTCTATCCTATCCTATCCAGACCCGAGTACGGATCAGCGACTGCAGAAGACGGATCCCGGAGTAGCGATTGGCTGCATATTACGCACGGAGTCTCGGTCGACGCGCGGGCCCATGACTCAGCCATCGGAATCGGAGGGGAGACCCGATCGGAGGAGAGCGCCGTCCAGTTCCAGGTTGCGCACTGCACGCGCGCGAGGGTTTTACAGCAGGTTTTATGAGTCCGAACGTCATCGGCACGGCGCGGGTCTGCCCTTGGATGCCGTGCCTGGCAGAGAGATAGATGGCATGATGATCGACGTGGGCTGCGCTGTTGCGCTGTTGCCCGGCCACGTTTGGAGTGGAGATCACGGCAATCTGGCTGGGAGAGTGGTCATGCCGTCGGAGGATCAGAGGTCGTCAGATGCGGGCTTGGGTTATCGATAGATGGATCGTGCATTCCCGAGAAGAGTGCCAAGATCTGGAGCGACACAAGCGGTGCCGTCGGCTGCGAGTGCCCACGCTGTGGTTCTTCTTCAGCTGCACCAGGGTTGTCGGAACGCGGGGCAGCGGAAGACGTGCGACGACAGGATACTCACTGACATGGATGTATTTCCGCAGCAGCACCAAGATCGCTGAGCACGTATTTAAGGTTATATATCTGAGCCGGGCAGTGCGTACCCTTGGACTGGGCCTATGCTGTTTCGTTGCCACGGGGAAGCGTGGCCGAGAGGTCAATGTGAGACATGTCGGGTGGTCAAAGTGGTGCTATGTCGTAAAAGGCGCGGATTTAACAGGGGCGTATCGATATCGTTGGGACATACCCGGGCAAAGTAGTCAGGAATTCTGCTCACGCGGCGCAGCCCCAGAGCCGCCCAAACCTTAATCTGCTGGACCCCTTGTGCGATGTTCAGAAATTCAGCAGCAGAGCAGCCGTGAATACAGGCGAAATCTTTGGGTAATGGACGCTCTGAGTGGTAGAAAGGACTCGAGAGCAGAACCAGTTACAAACTTACGGCGAACCCGATCGAGATTGTACTGCCACGCCCCCAAATTTGGACGGTCATCACATTTGATGCATCGTGAAATCACATGAGCCAAGCAGAACCCTCCCCGCAATAGTACTTAACTGCACGCTCTAGCCATGTCTCTCGAAAGTCCGGTTCAGCCGGGATCGCCTCCACTCCCCAAAGCCGACGCACTCACCAGATCCGAAGAGTCCTCGCTCCGCGCCGACTCGCTGCTGTCCAATTCGGAGACCTCGACTTTTCACGCATTTCTCGACAAGATGGACTACGAGCACGGATTCGTCGGCCGGGAGTGGGCCATGTATGCGCAGACCCAGCAGGAGGAGCAGTACCACGATCGAAACGCGCTTGCGAAGGCGACCAAGGACCTCATGGCCCTGGACGCCCCGAACTTTGCAGAGGGACACTCCCAGCAGTCGCACTACTACCAGCCGCCCCCGCAAGCTCCGCAGTACGCGCACAGTCCACATCTCGAGTACGGGCCATCGGGGCACGGACTCGGCGGCCACCAGCGCCAGCCGGTCTTCCCCTTCTTGCAGCAGCAGCAGCAACATTCACAAAACCGGATGTCACATCAGCCGCATCCGCTGAATATGAGTCTCGGCCACCATCCCCACGCACATCCCTCGCAGCACACACCATACACCGCCACGCCGTCGAGCACGTCGGCGTCGACCTCCGCCGCGAGCTACTCCTTTCCCCCCTCCCCGTGTCATCCATCTCCCAAAATCACGTCAAACCCGTCAACCGCGCATCTCTCGGCACATGCCCATGCGCACCACGCGGGCCCGGGGTCGGACCCGGGCGCGCCGTCCGTGGGGGCCAAGCAGCAGCAGCAGCAGCAGCAGCCGCGCGCGCGCGCCCCCGCGCCTGCGGCGAAGCCGACGCTGCTGTCGCCGTCGCAGAAGAAGGCGAACCACATCCAGAGCGAGCAGAAGCGGCGCGCGAACATCCGGCGCGGGTACGAGTCGCTGTGCGAGGTCGTGCCGGCGCTGCGCGATGCGATCCGCGAGGAGGAGATGCTGGTGGGGTCCGGCGCCGCGGGGGGCGCGAAGGGGCGTCGGAAGCGCGGCGGCAAAGCGGATGAGGCTGACAAGCTCGATGGACGGGCCGGGCCGCGCTCAGAGAACGTCGTGCTATCGAAAAGTGCGCGGTGCTGCTACCTACATACTGACAGGGCTGGCTACTGACTCGAGGCTGCAGCGATCGACCACCTGGAGGCTCTGTTGGCGGAGCGCACGGCGCTGGTGAGTCGATTAGAGCGTGCGCGGCTCGCTCTTCCGCCGGGACACCCAGCCCTGGTGCCCACGCCCGGAGCACTGACCGACGTCAACGGGGTGCCAACACCCTTATGGGAACGCGAATGGAAGGGCGGTGCACCCGAAAACGATGGGGACGAGGAGGAGGACGAGGAGGTCGACGACGACTCGTGAGGGAGGCCCTCCTGTGTTGTGTAACTGCTGCTCTGTTGACAAGCTAAACCATTGTATTCTCCGGGCCCGGTTCTCTCTCCTGTAGCCTAATTGACGTACCGCAAACCCATTGTAATAGGATTACTGACGTGTAAATAATCACGAAGACGGCCATGCGGGCGATCTTTCTTCGCCCGTCACGGGGTGCGAAGTGATATTCATAAGTCACAACAGATCGGAACTATCAGATCTCACCGCGCATCGCAGATGCGCACACGATGCGCAGACTGGGGATCCGCGGTCCACTTTAATTTTGATGGCAGCGGTCTCCGCCACGTACTCCTTTGGCTTCCCCACCGCCGATGTTCAAGGATCTCTGCGCACTCGCTTCGGAGGGCCGGCCGTGTGCCCAGACCTGTTGACTGGAATTTTGTTCGACACGCCCCTAACGACGGACGACGACGACGACGACGACGTCCATCGCTTTGCAACTGTTTCGGACGTGGAGATCGACGCGCCACAATTGCAGCTGCGCCACGCGATGTGGCTGTGCCTGTCAATACCACCCTGGGGCGGCTGCTCTTCCGGGGTTTCAAGCTCCGGAGAAGCTGATCTGCACGGGGAGATCCTCTGTTCCACTGGCGACTTGCGCTACCGCAGTCTATGTGTGCACCTGCTGGACAAACACTAGCTCTGGGACGACTGCTACCACTCTTCCCTACCTCCCACCATATGCAGGCTATCTTACTGGGAGACAGTTCCCCGTAGGCGCCCTCTCGGATCGGCAGCTCCCACGCTAGCCTTACAAGGAACGCTCAACACGCCCCACCTCAAAGCATGGACAGAATTCATGAAAAGGGGATCCTATTTGAGAAACGCGTATGTATCGGGCGTACAACATCATCATCAATCACATCATCAAAGTAGCGGTAAGTGGTAGTACATCGTAAGTCGTCGAAATTTCAGGGGTCAGGTCGTGTGCGTAAGAAGATAGATAAGTAAATCGACCCGCCGCCGCTAATATGTACCGCGGAAAGCACGAAAGCAAGAAAGCAAAAGTACACAAAGCAGGGACATAGCAGCGACAGGATAGATAGATAGTCGTGAAACAGAGCAGGACAGACGTCAACGTCGTGAGCATAGAGGTCGGTAAGTTCTTCAAGCATATATCGAGTGGAGCATAGGCGGGATGGAATGGGATGGGATGGTCGCGGTTTCATTCAGATCACATTGACTCTCCGGGAGGCAGGCGTGTTTCCAGGCCGCGCAGACATCGGGCGGCCCTTGGGACGCGGCCGGCTCAGGCGCAGCGACTCGTTCAAGTTCGGGCTCGTCAAGAACGACATCGCGCTCCCCGAGCTCGTATTCGCCACCGCGTTCTCCTTCTGCTCCGTCGACCGCTTCGCCCAGCCCAGCGCAGACCGCCGCGCCGCAGACGCCACGCGCGGTCGCGCAGCCGGCTTCTTGAGCGCAGCAGCAGTCAGCGGCGAGGAGGCCACGTTCATCTCCACGGCCTGCAGCGCAAACCCGCGGTTCAGTTCTTCCGGCGTCGGCCGCGCGCTGATGCTGCCCGTCTTGATCTCAGGCGACATCGGGACGTGATACGGCGACGCCCGGGACTGCGTCCGCGATCTCACCCGCCGCGGTCCAAGCTCGGATGGCAGCGGCCCGTAGGTCTGGACCGAGTGCTGCAGCAGAGCCTGCATCGAGTGCGCGCTCTTCGGAGGTCGGAAGGCTGGTCGTGCGACTTTAGCACGCACACAGAAAGATTCGTAAGCAACTCACACTGCAACGCAAACACAGAAAACGGAGTGTCACTCCAAACCCGCTTGCTCTCAATCACCTCAACCTCCGCCTCGTGCCGCAGCGCATCGTACTTGCGCAGCGCCACAATCCCCCGCTCATCATCCCACGTCGTAGTCATCCCCTCCTCAAACTCAAATGTCGCCGTGTCTGAATCAACCACAGCCACACCCAAGTTCGCAGTCGGGCTGCTCGTCGGCGCCGGACTCGCAGCCCACTCCTCCTCGATAGTCTCGTAACAGAGGCACGTGATTGCGCCATCGAAACGCGGCGGCGGTGCCCCTGGCCACGAGCACGTGCCCTACGTGTCGCGCTCGAAACCGGATGGGTCGTATTGGACAGCATCAAAAGGTGGTTGATCTGAGCCACATCGATGCTCGATTGCGAACCCCCGTCGTCGGAGAGCGACGCAGAGGACAGGGGCGGTGTCTCCGCCCCAGAACTCGATGACGCCGTCGTGATCGTCGACGAGCGAGACCGCGAGCCAGGGCTCGGGCGTGTGAACACCGGAACAGTCGAATACACTAGAAAGCCTCTCGTGAGTGGCCGGATCCCAATCGCATAAGCCACATACCGAGTGAGTTGTCCTCTCCACTGGCAATCAACGCATTTTCCTCCAGGCTCTGTCGCACAAGCAAGCCTTGCTGGGCCCTGATCATCCGCTCGTCGCCAAACTTGGTCGATGAAATCGACGGCTGCGAGATAATCCGGGCCTTGTTCGGCCCGATCGCCTCTGCGTGCTTGCGTTTCTCGACCCGCACGCACGGACTCGCTTCGAACGCGGACCCAATCGAGCTGCGGCGGGCATGGCCTCCACCCAGCATCTGTCCCCAAAGTCAGCACCCACGTCAAAACCGAAAACGACCAAGCAAGAACTCACAGTGATCATGGTGTCATCGTCTCTCGGGCTCTTGTCGCCGCCATTGTGCAGACTGTACAGCGAAAGCGGACGGAATTGATGCGGGGGCAGCAAATGCCCGTTCGGCGGGTGGCGATCATCATACCCAAAAACCGAGTCTTCCGAGATAGACGTCCGCCGCCCAGTCTTGTCAAAGAGCGAATCCTCCTCCTCGATAGACTGCCGTCCACCGTCCATAATCGAGTCGAACACAAACGATCCGGACCGGGGCGACGCCGAGATCGGCTCAAGCGCACTGGACGAGAACTCCATCTGCTGCTCGAACATTTTGTCCCCGACGCCAGGTCGGCCCAATCGCGAGACAGAGTAGTCGCTCATGACCGAGTCGACCGACGGATCAGGCCGGTGCCGAGCCCAGGCAGCCCGCCCGCCGTTGGCGCCGTTCACAGCATAGTGGTGAGCGAGCGAGCTGCCGCTCGTGCTGGTGTCGTTGTCGCTCATCATGCGCTGATGCGTCCGGTTGTAGTTGTAGAAGCTCACTGGCGGCCCACCCTGCTGCGACGACACGCTCAGGTTGGACTCTCGCCGCCGGTGTCCGTACGGCCGAGCTTGCGCTGCCGGGACCGGGAAGTAGAAACTCGACGCATCGCTCGCGACGCGTTTGCGGCGGTGCCCTCTGTCCAAGAACGAGAACGTGTCGTCGACGTTGATGCTCATTGACACGCTCAGATCCTCCGACGACGGCCGTTCCCGCAGACTGGGCATCGCCAGCCCATAGTCGAATGGATCATGCACACCCGGATTAGTCACGTGGCCGTACGACGAAACAGAGGCAATGCTGAACACCGAGTCTTGCTTGAGGTGACGCCGGTTGGCGGCGAAGGACGACGAAGCTGCGGGCGGAGGGAAAAACGCGGGCCGGTTCGCATGACCCTCGAATCCACGTCGCACCTCCTCAAACGAGTCCAGTCCAGTGAAACTCACACCCGAAGGCGGACGCGACATGGTCATCATCGAGAAGCGGTTTGCGACCGACTTGGCCGGAGAGATTTCAGCAGCGTGGGCGAGAATCGACTTGAGCACAGACTCCTCCTCTTCCATGAACGCTGACAGCGAGTGGCTCTCGACGTGAGCAGGGGGCGGGATGATGTCCGACAGCGTCATCTCCTGCTCGATGTCACCCCCAAACTTGAATTGGAAGTTGAGCTGTCCGTCGGACGGACGGAGATTTGCAACGGGACGAACAGGCTGTCGTCGCTGGCGAGGCTGTCCGAGCCTTGGAGGACAGTCGGCTCCCCAAGCTCGACAATCGGCGACGGGTACTGGTCGAGATCCATGCAAGCATCCTCCTCGGTAGCCACCGGTTGCACGACCGGCAACGGCGGGACCGGCGGCGGAGGGGACGGCATTGTCAAAAGCCCGCGCAGGTCGACTTTGGCCGGAGTCTTGAACGCATTCTCCAGCTGCTCGACAAAGCTCAATCGATCCGACCCGCCGGATTCGTTCAACTTCTGCAGCTCGCCCGTAAAGTCGAAGGATTGCTTAGTGTCTTCGTCTTCGTTGTCATCGACAAGCTCGACGTTGAACGATGGAATGATCGGGGATGCAGGCAAGGGCAATGTCGGGGGCAGTCCGGGTGATGGCAGAGTCATGGTCTCTTCGATTGGCGAACTAGACAACAGAACCTGCAGCTCGCCAGGAATATCCGAGTCTGGATCCTCAGCATCCGCATCGGTGTACCCAGAGACATCGGACCCGCCCATTGTGCCAGTCATACCGAGGACGCGCCTGGTTTCTCTCGCCAAAGGCATTCCTGCGGGGGGCGCGGTATCCGAGAGCAGCGAGGATCGATTACGCACATGTCCACGATGAAAGACCGTGGGCAGTCTCTGAACCATTTCAAGCGAGCTCGACGATGAGCGAGATCCGAAAGTCAGCGCAGACGGTGCTCGGGCCTCGATCTCAGCCCGAAGCTCATCGTCAGAGGAAGCCGACGAGATCACGGAAACGGGTTTTGCGGGGAATACGTTGATCCGAGACGGCCTGATCCGAAGCGGCTGCAAAATGGGTCCGGGATCGCGTTCAGGGGACGGCGGGGTCTCGGTGCGTCGATGGGTCCGCCGGAACGATGCAGGGGAAATCTTCTTGCCAACAGAGGGCGGCGTAGCTTCCTTAGGCCATGGCGCAATCTGCTGGCCCAACCGAGCACCGTAGGGCCGCAGGGAAGAAACCGATCCTTCGCTGGCGCGCAGACCCTTGGCCTTGACTGGACTCTCCTGCCATTCTTTGGGGGGAGACATCATGCTGCGCGCGGGGGATGGGGTCGAGTCCAGCTGCATCGTGGTCAGCAGCTGGGCCAGGTCGTTGCTCGCAGCGTCCAGTAACGTCAGCGCGCCTGAAGAACAATCAGAAGGAGAGAAAATCATTTCTGACACACACTCACTACCATCGGGGTCGGTCGACACGGCTCTCGTGCGATGCTTTGTCTGGCCAAGCAGCATCTCATCAGAGATAGGTCTGATCGCACGTTTGACCGGGGTCGCAGACACAATCTCGAAATCATTCTCTGACGCGCTATCGTCCAGCTCTTCATCGTCGTCCCCGTGTCCATGCCCGTCGGTGGTGGCCTCCTCGACCATCAACATGGGGGGCGGGGGCGCGATGCTCGAGGCAGCACTGGAAGATGATCTCCGGGAGCTCATTCCGGGGAACACGTCGCTCAAAGGCGTACGCTTGCGACCTTCGGCAGAGTGTTGGCTGTCCCGACTGCGGACAGATCCAGTGCGCTTCCCGGCAGTCTTCTTCACGCGATCAACGACCTCTTCAGCCCAGCGGATGCTCGAGCTAGAGCTGACACGGGATCCGCCGGAGCTGCTGCTGGACAGCACACTCAGCGGCCGCACACTCGAGTTGGTGCTCACCCGCCGATGAGCGTCATCTGGATGCAGGCTGTCTGCGCTGACTCGGCTCTCAGCGCTCAGGTGGCTTTCTGCACTGACGCGGTTGGGATTGGTCGATGGTGGAACAAACACACTGCTGGCCGTGCTGGCCTTGCCACCAGTGCTGGTGCTGCGCCCGAGAGACAGGGCACTTGGCAGTCCCAAGCCAATTCCAAGCCCAGCACTCTTCGACACAGTCGCGCTCTTGCCAAGTCCGAGTCCAAGGATACTCCGTTTGCGCTGGACCGGCGAAGTGCCGAGTTGCCCGATCTCGAAGCTGCTGCCAGAGCTCTTCGGAGCGCGTTTGGCCTCCTTCACTTTCTTGTCTTCTTTCTTCTTCTCCTTGACCTTCAACTTCTTCTTCGGCAGATCATTCTCGCCGTCTTTCCCTCCCAGTTTCGCCATGCTGCGCATCGCTCGTAGTGCGAACGACCCCTCCTTGTCTTTATCTTTGGGCACCGCGAGCAGTCCCGGAGCCGGCGCCCGGGCCGGTGCACCGAGGAGAATGCCGCTGCTGACTAGAGCCGCGGTCGCGCTTGACTTTTTCTCGCGGGGCGCCGCGTCATAGATGCCCAACGCGCTAGCGCTGCGCGGTGGCGCCTCGTAGACTGCAGCACGAGTCATGGTTGCATATGGGGCAGCCGCACCCGGCAGATGTGCATATTGTGGGTGGGGCACAGCGGCCTGGGCGAGCAGTGCAGCACTCCCAGCACTGACACTACGCTGGTAATCCGGACGTGGCTGAGGAGCAAGTGAGCTTGAGGCTCCGAGCGAATTGAAACGTTTGGCAGTCGGAAACACGGGAGTTGGTGGCAGATCTAGAATTCAAGATCAGTCGTTTAGTAGCTCAGTTGCGGATATAGTACCTTTCTGGACACCGTGTCCGCGTAAGCTGGGAACTTCTACCATATCCACCGTGCAATCGGGTTCTCCGGGCAAATGCATCTGGAAAGCATTTTGAGAAACAGGAGCCTGGGGTGCAGGCTCCAAAAACGGGCTGGAAGCACGAGATGGACCTGGAGCTAGAGCAGAAGATGAGCAAAGGCACTATATCATGCTGTAATGCGCATACATTTTCCCCTCCGAACGAAGCTGAGCACACCGCCCTCCTTCACGGTAGTATCTTTGCGCCCACGGGCAGTAAGATTCCACCACTTCTCTTTCCCCTCCTTCTCCTTCTCCTTGATGCCCTCAACAGCAGGCGAGGCAGGTCGCGTCAAATTGGTTACATCCCCGAAAACCGCATCGACCCGGCCGCGCGCCTTCACCTTCTTCTTGAGCAGCACCATCCCCTCGCCTTCATTCGCAGCTTGCGCCGCACGCGCCGTACCGCTCCGAATCGTGCCTTCGCTCGCGTCGACATGCACCTCCCATCCCCGGCCGGACGACGACGCGCCCACGCGCCGCACGATGTCGCTGAAGTCCCCGCCAGTACCCGTACTGGGGGCGACTGTCGCGGCGGAGAACAGCCCATGCAGGGACTTCTTGCGGGCGGGGCCGACCGAGGACGAAGAAAAGGAGGAGGACATGTCGGTGTACGCAGACGCGTCTGGGGTGGGCGCGACGAGGCGGATCGTCGGCGCGTGTGTGTATCCGCGCGCCGTCGTCGTGGTCGTTGTTGTTGTTGTCGATGTCATTTCGCGTTACCGTGGATGTCGTTCGTAATGGTGATGATGTATGTATGTGGTCTTTTATGCGTATGTCGGTTCGTATGTGAGAGAGCAAACGCGTTAGCTCTGTCAGATTTCTGGCGGCCGATGACCGTGAGCACGCAGGCGGGACGTGCAGATAGTATGTGATACTCACCAGGAGACAAAAATGGACTTTCCTTCAGATGAGGTCGTAGTCGTCAGATGTCGTAGAGGTCGGTCGGTCAGTATCTTCGCGTTAATGGGATGGTGTTTTTCTGCAGGGGATGCCCAGAATCAGTATCCGTGCCGTGGTATCTGATATGGCTACAAGCACGCGTACCTTAGTTGTTTTCTGCTCCAGCTTCAAGGTCTAGGACGCCTGCCTGACGAGGGTCGAGGGCAACGACGACGACGTGGCTGTGCCCGCGTATTCAAACATGATCACGTGTCCGTGCTCTTCACATTTCATTCCGCCCTGATCGCGTAATTTGATATGCCTTATTCTCCATCTGAGTGGTTTTTCTGTCTGCTTTGTGCTTACGCGGGTCAGGGTAGGTCAGGCTGCCATAGCGATTGATTTTGCTAGCCGGTACACTCTGCGATTGCGCCCGGATCGTCTGCAGTCAGGAAGGCCACACTCGTCACCTATATCTAGCCGAGATACTTGGTCCTTCGACCGAATAGGCCACACAGTGACGCACGAATCAGATTAGTGTCTTGCCAGCACTTTCTTCTTCTCCGTGTCCCTCATCAATCGTACAAGTACAACATCGTTCCCGTGTCTGTCTTCATGCCAGCCAATGGTCAGACGCTCCGCTGATTAAAAATCTCACCCCATGCACTAGTCCGACTCCCAACCTACTTCAAGCGGCGCGATGGGAGCTGGCGCATCTGCATTGGACATTCGCACTCGAATACCAAATTGGCTGGGCTCTCGTTCTCCCTCTAGTTCCATCATCTTGGGGTCGTCCTCTCGCTCGTGTCTGACTCGCTTGTGCTTATCGCGATGTCGCATTCTGCGAACTCCGACTCGGATATCTGTCCCCCTCAGATCTATGAGGCCGCCACTCGCTGCAAGCAATGTTTGCCGACGAACAATGCGAGCAAAATGCAGCAGCAGGACACGAGCATGGTGAAGCTTCGGAGCCTGTCGTCACGGAGCCTGCCCTCCCTTCGGAAACTCAAAAAGCGAACTCAAAAGCGACGAGAAGCTCGAGAAGAAGCTCAGACAAGCTATAGCCGCTGCGTAGAATGTGCCGTACACAAGCAACGTGTACGTTGTCGCTGCAAATGGCTGTGCGTGCATCCGAAGTCGCCGTCGGAACACTCTGTGCATGGACACTGTCCATCTAATCGCGGCCTGCTGACGGTTGCTACCACTTCTTCGACCGTGCCAACGCCTTGGGCACGGCTCACCGCTGCTCGGCCATTTTCGGGCCTCAATAACTCTGCGAGCCGCTCGAATGCCGTGGCATCGGGCTTGTGAGTGTCTCCACCGAGGACGAAACATGGAAGACGGTTGATACTCCGTGCGGAGATGTTTAAGATGAATGTCTACGGGTCTGTCACTCGTTGTAATGTGACCAGAGACTGACTGGTCAATTTCAGGGCCAGGTTCGCTCGTAAGCATGCGATACCATGCTTCCACGGTCGCCACTGCTCCCATTGTCGCATTTATCGTGTCCGATGGCGTTCTAACCCATGCTATGATGTATTGTAAAGCGGATAGAGAACGACTGCAACGCATGATCTCTGTTCCCCTGCAGTCCTCGACCGCGAAGGACATGCGACAAGAAGGCGGCCCAGACACCTTTGAGCACAGGCTTTCAGATCAGCCGATCCACAGTTTGTGCTGTCTCATCACCCCTGCTCTCTTTCCCGCACACTAAGCTGACAAGTGGGATGCATACGCCATGGCTGCGCAGAGGCTTGGCTCGTTTACTGTCCAGCCCTAGATACGCCAATTCAGAGACGTTCACGCCCGGGGCAATCATGCGTTGCTCGAGCACGCTCGCTCATGGTCCTTCCGCTCGATAGTCGCGAATCATTTCGCAGAGAGCAGCTGTACCAACTATGTAGTGCTAGGCGGAATCATCTGAAAGGGGAGGAAAGAACAACCATTTCAGAGCAGCATTGCAGTGATATCTCATATGTACACATCGATACCGACCAACCAGAGTCTTAAGTCGAGACATATGCACCAGAACCGCCTTCTACTTGAGTACAAGTGTCCAAGTCACTGGCTCGTATGCCCCGTGGCTGTGCCCGTCTGACAGGGGTGACAATCAGTGGACCGCCGGCAATTGGCCTACGACGACAATGAGCGACGAGGTGGTTATTCCAGGAAGCAAGAAACGGCGGCTACGCGGCTCATGTGACATCTGCAAACGGCGCAAAAGTGAGCACACACACCCCGTCACACCGTGCGCCGACTGTGCTCACGCGCAGCTGGTGGTGGTCTACAGTCCGATGTGCGTGCGCGTGTCATTCCCCGGCATCAGCATTTCGGCCCTTGATTCTGAAGTTGATGCATCTGGATTCACAGGCGACAGCGCTGAGATGCCCGGCGGACGGTGCTCGAACTGCATAGCGTTCAATTCGGAGTGCACCCACGACAATGCTAAACGCAAGGTAAGCTAAGCGGGCGCTCCGCAGTCGCCGACGCGAGGGCCTGATTCCCCGTTCTAGACTGTTCCAGGGAAGAACCCCCTGCAAGAGGTGCGCAGCCGACTCTCTCTCGTTCATGTCTCAATTCACGCCCGATCCGTGCAGAACGCGGCGCTCATGAACCGCTCGCCGGAGGAACATGTCGCGGCGATCATCCAGCACACCACCGGCTACATCAAGGACGAGGATGTCCGGCGTGTGCTGCTGAATGTGGCGCACTACGCCCGGGGACTCGAGAGGGACCTCGAGAACCAGGGAGCATCGCCGAGCAATCCGTCCTTGACACCGCCACCAGCGGACTTCACCGCAGCTGAGGGCTCGCAGGCCATCATCTTGAAGCAAGAGGAGGAGGAACCGTCCGTGGACGGCGTGCTCACCGAACGCTTTGAGCGATTCACGCTCGACACGGACGCCAATCGGTATTTTGGCAAGTCGAGCCACTACCAATTGATCGATACGGCGATCAACGTTTCCGAGATGTGCGTGAGAGACAACCCGAAGGCTTCGAACACGCTGCCTCCGGTCAAGCGCTCGCAATTCTGGGACAGCCAGGTTCGTGCCTTCTGATGTCCGTAGTCGTCTTCATGGATTCGAGGCCCGCAGTGGGAACACGAGGATATCTTTCGCGAAGACGAACGACCCCCGCTGCTGTTCCCCGAGCCCGACCTCATGCACCAGCTCATCTCCATCTATTTTCTCCGCATCAACACCACGCTGGGCCTGATACACCGGCCCACCTTCGAGCGGTCCTTCGCCCTGGGGCTCCATCTCAGCGACTTCCACTTCGGCTCGGTCGTGCTCGCGATCTGCGCCCTGGCCTCCAAGTACACGGACGACCCCCGCGTGCTGTACCCCGGCGCAGACTCGCTGCTGAGCTCCGGGTGGATATATTTCCGGCAAATCCGGCCGACGCGCAGCTCCGCGCGGCGGGCGATCAATCTGTATGAAGCGCAAACCATTTGTGTCAGTTTCCTCGTGATGTGTCGTTTACTTGATGCTTGAGTGGCTGATCGCCCTTTAGTTGTATGTAATTTACTCGCAAGGATCCTCGACGCCCGAAACGTGCTGGGACCTCGCGGGACTCGCGATCCGCTACGCGCAAGACGTGGGAATACACCGGCGAAATAGGTTTGAGGATAAATTCCTCGATGAGCAGTGGAAACGCGTTTTCTGTGCGTCGCACTCTTATCAGTCGATCTTCTCTGGGAATATGCCGATCAAAACCAACAGGGGTCTTCTTGGCGATGGACGCTTTGTGCAGTAATTACTGGGGACGGCCGCGAGCAACGACTATATCCGAGTGCGTTTTTTGCATGCGTTTTTGGGGATTTATTTTATTGATCTCTTTAGTTACGACCTAGATTACCCAGTAGAATGTGACGACGATTACTGGGACTCGGATCCTGGCGCATCTTTCCAACAACCCCCGGGAAAACTGACCTACATGTCATATGTCATTGCTTATGTCAAACTGCTAGAAATTCTCGGAGAAGCCCAGAACACCATAGTACGTTATTGTACATTCATGGGAAGATAAGGTCACTGATGATTTTTTGCAGTACCTTGTCAAATCCAAAGCGAAGAGCGCACAGGCCGTCAAGGACACGGTCGCAAATTTGGAGTTCGTATCTTAGTTTGAGTGATTCCATAACTGACATATCATATAGTTCTTCACTGAACAAATGGGTTGCAAATGTCCCGGAGCACTGTCAGCATTTCCACGCCACGCTCTTGTTTCTGTCTGACCCTTTTCTCAGTGCGCTGGGATCCAAAAATGGAAGACCCTCTGTTCTCTGTCCAGAGTGCGATCCTGCACATCTCATATTATCACAGTCAGTGATCGGCTCAGGCAGGCCAATGAGGCAACTCGCTGACCGGATAGATAGTCCAGATCCAAGTCCACCGCATTTTCGTGGTCATCCCTCGGGTGGTCAAGACGATGTCGAGCGACCAATGCAATCGATTTTCATGGGTGCGTCTCACGCCATGTTCGTGTCTTCGTCCATCGCTCAACCAAACACAGCACTCGCCTTCTCTCGTCATCTGCATCAACGCCGCCCGGGCGTGCGGCCATATCGCTGAAATAGCCGTCAAGAAAGGCATGGGCGCACATCCTCACGTGCTGGTTGGTTTCGTTCGGTTTTACATTGTGCCGCTGTAACTGACGGTGCGCGCAGTTTGCGGTCTTCGACAGCTGTGTTCTCCTCCTCATGGCTCTCTGGGCCGGGAGAAACGTTGGGCTGACGGTCGACTATGCGAAGATGATGCGGGATGTGGATATTTGTCTGAGTGTGCTCAAGACGTTAGAAGAACAGTGCGTGCCACTCCTCCTTTCTGGTCACGTGTGCAGTGGTTCAATATTCTCAGATGGCACTTGGCAGGCCGTGAACGGTGTGCTCTCAAGACAGGATACTCACAACACAACTAACTCGAGGCCAGGGACATCATCTGCGAACTGATGATCGCCGCCAACATGGACACAAGTTTACTGCGCAATCTTCCGCGCCCGATCAACGACATGCACACCCCTGGCATGTCCTCCGCATCGTCCGGTTCGAGCCAGGAATCCAGTCCGCTCAGTGTTCCGGCCGGGGAGCCGATGTACCCAGAGCTGGACCTCCCTTTGTACACACAGGATCTGCAGAAGCCGCCGCTGTATGATGCGTTTTCTTGGACTGACTTTATGGACGCGACGGAGCGCGGCGTGGGCTCGATGAACGCTGCACCGGCGTTTTTTTCCGGTGGATATGGTATGTGCCACACGATATCTGCTTTTTGTTTTTTTTGCTCGTGCTGATATGTAAGGACAAGATGCTGGGCTCGCCGAGATGGATATGTTCGCCGGCCCGCCCAGCGGTTCCAAGTAAGTTCCCTTTTTCATTTATCTTGGTGGATAGAAATTTGATTTTTTTCATAGCTGGGGAGATTGGAATCGATATATCTCGAATGTCGAGCAGATGATGGGTTCGGGACCGGCGTGGAACACGGGCGGGATGGACCCTTCACATTTGTAATGCGGTGGTCACTCGTGGATCATGGAACTTGAGAATTTTTCAAGTGTTTGACATTACTCACTTTATGTATCTTTACTCGAATCTGTTATGCATATAAATCTCGCTGTGTCGAAGTGCTTATTTCACCTACTGTAATCTGCGAGTATCAGCATTGATAAATTGATGCGTTGCATCACCGGGCGACGATCTCAGCATTTATCGAAGTTATTCAAGTTTTGCGGCCCCGAGCCCAAGTCTCGGATAGGACATAGGTCCTAAGTAGGTTTCTTCGATCTATGGCCAGAATTATTTTTCAATAGATGTGGATAGCCAGTGAATAATTGGCACTGTGCTGATACACTGTTCCTGGCTAGCGCCTATCTGCTCACCGTTGCGTCTGCGTAAGAAAAAATGATTTTATAAGCGTTCTGAGAACGAGAGGAAGGCAAAGCCCCGCTTTTCGATCAACTTCAACCGCACAGATGTGGCAGTGCGCTGCGATCATCAAGTTCCTCTGCGGCAACCTCCCACCACCGCCGCCGCGTCTTTACCGTCTACCACGATGGGTGACCTCGTCGACTCGATGCTAGACCTCATGCGTCGCCTCCCCCCCAAACGGACCGAGGAGAACGTCGCTGCTCTGATTGCGATATGTCCTGACTACGCCGACGATCTGCTGGGGAGCGTGGACCAGCCCCTGAAGCTGCGCACGGATCGCGCGACTGGGAAGGAGTACCTCGCGTGTGACTACAATCGAGATGGGGAGAGCTATAGGTGGGTCGCCTTTTCGGTCGCTTGAGAGGCATGCTGGGGTAGTCGGTCTCCCATCGCGGCATGTTCCCCACCACCGCGGATGAGGAGGATGCAGGCCGATCTTCCCAGAGGATGGGATATTATATCTGCGTTTGAGACGTTCCGCTGCGCGTGAATTGCTGATACTCTTCAGGTCACCGTGGTCGAATGAGTACGATCCACCTCTGGATGATGGCACAGTTCCTACCCCGAAACTGCGCAAGTTGGAGATTGCCGCGAACGAAGCATTCGACACGTATCGCGAACTGTGCGTGCCGCACGATGTAGCCTCCGTGCTCTTCTCACCTCCCGGCGTATCAGGTACTACGAAGGCGGCGCCTCCTCCGTGTATCTATGGGATCTGGACGACGGCGGTTTCGCCGGAGTGGTGCTGCTGAAGAAAAGTGCGTCTGTGTCGCTTCTATCCTGTGTCATACGTCGCCTCACCGTCCGACTCGCACAGCGATGACGCCGACCGCAGCACACGAACCTTCCGGTTCCTGGGACTCGATTCACGTGTTCGAAACCGCCGAGCGCGGTCGACAGGCACACTACAAGCTGACGTCGACAATAATGCTGCACCTTGTGACGCGCAAGGGATCCGACGCCGAGGGTCAGGAGAAGGCCGGAATGAAGGGCGCCGCTTCGACGTCAGAGCACCAGGGCGAAGTCGATCTCAGTGGGAGCATGACCCGGCAGGTGCGCGCCCGTTGCCTCTATCCTCGCCGTCCGAGCGATGGCTGAGCTGGTTTGCCAGACCGAACAGGACTGGCCGATCCAAGATTCCACCTCGCACATCACGAACACGGGGCGGATGATCGAAGACATGGAGATCAAGATGCGCAATCTGCTCCAGGAGGTGCGTGTTCCGTCTCTCTCTGCATGTATGTTTCCTGCGGCCAACCTCGCGCGATAGGTGTATTTCGGTAAAACGAGAGATATCGTGTACGACTTGCGGAGCGTCGATGACTTGGAGCAGGCCCGTCGGCAGAAAGAGCTGCAGAAGGAACTGGTGGGCTTCATCAAACGGTAATTTACTGTATTTGTTTACGCCTTGGTCCCACCAACATGTATGGATTGCTTGGGATATGGAGAAATACATCTCCCAGAAATATCCGGCAGCGTGAGACTGGTTTGGGAGGAGATAAAATACAGAACTATGTATGGGCAGATCGGCTGTTATCTCCTTAGCTCAGCATCTGCGATTGGATTCGCGTGAATGGTAACCTGCATGCGCAGATGAGCCCTCTCGATCTATGAAGCCAGCGAGCACACGCACATGAGTGAGTTTGTATTCATTCAATGGTCTGTTCTTCGCATTCACGGGAACGCGTTCCATCGCATCCAACGTCGTGTCTGCACCGTCGATGACCTTGCCGAAGATGGTGTACTTTCCATCGAGGTGCGCTTGCTTCGAGTATGTCAGGAAGAACTGTGACTTGTTCGTGTCGGGCCCGGAATTGGCCATGGCGACCAGGCCGCGTCCGTTGAACTGCATACAATGCATGCGCGCGTGAGATCTAATCGGAACGAGGCCGCATGTTCATTGGCTGACCTTCAAGGTGGTTCGAATCTCGTCAGCGAATGGCTTGCCCCAGATGCTCTGGCCGCCTTTGCCTGATCCAGTCGGGTCACCGGTCTGTGTCATGAATCCCTTGATGTTCCGGTGGAAGATGCACCCGTCATAGTAATTCGACGCGCAGAGGGCAAGGAAGTTCTAGCCCAGCTGTGAGAGAGCCATCATCACTGCGGAAAATGTTGGCACTTCGGCAGTTTTGGGGACTGTTTCGCAAAATACTTCGATCTAAGCTTTGTGTTTGAGCTCTATTGGAAACTTCAATGTTACATCGTGCGCGACCTTCACATCTCCCAGAGTGGTATGAAGAGTGACAGACTGAAAACACGAATGCAGTCAGTCTACAGCGGGGAAATTCAGGAGGAGACCGGGACCATTGTAAAACGGACCCGAGGATGGATGGAGGACTTGGCAAGAATCGAAGTTCTACGTGACGTGACGAAACAAGTGACCCGCGCAGTTTGACGGTCACGTTGTATAAATTGACATTGCTGAAGCGACGACCACCAACGAAATGCGAACGCCCTCGCTCTACAGCACGGAATCCACTGTCGATCCCATTTCTCAGGTCCTACGCGCGACGCATGCCGCCGAGACCCCGGACGAACGCCGACTGCGTCTTGATGCCGAGTTAGAGGCAAAGCGGGTCAGTGAGGCGATAGATGAAGAGCTCAGACAAGAGCGTGAGAGGCTGCGTCGTTCGCGAGGCGATGTCAAGGTCTGTACACGCTCATTGCCTCAAAACACGTATATTCACGCTTTATGGCTGGTTCTTCTAGCTACTGCTACTTGGTCAAGGTGTGTAGACATACTTTCCCACAAATCATGCCTCGTCACTGATATATATATGCTTCGCACAGCTGAGAGCGGCAAGAGCACCCTCCAGAAGCAGTTTCAACTCATGTATAAACCCAATTCTATCGATCAGGAACGTTCGTCGTGGCGCACAGTCATCTACTTCAACGTCGTCCATTCGTTAAAGCACATTCTATCTACGCTGGAATCTTGGGACGATTCTTTCGACGAAGATCCACATATACCCCAGCCATCAGGCTATTACGACCAGCCTTCTTCATCTTCTCATGGGCTGCCGCCTGTTCCAACACGAGCCCCATCCCGACCCGACAGCCCGTCACAGGGCCCCCGATCCAACCGCATTGCGTCTCTTCGCCAGCGCCTTACACCGCTTTTGACCACGGATCAACTGCTTGCCGACCGTCTCAGCGGCGGAATCAACGTTTCCGGCTCCGGCAAAGGCGCTGTGTTCGTGCGCAGTGGATGGCAGGCGCGCACCGAGGAGAAGGCGCGCGGCAGGGAGGACCCTTATGAAGACCAGCGCCGCGGGCGAGAAGGATACGTTTCCCGGGAAGACGACGAGCTGTTACAGGAAGTCGCGCGACTGATGTACATGCTGAAAGACGACATACGAGAGCTGTGGTCTCATCCGACAGTCAAGGGATTGATCATGAAACGGAAACTCAAGCTCGACGAATGGTCCGAATTGTACGCTGAACGTCTTCTCGTTGTTGAAGGCTCTGATGGATCCGCATATAGCTTCCTCAGGGATATTTCTCGCATCGCAGCCTCTGAATATGTCCCAACGACTGGTCAGTGCCTTGGCTGTCACTGGCGAGGCGCATATACTCATGCCTCCTTCCCTGTAGATGACATCCTTCATGCTCGAGTTCAGACGATGGGCGTTGCCGAGCATATATTCGATGTTGACATTCACGGCAAGTCCGTGACCTGGCATTTGTTCGACGTGGGAGGCGCGAGAGGCCAACGGCACTCATGGGTATCCATCTATTCTCTGCCCCACGGGCCACCAGTGTATGGCCACGCTCACACGTTTCCCAGATACCGTACTTCGATACTGCAAACGCCATCATTTTCGTATGTTCCATCGGCTTGGTTTCCTGCTTCTGACCGAATCTTTATCAGGTCACTCCGGTTAGCGCATTTGACCAGGTCTGACGTAATCTATCATGACTTGCATCTGCGCTAACTTTCGGATAGTACCTGGAAGAAGATCCACGAACAAATCGGATCGACGACTCCCTGCAGCTCTTCACGCAAGTCTGCTCCAACTCCTTGCTGAAAAGTGTCCACCTCGTCCTTTTTCTAAGTGAGGTTCCATCTAGGTTTGCTGTTGGCTCTAACTCTTCTATTTGTAGACAAGACCGACCTTTTGAAAGCTAAGCTGGACAATGGACTGCGCGTTGCCAAGTAGTGCGTGACCCTTCATATCTGCGATCTATCCAACTAAAGTCTGATTAGCATCACCTCATTCGGGGAACGCAAAAACGACTACGAGACCGTAGTGCAGTACTTCCGAGCGCATTTTCTGCAGGTTCATCGCCGCAACAATGAGAACCGGCGTGTGCTGTACACTCATTTCACCAGTGTGGTGGTGCGTTCACTGTTACTTCCCTACCAGCTAGTCGATGATCTCAACTGTCTTAGGACACGAAAGCGACCCATCGCATTATCGCCAACGGTACGAATGAAATACATATATAGATCGCGACTGATTGCATTTTTGTCCAGTGCGAGATTCGATCTTCCGTGGCTATCTGCAGTCCGCCGCGCTCGTGTAAGGTCACTCTCGATTCCTCTTGCCATCCACGGTTTCGCCTCCTACCTTATGCCTTAACGTAATGCCCCGCTCGTCTTGATCGTTTCTTCCATGCCAGCACGTCCTCACTCCGATGGAGCCAGTCGAACTGATAGCTTCATTCTCATCAACGCATTGTACATGTACATCCAACTGCTATCCCGAACTCTCGCTGCCCTTGCCTATGTTGTTGTTACAATCCATCGCACTCATTCAATGATGGCTCCTTTTGCTGTACCGCTTGTTCCTGGGTGAATAGAGTTGTTTACTGATCAAGCTCGGACACACGCGCGCGATTGTTGGGAGATTAGATCTTTTCAATGTCACATCGAGTCACGCATCCCCCTTTTCAAAGTTTTTCGTCCTTGACGCGACGCGGGACGAGCGGAGGTATTGGCTTGCCGTCCATCCTATTCTCAGCCTTTCTCATTCTTCTCGGCCCAGGATGCTGATCCTTCCTGGTCTCTCGGTCTTTTCGGAGCCCAAACGCGATGCGTGCCTGAAAGCGATCCAACAGCAATGTCCCGCCGTGCTCTCTCTGGACACGATCTACATCCATCTCATCAAATGCACGTCTCCTGAAGCCGAAGCTACTTTGAGGAACGCGGGGTCGGATGCACGATCAGCGTTGGATCGATTGCTGTCGTACGGGGACGATGTCAAGCTGGAAGGCACGGATCGCACAGTTCAAAATGCTGACAAGAACGTCGTGTTCGTCACACCCCGGGCTGGATCCATCTCCCCCTGGTCGAGCAAGGCCACGGACATTGCGGCGATCTGTAACCTCCGCCCGCTCGTGGAGCGACTCGAGCGCGGGATGGCCTTCGTTTTCACGATGGCAGACGGCCGGACCTTGGCGGACGACGATCTACGTGGGTTTTCGTCCCTGATCCACGACCGCATGACCCAAGTCGCGCTTCTCTCGCCGCCGAGCGAAAGTGTCGTGTTCAGCCACCACGAACCCAAGCCTCTGCGCGTCATCGAGCTGTCGGGCAGCGCCAATGCGAAGGAGACGCTTGTCTCGGCGAATCGGGAATTGGGGCTTGCCCTCGCGGCGGACGAGATGGACTACCTGGTCGATGCCTACGCGGGTGAAGCGCGTAACCCGACGGATGCGGAGTTGTTCATGTTCGCGCAAGTCAATTCGGAGCACTGCCGACACAAGATATTCAACGCGAGTTGGACCATTGATAACCAAGCCATGGACTCGTCCCTCTTCCAGATGATCCGGAATACCGAGAAGCTCAATGGATCCAACACTATCTCTGCCTACTCGGATAACGCTGCGGTCCTCGAGGGTCATCTGGCTCCCCGTTTCGGAGTCGACCCCAACAACAAAAACGCGTACCAAGCTCACGTCGAAGACATGCCGATCCTCATCAAAGTCGAGACCCACAACCATCCCACCGCCGTCTCGCCCTTTCCCGGCGCTGCCACCGGCTCTGGTGGCGAGATTCGCGACGAAGGCGCGGTCGGGCGGGGTTCCAAACCCAAAGCCGGGCTCTCAGGCTTCACGGTCTCGAATCTGCTCATCCCGGGCTTCGAACAGCCTTGGGAAACCGATTTCGGGCGCCCAGGTCACATCGCCTCCGCACTGGACATCATGATCGAGGGGCCGTTGGGCGCTGCGGCGTTTAACAACGAATTTGGGCGTCCTGCACTGGCAGGCTACTTCCGAACTTTTTCGGAGCGGCTCCCGGGTGGTGAGGTCCGCGGGTACCACAAACCGATTATGATTGCCGGGGGATACGGCAATGTTCGGACGCAGTTTGCCAAGAAGCAACAGATCAGTCCTGGCGCGAAACTTATCGTCCTTGGAGGACCCGGACTGCTGATCGGTCTGGGAGGCGGTGCTGCCTCGAGCCAGGTGTCTGGAGCTGGCAGTGCTGAGCTCGACTTTGCGTCTGTCCAGCGAGACAACGCTGAGATGCAGCGTCGGTGCCAGCAGGTCATCGATTCGTGCGTCAATCTCGGTGACGAGAGCCCGATTGAAAGCATCCACGATGTCGGGGCCGGCGGACTGTCGAACGCGTTGCCTGAGCTGGTGCATGATTGTGGGCTTGGCGCCACGTTCGAGATTCGCGACGTCCTGGTTGCCGATTCGTCAATGTCGCCGATGGAAATCTGGTGCAACGAGAGCCAGGAACGGTATGTGTTGGCGATCTCCCCAGCCAAAGCGGCCGCCTTCGAGGCTATTGCACACAGAGAACGCTGCCCCTTCTCGATTGTGGGTGTTGCCACGGCCGAGGAGGAGCTGATCGTCACCGACCGGCTTCTGTCGCAAGACGTTATCCGCCTGAAGATGTCGACGCTCTTTGGGAAACCACCGAAAATGTCGCGCGTGGCGACGACCGTGACCCCCACTCGCGTCGAATTCGACCTGACGCTGTCGTCGTACCTCCCTTCGTCCTCGGACCGACTTTCAGACGCCATCCAGCGCGTCCTCCGCCTCCCCTCGGTCGGGTCTAAGTCGTTCCTGATCACCATCGGCGACCGGTCTGTAACCGGGCTCGTCACGCGAGACCAGATGGTCGGCCCGTGGCAGGTGCCCGTCGCGGATGTGGCTGTGACGCGCTCGACGTACGGGTTCGACGTCGTCTGCGGCGAAGCCATGGCGATGGGCGAGCGCACGCCACTGGCTCTGCTCAGCGCGGCGTCCTCGGCCCGGATCGCCGTGGCCGAGTCGCTGACCAATCTCGCTGCCGCCTGCGTCGGCGATCTCTCGCGTGTCAAGCTCAGCGCGAACTGGATGTGTGCGGCGTCCGAGGCTGGGGAGGGCGCGGGCCTCTATGCGGCTGTGCAGGCCGTGGGGATGGATCTGTGTCCTGCGCTGGGTGTCGGCATCCCGGTAGGCAAGGACTCGATGAGCATGTCGATGAAATGGCGGGATGGACATGTCACGGCGCCGTTGTCGCTGATTGTCACTGCGTTTGCGGCGGTCGAAGATGTCAGCAAGACGTGGACCCCGCAACTGTCGACTACAACGCAAGACACTGTGCTGGTGTTCCTGGACATCGCAGCCGACAAGGCCCGACTGGGTGGGTCGGCCTTGGCTCAGGTCTTCAAGGAGATCGGATCTAAGTCCCCCGATGTTGACGATCCTGCGCTCGTCAAGGCCTTTTTCGAGGGGTGTCAGGCTGTCCGTCTTGCAGAGCCTGATCTGGTGCTCGCCTACCACGATCGATCGGATGGAGGGCTCTTTACGACGGTTGCCGAGATGGCTTTCGCTGGCCATGCCGGAATCCACCTCACGCTCGACCAGGATCCGATTCCAGCCCTGTTCAATGAGGAGCTGGGGGCTGTGGTGCAGGTCGAGAGGCCCAGCGTATCTCGTTTAACGGAGATCTTTGCTGCCAGTGGCTTCCCTGCAGCTCATATCCATGTCATCGGCGAGGTGCTCGTCAGTGACGAAACATTCACTATCTCCCACCTGTCGCAACCGATATTCTCATCGACTCGTGCTGAACTGCAGCAGATGTGGGCCGAGACGTCGTACAAGATGCAGAGTCTCCGCGACAACGCTGCTGGGGCCAAACAAGAATTCGACCTCATCAAGTCGTACAGCGGAGCATGCTACGATCTGACGTTCGGGCCTTCGGCCGTTAAGTCGTATCCGTCTCGGCCGAGAGTCGCGATCCTTCGCGAGCAAGGTGTGAATGGGCACATCGAAATGGCGTGGGCATTTACCGCCGCTGGTTTCGAGGCCGTCGATGTGCATATGAGCGACATCTTGGGCGGGTCAGTCGTGCTTGACGACTTCCGCGGACTGGCTGCATGCGGCGGCTTTGCGTACGGCGATGTGCTCGGCGCTGGAAAAGGCTGGGCGCATTCCGTTCTGCTCAACGCGACTGCGCGGGACCAGTTCACGCGCTTCTTCGCGCGGGCGGATACCTTCGCGTTGGCTGTGTGCAACGGGTGTCAGTTCCTCAGCCAGCTGCGTGAAATCATCCCCGGCGCACAGGCCTGGCCTGAATTCAAGAAGAATCAGAGCGAACGGTTCGAGGCGCGGGTCTCTGTGCTCGAGATCGTGGACTCGCCCGTCACCCGCTCGTCCGTATTCTTCCGGGACATGGCGGGTTCAAAACTGCCTATCGCGGTTGCGCACGGTGAAGGCCGTGCGGTGGGTGACTCGATATCTATACTGGAGGACCAGGGTCTGGTCGCAGCGCGCTATGTCGATGGACAGGGCAACCCGACCGAAGTGTACCCACTCAACCCGAACGGGAGTCCCCGTGGGATTACCGGTATTCATACTCCCGACGGCCGCGTGCTTGCGATGATGCCCCACCCTGAACGAGTTGCGTCCCTGGAGAGCAACAGCTGGTACCCAAAAGATATGTTCAGAGACTGGCAGGGCGCCGGCCCTTGGTTCCAGATGTTCAAGAGTGCCAGGGAATGGTGCAATTGAGGTGTGTCGTTTGCTGCACCAAATTTCGTCGATGTCCTGACCTCTCGTTTAGACGGAGAAGTATCAAAAGTAATGTCTGTAACAACGTTTGTAGCTTTAGATATGAGTATTACACCGCACATCATGTGACCGTGATTCATGGCCCACTCTCCAGGGTGATCAAACAACAGGTACAAGCACACGCCATGCTGACTGGCGTGCATGAACTAAATTCACTCAGAGATGCTTGGCCGCATCACGCCGTCCGTCCATCCGTTGACTCTCCTCTCATGAACCGCGATGCATTCGTCGATCTTTCTCATCTCTGCTCCAACTCCTTGCCTCCCACCCCGACCACACCCGCGTCCAAACACTCACCCGACTTGTGGTTCGACGATGGGACCCTGATCCTCGAAACGGAGGGCACCCAGTTCAAAGTTTTCCGCGGCATACTCGCGGCAAACTCGACGGTCTTCAGCGACATGCTCCTCGTGGGCCGTCCCTCGGACAACGACGAGATAGAGGACGGGTGCCCAGTTGTTCACGTCCACGATTCAGCGCTGGATCTTATGCATTTTCTCAAGGCCTTACACCATATCAGGTCCGTGCCTGCGATCCTTGCCGCGGAACGGCCTTCCTGACGCTCGTCGCAGCTACTACGATCCGCAAGAAACGAAAGATTTCCTGCTCATTGCTGCGATACTGCGCCTGAGCACCAAGTACAATGTCGAATTCCTGCGCCGCCGCGCGCTGGCCCACATCTCTTCACTCTACCCCACAAAACTGTCCGACTGGGACCAGCGCAAGGACAACGCGATGGAGGTGTTCAACGCCCGGCCATTCGCGGTGTTCCTGCTCGCGAAGGAGACCGGGCACCAGGCGCTGCTGCCCGCATGCATGTACCTCTGCGCGGACAGTGTGGACATCAACGACATCCTCGACGGGCTCGAGTCGATCGACGGGACGCACATCGAGCTCGACTGGCCCGACAAGCGCGCGTGCATCCGCGGGCGGCAGAATCTGCTCCTCGCGCTGCGCTCGGAGGTGTTCGCGTTCCTCACGGGCAGCCTCGCGGTGATCACGGGGTGCACGGCGCAGGCGCGGTGCGACGCGTCGAAGCTCCGGTGGCTGCAGAGCCTCGAGGCGTCGCTGGGGAACGGGTGCCCCGGGATCTTCTCGATCAAGTTCCCGTGGCCGTCGTTCCGGAAGGCGGTGTGCGAGACGTGCTACGCGGCTTCGTACGCGCATTCGAACCAGAAGCGCGAGGAGATCTGGAACAATTTGCCGGGGTACTTCGATCTCCCCCCGTGGGCGGAGCTGTGCAAGTCATCGGCGTCCTGAGCGCTCCCGGGCGTTGGGAGGCGATTCGGATGAGGCATTCCGATCAAGCCCATCACGAGGCGCGTTTCACTGGGACACAGCCTCCGTGCTAATGAGCGCTCTTTACCAGCAACTGTCATCATCTCCCTCGTTCCGTCCTTCGTCTTCTCTTCCTCTTCTTCCTTCTCCGGTCTCTCTGGCAGAGATCTGTCGCCGGTCGGCTTTTTCATCAGCCCTTTCTCTGCCTCCTGCGGTTTCTTTTTATTGTACGCCTTCCTTTGCCTGGTTTGGGCGCCGTCGTCTCTGTCTGACTCGGACACGTCTCCAGTTGTTGCGTGTATCATAGACCATCTGTATCAGTAACATGCGCACCCCGAGATGATGAGCATGATCCACCCCGTTTCCATGTCGGACGCTGTGACCGTGCCGTCACATGACTCGCAACACCCGAACCCGGGGTCCAGGACGACCACTCTGACGGTGACGATTACGCTGGAGGAGGATGTTACGCGTACCGCGCCCATGGAAGCGAGCACGACCTCTGTCGCTCGGAGCTCATTGGCGAGCCCGAATGGTTGCGTTGCTTTTCCTGCGTAATGAATGTCTGATTCGAATCATGCTATCTCTCAGATCATTCTGCGTCGGTTTCCTCCGTTCGAATGACGTCCTCTGTCGATCGACGCCTGCCGCATCGTTTACGCCTAGTCCGACTACGATGAAAACTGTCCCTCCGTCCCATATGCCTGTCTCCGACTCATCCCAAGCTAAACACACATCAGTCACGACAAGCTCCCCAATGCGTTCACCAGTAGCGCATTCTTACACGCATTCGCACTCTACGGCGGCGGCATCTTCCAGACATTCTACCGTGGCTCACTCCTCGGTTTCATCAATCGTTCCGCATCGTCCGCCAGATCCCACCCTACTCTCAGCTCGACTGGTGCCAAGTTCACCTCCGTGCGAGTCCAGCCTACAAGCCTCTCGAGTCAACATGCGACCTCAGCGGGCACGACTCATGCGTCGGCCAGTGTTCTGATAGTGTCCGCGTCAGCGAAGGCGACGACTGGGGCGACATCCGGGTCGTTCTCAGCGTCTTCTAGTGCTCCGGTGGACAGCATCTCCGCGGCTTCCCAGGCTTCGAGCACTGCAACGCCTGCGACCTCGAGCACCGGGACCACTGAAGCTGCTGGTGCGTCGACTGGTCATACCGCACCGCAGACGAGCTGACTGAACGCTCGATAGCCTCCGGGACTCTCCTTCCGGCCAACGGCTCAAACAACCAGCTGAGCGCCTCCGGGGTTGCGCATAAGTCGGGTGTCCCCGTCGGCGCCGTCGTAGGTGTGACGATCGCGGCCGTGCTGTTAGTCACGCTGTGTGCGCTGGCCGGGCTGTTGTGGTCCCGCAAACGCTCGAAGCGGACGGCGCGACTGCGATACGAGGAGGAGGTCCGCGAGGCGCCCTTCACGCCGCTGTTCGGCGGCGGCGAGATGGGCTTGCCGCGGCCGATGACGGTCGGGGCGCCGGTTGCGCGGGATCTCGTGCCAGAGCGGGCCCCGAGTTTCGTCCAGCAGGAGTACCCGTTCGCGGGGCCGAGCCGGCCAAACAGGAAACGGGGCGACACTTTGCATCCGGACGTCCTGAACTGAGTGTTCATAAGTCATAAGCATAGCATAAACATAATCGGCAGATACACGGTAAATAAGTAGCATGATAATAATGAACAGTCTCGAATCACGAGGGAAAACGGGATCAACAAGCGCCTACACCCACTGCTCAGGCCCGCATCGACTGTGCGCAGGCGGTCTGTCCCGCGTGGCTGTACGTCCGGTACGCCTGAGAGCGGGCGGGAGGCGGCGGCGCCGGACGGAACTCGGCAGCCGCGTGAGACAAGTGCAGCGGGCGCACACTCGACGAGGTGCGCCCGGACGGACGCGGCGGGACCGAGTACGCGACCGGATGCTGGGGCTCGTCGTGCGCCGCCGCGGCCGAGGGGAAGAAGAACATCGTCGGCGCGGTGGCGACCGTCGCGACACTCGCCGCGCGGGCGCGATACGCCGGGCGGCGGCTGCGCGTGTCCTCCGCCGTGCCGCACAGGATCGTCCGGGCGTCCTCCGGCATGTCGCGCATCGTCTTCTTCACGCTCTTGCGCAGCGCGCGCTTCTCGAGGAACATCACCGTCGCGGCCGCCATCTCCGCCGACACGCGGAAGTTGCCCGGGCAGCCGGACTGCCACACTGGTAGATGCCCGCTGCCGTGCGCGGCTTGTTCGCGAAGCCGCAGAACTCGATGTCGCAGGTGGAGTGATACTCGGTCGGCCATTGCTGCGTCTGGGCGTCAGGGGACACCCAGATATTCGCATCGGGGACGTAGGGTCTGAAGACGGATGCGGGAATGTAGATGGCTTTCTCGCGTTGGCGATCTTGCCGGTTCAGAATGCGTTTGATAGCAGCTAGGGAATTGTCAGCGGCACAGGACAAGGGAAGCAGAAATAAATCCGCACAGAACATGGTGTTTGTGTTATGGCTTGGGGATGGTGCTGACCGGGGAAGGTGGCATGCAGTCGACTTTATAGCCTCGGCAGGTCATCTGTGCTTTGGAGAAGAAGCGCATGAGCCAGAGTACAATGCTTTGATGGCAACGTCCAAAGCTCTGATCAAGCCTTCGCTTTATCAAACACGTGACCGCGACATTGTCGAGATGTCTTCCAAATCCGGTTCCTCACTGTCTGAGCAACGTGCTCTTGGATTAGGACCAAACACTTTGAGTCCAAGAGTTAGCGATATCCCGAGCGAAATTACACCAAGAACGCTTTACCTGCGCTGATCTGATCAGCCGTGCAATTTGAGTGCGAACTACTACATGGACATCTTTGAAACGCTTTCTGCTCGCAATGACGCGACCCGTACTATCAAGGTCGTCGATATGCATACATCTGGAGAGGTGGGCTTCCATCGATGGCGAAGTCTGACGCTGATCCCGCGCGCAGCCCACTCGCATAGTCGTTGGGGGCTATCCTGAATTGCAAGGCACAACTCTGCTCGAGAAGCGCAGATGCGCCAAGGACCGGCACGACGGAATACGCCAACGGTACGCACACCAAAATCTTCTATGCTACTCTCATCGCTGGTGCGATTCGGTTGAAGCCTTATGCGCGAGCCCCGTGGTCATGCAGAGATGTATGGCGCGATTCTCGTTCCCGAGACTGAGTACACACAATCGGGAGAGGCAGATATCGGAGTTCTGTTTTGCCACAACGGTACGCATACACGCGTGACCCCAGATCCTATACACGCACAAGTACATCCATCTGACATTCCTTCCAGAGGGCTATTCTACGATGTGCGGGCACGCAACGATCGCCCTCGGCCGCTTCCTAGTAGACACGCATGACCAATCCATCTTCCCGCGCCGCGCGTCTCTCAAGTACGATCCCTCGACCGGGCTCACAGCCCTCCGCCTGCACGCGCCGTGCGGCGTAGTGCACGTCAACGTGCTCACGACTCCGGACGGCCGCGCCTCGGATCCGACACGCCCCGTCAGCTTCCTCGGTGTGCCCAGCTTCGCCACCGCCCGGACCTCGACGTCGAGATCCCCCCATCGCTGCGCTGGCCGCGCTTGTGCGAGGCGCAGCGCACCAGCGTCAGAGTCGATGTCTCGTACGGCGGTGCGTTCTACGCGCTCGTCTCGGCGGCAGAGCTCGGCTTCGCGGAGGGCCTGAGCGGGCGCGCTGGTGCGACGATGGCTGACTTCGACGCGGCAACGGCGGCGCTGAAGACGGTTTTGGGGCCGAGGAAGGAGCTGTTCGTGCATCCCACGGAGCGGGATCTGGAGTTTCTGTATGGAGTGATGGTGGTTGAACGCACCGCGCAGGGTGAGGCGGGCCTTTGCTTCTTCGCTGACCAGCAGGTTGACCGCTCTCCTTGCGGGTCCTGCGTCATGGCGCGCGTGGCTCTGGCATTCGAGAAGGGGGATCTGAAGCTGGGGCAAGCACGCGACTATGAATCGATCGTCAGTCTGTCGGTTGATGGTACTGGATTCAGAGGCACTGCGGTTGAGAAAACTGAAGCAGGTCTGATCGTTCAAGTGCAAGGAAAGGCGTTCTATTCGGGTGCATCCACTTTCGTTGTAGAGGACGAAGATGCTATGCCTAGTGGATTTATCGTCAGTCTATGATAAAAGCAGTACATATAAATATACAGTATGATCTATATTGCCACCATTTAATCGCGCAGTCCAGATGCTAGCATCAGCTTCCTTCTTTCTCTCCAAGCAGCGAGCAAACTGAGAAGGATGGATAGGAAACAAGCCGAGGCTGTGAGACCCAATGTCGCTACGTAGCACGCACGACCTTCAAGGCACTGGTGTGCCACGGAACGTATCATATTTGTGCTTTCGACGGGCTCGTGTGCATCTAGGTTGCGGCCGAATGCGATGGAGAAGAGGTTGCCCCCGGCCAGAGGTGAAAGGGACAGGTAGCCCCAGTTTTCCGAGAAGTGATCTGAACGTTGGAGCGGGTCAGCGCAACTAAGAGAATGTAGGGGGCACATACCGAGACCAAAGAACTCGATGCAAACTGTCGGAAACAGCCCGAAGATGGTTCCGTATGACAACCCAACCAGCGCGGTTGCTTTCCACAGATCTGCGACAGCCGTGACCTGCGCTGCGTAAAGCTGCGAGATGAAAAACAGGGTGGAAACGAGAATGAGGCAGTAGGACCGAGGAAGACCATAAAAGTTCTTCAAGTTATCGGAAACAAGCCCTATCAGAACGCGGCCTGAGAAGTTCATGATGGACAACGTAGAGACCTGGGCGGCCTGCCATTTAGAGGCTTCCAGTTCGTCATATGCTGGGTTGTCTTTGGCGAACAGTGCTTGGGACATGGATCCCACGTTGTTGATATCTGCACAGAAAGAGTGAGAACTTCAAAGCAGTCGGGGGGAGGGTATGAGAGACGAACACATCAGGCCGGTACCGCTCACTGCCGACTGTCAGTCTAACGACATGCCACAGATGGGTGATCGTAACTCACACATCGATAGGATGATGAAAAGCAGCCAAAAATCGGGATGGAACCAGAGTGCGCGTCCATGAATGTTCGGTCCCTCGCTGGCTCCCGTTTTGCTTCGGCTTCGGCTTCGTGCTATCGACCTATGAGTCGATGCGCCTCGAGCGGGACTAAGTTCCATACTCCTCTGTTCCTGGTTGTCTAGGAGTGGCGTATGAGCCCCTTCCTCATCGGAGGTCTCCTCATCAAGCTGGAACAAAGTCGCTTCCGCTTCAGCAGCGACTGTCGCAGGCACGTGGTGATGGTGGTCATCTTGGACGATCTCAGCTGCGGAGAGCGGCACGGCCCGCACGAAGAAGAATCCGATAACAGTCGTCACCGCAGTGCCACACGATAGAAGCAGGATAAAATTGGACGTGTCTCCCGGGAACAGTGCGTGCGCCAGCGTCGAAAAAAAGAATGCCGATAGTCCGAATCCAGACAGCACGATCCCTGTCGTCGTAGCGCGCTAGAATCCGCGTTCAATCTCGTCCACGCGGATTACTTCGGAACATGTTGAACTCACTGCTCGATCAGGGAAGGACTTCGCCGTCGAGTTGACCGCGCCCGTGAAACCAGCGTTGCCGCCAGCGCCCGTCAGAAAGCTGCACACGATAAGCAGTGCGAGACCGATATCTGACAGGGTGGCGCCCTTGGGAACGCCAGTATCATAGAAGTGCCGGATGCCTGTGTATCCAGAGAAGAGAAACACGAAGGCGAAGGCGAGTGGGAGTCTCGGCCCCCGCGAGTCGACGATTCGACCCCAGAACGGACCGCTGCTGTACACGCCAACTGCAGGAAGACATCTCAGTTTGTTTCTGGGGCAACGATGTCGTGACATATGGAGCACATACCGTTAGCCGCTAAGCCGACAACGTTGAGCTGGGTGTGTGAGATATTCAGCCGCGCAGCAAGCTGGGGGGAGTAGGCTGGCAAACAGTCAGCCGGATGGGTGGGAGGGCTAGAGGGCTCGAGGTTCACCGGAGAACACCTGTGGTGCGTGTCGGTCAGAGATAACGAACACGTCGACACAGAGATAGAAACGCACGTAGTTGGTTCCCGAACCGATGGCGACCAATAGAGAGGCGAAAAGTGTTGCTAGGCGAGGTACGCTGACCAGGCTAGGGATTTGCGGGGCCATCGTCGGGGACGGTCAGGTTAGTGTACCGCAGGAGATAAGTAGTGGAGAAGGATCAACCCGAACACTCGCTACGAGGTGGAAATCATAAGTAGCCGCGGCGGAGAGCCGAAATGCCAGAAGCGGGGTTGCCATCAAAAAGTAAAGAGCCGTTACGAGCCCGGTTTGTCTTGAACCACATCTTGCTTCGAAAAGGCTGTTCTTGACTTCCTCATGGCTGCTCCACGACCCGAACGACCCAACCCACGGGATCTGTCCCCACGTCCAGATTCTCTTATACGGCGTTCATGGCACGCCATGTCAGATCTCTTTTCCCCTTTCTCGTCTTCCGCCCTGGCCACACTTCCCGCCCCGTCACGTCCTGTGCGCTATACTCGAGCGGACAACATCCCTGAAGCAGAAGAGGATGAAAATGGTCAGCGGCCTGCCGTGAGGGACTATCTGTCGATCAACAATGTTCCTTCCGCCGTCCGGGTCCCGAAGAAGATTGCGACTCCGGTTCGTGTTGAGGGCAAAGTCTGGTTCGCCAATGAGCGCAGTGCGTATCCTTTGGGACGCACAAAACACGCTCATCCTTATGAGCGCCTTTCCAGCGTGGATCTCGTGGTTGAACATCGCCGTGCTCATTGGTACTCTGGCACTCGCGCTGTTCAACTCCTCTGCCGATCCCATCGCCCGCAGCTTCGCATATGTCTACGCTCTGATTAGCGTCGGTGTCCTTGTCCGTTATCTTCCTTGGCCCTGTCTGCGTTTCTGACGTAAACCAGATATACGGGTATTTGCTGTACCAGCATCGCATAACCATGATCCGCAAACGGGACCCTGGTCATTTTGGTATGACCGCTATACCCCCGTCCGCATGTTCTTAGGATCGTTCTGCAGATATGCTGATTGGCCCAGTCGTCGTCAGTGCGGCCCTCTTTTTTGCCGTTCTCGCGAACTTCCTGATTCGAGGTGCGTCCCAGTCATCGCGTTCTCCTATGTAATGATCATACCCTGATGATATTCTTCAAACAGTGCGCGAGCTGTAAGTCATAATTTTTCACCATCCGACCCATGTGATCTCATCCATACATTGTAGCCGCGACAAGAACATCCCCATCCCTGGCGAAAATCTGTATCACTATCTCGTTAACGCGGGCAGTGCACAAAAGATCCTACAACTCTAACAGAGGCTGTCTGAGGAATTCTTGGAAAATCTGTACAGCAGTCGGTTGAGAAGATATCTCTCAATTCTGCTCGCGGTATGGCTCGTAGCGTTTACATTGCGCACGCTCTTAATGCCCGTACTAAATCAAGTCGCTCTCTTTCTTTGCTTTATCCAACCACGTTGAACGCGGCTCTCAGAGCTTCTTGGTGATATGAGTCGACGATCAAGTGTCGATACTTCCCCTTCTTGGCCGCACAACTGCCCGAGCTGAAATTCATGCTGCAGCATCGGAATTAACACCGCGATCAGCTCGAGGCCGCTTCGACGAATTCACTCTGTTATGCTCTGCACCAATTCAGCAGCAAAGCATCGTCAACGACTACTTGCCGCACGAGACCTCCCGTTGTGAAATTCGTGCCTCGCTAGTTGGAGGGAGTCTTATATTTGATCCCGCGGGCGTTCCCCTGCCGTGTGAGCGGGCTGTTTAGAACACCGCGTAAAATGACCGAAACACGCGAACGGGACCTGACAAAATCCATATTTGTCGGTATTCTTGCATACTGGGACTGGAACAGCAGCGGCAGGTGGGTTCTGGGCTAAGATTGAGTCCCCAAGTATCTCGATGATACCGAAAAAGCCATCGCCGTCGTCGATGCTAAGTAATATGCAATTTTGATCCAATGAGACCAGTCGCTGAACGCGAAAGAATCAAACAGCTTTGCGCGTGCCTTGTTGTACTCCAAATGTCTATGCGTGGTGTCGAGTTCCTAGCCACACCAGGCACCAATGCAACGACTCGAGATCATGGTGGGGGCCGTGCTTCAATCGTGACAACGTGGCACTGTACTCTTTCACATCCTATGCGAGGCACAGCCAGATGCCCTGATAGATAGATTCAGCAACCAGTAGTCTGCAAATTAGAGTCAGCCCTACAACAGTGTCGTGTACTCCAGGCTCTCGTCCAGAGCGTCATGCATAAGTATCCCTGTGCCGCTGTGGATCTAGTCTTCGCTGGAGCCCTCCTTCACCTGCGCAAGAGTGCCTCCGGCAGCATCAGTGTCCCAATATCGCGCAGTGACCAAGGCCACATTTTGATCAGTGAAGTGCCACCACGGCCTGTCTTCTGTCCGCACTCTGGTTCGCGTCATCGTCACCTCTTTGCCAGTTAACCCATCGACGCCCGTCCCTTGATACACCTCGCGTTTGCATGTTGTGCCATAACGTGCCCAGGCAGGTGCATCGGTCCAGAAGTCCACGCCATGCTCATCGCGCACTTTCTGCACAACTTCGTCTCCTTTCAGACCGTGCATCGCTTTGGCGCTGTAATATTTCCGTCCGAAGGCAGAAATGCTGTTTCGCCGACAATCCGTCTTGGCGCGCCAGATGAGATTGTTGAGCAGCTCCGCATCCGACGGCACATTGAAGATGCGTGCGTCAAAATGCGCGACACCGCGCTTGTGAGATGGAAGCGTGTCCCCTGCAAGCTCCTCCAAGTGGAAATTGAATCGCACGGAGGTATAGGAGGCAGCGAGAGTGGCCAACTTGGTGACGCGGCCATTGAACGAACGCGCTGGAGTCGGCAGGATGAGCGTGATCTCGTCGGATTGGGTGTAGACGAGGGATACGTCCGGGAACTGTGTCAAGAGATCGGCAGATGTCCGCGCCATGGCTTGGTGGATCCGCTCGTCAAAAGGTTTTTCGAAACCATGAGTGAATTTGGAGAAGCCGTGTCCGTCGATGCGAATGATAGCGGGCTGGTCGGAAGCTAGAAGCTGGTCTGTGACGGCTTCGTAGCTTTTCATGCGAGTGCCCAGCGCTTCTCTGGGTTGGTTGCCGTTAGACATGGATGCTGCTGTGAGAGTGAAGACGATCTAGAATCGAGGCTTTAATAAGCTTTGAGTAAAAGAGCGCCGAGTCATATCTGCCAGTCCGGAATGACAGATCGGGTGTTCTCATTCCAACAGTGGCTAGAGCACTTCGAAATGACTCGAGCCATAGAATTGAGATGTGAAAAAATGAACTTCTATCAGCGCCCGCCCAAGTCGCCGACAACTAGCAGACTCGGGCCACATGAGTCGAAAGGATTCCATATCGCGTGTCGTCACATCATGTGTTGCTCACGTGATGACTTACGCGTCTGTGTCAACAACCACTACATCTTATACCTGCTCAACATATCAATGCTTGCCGACCCAGTAGACGAGGCTGTTGCGGATAGCGAGGAAGATGAATATATGCCCAGGAAACTCAGCATGGTCAATGACCCTGCACAGGCTGACACGTCTATGGAAGGCATTCAGTCCTCGTTCACTAATCCAACTGCAGGCATGTTCTCTATCTTGACCTGTCCAGCGTCCCTCACACTGCATAGACGTCACGAAAGACACGATATCCAACCCAAGCTCGCCCTCCACGACTGGTTCCAAACCGCGTCCGAAACCAAAGCCTCGCTACGGGCTGAAGCCACCTTTAACGACTGACTCCTCTGCAATCGACTCATTTTCAATGCCGGACGCGTTTGGAAGTCTCACGGACCGCATCAAGATGAATCGCCGGGGGACGCAGACTCAAAGAAGCAACGACGATACGATCGACTTGACTGAGTCACCACGCGGCGTCGCACACACCAACGCGAGCTCAGAAATTATCGAGCTGCGCTCAAGCTCAGATGATGAATTATCGATTACAACGACGAAAACACGCGTGAAAGCTGTTCGGAAACCACGAGCCAAGATGGCCAGGGCCCTCCCATCATCTCCAGACGATCATTTTCGAGCACGCGACTCACCTGCAGACGATCTACCTCCCATCACTGCACTCGGCCCGAATGACGACCCCTCCTCATCCTCCCTTTCCAACTATACCCTCAATGCCGACACTGCTGTGAAGAAACCCGCGAAGAAAGCCCGAAAGAAGAAGGAAATCGCAGAAGGCGAGAAACCTGCAAAACAGCCGCGGCAGAAGAAGACGAAGAAGGTGCAGGAAGAGAATGAGGACGACTGGACGAAAAAGGAGGTGAGGAAAGGAAAAAGAAAGGCTATGGAGGAAGACGAGTCCGCGTTCAAGAGCAACGAGTTTGTGCACGACACGGAGGACGAAGGGCAGGGCAGACCTCCCGATCTGCCCGGCCACGACGACCTGTTCGATGGTGCACTGTCGCCCGCCCCGGTAGCTGAGGAAGAGGTCTTGCCAGGTGACAAGCGGAGGCCAGATGAAGATGCCTCGGTTTCTCCTATGCAAAAGAAGAAAGCCAGGAAGACAAGAGTGGTAGACTCGGATGAGGAGGAAGAGGGCACCAGCACGGCGGAGAAGCGGAGGGGTGGCACGGACGACGAGGTATTCGGTGGCTCGAATCCGAGGAAGAAAAGTAGGAAAGACCAGAACCAGGCCAGAGAGCAGTCGCACGACGATCCCTTCAAAGACGATCTCTCCCCACCGAAGGGGTCAGTTGATGATGAGGTGAGTGGATATTACATGGACAGAACGCTTGTCAAATCAATTTTACGTCTAGACTTTGGCTGCAAGCGCTCAGAAAGTCTCTGTACTGGAAACACCTAGAGCAGCCATTGGGAAACGGACCAAATCCACGCCCATGTCGGAACTCATTCGTAAAGTGAATTCTCGACCTGATTCGCCTTTCCCTGTGACGGTTCCTCGGTCTCGCTCGTCGTTGGGGACGGTACCGCCAGGCACGCCTGTGACATCATACTCCCCATACGCCAAGTTTTCGCGACGCGCGCTTTCTCGGATCGCCCCGCTGCACCCAAACAGACGCACACCACCACCGCCACTACCACCACTGCCACCGAAGCCCAAGACGAAAAAGGAAAAAGAAATGGAAGAACGATGGGAGGAGGAAATGATCGAGGCATATGGCGGATGGGATGCTTGGAAACAGCTGACCGAACAGGAGCAGAAAGTGGCTCGCAGAGAAAAGTGGAGAAGAGAGCAGGAAGGCTGGGATTGATATTTCGTGTGTGTGCTCGGGGAAGGGTGGCCTGACTGATTCACCGCCACTTCGGACATTACTTGGCTGACATATCGCTGTTGATCCGATGACAAAAGCAAGTTACAAACCCCTTTTATGATGCGTCTGGACTTGTCTCAAAAATTGCGCCATCCCCGTCCTTGACGATTGACATCTAGCATGCAGGCCTTCTCCCCCAGCCATTTCTTTTCCCCCTCGCGCTTCGATGGACTGCTTGACTCGGCGGAGACGGCATACGACACGACGACATTGGCCGCCCACGATTTCGATGTAGATAATCGAACTGGGTTCATGCCCCCGCAAGCACCGCCCGCGCGGCTTCCAGCGGAATTTGAGCCTTGGGAGCAGGCTCTGGGTGATGCCGTCTCAGCAAGACTGCAACTTGGCTGCAGGGAGGGTCTGACGCTGGCCCAAAAAAGGCAATCCGAACAGTGGAGACAACGGGTGAGACAGGTGAGCAGGCGCTCTCTTGCCTGCTCTGCATTTTCACACCGTACTGTAAACAGCTCCCGACTATCCCGATTGGGGGCTTGATAAGATCCGAGACGAATCTTCGGCGCGCACATCTCGTTTTGGCATGGATGATGCACTTTTATGTGCACTCTCTCCCACCCGATGCACCCGTTGTGATCCCTGCCCCGATCACCGTCCCTCTGTTCCAGCTGTGTGCTCATCTTCACCTACCGCCAGTGCTGACCTATGCCGACACTGTACTCTACAACTGGAGTCTCAAAACACCATCCTCGCTCCCCACACCGGCCTTGGACAACTTGCGCAGCAACACTCTTTTTACGGGAACCGTTGATGAGGAGGTTTTCTATCTGACTTCAGCGCGGATGGAACTCCGGGGTGTGGAAGCCCTTGAGCTGATGAGGTCGACCATGGACGAAGCATTCGTTGGTGATAGCATTGCCACCCGACGAATCACTTCATATCTGCGCCAACTCACCATTGTCATCGATGACCTGACCACACTGCTCGGTGGAGTTCGCGACGGCTGTCAGCCGGAGGTCTTCTACAACGATGTCCGGCCCTGGTTCCGAGGCATGGACTCGGATCCGGCGAAACGCCGATGGGAATTCGAGGGTATGTCAGACACGGATGTCTATCCGACCGAGCTTTCTGGTCCGAGCGCCGGGCAGAGTTCGCTCATCCACGCCCTGGACATGTTCCTCGGTGTAGCCGCTTTCTCCCATCGGCCAGGGCAATCGGGATCGGACACGGACACCTCGACGCCTAAATCCGCATTTCTCGAGCGGATGCAGCTCTACATGCCACGCCACCACCGCAACTTCCTCAACCATCTCGCCGCCAATCCTCGGCCGCTTCGAGGGCTCGTTGCCAACGACGAAAAGCTATTGGAGGCCTACAACGGCGCAGTCGCGTCGCTGAAACGATTTCGCGATTTCCACATCGTAATCGTGACTTCATATATCATGCAGCCGGCGAGGCACGTTGCAAAACAGAGCACTGAAGAGCTCAAAGGCACAGGAGGGACGGAGTTGGCCAAGTTCCTCAAGGCTGTGAGGGACCGGACGGCTGCCGCCATCATAGAGTAGAGTCGAGAGTCACCGCAAGTAAAACAAATATGTATTTGTATTGTAGCGCTTCAAGCATGGTATTCCCTTTGCCAATCCTGGATATCCCTGTGAAAAAGATCTCGAAGGAAAGTCGGACCCTAGTGTCAGTCAACCTACTCAGACATGGAAGGGCCAAACGAGGCGTGGAAGGGCCAGACGAGAAGGTGTCCCTGTCCAGGCGGCTTGAAGTTTCCCCTTGCGTTGATCTGAGTCAAAAAGATAGTATTTTGGGACTCCGAGCCAGATGTCATACATGGCTTTTCCTCCCCCACGACCTCTGCGAAATGCGTTTGCTGAAGCAAACGCGTCGTCGGCTGACGGCCGTGATCACATCGGCGAGGTGATCGACCCAGAAGCGAGCTCAAATCCTTCCTCTGAGCCACTACCACCAGCCAAGGAGTTCGCTTGCCATCTCGTCCACAACAAGAGCAAAAAAGCATGGGCGACTCTGAGTGTTCTCGGGGATACGGTGCAAAGTAAAGGCTCTCCGGCTATCCTGCAAGACACGCCGATAAGCGGGGAAGTTCGCCTGGACTTGGGTTCGGGGGAGTCCATACACTCCATTATTCTCCTGGTGAGTCTACCCTCTCGGATTAGACAGCCTATGTGCTAACTGGACGGCTCATCTGCCAAGCTGCGAGGCCAGGTCATCACCGGCGCCACCCCAAGTGAAATGTTCACCTTCTTTGAGCTACCCACCACATTATGGACGCGTAGCATGGGTGATCCTCGCAATCCGAGTGTCAGCGATCGACCCACAAAATGGGGTGAAAAGCTCAAGGGCGCATATACTTGGCCATTCTCAGTTACGTTGCCGGCGACGGTGACGCTGCCTGTAGGCAGGAGAGAAGAGGTCTTCCCATTACCTCAGACCTTCTTCGAGCGGCATACACGTGCCAGAATTAAGTACGAGCTATCTGTGCGGTTCCAGCGGACTGGGTTGCGGACGGATCACAGGTGCGTGTCCATGAGCGTTTATTGAAGACGGACTGAAATCGAGGGCCAGGTTGAGCACCACGTTGAATTACTTGCCTGTTTCTCGTCCCGGACCAGCTTCTCGCCTCAGGCAACTTTCATATCAGCAACACACAGCGTTGCTCGGTCCCGATGCCGATCCCGAGGGTTGGCACGCGTTTCCGGTGGTCAAGACTCGCGGCCGATTGCCCGGCTGTCCCTCGACAGAAGTCAAATGCACGGTGAGTATCTAATTCGGTTCATTGTGCCTGTCCTGAATTCGTTAGCTCATCCTCGCGAAACCTGTCAGTACACGACTTGATATGAAGTACACGATCCATTGAAATTGCCCGCCCCCAGCTGTGCTACACTCGGGGAACGAGCATTCCCTGTGCGCTTGTGGTTGAGTGCTACCATCCTCCGACCCTGCAACGTCTCGCAGACCCTGCGTCGGTTCCTCTGCGATTGCGACGCAGCGTTCGCTTCCACGCTGGGGAGAAAACGTCCAGCCAAAACGCGGACGACTACGACAACGATCTCGCTTGGAAGGAGGAGACCGAATTCTCAGAGTTGGCTACTTGGTGGCCTGCTGCGGACCGCTCTATGGAGTTTGATTCTACAGAAACTTTGCTCGCTGATCCGCCGCGCCGACTACTGAGAGGAGAGCTCCATTTGCGTCCGGATCTGATTGTTTCATCATCCATGGCACACTACAGAATCGAGGTTGGTCCAGCCCATCTCTGTCATGGTGTTTCTGTTTCACAATTTTTGTCATAGTATGCTGTTGTGCTCTTCCCATTTGACGCCCCAGGCTTTGAATCCTCCGATAATGGACCTTTGTTCAACGAAGTCATAGAAATCGCTTCTGACTTTGCCGACGGTCCGCGACCGCTCCAATACACTGAGCCGTTTGCCACAGTCATCTGAAAGGGCGTTGCAACTGTCCAGCGACATGGTATCGGCCTTCTCTTTGGCCTTTTTTGTCGAAGCTGTAGAATATTTACCCCGTGTTCCAAGACTATTCCTGGCATAATAGAATATCCCTTGCATGGTCGGTGCATGTTATTTCGGAGGTTCGAATCTCACGAAGGATTTCCATTTTGAGGTATGTCCTTGTTCTTGACGGATTTAGCACAGCCACGCCGTCGGCATCTCAATTGTGCGCTTTGAACCTTATTGTCATACCATCAAGATGCCCTTGTTCCAAATCGTCAATGCAGACCCGAACTTCCGGTCGTCCAAGTCCACCCCGCGGCCTATTGTGGCAATCCAGACCTAAAACGGACAATCCCTTTTGTGTACTGGGATTATAAGGTCATTCTGTACACGATGATCTTGTTCTCCGTTCGCCATGAGTCTGTCGTCCTCTCCCCGCTATCGGCGCTTCAGCAGAGCTGGTCCGGCACCAGCCTTCGTTGAGGAACTCCCCGCTTATACTGGACGACGACGGGCCACCCTGTCGCAGCCCGTTGTGCGACGAGATCCTGTCGAGCACGTGTTCCCGCTCGAGGACAAGGGACGGCCATGGGCGACTCTCACTCTGCGCAGCAGTGCCAAATCGGCCAAGTCGATTCCAACTTTCCACGAGAAGGAGAACATCAACGGGTCGTTCCGTATGATGGCTGAGAAAGGAGACTCGATCCATTCGATAACGGTGCAGGTGTGTGCCGGGCGCATCTCGTTTCTTTTGATACGCGTTTTGACGCGATGCAAGATCACTGGACGCGTCATTACCGACTCTTCGAGTGCAGGGATGTCTGTGTTCTTATCTCAATCGCTCCCCCTGTGGTCGAAGATCGACAGTCGGATCGCTGGTGCAAGTTCAAAATTGCTTGGACAATGCGAATTCCCGTTCTCGATTCCCCTTTCTAAGACCGTCAACGGCGATGGCTATGACTCTGCCTTCCGGATTCCGGAAACTTTCTTGGAGCGACGCACCCAAGCTAGCATCACGTACGAGATTGCTGTGGTTGTTTCACGGGGAAAACTTCGGTCGGATTCCTAGTATGTTTTCTCCTCACAACGAGACTCTCAGTGACTGACTGTCATCGTAAGCGTCAAAACACGATTTGGGTACATTCCGAACCTCCGACCTGACCCTCCGTCTCTGCTTCGTCGACTGGCGTATCAGGAAAACTCTGTACTGGCAGGACCCGATGTTGATCCTGAAGGCTGGAGCGTCACCGGCCCAGCAGTTGTCCGCGGTCTGATGTTTAGATCTCATCCAGTGGCCGTCAACTGTATTGTACGTGTGGTCACCATTAGCCCTAGTTCCGCATTGACGCTCGGATAGCTTGCACTTGCCAATCCGATGAGCTATACTCGTGGGACCGTGCTTCCTTGTCGCCTCACTGTCGAGTGCGCTGATGCTCAGGCACTCGAGCTTCTTTCGGCGTCCAACGCGCCAGTCGCTGTCCTGCGCCGGATCGTGCGGTTCCAGTCTGCCACTTCCAAAAAGTGTGTCGAATCAGTCGAAGACGTTTCACAGGCTGTTTGGTGGCCATCTCCGAGTGAGGCTGACTCTGGGCTTCCTTACTCCCGGTGTTTGGAAGGAGAAATCAAACTCTCGAAAAATCTCGCGTCGTCTTCGTCTATCGGAGGGCGCTTCAATGTTTCTGTGCGTCCAGTCTTTTCCAAGCGCGCCGCTGTCTGAAACTTGTATCCAGTACACCGTTTCCCTACTACCCTTTGACGTGATTGGATTCACGCCCTCGACTCCAGGGTCCGCCTTGGACCAACCTGTCACGATTGCGACGACCTATGCTCGAGACTGTGCGTTGTTGAATCCTTACAGCTAAAGCAGTTCCCTTAATGTTGTTCTCCAGCTCCACGTCCACAAGCCTACGCCCCTCCATCATACGATGGCATAACCGGGAAAGAACCGGAGGTCGAATACACAGCCAAGCTGACCCGCGGCCTCCGATGATCACATACCATTGACCCTCTCTTACTGACTTATTTCGGTGACAATGTCTGGACAAGCACCGTGCCTCTCGCTCTCATTCCATCTGTAACATCGTAATATGTATTTTTCTTTTGTAGCGCCTAGTACCTTCAGATACCATCCCATCTAATCACACACATGATTTGTTTTGCTTTGCCTCGGATTTCACACCAGTGGGAATTCCCAGTACTGGAATGCCTCTGACCAGTGACGTGATTCGAATTTGGTCGCGACTAACAGGAGCAACTCATCCATGGAGCATGCTGCTTTATGATTAGAATGTCTGCATCACACTTGCCTTGGTCCTTGGACTCTCACCCTTCATCCATCCGTCGCGAACATGGCAGCTCAAGACGAGGCCCTACCAGGCTATACACCCGCCTCCGCGGTAGGACTGAAGACCGATCACAAGTACTCGCTCGAAAGCAAGGGCAGATCGTGGCTGAGCATCCATGTCAAGAGCCGATCCCCTTCACCGGCTTCGCTACCGTACTTCGTGGAGGGTGATGTTATAGCGGGCCATGTGGAGCTCGACCTTGACAAGCCCGAGTCAATGAAGTCAATCGCTGTCGTCGTGAGTCGTGCGCGATGTTATTCTGAGGACGACGATCTTCACATGTGTCAAGGTCCTCGGGGGAACAACTACCGTCGGCCAAGAAGAGCAGCTCTTCCTGAGCCTCGATCAGGCCTTGTGGCCTGCCGCCGGCGACAAGTCAGGCAAAGTATCGAAAGGATCTGGCCATTCTCGTTCACCCTGCCCGCAAAGGTATCTACGCCTGAAGTGAAAGGGACTACATTCGCCATCCCACCCAGCTTCTCTGAGCGCGCGAGCCCCGCATACATCGAGTACCGGATCGTCGTGCAAGTCAGGCGCGGCGCGTTCAAGTCTAACCAGACGCTGAGCACGAGCTTCGCGTTTCTCCCGCTGACGACGCCCGACGCGCCGTCCAAGCTGCGCCAGCTGGCGTATAAGGACGGTGTTGATCTGAAAGGGCCTGAGGAGGATCCGACGGGATGGAAGGTGCTCGCCCCAGTCAGATTCAAAGGCAAGTTGTTTGACGCCAGAGAAGTGGAGGCTGAGGCGACGGTGCGTGAAACACTCTCGGAGAAGCTGGACCTAGATTGATATGCGCAGCTGGCCATCGCGACTCCCGTGCGTCTCGTTATCTTTGGCCAACGGCCGTGAAACATCCAACACACCCCGCAGCTTGCCTTCACAGCAGGCACACCGATCCCTCTGTTCCTGACACTTCAGAGCAAAGATGAGCAAGCCCTGGACACACTTGCCGCAACGCAGGCTGTCCGTGTCTACTTAGTCCGCAGCTTAGCTATCGGCAGCGATGCCGTGCAAGAGGGCATCGACCGCCGGAGCAATACCAACTTTCTGGCGGGAGTTGGACAAGCTTATTTCTGGCTCTCAGAGGGAGGAAAGGAACAGGGTAAACGCGTCATGCGCGGCGAATTAGATGTGAAGAAGAGCGTGAAACCAAGCTGCGTGTTTCCACGATTCACCATTCGGGTATGTTTTCACTCTGCAGATCCGATGTGTGCTGTGCTGATCGTTTGAGCTTAGTATACCGTGGAACTGCTCAATTTCTCGGCCACCGGATTCGCACCAACAGGGTCAGAAACGAAGAAAGCTCTGATTTCTGAGCCCGTGCGAATCACAACTCGGAGCATCCCTGGAATCGTACCCAAATCATATGCTCCTCCCGGATATGAGAAACCTCCCGAGACCGATTATAACTCGGCCTTTGGCTTCCTGGAGAACGGAAACCAAAGATTCAGTGCGCAGGTCTTTGTTTCCGCCAAGCAGCTGACTAATCCGTGGGTAGTGCACCACCATGGGTCTGGGATGCCCTAGGGACCAAGTTGAATGTCGTATTGCTGAGCAAACAGACGAAATGCTTACCTCATCGCTCAGTCATCCAGGGACATCAGTAACAGAGTTTCGAATGTATCATCGCTCTTGGGCGAACGATTTCCGGGGAACAGCCCGTGTAACAGATCGTGGTCGTTTTCGGGTAGCAACCATGACATCGACTCATCGCGGCGCCTTGCAACGAAGACAAAAGTAGGATCCTGCATCGTGTTGCCAAGCCGGGACCATTCAGATCCAGATTGTGTCCGGTACAGCACAGGCTCGAAAGTGAACCACAATCCGAAGGCAGACCAAAAGGTTGTCTCCTTCGCGAGACTGCGTATTTTGTAGGATATGATAACCTGGGGGCCGAGTTCACGAGTGCCAGATGTCAGATGAATAAGAGAGCGGAGGAGCGGTCCCAAGAGTTCCGGAAAATAGACGAGATCGCTGCACAGGACATGGGTGATATTCGATGGGGCTAGTTGCTTGAGCAGTTGCGATGCATGTTCTGCGTTCCCCATGATAGCGGTCTCACAAGGATAGGCCCGCCGTGCGCTTGGAGATGCGGTCTGAGGTTGCGCTCGAGCAGCGGACACACCTGGAGAGACGGAAGGGTCGATCATCGATTCGGTTGACGGAAGAGCGTCTTTACTTCAGGCAGATCGGTGGAATACATGATATCTCGGTCAGGGCGCAGCCGAGTAGACATCGTGTTCGCCACGATACCCGAACCAGACCCCAGCTCTACCACTCTGATTCCGTCGGCGGATGGCGCGAAAAGCGGCTCGTATGTCACTTCGGCGATGGGAACCAGGTACTGGATGAGCAGATAAGCTGCCTCCCTGGAAAAAGAAATGGATATCAAGTGTCGCATGTAGTGATAGAAAACGTAGACACTCCCCATACCCGTCCTGCGATCCCAAACTGCGAGATATCTCGCTGTTGCTGATCATAGTCGAACTGCTCAGCGCCTTCGGCGTCGATGGCAGGAACAAGAGGATGAATGTCCAGGTTCTCAGGTAAGTTCGGGTTCGCGCTCGCCATTAGTGAGAGATGCGTGTCCCCAGCGATGGACGTCGGGAGCAAGATAAAAATTTGATCCCAGATCTCTCCATCTTATCATTATCAGCAGTCTCCTTCATTTACACGTGAAACGATCTTGCACTGGATCATTTCTTCCCCGAGGTTGTCCAAACCCCGGACGCCGGTCAACGCCTTACCAATTTCTTGCTCTCCGCCATGTCCGTACAGTCGAAAGCAGTCCCGGTTAAGCTGACGCCTTTGGGTATGGCTCTGGCCGGTGCGCTGGGAGGCTGCTTTAGCACAGCGTGAGTGGCAAGGTCGCAGTCCAGACTTCGTCCACTGATATGCCTTGGAAACAGCGTCGTCTACCCCTTGGATGTGTACGAGCCTTCAGCTCGGCGGGTGGGATTGAGCTCTAATACTTTGCAGGGCGAAGACCCAGATTCAAGCCTCCAAGGGGAAGTCCAAGGCCGACCTCTCGATGCTCGCCGTCCTCATCAGGATATTGAAGAAAGAGGGTATCTTTGGATGGTACCGTGGATTTTGGGCGACAATGATCAACACATTCTCTATGCGTACGCTTTGTGTCCCCTCTTTGAAACCTGACACCCAATTGTCGATGCAGAATATGCGTATTTCTTCTTCTACTCCATGGTCCGCACATCCTACATCCGGCATCTGACAAGGAAAATTCCGGCGGGGTCAAAAGTCCCAGCACTGTCTACCGCAGCTGAACTGCTCCTGGGAGCAGCTGCCGGCGCACTAGCCCAGATATTCACCATCCCCGTTTCTGTTATTGCTACTCGGCAACAAGTCGGTCGCACAAGCAAGGAGGGAGAGTCGAAACCGCAAGACGACTCGTTCTTTGGTGTTGCCCGTGAAATTATAGATGAAGAGGGCGTTGGGGGCCTGTGGCTCGGCATCAAGCCCGGATTGGTCTTGACCGTAAACCCGGCCATCACGTACGGTGTCTTCGAACGCATCAAGAGCCTGGTCATTGCGGGGCAAGCCAAGGCGGGTGGCACCGAGAAGCTTGCAGCTGGATCGTCGTTCCTCATCGGCGCGATGAGCAAAACATTGGCCACGGTGGTGACCTATCCGTACATTATGGCTAAAGTGCGGATCCAGACGCGTTCAGCTGACGACGATGAGGCTGCCCAGACTCATTTGCCGGCTCCGTCCTCACACCACGCCCACCACGACCACTCACAACTGAAGCACCCAGGGGCTCTCGATATCCTGGGCCAAGTGCTCAGGAAGGAAGGCTTCGTTGGCTGGTACAGGGTGAGCGTAATCAATGACAATCGTCCAAACTGTCTCTCACGGTGACAACCAGGGAATGTCCGCGCAAATCATAAAGGCTGTTCTTTCCCAAGCCTTGTTGTTCATGTCGAAGGAGCAGTTCGAGCAGTGGGCTCTCAGGATTATAATTATTTTCGCACGTCTTAGATAGATCTGGCATTGGATAAAGCACGCTGATACATATAACTGTACCGCAATCTAATCAAATTAGCGCGTTGTTGTGCCGAGTTTTGCTAGTCCTCCTCCATGTCTGTTCCAAGCACCCCACACGGCAAGGCCCCGGTGAACCCTCAGACACCGACCATCTCCCGGCTCGCGTCATCCACTGTCCAATCCTCGCCGCACTACAGCACCACCCGGCGGCACTCGCTCTATGGCGTCGAGGACCGCATCGTCATCGACCCTGGCTCACGCGTATGGAAAGTGGGCTTCAGCGGCGAGGGACGACCGCGCGATGTCTTCTACGGGATGGGGGCGCCGGAACCGGCGCTTTGGACGCTTGACCGCGGCGCAGATGACGCGGAGGAGTTCGAGAAAGAGCGCATGTTGGAGATCAGGCTGGAGACAAGCTTGAGACGCGTGTTTCACGAGTGAGTGAGTGGAATGTCTGCATCGGGAGCTGGGTTTTCTGATATTACTTGAGCTCGTTGTTGACAGATCCAAAGGCGAGGAAAGTTATCATTGTCGAGCACCCGTTGCTGCCGCTCTATATCAAAGATATGATTGCTCGAATCTTGTTCGAGAACCTACAAGTGTGTTTCTCCTTACTATTCTCGTCAAATCCTACTGACGACTTAGGTTCCTTCTTTGTCTTTTGCTTCGAGCCACCTGCTATCCCTGTTTGCAGTCGGTCGAATAACAGGGCTCGTGCTAGATTGCGGTCACCTAGAGTCTGTTGCTTTGCCAGTCAGTCGACATCGCTCTCGTCTCTATCCCTGCCTGACATTGTGGAAAGGTCTTCGCAGCCAGACCAATGCATTCTCTCCTCCGAGCGACCCCGCTTGCAGGAGCGCGCCTCACCGCCCACCTGCGGGCGCTATTACTTCTGTTCGGCACATATCTACCTCCGCCAACATCTCTGAGCGGAGCCGCCAACATTCCAAGCGCCAGCCGGGCTACCCGTGTTCCGCAAGAAGTCTTGACTGACGCAGTCATTGAAGAGATCAAGAGCCGGTGTTGTTTTGTCGGCTCGTCCCTGGGACCATCGACGGATGCGCATGAAAGAGACGCGACGCCTGGGCCAGGGGACGATTTTTCCGAGGCGGAGATGCCACCCAGTGACTCTACGCATTCGGAGTCTGATTTCTCACTCGCTGGGAGAGAAAGCTCTGTATCGCACGAGTCATCAGAGTTCTCGATGGTCTCTTCGAATGTGCGCGGGGGTGCGTCACGAGGCGGCCAGCACACGGAAGGACATCTGCAGGGCCTCGCAACACTGTATCAGCGGCATTCGACCGCGACCGAGCTGCACATGAGTGTTGTGCCGCCCGCTTCGCAGCAGAATGGGACTGGGCGCGGTACCTTAGTCATTCCAGGATGGATACGTGAGCGGACGGCGGAAGTGCTTTTCGAAGGAGGGGACGTTGACGAGCGCAGCCTTGCGGAGTTGGTCCTGGACTCGTTACTGAAGGTGAGTTCGCTCAATCGAATGGTGATCCCACTCATAGATGAGTAGGTCCCTGTTGACCTGCGTAAAACCCTGGCTTCGTCAATCCTGGTTGTGGGAGGGACAGCGATGCTCCCTGGCTTCATACAGCGACTTCACGAGGAGCTCATCCGAGCTGTCTCGCCCTCGCCTGTGCTGCCCAGGCCAGGGGGCAAATCAGGCCGCCCCCCACCACCGGGATACGATCCGTATGCGCCGTTGAGGCCTCTGCTCCCTTACTTTGCCATCCTCAACGACCCCAATCCGCCGCCCCCCACGACATCCAGAGCGAAAGGGAATGCCGGGAAGGCACCCGCGTTTACTCCTGCGACGATGGCTTGGATCGGTGGATCATTAGCCGGGTCAGTATGCTTTCATGCCAGCAGGACAGTCACTGAGGGACTGCCCACAGCGCGCTGAAGACGGGCGGCGTCGAAGTGAATCGCGAGCAGTGGGACATCGCACGGGATGACGACAGGCATCCGGACGCGATGGACATCGATCGCCCGCAGATCGTCTTACCCGACTGGACGAGATCGCCTCTGCCCGTGGGGGCGCCTCCTGCCCGAGCCGTTCAAGAGCCTACGACTCCTCAAGTAGCGATCACAGCATGACATCCATTACATTGCATTCGAATTGCAGGGTCCGTTCTGTCTGAAATCAAAGGTCGAAGTAGATAAGTAAGACCGGTAGTCCCTAGCGGACTAGGCGTAAAAAAGGTACTATCGAAATGAGGAAGATGGGTAAGTGAAGGAGAGACAAGGGAATCATCGGATGGATATCACGACACGATGCGGAGAGTCAGTTTCGTTCCGTCCAGAGAGGCACGCAGCTGCTCCCAGTCAGCTTCCTTGGCGATGGAGATCGGTTCTCCCGAGCTCCTCGTCTTGGTCGTCGGCTCCTCGAATTTCGATGCGGGAGTGACATACGCAAGCGCAAACCCTTCAGGCAGGTCCTCGTTCTCCTGGGCTTTGAATTTGTGCCTGAGCCGGGCCCGGACTTCCTGCAGACCGATCGCCCGGTCATCGTCGGCGTCGGCGTCGGCGTCGACCTTGAGCAGAATGATCGAGCTGTTGTACACGGCCTTGATGACGAGCGGGCTGATCGGGATGGACGCAACGGACGTCGCGGTCGTCTCCGACGAGCACGAGGAGGAGAATGAATAGCGCGAAGGGGTGATGGTGGTCCCGGTAGAGTCGGAGAAGCGCGAAGACGAGGTGCAGTCGGAGAGCACGGATGCCGTTCCTGAGCGGAGGGAGCTGCTGGGAGATGGGCCGCGGCGGGCGGCCAGCGCCTCCTGTCGGCGCAGCAAATACGAGCCGACGGGCGTGCGCGGCGCTTCCGGTGAGGCAGGGCGCAGCGAGTCAATCGGTGATGACGGCGCCGTGTGATATGCAAGCGAGTCCGCGTCCTCAATAGGTGAGTCAGGAACGAACGAACATGGCCGGGGGAAGGAGTCTGAAAACAAGATCAGCGGACGCAGGCTCCAAAGCTTATCCGGCTCAAGACTGACCGAGGAAACCACTGTCCAGAACACTGTCTGTGTCTGAAAACAGGGATGATCTTGATATTGTTGCCCGAGAGTCGGGTCGCGGGAGAACCCCATCTGCAGACGCATCCGTCCGAAAGGTTGCGACAGACATGCGACTCGAGTGTTCCGGAATGTAGTACCGAGGAACGACTCCCTCAGACGAGATATCCGTCCTGAAGGTGGCGATGCTGGCCATAGACATCCGGGACGACAGCCGCCGCTCCTCCTCATCCGGCAGCCGTACATTGAGATCGTCGACGAAGGACATCCCAGATGTAGTCGACATCCAAGAATCTCGCGCTGCTGAAAAAAGAATAAAAACATCAGCAAATGCAATGAAGAAGAGAGTGCGAGTCGCGCACCTGAAGCATGGGTTTTCCCGCGTTTCTTGAATTCGACCATTTCGGGCAGCACCGCGAGCTTGTTGCTGTCTTGGGTTGGGTTGTGGCCGAACGGCACCGACCTGTCGTCCGATGCGATGTAAACGCTGCTAGCCAGTGAGTTTCGCGAGCTTCCTGAAGACGTCGATGCGTCCGACGAGGATGCAGAGGAGACGGCGCGGGTCCGGCGGGTAGCCGTCGACGATACAGTGTCCGTCGATCCCCGCTCGGCGGCGTAGAATGAATAGATAGTGCTGGCCGGTTTTTTCTTGGGCGGGCTCTTGAGTTTGCGCGCGATATCCCGGTCTTTCTGCCATAACGCGAAAAAGGCCCGGACCTCGTCTTCCTGGCGGTACTCGTCGAGCAAAGTCGGCACATCGTCCCTCCAGAACGCGGCCATGAAAGCTTTAAGCTCGACCTGACGCTGGTCGATCGTCGACTGGCTTGTGCGGAACAGCGTCCCCTTCTTGGTGAGCTTGGGTACTAGGTCGTGGATATCTAGCACGACAGATTCAGGAGCCGGCCCGGGCGGAAGGGAGTCCCACGACGAGGCGCGGTCCGAGTTGATGTACACATCATTCTTGCGCACGCCCTTGCCTTTCTTGAGCCGGTTCTTCTTCGATCGGGCGAGCTGCGAGTACTCTCTCTCAAGCATATCTTGGAAATAGAGGCAGTCTTCCCAACGGCGCATGATCTCGTATTCCGTCTGGGAGCTCTTGGAGCTTAGCGAGACGCGATCGGTGTACATCGGCGTGATGCGCATGCACATGTAATGGGAGCCGTCTGAAGCCATAGTGAGCGAGCACAGTTTTTTCGTAGTGGGACAGTGGAATGCGCACCGATTTTCAGGGGAGCGAGAGTTTCTACCGAGAATACAGCGGGCGCAGGTTTCACCACCGCACGCGAAAACACCTGCCGCTGGTCAATCCCGGCCGTTTACCGGCGAGATTTGGAAGCACTCACATCCGCAGTTTGAAGAAAGTCCCCGACGGACGGCATATTGACAGACGCGTAGCCTGCCATGTCGAAATCGGAGGATTCGCAGACCAGCAGGGGAGGTGAGGGGCGTCGTCGCACAGTGGAGGGGTGGAGAGAGGGAGACAATGGGTGATCGAGTTTGCCGTGCCATTAAGATCAACGCACAAAGAGGGCTCGGAGCTGAGACGAATCATGCGCGCGTTATTGTCTTGCAATCGGAAAGAACAATAAAGCTGGGAAGATCACGATCGAAGCCTTCCTTTTTGGGCGCGACAGAGTGTCTGCCGCCCTCCCACGTGACAGATTCTGCCCCGAGCTCAGCGCATAATGGTCCTGATCGTGGCCACGTTTTTCTTGTGATGTTCTTTGAGTGTGCATGCTGGCCAACTCGGAGGCGCGAGTGGGAAGCACGAGGCAGTGGGCAGTACAACGAAGAGCTCCGGGACGTTGACGTAGCCACCGCCAGCCCAGTGCACTCGATCAGGGCCTCGTGCAGCTGCACAGGGGTCGATGTCAGCGTAATGAAGTGTGCGACGGCACCCGCGAAACACATGGCCGTTCAAAGCACCAGAAAAGGCAACATGCAACACACAAGCGAGGGGATGAGGTGGCGGGTGCAGGGTGCGAGCCTCGGGAATTGTTGTTGGCAGTCGTCTCGGACTCGTTAGGTCCCTTCTTACGTTCTCTGTGCGGTTGCGGTGGCTCTGAGTGCAAAAGTTAAATAAAAGGTCAACGGTTGCTTTATCAGTGGCTGTAGAATGTCACGTGCCACGGTTGGGCTTTGCAGCACTTGAAAATTTCCAGAACTCTAACCAAATTTCCGTCCATCTTAACCGCCACCAGAGCTACTTAGCGTTTGAATCAAGGGTTTTTTTTACTGGCTCATGATGAAAACTCTTGAAATATCACATCCTTCAGGATGTGATTGATTGGCAACAAAGGTTCTCCTTTAACCTTATTCAGCAAAGTCAACCACAACCTCTGAGCCAATCGACTGCCGACGTTTACCGACTTGGACCAGACGCCGCACGATGTGACGGATTGACATGAGCTCCCAGGTGTGAAAATCTCTCGCCCATCCGCTTCAAAAAATATGTACACTCTGCCTCTTTGCTTTTCAATTCAGTGGTTCGGCATATGTCAGCCATGAGCGCGGGTCATCGACACATACGGGGTTGCATTCGTGTGCAAATATTAGCCCACTGTAGGCAAAGTCGGAGACACATGATGGACGTGGAGGAGGAGAAGGCATAGGACTCGATGATTGGCTTGCAAAAAAGTATATAATTAGAAATTCAATGGAAACTCGCCAGGCGAACTGTCTTGACCGGCCCAGTGCTCGTGTGAATGGAAGCTCCGATTTGTGGCAAACAAAACCAAGCCGCGCGGTTCCGTCAGGGTCTCCCAACTCTTGACCAACCACCACCACCACCTACCAACCTCGAAACACGATGAGCTCCAAGTCAACTTCCTCCAACTCGGAGTCGGCGTCCTCGGGCAACGACTATACGATCACTAGCACGGGAACAAACTCCCAGGTCTGTCCTCTTGTGCCCAATTCTCGACAACGTCGACTGAGACTCTGACGCAGGGCAACCACTACTGTCATCGCGAGTCGGACTCTGGGAGCGGATACCATTACTCGAACAGGTAGGAGTTTCAAGTCATCTCGTCCTCGTAGGAGGATCTGCTCTCTCTCCTCTCGTCTTTCTATTTCTCACACACGTATCATAGCAACGGCAGCTACTACTACAGCAACTCGAACGGCTCGACCTACTACAACAACGGCCAAGGCAATTCGACTTATACCTCCCCCAGTGGCAATGTCACGCGTAAATAGGCGGCCGCCGATGCGCCTTCTGGTCGTCGAATGATCTTGTTGCGTTCACGCGCGGCGAAGTATCTGCAGAGAATCTGAACCAGACTCAATCTTCCTGTGCCAATTACTTACCTTCCATCTCCCTTGCAATCAAGTGTTTGTTCTCTCTTCGCCTCTCGCAAGCTTCGGAAGCTCAACATTCAACCGTGAGATGCAAATGATCCGATCCTTTGTTCGCACACTCCGTCATTCCATGCGCAATACGCGCTGAGATCTGTGTACAGTATCTCCATGACTGGATCTCGGATTTTAACACACAATTTGTATTCAGAAGCCTCCGGCGACCTGCCGAGATCAAGTCAAGATGTTAAGAAGATTCGGCTACCAAGTCCGATATACTGCTGATCCAGGCTGATCCGCTAACTGTTCCGCTCAGCCGTGGGTGCTGACATCATGAGCAACAGCACAAGTAAGTCGACAGTATCGAGTGCAACGGCACGGCCAAGGATTTCATGCTCGTTCAAGCAGCAGCCACACGGTAACGGCGGGCAGACCGCGTTTATTCCCCGGCGTTTCAAGTCAATCTGACATGTGCTGAGAAACCAAGAGAAGTTCCAAGGATAACATGCGGCATTTTGCATGGGAGTGGGAATACGGAGCCCAGATAAGTGCGATCTCGAGTGCTGTTCAGAGTTTCGAAGCAGCAGCCATTCTCGTTGGGGCCGTGGAACTGGCGAGAACAGAGACCTGATTGCCCGCCCTGGCAGCGCATCCCGAGGAAAGTCCTCTTCCTCGTGGCAAACTCCGAAAGCTTGATGACCGGGAACTAGCAGCCTCGATTCGAATCAAGGGACGAGAAGAGCTCCTTATCGGCGACTGGGGTGGGGGAACCAGCACGCGCTGGCTTGGCAGCTGTGCAGTCGCACGAGATCGGAGGAAGTTGTTGGTCCAACGCGTTCGATGACCATTCAGGTTGCCAGTGTCGTGCTTGACGTGCTCAGAGGACTAGATATGAATTGGATAGTGAACATCATCCACCCGGGCCGACGACCAAGTGTCGGCATCTTGAGGCTGTTTTTGACTTTGCCCGAGACGGGATGGGTGGACACCCGATTACGAGAGCTGGATGAGAACTCCCGAGCTCATTTTTTCCGAATACAAGCATCGCGGAAGAACGCTGTGAATCGAAGAGGGATCTGGACGTCGCGCGGTCGACTACGGATCTCTGCACACCCTGGTTCTCTGGAATCACCCGGCATTTCGGCCCAGAATCCCTTGTGGAGTAAGCGGCTGCGCTTGTAAGGCGAGAAGCGTTGATTCACTTTCTTCACTTGAGGTCGGAGAGTACTTTCAAGTTCCACAAGTTGACGAAGCGGCCTGGTGTTCGGCCGAGACAGGAAAAATGCTGATTCAGGTCTGCCTGGCCCATGACCTGCAAACAATCCGACAAGTCGGCGCGAGATGGACCAGATTTGAAATCCGATGGGATGCTGATATAACCGTGAGAGTCAATGAGGCAAGCGCAAGCACGCTGGCGGAACGTAAGATGCGGGTGTAGACAGACACAGATTTGATTGTCCAGATTTTGTATTGTTGTCGACTTGCTTTCAGTTGTCCTTCTCCTCACTCCGAGCTTTTACGTCTTGGAGTCCTTTGCGTCTCTTCATTGCCGGGCAGCGGGTGCATGTCTGCCTCGCGATACTCTCTCCCCCAGCCCCCCAATGACTTCAGGCTCCCGAGTCTCAAGAGTCTGAATTTCGAGTATCAGCGCGACCAGGAAATTTCGAATGCGACGACTATACCGACCAGTGCTCCGACAATCCCGCATAACGCTTCCAGGCAGCAGGAGGTCGGACGAGGGAGGCTTGCCGGCCATGCCCAAGGGGGAGGACACGTTCAGTGGACGTCGAGACCACCTCAGCACCAGCTGGGTCCTAGCACACAGCAGCCTTCGCCTCCACCAAATGATGTAAATCGTCGTGTGGTAAATCCACATCCTCAAGCGCACCAAGGTCCCTATTCTGCTCGACCTCCCATACACGAATCTGCCTCTTCGCCGTCGGGATCGGGATCGGGGTCAAATTATGGCGCGGTGCCTGTTTCAGTCCCGCAGCATGTTCCACCGACGCACCCGTCGCATTCTCAGCAACCCCAGAGGACGACGCATCCCAGCGCAAATGGGAAGAGGACGAGCAAGTCGGGGCGGAGCTCTCAGCAGGTGTGTCGGCTACCCGTGTCTGACGACGACGTATTTGAGCAAGCCTTAGACCCAACAGCCGTATCCACCCTCGTCATCCTCCTCGTCTCCCTTCTATACTCAGCAGCAGCAACAGCAGCAGCAGCCTAGCCAGCCGGTTTACCAGGGTCCGCCACCGACCCACTCTTATCCAGTCCACTATCCCCCCGCTCTCCACGGAAGTGCCGAACCACCACCCTCTCATGTGCATCATCCACAACCTGCACCTGTGCCTCACCATTCTCATTCGCGGCAATCGACTTCGACTGCCTATCCCCATTCTCAGCCTGCACCGCCGCCTGCCCATCATCATCAGCAGGTGCATAATCCTTATCCGTCGCCAGGGCCCGGACCCCCGCCACCACCGCCGCCGCCCGCACAAGACTGGGATGAGCGACAGTATCATCAGCAGCTGCAGCAGAATCAGTCCCAGCAACGATATGCAGCTCCGTCCCCGCTTTCGCACTATCCACCGTCGCAACAGCAGCAGCAGCAACAGCAGCAGCAACAGGCGCCGCCTCCACCACAGGCTCAATATATGATGCAGGATCAGCGTTTAAGAACCAGAACAAGCTCTCAGTCTCGGTCTTCGCTGCATGGAGCAACGACGCCGGTGTCTAATCTCTATGTCCCCCCTCAGCCAGCGCATTCGTTATCGCAGCCACCGCAGGGTCCCCCCGCGAGCTCGTCGAGTTTATCCGGGGCTCAAGCACATTCGTATCCGCCGCCATATACACATGCTTCGCATCCGCCGACACCGCCGACACAACAGCAGCAAACGCACTCGTCCTCGCCCCTGCTGCTCTATCCCCATCAATCACATTCCCAATCGCTTTCGCATCCGCCCCCAGCGCCGCCGCCCTCCGCGTCGCCGCCGTCGTCGTTCTCTGAAACGCATGGGCCTCCTCAATACTCACATTCATCGTCGCTGTCAGGCTACGCGTCCCAACGGCACTCGCGGCCGACAGAGCAACGGCCGGCACCGTCGCAGAGGTCCAGCTCGGTAACTTCCGCGCCGGCTGTTTCGCCCGTCGCGTTGACACACCATCGGCAACCGTCGGGGCCTCGACAGCCGCAGCCGCAACCGCAGCCACAGCCACATCAAGTGCACCATCATCGGCCATCGCAGCCCACCCCGCCGGCGCCGCCACCTGTGGATGTCGCGCAATCGCAGCAGAATTTTGCCTCTGTTTCTCCTGTGATGTCCAACAGGCCGCCTCGCCGACCGACACCCGTTACTGCTCCCCACGTGCTAACCCCAGCTAGTGCTCGGACGCCGACTTCTGCGACGTTCGAATCATATCGGAGCAATCCTCCGCCACAGACGACGGCTGGAATGGGATCAATAGCTCCGAGGGATCTCTACGTAAATGCCAGCATGGCCGAGAAGCAACATGCCGCGCATTCGAGAGGCTTGTCACATTTGCAGCACCCGCCGCCGCCTTCACTGCCGCCGCTCGTAACTCAGCCGTCTCCCGTGCAGCTCGCGCCGCCGATCCAGCATCCACCGCCGCCGCCACCTCCGCTTGCTCAGCCCATCCCATCGCCACAAGAAGCGCCACCGCCGCCCAATCCCAAGGCCAGTTTCATGAATGGGGTTTGTGCCCTTGGTTTTCTCGCGCGCCAGATGATTGACAGCCATGCACAGATTGTCGAGCATTGCACAGTTTTGTACCAGTTTGCGAGCCACTGGGCGCAGGCACAGGCGCAAGATCCAAACGTCCAGCCGTCTCAGCAAGAGGTCGCTGCCATGGCTGGGCGCGCGGCCGAAGTTGTCCGCTTGCTCGAGGAAGTCCGGAAGCTGACTGCTGAATCTGCCGCTGCAGATTCGATGAGGGGCCGCGCGACCCCGATGGACGTCGACTCTGCGGGTCCGAATGACCACGGAAGAGGCCCGAAGCGGACTTGGGCGGAGATGCAGGGCGCGGAGGATGGCGAGGATGAGCTAGAGGAGGCGCGTCATATGAATTTCGGCGGTGTTTTGCCCTTGTCACTAATTGTTGAAAACAGGATTCCGAGCCTCAGCCATATCCCACGCCGACAGAATCGAAAACATCTCCTCCGGTGCAGTCGGGCAACAGCGTGTTTGATTCCAACCCGCACAACGAATCGCCCGAGGCGCAGACCACCGCGGAGTACGACATGGAGCTGATCCGCGTGAAACGGGCTGCTACGGGTGGGACGGTGGGTCCCATGGGCCCCACAGCCAAGAACAAATATCGGAAACGCAGTGTGAGTGTCAATGTCGGCTGAGAGGGAATGTGCCTGACGACTTGGCCCATGTTTGGTCTGGACAGAGGGCCACACCTCCTGGTAAATGTCATTCGTGTCAAATCCAGGAGACTCCGGAATGGAGGAGAGGCCCTGACGGTGCCCGAACGTTGTGTAATGCGTGCGGTTTGCGTGAGTGATTTGCCTATCTCTGTGACGTTCGGAACTGTTAATCGTCATCCAGATTACGCCAAAATGTTGCGGAAGCGGGAAAAAGAGCACCAGGCGGCTGGGAACAACGGGGAAGTGCCCAAGATTGACATGGAGGCCTTGCGAGCATCGGCCAAAGCCGACTTGGCAGAGAAGAGTGCCCGGAAAAGTGCGCAGCAGTCGCAGACGCCTGCCGAGAAGACCCAGATGCCGGCGCCCTCGCATTCGCACCATGAGGGCACATTCCAAGTCACGTTCTCGACCATCGGACCGGCGGATGTGCAGGCGCAGCTGAATGGACGGGCGAATGGGTCTGTTAAGGCCGAGCAGGCTGGGCCACCTCCTGGGCCGGCGGCGGCGGCAGCACCGATGATGACGACGACGACGACATCCTGGGCCACTGCGCGGAATTACACGCCGGACCAACAACCGTCGTTTATCCGTGCGAATGCATCCCCACGATGAGCGGCATCCGCTGCAGCTATCCATCCATCCATTCGTTTGCTTTCGATATTGCTTTCTTTCGCAGGTGCCGCCCCATCTACTTAATATTGTATCGTCCTTGCACCTTGGGTATTATCGCCTATCTGGTAGGGCTGGCTGTAGGAGGAGGATGTATGTATCTTTGTGTCACTGGACTAATCCTGATCAACCCTCGCCGATCTGTGCCTTTTGAGAATCGGTACCGGTATCGCCAATCTCATCGGGCTCCCCACGTGTGGCTGTGCGCCAGATATCAGGCGAGATTGATCCCGCGGAAGCAAATTCAGATCGATCCCGGCCAACTTGGTTTTAGTGGTGGTAGTGTTTCTAGAAGAGATGGAGGATGTAACATTGAATCCGTCTACGATCCATCATTGCGCAGAACGTGCACAATCGAGCCCGCCGAGCTGTGTGTGTGATGATAGTTAACTCCATTTGGAAGTTTCCCTTTTTAGACGACAGGTGTAATTTCCCCGATACTGCCCGATAACGATTCGCTTTGCGAGGCTTCGGAGATCGGCAGCCTAGAAAGTGATAGCTAGTGTAATACGACTGACGTCAGGACCAAGTGAGAAACAAGTCTTCACGGGTACGAAGCAGCTAAGAGCACAGCATCGACGAATGAATACATATATACAATCTCAATAATACTGGTAAGGTCGACGGCCGTTGAACGAATTCGATATATGCGTCGACTGGAAGTTCGAGCGCGTCGTGTGGTCGCCGCTGATGTTCGTGATCGTGATGTTCCCCCCAAGGGTATTCCCTTCGAAGACATTGGCCCACGTGGGATGCGCTGTGGGTGGGACACTGCCACTGCCGGCCGCCGAGGGAGCGGGGGTCGACATGTGCGGTGGTATCTGGCTCTGTGTCGACTCCGATTCCGATTTAGCTTGGGAGGCTGACTCACAGTCGAGCTTCTGCTGCTGCACACGTAGCTCGGTGAGGACCTGCACGACGTTCTCGTGGATAGAGATGCTCGATTGAAGCTGCAGGACCACCACATCAGCGCTATCTTGACGGAGAACAAGATAGGACCCCGCACCCCGAACACATCTAGCGACTGTTTGAGCCGTGCCCGGAACTGGACTATTTGCGCGGCCTGGGACGTCACGGTGAAAACCCGTCGGAGCATGGACCTCGATGCGCTTTTCTCAGCAGAGGCGTTGATCTGTCCGAGAGTCCTATGCGACTCGTGAGATACGAAGCTGACGGGATACTAATATACTAACACTATAAGATCCTCCACGCGCTTGCCGAGGGCGGACGACGGCTGCACCCCCGACTTGGCCAGATCCTCGTACACGAGGACAATTGCAGAGACCAGATCACACGCATCGTTCGCCAGGGCCTTGAACGCCTCCTTATTGTCCCTCACGCCCTGGACGGTCTTGGATATCGTAAGCGCCAGGCCCGCGGCTTGCTGCACGAAGGGCACGGGCGAGAGCTGCGAGGCCGCGGACAGCGTCGCGAGGATCGTGTTCGTAATGTCGAAAGCGGCCCCGCTGCTGTTGATCTGCGGAACCGACTCTTCGATGTTCGAGAAATAGGCCATCCCATGCGGGACCTTGGGGACTGCCGTGGATGGCGAGGGCACAGAAACGTTCGGGGTTGCCATTATGATGAAGCGTTGCTATATGTTGTAAAAATTAGGGATGTTTTGAATCCTTCTACGTGCATCTCGTTTATATCTTGAACCATGGGGGCGGTGGGCACTGGGGGCACACAGGGAACGAGGACCGTGGGAAGTCAAGAAGCTCTATCAAGCACAGCACGCGCTGATCACGATCGAATGCGCCCACGTGGTCTTACAGGGACTCACCGCCCCGTTTAAGATTAGCGTCCGTCGCTCCACAAGATCGAAAGCAAGAAGTCCGTCACATTATCAAAGAGAAGAGCTTGATACAGCAGTCCATGATGATACCAAAGAAAAGAGATCAATGCAATGTCGTGATAGTGCCCAACTGGGCCAATAAATATGAGTGCAAGAGAGAGAGCGAGAGCGATTTATGATGAGAAAAGTCCGGATCCTAATGCATTCTGACAAGGCGCCGCCAGTTGACACCGAAGAAGCTGCGTTCCTCAGCTATCCGCGCCGAAGGGGTCCCCTCGTCCAATGTCATATTGACAAATGCATGCCTCGCGCGCTCCAGCGATTCGTTGTGCGCAAACGGCGACGAGGCGCCAGCGAAGCTGTCAGGCAACTCAGCGGCTCCTTGAGAGGTCTGGTGCTCGCTCGTGCTTCCGGTGTTGGCAACTAGATGGATCAATCAGCTGTCGGGGGTTGGGACAGGTTGGGACGATAATCGCTTACGCTCATCGACATTGACGTCATCGAACGGCGCGTCAAAGTCGCTGATGTGTTCTGTGGGCTGCTCCCGCTCCTCAGGCTCGGTCACGATCGGTCTATTGGGTTGGCCATGGGTCCTTGGGTTTGATCGCCGGCGCTTCCACCTGGGACCGAACCCGTATCGTGAGGCACGAACGCCCGATTGGTCGACGGTGGGTCCATAACCTCGTGTCGCGCCGCGGTCTAGATGCGATTGCGGACGATGGCGAGAGTAAGGGCCGGGGTAGGGATAATCGGACTCGTCATCAGACCAGCCGTATGCAGAAGTGGACTTCGCCCCGCCGTCGTATGCATTGTGCGAGCCAGTCGTGAAGGTAGTGGTCCGGTGATTATGCTGATGCATGTCACCGCCGACATGCAGGAAGAATCCATCGGAGACGACACAGCCCTTGGCTCCAGCAAAGAATGACATGGTGAGTCGAGGAGAAACAGCAATCAATGCAATGGCTGGGCTGTTTAAATGGGGCCCGCTAGCGAACAGTCTCGCCGAAAACACATGCCCTCACAGCCCAATCTATCAAATCCCAGTCTGTGCAGGGATTCTTCTCCCAGGGCACACAGCAACTGCAGTGACAACCCACCTCATGTTCTCCGCAATACAAGCATCTATAATGTTCTAGCGTGTAGGAAAGTGCGTGGCTCGTTCTAATCATCTTCAGCGTCCGCTGCTGCAGGCTCAGGTATCAGAAACCCAACGAGGCATTCGTCCAGCATGAAGTCGGCGTTGACCCATGCATGTGTAGATGCTGCGGGTCGTTGTCAGCACCGCCATGCAACGCCAACGGTTCATTTGAGTTCAACGCACTGAACATGTACGTCCCATCCCTCCCGGCCACACGCATCAGCTCTTTCTCGCCCCCGGGATGAAACGCAAGATACGGCGTGATGTTGTACACCTTCCCGAAAAACGCAGACCAGGCGTCCTCCTTCGTACGGTGTTGTTTCAGGACGGACGGCGGGATGCGCATCAGGCTGTCTACGCCCTGCGATGAGCCTCAGCTTAGCGGCGCACGAGGTATTCAGTGACGACCCACCCTTAGATCGGCCCCGGAGCTTTTGAGCGCAGCCCAATCAAGAGGACTGTGGCCGGGCGTCAGGGCGACCTTCTCACGTTTCTTCCCCGACGGCTTCGCAGGGCGCTTCGTCGTTGCCGCAGGCGCCAGCATCGATGAAGATGGAGCGGACGACCTCGATGCAACGCCTGGTGTCCGCGTCGCGAGCGAGGGGGCAGGCGGGGGCGGCATACGCGCAGAATCCGATAGTATCTTGAGGGAATTCGTCTTCGAGCCCGACGATGCACGTTGGGCGCTATTGGGTGCAGGGAACATCGGGACGTAATTGTCGTCATCCTCCCTCTCCGTGGCGTCCTCGTCGTCCGAAGGAGGGGGCGAGACGCGCACGATGTCTGGAGCATCGGGTACCACCGCAGGCGCAGGCGCTGCTACGGCCGGAGCACCAGTAAGCCAGCTCATCAAGTAAGACGTCATGATAAAACGCAGAGTGGGAGGGAGATTATGCAGAATCGAAGGTAGGAGCAGCAAGAGAGAACGACGTCCGAGTCATACCTATTTAGTCATTCTCGATTGCGATCAATTGCATCTCCCAGAATGTCTGCCGCACCCTCACCGCCCGCAACGCCTCGCAAAGCATCGATACCTCGGCCCCCACCGTCGCCGCTCCGACCGTCCTCACCGACAACGCCGTTGACTGCGACCGCGACCCTCACCCCGACGTCGCGGCTGTCCAGCGCAGGGCCACCCGTCTCCCCTCGCCGGAACAGCAGCGCGCTGCCCTCCTCGCCGCCGCCGCCCACGACACCGAACAAGACCCGTGCACGGGACCTGCTGCGGAAACACTATGGGCTGGGTGTGGGGCCCCCGACACCGATCCCGGGGCGGACGCAAGATCCCATGAGTTTAGGTACGGTGCGGTGTTCCTCGTGGACGGAGGCAGACAGGCGTATGTTGACGGCATGTGGACCTAGACTCGCCTGCCTTCGATGCGAAATCATACTACGAGCAACTCATCACGACGACGACGCTGCCTGCGCTGATGAAACGCGAGAATGAACTGCTGAGCGGTACGCTACGCGGCCTGCGACGGATTTCATTGCAGGCATCAGTCTACTCATGACGACTCGTATGCAGAGATACGACAGCTGGACAGCGAGCGCCAATCCCTGGTCTACAACCACCATCATGAGCTCATAGCAGCTAGCGACACCATTGCTGCTGTACGTCTTGAATTCTCGGTCTGATCACGCTCGCTGAGTTGGTTGCGCTGCAGATGAAGACGCGAGCGGAGAGCCTTGATTCCGACCTCGACCTTCTGCGCGACGCTTTCTCTGAGATATCACGGCTGTGCTCGGAAGTTTCGATCGAGGAAGGTGCAGAGAACTGATTTATTGTAACTGCTGGGTCGGTACGGACGTTATACAGGGATGCTATCGCTACAAGGATGCCCGTTAGAGGCTGCGTCGCCGGGACGATATTGAAAGGGAAAAGAGCAACGGTCTACGCTGCGAACTTGTGCTTGGGCAACCAGATTTCTACTTGGTAGTTGGCTCCGCCGCGGTGCTCGAGTCCAGTGCTGCTGAGCTGTGAGATAGAGCGAGTGGCTTCCAGCCGAGTGCACGTACATGAGGATGTCTTGGGGGCGGATGTATGAGCTGCCGATCTTCCAAGTCTCGTAGCCAGGCTGCATCGGGAACATCTTGCCCTGCTCTCGACGGTCAGCCTCTCGGGAGTCTGAGCAACGTGAGAAAGACTGACCGACACGGACTTGACGAACACCCCGACGACGTTGCAGACATTGAGAGCGAATATGGTGCGGTGAGCGCCGTGCTGCGTTCGCACCCGCTTCTCAAACGGGGGGTAGCCGGGCCACAAAATCCGAATGCGGATCTCGCGGTACGAGAAGCTGGGGTCGAACACCGGAGTCTGACCGTCCTCGAGCAGGGAGCTGCACTCGCCCTCGATGTCGTTCATGCGGATGCCGGGCGCGCCGCCGGATGCAGCAGCCCGCTGGGTGCGGAACATGATCGGGGCATGGCGCACGTTGTCGTACCGGATGTCTCCCGACGGCGGGATGGGGTCCACGTAGATCTCCTGCGGAAGCCGCCAGTGATCGAGAGGGCCGTCGGGAAGCCTTGGGCCAGCGGCTTTGGAGCCCCGGCGGAGTTTGGGGACCAGCATCGACGTGTCGGCGACTGACCCGTTGCGCGATCTCGGCTTGGCATACGGCGTGGTGTGCTTTGAGGTCGACTGCTGGCGATTAGTGTCCAAAAATCATATGTGCGGATCCCTCGAAGATTGCTTACGTTTGATCGAGCAGGACCCACAGTCGTGTCAAATACAACAGAGTTGCGCCGAGAAAGCGGTGCGGGTGTCCCATAAGACGGGGTCTGGGGAGCACCGGGGAAGCCATATGTCTGGCTGTGCAGAGACGGCTGAACGAAGCCAGACGGAGAATACGACCGATCGTAGGCTGCTTGCTGGATAGGCTGGTGCGAAAACGAAGACGGGTAAGCGGAGAATTCTGGTGGCATTCAACATCTCGAGCTGAGCGCTTGGGCAGAAAACTCACGAGAGCCATCCACTGGGATGGCTCCAGAAAAGTGGGTCGGAAGAGCCTCCCTGTTGGAGACCGTGTACAGCGCGCTGGAACCGAGTGCAGCGTAGGCAGGCATTGAAATGTGAATAGCACAGCGAAGAAGGATGCTCTTCCACCCAGCGCATTATTCGGTTATATAGCGACTGAATTTGAATCCTCCAAGGTGGCATTGTTGCTGAAACCTCCAAAGCGCGGCCGGAAAAGCGTAAAGCGCCCGCTCCGTGGAAAGCCTTGCCTTGCGAGTATTGTTTCCAAGAAAGCGCGTGATTGAGCAAAGGTTGCGAGGCCGACAGAAGCATTGCAGAAAATGAATCATTGACTGTCCCGTTTGGGGCAACCCGAATTTTCGCAAAGAGATTTCTTGAGACAAAGCTTTACGGAAGTTGATGTCAAGACAAACGCCGTAGTCGGAGCAGAGTGTGCTGAGACCCAAGTCTAGAAGAGGGCTTCATCACTATACGTGTTTGTGCAGACACACTAACGATGGTAAGTCAGGTTAAGGATAAGAAGTAGGATTCATGTTTGCTGAGGGCAAGATCTTCCACGCGAAGTTGGGTGACAGCGATGGCTGTGCAAATTAGCCCATTACATCATTGAACATACCGATAGGTCACACCTCGGAATAGCGCGTTACTAGTCTTGATAATCAGATCCGTAGCTCCCATCATGTCCGCAGTGCTCCTAACGAGTCCTTGTCTGTCCTTGTCGCGTCAGTCACGCGAGTTGGGTCGCAGCTATACTGATTTATCGCGAAGAGTCACATCAGGTGGCCGAGAGGCTCGTGACACATGACGTAGCCTTGACCAACACCTGCACTGCACCGCGTACCCATCTCAAACCATCATGGCTACTGTTGGGCCGGAAGCCCAGGATGCCCTCTTTGCCAGCGAATCTCACTCCGTTTCTCATCGTCCGAAGCTCGACAAGAACGTTGTCCCTCCTTCCCTTCTAAGAGCCACAACAAGGCTGCAGTTTCCTCCGAGCTACATCGTCGTCGGTGCATACCGGTTGTTCACAGACAAGGTGAACTGGCAAATCGAGAGAGACTCTCTAGCTCAAACTCACGAATGCCGAGCTAGAATATATATCTACCTGCCTGGGCCAAGTGTCAACATGGCGTTCAGCGCGGGGCCATAGTGGGGCTGATCTGGGTGCGTCGACTGTAGCGATCATTCTGCCCGGATGTCCGACGTGCACTCTCTGTGTAGGCTTTCTTGACGTTTGGCATCCAAAGGAAGTTCATCGAGGTGTTCCTTGCCAAGTAGGCCACCCTCTGTCATCATCTCTGGCGCTGTGTCTGATCGTAACGGCCCTACAGCTCCCCTCGCGTGACCGGTCTTTCCCATGAAACCATGTTCGGGTATAAGATGCCCTTCACCGTAACGACATGTCAGAGCTCACCAACGTCCTTTACGCGCACCGTACTCATGGGGGTCGTTTCGCAGACGCTGCTGTGCTGATGCTCGGAAACCAAATCACCAACATATTGCGTTTCTTCCTGTCCCGAAACATCCGCATCGCCCGGGAACGCGCATGGGACCAAACAGTCGCGTCTCGCGGGAAAAGCGCTGATTTCTGGTGCGCCGATCTCACTGATCCATCCTTCAACCCGATTGAACCTTTACTATAGGATCCCTTACGTCGAAGTACGTTCTCCCCGGCTCTTTTGTGAGAGAAACCTACAATGCGCAGGAATGGGAAACGCCCCCTCGCGTGCCAACGGACACGTGGAGCGGCCGAATGGAGAAGCAGTGGTCCAGCGCCGTCTTCATGTTCTTCCTGAAACGAGGTGAGCCCTGGTATCTCGAGGGGATCGCACCAAGGTCTCATCAGATGATGGACGAATAGCTCTGCTCGTCCCCCTGAACTTGTATCCGGGTCTGGGCATCGTCGTCGCCGCGTGGTTCAAGTCACTGGCGACCGCTCACCGCCAACACACGCAGTATTTCGCCGCAAAGAAGATGTCTGATAAAGAGGTCGCCGTGTTCATGGAGGAGCGCAAGTGGGACTACAGACGTGTGTACTCGGATTGTGCGCGAGGCAACCATTGACAGTTTGCAGTGTTTGGCTTCGCTGCGGCGTTGTTGGAGGGACTGCCCATCATCGGTCTCGTTTTTACGGTCTCGAATCGTGTCGGGGCCGCAATGTGGGCTCACGGTAACCGCCTCCTACTGTGTCTCTTTATTCCCTTTTGACCTTCGCATTCAGATCTGGAAAAGCAGCAGCATTTCTATGCTTCGAAACATGATGTTGAACTGAAGCAGAGAGGTTGAAAGGATATGCAGCGCGTGAATATTCACTCATGTACTCCGAATATATGTAAGCACTTGGCTGACATGTGTTTTGCTTCTGCTTCGGCCAGCCATGGTCGGATCGCCGACATCCATCGAGTCGCACAAAGCATCGGTAGAGAGGATGCAAAATAGCAGCAGAACAAAAATGATGGTAATATACTTGATACAGTACGCTGGTGCTACAAGAAAGCGTGTATTCATGGAAGAACGGTCAGTGTCGCGGAAAAGTCCCACAGGCCCGTCCCCCCACTTCCGACGATTTGGGGCGCAGGTGCGGGGGCTCGAGGCGATGCGTGCAGGACGAAGGTCCTGTCACTCATCGGCTGGAGCAACGAGAGGCGAATCGTGTTGGCACCCGCTTGGATATAGTCCGTCACGTCGATCGGCGAGCCCGCGTGCTGCCCCCTCAGATGAGCAGTGGAGGAGGGTGAGATTCATATTCCGGACACACCATATCGTAAGGCAACCAGGACCGGCCCCCGCCTCCTTCGCCGCCGCAGATGTCAACCACAAGTGTATTGTCCGGCGGCCACATGCACTCCAGTGCGAACGTCGCATTCGCCTTGTCCGCGGGTGTCGGGTCTCGCAAATTGTCATACATCTGCGAGAGCGTGGCGGTCGACACACAGAGGAGATTGACAGCGATTTTTGGCGGCCTGTGTCGTCGCGTGGCGGGATCCTCGTCTCTGGGTGGCGTCAGTCCGGCGAATACCAGGAGGAAAGTGAGAGAAACCCACGGCAGCGGAATATCCCATGCGTAGGCGAGCCCAGGTTCGACTTGGAAGGTGACTTCGAGGAGAGTAGACCAAGCACTGCCTACTTTGACCATCCACAGCCCTGGCACGTTATCACATGGATTCTCAGGTCGGGGTGGAACTGCCGGTGGGAGAATTGCGTCAGTTCCTCGGCCAGAGGGTCCTACTGTGGAACCAGCGGTGAACATGTGGCTAGGGACTAAATTTGACAGCAATGATCCTGCTTGTGTCCGATGTGGCGACGGAGAACGCGGGCCATTCGATGACGGTCGCATCGGTTCGATACCCCCGTCAGGTGACCGCCTTCGTGAAGGTGTTGTTTGTCGTTGAGGAGAATACTTCCGTCGAGAAGGGTATTCCCACGGCGGCGACTGGTTGCGGCGCGGAGAATAACGTTGCGGAGATCGACTGTCTCCGGAAGAATGCTGGCGAGGAGAATGCATGAGAGGAGAGTGCGGAAATGGAGAATGGCGCCGTGCCGAATGGTAATGCCCGTTCGGTGAAGCTCGTCGGACTGGGGACCGGGGTCGAAGCGGAGGTCGATTTCTTAATAGATCGAATTCTTCAAGCCTACGGCCTCTTTGTGGGGAAAGGGATTGCACAGAGCGTCGATCACTGCCAAAGTCCCGTTCTTTCCCTTTCAGCGAAGGTCCAGAATGAAATGATGTACTGCGTGGCTCTTGAATTGGAGGGGGCAAGGATTGCCCATTGTTGCTCAAAGAAAGAGGATCCCCGAGACCGTTCCTGGGCTGTTCCGGTGCGAACACATCCTTCAGGCGCGCCTCCCCAAACTTCACACTCAGTTCATCTTTGACGTGGCCTATCCTCGTGGCAAAGGCCTGGACCACAGGGGGCGTCAACAAGTCATTGATTTTCCGCTCGGTTTCTTTGACATTCAAGTCACGGTCTCGTCGCCTGGCGTTATTGAGCACTGCGTCCCTGAGTGTGATACCCGCTTGTGTACGCGGAGAGTCGCGTTCGAGGGCGGAAACCGGCGCTTCGTCGCCGGTTGTGAAAGGTTGACCGTGTGGCAGAGAGGCTGACACTGCGCTGGCTTCGTCTAGGGTCTGCTTCGTCGAAGACTGGCCCGGCTGGTATTCCTTGGCCACTCGTGCTGGATCATTGATGATCGCATCGACAGCCGTAATGTCCGCGAAGGAGAAAGATGAGGATCCAGAAGATGGTGGGGTGGACCCTTTCTGGTAATAGCCGCTTCGGGTACCATTGGCATCGTAATGCAACTTGGAAGGCTCGGTCTGGATCAACGGAGAGGTTCAAGTAGATCAGAAACCGCCTTGACGCAGTATCAAACTGGTGAACAAACGCACTGTAAACACCACCGGGCGCCTATCTTCTGCTACTTCTCCGATCTCGATGCTCCCTGCAGAAGTATCCGCGCTGGAGGAACTCGGGGAACTGCTATTGGAACCAAGAAATGAGTTCTGCAGGCTTTCGTTGACATGACCGTTGGCAGTCCCCTCAGATTCCATGTCGATTCTCTCTAGCAAAGGCAACACTTTTGGTCCCAACCGGTTTGACAACGACGAGGGGGACGAATCGGCCAAGTCTTTGCATGCAAGATTTGCCGAGGAAGTGGCTTCGTGAACATGCTGCCGAGACGTCGCGCGGGGATGTGTATAATAAAATCCGGAAGGCGAACTGCTCTTTGACTTCCATGATTTTTCGGAGGAGGGAGTTGCAGGTGACGAGAGGCGCGCGTGTAATGGGGTCTCTGCCATACATAGGGTGCTGCTGAAGTGTGTGGCGATGTTGGCGCAAGAAGTCCACGCACGAGGGGAAGTCGCGGACGCAGGACGCGGTGCAGAACAAATACGAGCTAGATATTTTGATCGCAACTTTCGACAATGCTTTCTCAGTTATGCAAGTCAGCCCTCTCCAGACGCGTTTCTTCCCCACTCTTAATAAGGGGATAGTCGGCTGGCATGAATCTTCGGCACGGGGAACCGGTGGTCATTGGACCGGACAGTGGCTCACACTTCGTCAATCACAGGTTTAGGAAATTCCGGACTACATTCTCTCATCCGAACACCCATGTCCACCGTCGATTATTCAGCTCTCGGCTTCAAGAACATCATCGCTCGCCTCGATGGGCCGGTTCTCATTGTTCTTATGAATAGGGCAAAAGAGTGCGTAGCGAATGGGAAGGTTCGAATTGTCCCTCACAGTGTTCATCAGTCGGAACACCTGGAATCGCCCTCTGCCTTCGGAGCTTCGTCAAGTGTTTGAGCTCGCCGACAGGGATGACCGCGTTAAAGCTGTCGTCATGTCCGCAGAACATACAGCTCCGGCATACTGTGCGGGGGTATGTACCGGATTCCCGCACTCCTTAGTCTTGTCTCACCTGTCCTGTCCTGTCCTGTCCTGTTCTGTAGGCTGACATCTCTGAGGGATGGAGCTTGCTCTGGGACCCAGAAGAGACGAAGGAGGGCCCTCTTGGCCACCGCGACTCTGGTGGGAAGACCTCTCTGGTCATCTACCGCTGCCGCAAGATCACTATTGCCGCAGTCAACGGGCACGCTGTGAGCTATTCCACGTGTCCCATATCGTCATGGTTTCATGTCCTCGCTCTAGGCTGGTGTGGGAATGACCACTATGCAGCTGCCATTCGATTTCCGCTTCATCTGGAAAGGCGCCAAGCTCACATTCCCTTTTGTACGGCGCGGTATCGTTCCAGAGGCAACATCCTCCTATCTCCTTCCACGGCTCATCGGCCAGTCGCGCGCCATGTCACTCATTCTGAGCGGCAGCACAATCAGTGCCGACTCGCATCTCATTAGCAGCTTGTACCACCAAATCTTCCCTACCCGCGAGGAAGTGCTTCCGGCCGCCGTGGCCTTCGCGCATGAGCTTGCTTCCAAAACATCTCAGGTGTCGATTGCCGTCGCGAAAGGGTTAATCCAGCATCCTGGGGATTCGATCGAAGAGAACCATTTGCTTGATTCGCGTGCGATGCGCGCATTGGGCGCGTCACATGATGGCGAGGAGGGTGTGCGTGCGTTCATGGAGAAACGGGAGCCCAAATTTACCAGCCAGTTGTCCAAAGACCTGGGAGACTGGTTTCCTTGGGTCCGTGGACTTTCGCGAATCTGACGTGCCACTGGTCCTAATTTGCATTTCTAGTGGAGGTCAATTAGGACCGACGTTCCCAAGACCAAATTGTGATGAACCGCTGTGTTCTATCAATGTTAATATACATTTCTACTGGGGCCCAGGACCATCGGGCTTCAGCGATGTTCTCCCTGCTCGTAAGACTTCATCGCAAATCAATAGATTGACAGCGATCACAGAGCTATCGGCGAATGAGACAATCAATTGAAAATGGTAGCGGAAAACTCACCACGAGTGAAGCATCTGTCGTTTCACGCGGTAGTTGTCCCAGACACCTTCCACTGTAGGATCGAATGGCTCTCCGGTGATCAGATTGATTCCAACGATGTTACCCTCGGCCTGTTCATCCTGCAGGGCTACAACTGCGTTCTGGACATCGAAGTTGCCGTTCTGCGCCAAGGTTTTCGGGATAATCATCAGAGCGTCAGCAAATGCTTGCACACCCATCTTCACTCGACCTTTGGCGGACTTCTTCACTTTGTCCACGAGATGCGCGGAGCATGCCACTTCGAACGCTCCAGCTCCAGGGATCAATGCCTCGTCCTCGATAGCATTTTTGACGGCCCGCAGTCCATCGCGCAAAGCCTCCTGAATCTGAGTGATGGTGTGGCTGTTGGGTCCCTTGATGAGCAAGGTGACCGATTTGGGCGCCTTGACTTCCTCCACAAATGTGTACTTTTCTTCGCCCAGGGTGTGCTCATACACAAGCCCGGCCCAGCCCAGAACGGAAGGTTCAAGATCATCCACAGAATTTTGCGCGATGCCACCAGAGATCAGCTGCAACCTGATCCGACTGTGAGCGATTGTTTGAACAGCCCATAGCATAGATATTACCGTTCCATATTCCTTCGCTTGGCACGACGCAGAGCGAAGATGCCGTTCTTCGCGAGGATATCCAACGAAAGCGGGTCAATGCCCTTCTGATTTACGACCACGAAATTCTTGCGTTTCTCCTTGCTATCCATCGCCTGATCGCAAACGAGGTTCTTGAGCTCAACGATCTTCTTGACTTTCTGATCCACGACACGTCGCTCAGCCTCCACAAGCTTTTCACGCTGTTCTGCCGACGAGTAGAAGAAGCTGGAGTTGACTTCGCTGCAGATCGTTGTGAAAACAATCGGATGGACGAGGGAATTCTATCACGCACGTTTTTTCATACTCGAGACTGACATTAAGGATGAGGATGAACGCGTTTTCGACGCGTTTAGGCATGTCGGGATGCCGCGCACCGTGATCCATTACCAGTCCACGGACAAGCTGAGTCTCAGACGCGGTTCGATGCTGCATCTTCATGATCTCCACCATGTGCAGGTCGATTGGACTACGCCATTGATCGACTGCATCTGCAAGGGATGAGATAAAAGAGGCACGAGCTGTTGGTTGCAAACCTTTGGGCAGGGGAGGAGGTTGAATGGTAAGAACAGCATCAACGACATCTGCAGCTAGCTTCTTTGCCATTGCAGCATTCAGTTTGGTGGCGAGGGATGTATTGGCGACATTGATAAGCGTAGCACGATCGAGCTTCATAGGCTGCTTGAAGGTGTCCAAGAACTGCACAACCCTCCCATAAGCACAAAAAAGATCAAAACAGAAATAAAAGGGCAGCCCACCGCCAAAGACTCTTTTTTCGCCAGATCGAACCCCTCCGACACCACAGCAGGATGCACGCCCTCCGAAGTGAATCGATCGGCTTGTTTGAGGAGTTCCCCGACCAAAAGCACCACGGACGTCGTTCCGTCTCCCACCTGGTCATCCTGCGCCACTGCCGTCTTCGCGATCATGGCCGCAGTTGGGTTCTGGATCTGCATCTCTGAGAGCAGCACTTTCCCATCCTTGGTCATTTTGATCTGTCCCGACCCGTCGACAAGCATTTTTATCGTTCCCTTCGGCCCTAAAGGTGACGTTGACGTCGTGAGATGGAGTTTAGAGGGTGATTGGACGCGGATGGCGCGCACCGAGGTTGCCTCTGACGACGTTCGCGAGTCCCATTGCACCATTTGTGTTCACCTATGAGCGCGTTACAATGCTGGATATGACAAATCGGAGCGTTATATACCTGGAGTGCTGCAGCCCGACGGATGCTCTCCGCCTTGGGGTTTACAAGTTCCAGGCTCGAGGACATTTTGGTGGATCAAGAGTACGCGTTCGACAAATTGAGCGTGGCTGTGTCGCACGCCGGTCACAACATCTCTGATTGTTGAGTCCGCCGATTTCAATGTCTCATACAATGAAGACAGTCACACCTATTACAGAGACAACAATATAGACAAGATTTCATGGGATATAAGTAAAGGACGGTGTGCGAGTGCAATACGAAGTACAAATGCGAGGGCGAGCAAGCAGATCGAGCATTGCACAAAGAGAGGGAAATTGGAAGAGAGTGGCAGAGCAGCGGCTTGGCTGCTCGTTAGATGATACAGTACGATAGACCGATAGATAGCAGATAGCTAGTGGTTAACATAGAAGAAAAAGAAACTGCGTCCATTCGCAGTGGTCGAGGAGCTCTCTCATTCTGTCTCGCCCGGGATACTGGACTCGACGACCTCGTCCAGTTTCTTCGTTCTTGGCTTTCTTTTTGCCGTGGACGATGTGCTCTTCACTTCTTTGGCGACAGTGACAGTCTTCTTAGACTGCATCCCCGACTTCTTGCTCTTCAGAGCACTGACAGCGACCACCTCCGTGAGTTGACTGCTGGTCTGAGTTTGTTCCTGCGAGTTGCCTCCAACAGCCATCACTGATGTTGTCGAGGAGAATGAGGCCTCGGTGACCAACGTAGATGACGGGCCGGCAACAAATCGACTGCTGGCCGGCTTGCGCTTGGCGGGGGAACTCGAAATAGACACTTCAGATCGTGCACGGGAGACGGATCGCGTCCTGAGAGCTGACTTGGTCTTGGCTGGCTTCGAGCGTCCCGATGCGCTCTTCAGCGGGGACTTCGCTCGCGAAGTCCGGCCTCGCGAGCTGCTGGGCTTGGGAGATGGCTGCTCCATGTCGACATCTTCATCATCAAAAAGGGCTGTCCCAATCTTTGCGCGCTTGGATTGCCTTGTGCGGACGCTACTATGACTTGCACCGTCGTCGTCGCTGTCCTCGTCTGAGTCTTCGTTATCGCGAGTGCGGAGACGTTTTCTCGGACGAGGATCATGGCACCGCAACCGCGTACAGGACACTAGTTTGTCCTCGTGTACGGTTGAGTCTGCACGGAAGCGCGCACGCTTGTTGTCCGTCTTCGCGTAGGTTAGTTTGCGTTTGCACAGAAGAACGGCACCACGCACGGTATGCATGCCCTCATAGCACCATCCATCAGGAGGACCCATATCGCCTTCCCCTTCGACAGTTTTCCCGCAACAGCCGAAGAGTGTTTCATATCCGCCACCAACCCTCTCCACCTCAGCGCTTTCGTCGTCGTGCCCGATCAAGCAACTCCGATCATTATTTTCGACCTCAAAATAGCCTTTGTGGCAACGGACACAGTGCAACGTTGGGGGCGGCTCGAGTGCCGAGAAAAACTGCGCAAGAGGACCAACGTGTTGAGGGGAAGCGTGGCTGATGCGCGCAAGCACGTATGCATGCAACGCCTTCGGAGGAATAGATTCAATTAAAGCGTGCAAGACGTCGGGATCCGCAAGGTCTGGGGCAGGAGAAGGGGTAGCGGGAGGGCCTCGCGACTGGTCATTACGCGGCGAAGATCCCGACAACACAGAGGGAGAAGGGGTCCGTAATTGGACGGTGGTGTCCTCTTGGGTTGTCTTCTTCGTCAGATCAACACTCGATTTATTGCGCGAGAATAAGCCGAAAACCATAGCTGCGCGTTGTGAGTATGGCAAGGATACAATTCCTATGTGGTCTGCTTGGAGGTAAGTCCTGGATTATCAGAACGATCAGGCGCAGTATATGTAGTACTGAAGTTGTAGAGGGAGAAAGAGTAAAATGATATATGCTGGATGAAGTGCGCCGGGTGTGGAGCTAGATGTTGCAGCCCAGCCCGAGCGAGAGACGAAATAAAGAGAACGTCAGTGGAGCGTGGTGCGCCAGAAAGAAAGCGGACACGCGTGTTACGTTCACACAATGTGACAATGTGACAAGTATGACGCGCAAACATTTGGTCGCCTTCAACAACCCTACTGTGTAGTACCCCCGAGTCGCATTGTCTCTCGAAGTGATGACTGAAGCTTGCCTCCTCCTCGTACAAATATGCGCCAACACTGGCGACGAAGACTGGATACTTCCTGTCCCATATCTCAATGGATGATCACGTCCAAGGCGCAAGTTCCGGAGCTCAACTTGTGTCCGTCCCACTGCGGCCGCTAACGTCTGAGACGACATGCCTCAAGCTTGTCTCTCCTGCGTTGTCAAATGGATGTAGCCTTGCTATCTTCAGTCGCAAGCATGGGGAAGCCAATCGACTCGCGAACAAATCTCCATGAATATACATACTGAACGTGCACTGACTGTTCTCCATTTCCACGTCTGGCATCTAGCGAAGGCCGCTTCTTAAGACACGTCTCCACACATCAAATGATTGTTACTGTGACTTCGCAGCCTATTGCCGCGGCCAAAGCAAGGACCCCTGGGAACATCTCGCGCCATCTAGGGATCGTCTTGTGAAATCCTGGTTTCGCGTTTTCAATGCACGATGACGAAATATTTGCACCGGTCCACGAGACTCATATAAATGGTGTCAATGCTCATAATCTAATCACACCATTCGACACGCACTACCATGGCGCCGGTTGCAACTGAACTCGCCCAATCCACCTCTGAGCGGATTCAGTCTCTCAAGGAACAAGCTAAAGCCGATGAAGATGTGTCCGTCTTCAATCCCTTCTACTCCCCTTCAATTGGAGACGATGGGGATGCGTCATATGAACATGCTCAGTACAAGGTGCGGCTCCTACATCCATAGTCCCCTTGTCTGTGCTGATGTTTCGCAGCCGTTCTTTCCCAAAGTGTCCTGGCCACCCTTGACGGAGGTCGAAGTTGTTGACCGCGCTCAATTCGCCGATCCCTCTAAGAAGAATCTGCTCGGCGCGGCAAGCAAAGTCATCACTCTCAACCCCACTATCGGGACGGAGCTGCACGGCATCGACCTGCGCCAGCTTTCTGAAGCGCAAAAAGACGAGCTGTATGTTTTTCTCCGCTTCGAAGAGCATTCGCTGAGTATTCGCAGTGCGCTGCTTGTTGCAGAACGAGGAGCAGTCTGCAAGTCATCCCTCGTTTGTTCCTTATCTTCAGAGCTAACGAGCCATCCCTGCAGTCTTCCGAGACCAAGAGATCGATATCAACGGACAACTGGAGCTCGCCCGTCACTTCGGACCTCTGCACAAGCATGCGACGACGCCTATTCCTCAGATCGGCCTGGAGGAAGTACATGGTCCGTCCCTGGTCACATGCCGACCGTGCGACTCAATGTTCTGTTTCAGTCGTGTACAATGACTCTTCTCGTCGCCCGGATCCTGCTGCATTCTCAGCCCTAGAACTGTGGCACAGCGACGTCTGTATTTGTCATTCTTGATGGCGCAGAAGCTGATCGTTTCGCAGGTCTCGTACGAACTGCAGCCACCGAGTACGACGTCGCTTAAAGTCATTGCGGGCCCCGAGTACGGAGGAGACACGCTCTGGAGCTCAGGATACGCCCTGTTCTCGTCATTCAGCCCGGGCTTCCAGAAATACCTCGAGGGCTTGAGCGCAGTGCACAGCGGTGTTGCACAAGCCGAAGGATCCCGTGCTGCTGGACTGCACGTTCGCAGAGAACCCGTCGAATCCGTTCATCCCGTTGTCCGTGTTCATCCGGTCACAGGATTCAAGAGCATCTATGTTAACCCGGGATTCACACGCCGTATCGTTGGCGTGCCAAAAGCGGAATCCGATGCGCTGCTGCAGCTGCTGTTCCAACAGCTATCGCAGAACCCTGAATTCCAGGTTCGCTTCCGGTGGGAAAAAAATTCGGTTGTCTTCTGGGTTTGTAGTGCCTTTTTGGCTCATCCATGCGCATGCTGACCTTTCGCCAAGGACAATCGCATTGTCACGCACTCGGCTACATTCGACTTTTGGCCTGCGCGCCGGCACGCTCTTCGCGCAACTCCCCACGGCGAAAAGCCGATTTCAGTGGCTGAGTATGAGGCATCTGGAAAAGTCGCCAAGGACCGCCGCATCGAGGTTTGGCGGCAACAGGGCTTGGAGCCGCCCCATGTTGGCGGCGGACCGGCCAAAGTTCGCGGGTACAATGATTGAGAGCTGTAAATGTACATATGTAAAAGTAGATCCAGTGAAACAAGACAAGAGAATCACAACGTTTTCAACGACGAGTGGGGGCTTGAATTGACGATTACATACAGAGGACTACATAGACACAACCAACTTAATCGTCGTCTTCGTCCGAATCATCGTCAGCTTCCTCGAGCCACTGTACATAAGGGTCAACGGGGAGTGTAGCAAAACCAACGAATGTACACACCTTGAGGAAGGGCTCGCTGGCTTTACGAACACGTTTGCTAGTGTCTTTGTCGACGTACTTCTTGCTGACGTGAGTACCCCACTGAGTGACGACCTCTTCTTCGAGAACATCTGCCTGGTACAAGGCCATGAGGATCTTGGGCACCTGGGGCAACAGATCGGGGAAGGCCAAGCCCACGAGACGTTCGACACCGCCTAGCAAGGCTTTCTGGTGTTTCTCAGAGGTGACCATCTGACGTAGACACGTGAACGACAAGTAGCACATTGCTAGAGAAACGCACCTTCTGAAGAAGCGGGGCGAAGTCGGGGATCTCCGTCAAGACGTCCTCAGTGAAGATGGTCACTAGGATCAGAACGGTCTTGTGTTTCTTCTCAATCCCGAGTTCCTCCGCCTTCTTGTAGATGGCGACATTGAGAGCAGGAGGTTCCATCTCTGGGGCGTCCATGATCCAATTTCCGAATTGGGTGTACGGGCTGTTGCCATCATCGTCGCTGCCATCGTCGTCCATGCCCAAGCCATTCATGCCACCTTCGAGCGCCTTGATGCGAGCCTTGACAGCTTCGGGAGACGTGTCGGCCGACCAGTCCTCTTTCGCCAAGGCGGTGTCCTCGTTGAGCTCCGCAGCCTCGGCCTTGATCTTCTTAGTCAACTCATCATCGCTCTCAGCACCGCCATCCCCATTCTCTTCGGCCCCGTTCTCGGGAGACTCGGCATTGGCACCGCCGACCCCGGCGGCAGCATCGCCCGTGTTAGCCGCCTTCTTGCCTTTGCGCACTTTGGCCGGCGGGTTCTTGAGGATGAAGGTAGTGAGCTTGTGACGCATATCGACGCCCGTCCGCTCGCCACAGGCTTTGCAGTCGCGGATGATGTCCTCCTGGCGACCGCTCTTCAGGATGATGAGCTCGGTCTCGGGATTCTTGCATGATTTGCACAACACGAACTTCTCGATGAATCCATCGAGCAGCTCGCGCAGGCGATCGGCTTGATGCGCCCCGTTGACGATATATTTGTCGTTTTTCTCGTCGACAGAGGTCTGGGCGCCGAGTTCGGAACCAAAGAATTTTGTGGTGTAGCTGGGAGGCCGGCTGAGTGCGCGTGCGACATCGGCCATGTTGGGGAGGACGGTTTTGATGCCATTTCCTTTGCCCTCGATTTTAGTGAGGAGAATAGGCATCCTGAGAAGACATATCGATGAGGAGGAGCTTGGAAGTGCTGTGAAGTTACATACCGGTAGCGGTAGAATTTATCGTCTACATCGCGACGAATGTTGACGAATCCAGCCATGGTGGGCGAAAAAGCTTATTTAGCGCTGTGGAGGTCATGAGCACGGTGCATGAATAAGGGAGCGGAACTCGCAACGCACGAAACCGGAAAGAAAATGGAGCGTTATGGATCTTCTCTGTTCAGATATGATTGGAGGACGAAGCATGGATCTCTGACTAGACAGAGAGATGCTGTGGGTAGAATAGAAGTGGGTCGACGCTATCGTGGATACGTATGTCCTGGGGATGTGGCGGGATGGAGGAAGGATGTGCAGTGCAGGATGATGATGACCAGTGAAAACTGCAAAGATGGCAGTGCTCAGCTGACTCAGTGACACGTGGTAGCGTCCGGCTCAATGATGGCTCGAGCTGACTAAGTATGAGGATGTCCGAGCCTGACTTGGGTCCAAGTAAGTACATACTGGGTAATACAGGTCGAATGTCAGCTCTCTTAGACAGGTGTTACTAGGCGAACAAGTCCGAGAGACGACATCTGAAAATGCAGCGCAAACGATCACGGACCAAAGCCTGTCCCGGAAACGAATCTACTCCGCGCACGGAGGATCAGAATTGTTGGGAGGGTCGCACTACGTCAATATGGCGAACAGCGACGGACCCATCTGAGTCTGTTACAACAGTAGCCCTTCAAGTTTGGAACCGAAGGATTCACGAATCCGTTGCCGCGTTGTCTTGACACTGGAAATCATCCCTCGTCGATCTTTCAAAGCAGCCGTTTCATCTCCAGCGAGAAATGAGGAAAGTCGGGGCCCATCCAAATTTCAGTCCCCTCAACAAAAAAGGAACCCGCGGGCTCAGAAGCGAGAACGTGTCAGATGGCTCGGACGCGAGTCTATGCGGTTTCTCCGGCCAGAAGCAAGCGTAGGCTTCGACCCTTGCGGGTCTGGAGATGATGCGAGGGGTTTTTCATATGGGATACGTAGTCTGCGCGGAGGCCGAGAGAGGCGGGCAGCGTCGCTTGAACGAACAGGACAGCGCATTCACCAAGGAAAAAATTATATCAGCCGCAGCATGAAGAGAAAGCCTGCAGGCGCCAGACAATTATCAAGTTCCATTTCCCAGGGTGTTCAAGTCCGGGATGAATGCATTCGCCAACAGCTCCAACGCAGTGAAAGATAGTTCAAAAAATAGGAAATGGCTCAGGACATGGTAGAGATAGTGAGGGAGAGTGTCACGAAGTCGTCACGCCAAGCGTCTCGTCTTGCTTCAACCCATCCAGAGCCTGTACTGTGTCTTTCTAGTGTCTTTCTTGCTTCTCGAACTCTGCGCTCATACGTCGGCGCGCGATTTCGGGTTTCCATCACTGAGATCAGGCAGCATGCTCAAGGTTATGCCGCTAAGGATCTCGAGGCGCTCCTATCCCGATGCTATTCTCGACTTCCCGCTGGCTCGTAGAGTAACTCTCGAGGAAGCAGAGATGCCGCTGGGGTCTACGGAACACACTGTGGTTCTAAAGGGTTTCAGACGGTCTCGTACAGTTTCCCCGCCTTGGACGCCGCATGGTTGCTAGCACGATCTATAAATATCGCGCGGCAAGTAATGGCCGAACCGATCATCATAAGTATGTATCATGTTTTGTTTTAGTGTCTCTCTAGATCTCTGTTCTCCTCCCTTCTTCCTCCCGTCTCCCGCCCACTAATTCCTTCCTGGCGATGCTCTCCCCGTCCACTGTGCTGGGCGCGGCCCTTCTACTCGCCAAGGCAAACTCTGTGCTGGCTCGTAAGTGGCGTTCTTCAGCTCCAGATGCGAATTTGAAATTAATTCTTCGCAGAGGCAGAATGTGCTCCCTACAACGACGCGACCGTCAGCGCTGCCCTGCCCAACTTCCCTCCCATCTGGCAGCCTGTGACTGGCTTACTAGCTGGCGACGCCGAGGGAAAGGCACTGTTTTCGTCGTTCAGCTCAAAGATCCCGAACATCCAACCCAAGGTGTGTTCGTAGCCTCGACCGCACAGCATCCCTTCCTCACGATGGCGACAGGGAACCAACGGCGTTCCCGATCCCAACTTCGCATACGCTTCGGGCGATCCTGACTGCTGGTGGACAAACCAGCAGTGTGTGCAACCCAAAGCGGCTGGTGTCAAGGCTGATGTCGCTTGGGTGCCGGAGGTGTGTCCGTTTTGCAATACTCTCTCAAACCTGAATGACTAAACTCGATAGCCTCAAACGCTCGGTTATGGCTTCGACGATGGTCCCAACTGTTCGCACAATGCTTTCTACGACTATATGTTGTCCCACAAACAAAAAGCTAGTGCGTGTCTCTTGCTCATATTGGTGCCTGTTCACTCAGCATGCCTTTCCAGCCTTCTTCTACATCGGTTCCAATGTCATGGACTGGCCACATGAAGCTCAACGTGCGATTACTGATGGTCACCACGTTTGCGTCCGTGCGTCGATCTGTCTCAGCCCATTATCCCCATTCCAACCACCTTGCAGACACATGGTCTCATAGGTCGATGACGGCCTTCACCAACGAGCAGGTCTTCGCGGAGTTGTGGTACACGCTTAAAGCTATCAAGCTCGTTACCGGATACACTCCGACCTGCTGGCGGGTAAGTCGATTAACCCCGATGGATGATGTGCGCTTGCTTACACGATCGCTCCATCAGCCCCCTCTCGGTGACACTGACGACCGTGTTCGTTTCATTGCTCAGCAAATGAACCTGACGAATGTCATGTGGCAATATGATTCATTCGATTGGGAAGCCGGCTCGAACGGTGTGACCCCGGCTCAGGTCCAACAAAACTACAACAATCTTGTGGCAGCTGCTAATGCGGGCAAGTTTGCTGATGTAAGTCGCCTGCTTCAATGTCTGTTCGAGCGCGATTGACGGCTCGCTCAGGTCGGTGCGATCATTCTGGCACACGAGTTGGACAACTACACCATGCAAACGGCCGTTGACAACTACCCCAACCTGACCAAGGCATTCAAGGTGTGTCGCGTTCATCAGTGGTTCCGTTCTTCCGTTTCTGATGATCTCTGAAGCACATTGTCCCAATTGCCGTCGCGTTGAACCAAACTCAACCATACGCCGAAGCAAACTTCTCGATGCCCAACTTCAATCAATGTAAGTTCCAGATCCATTGTATTCTATCAATCTTGTGGCTGATGACATCTACAGACATCGGTGTCGCCGACACTTCGTCTGCTTCACCGTCTGTTAGCGCCTCCGGCAGCGCTTCCGCCTCGGCTCCGTCTGGAAGCAGCAAGAGTTCCGCTGGGTCCGTCAGCTCTTCGAACTCGAACTCGACAGCTTCCGGCAAGAGCGGAGCTGTCTCCACACAACTCACGCACATGAGCTCGATTGTTGCATCTCTTGCACTGATCGGTGCCGCCGCTTTCCTGCTTTGAATGATGATCTGATTGCTTCACGACCTGGACATCATGCTGCTGATACGTACATACTTAATCACCCGACCGTGACCAACCCGTCCTATCCCTCAGGCTGTCGCTCGCTTTCAGGCTTATTTATTGACTCTAGAACATACTTGTGTCAAGAGCCGTCTGTATATAGAATAAAAGCCTCGCATTCGTTTATCACGTGTGTTAAGAATCCGTCTCCCCTGTTACCGCGGTGAAGCACTTGAGACGTGGCCTCGTACCTCGAACGCAATGATCTCGCTCCGCTTCCTGGGGCTCCTCGCCATCGTCGCAGCTCTATACGTCGCTCTACGCTTTGAGCTTCATAATACCCCGACTTTGCGCGAAAGCTTTCAAGCGCCGATTTCCGCGTTCCAGGCGTTTTACGGCTCGTTAGCGCGACCCGAGCCTGCAGCGTCGGGAATCCCCACAGGAACTGCAACTGCACCTCATTCCCAAGACCCGCTATCCTCCACCACAGGCTCCACGCGCTCGGCATACACGCGCCACATCGTTGCTGTCGGTGACTTGCACGGAGACCTCAAGAACGCGCAGAAAGTGTTACAGTTTTCGGGTGTGGTCGATGATCTCGGCGACTGGACTGGCCACGCCGACTTCTTCGTACAGACTGGGGACATCATCGACCGGTGGCTGTTGTCCGTTTGCGACGTCCTGAAGGAAGCTAACGCAGAACTGGTAGGGGAGACGATACTATCAAGCTGTATAATTGGATGGAGAAGCTACGCGTGCAGGCCGCTGCTGTGGGTGGGACGGTCATGTCTCATCTGGGTGAGTAGCCGGTGCTGTCCTCCAGTAATCGCTGACTCTATAAACCCTCGTAGGTAACCATGAAGTTATGAACGCCATAGGTTCGTATCGGTTGTCAATATGCGCCGGCTGCACATTCTGACTATCCACAGGCGACTGGAGGTACTTTCTGGCTGATATATTGTCGCTCAGCAGACACTCACTCCTCGAAGATATGTCTATCCCTCCGAAATCGCGACCTTCGGAACCGTAGCGGCGCGTCAAAAGATGATTTCCTCGGGCCCGATAGGACGCGCTTGGGCGCAGAACTACACCTGCACCTCCCGCCTACCTCTCCATCCACACCTAGGCGGACCCAACACGCCGTTCCCGCCACCAGACCACCCCGTCTACTTCCGCAAGGACGACGACGGGTCCGAGGACGATCCGGCGTCGTATTACAGTGCCAACGAGCCGCTATCGCATTCTGCTCTGTCGTTTGTCCATGGAGGGTTGTCTCCAACGTACAGCAACCTCGCGCCGTTCCCGAGCAAAATCAACGAGCTGTCGGCTACGCTTCTCAGTCGGCTGCAGAACAGGCAGCAACCGCCGCCCCATCCTCCCAACCAGTATCCTGGGATGCCCCACGGGACAAGTAAGGAGGAGGTCGAGCTGTATGATTCGAACGGCCCATTCTGGTACCGTGGATGGGCAACAGACACCGAGGAAAATGTGTGTGTCGACGTCGAGAAGGTCCTGGCCAAAACAGGAACTCGGCGGATGATCATGGGACATACACCTGATTTCAGCGTATGCGTGTTCCCGAGACAGCTGGGTCAAGACTGACATGTGTGCAGAACATCGTGTCGCGTTGCAATGGGAAAATCATCATCATTGATACAGGTCTGTCTGAGCCCCTCGCTCATATACGCGCTTTCTCACTGATAGACAGGCATATCGCATGCATATGGTGGCGTTCTGTCTGCCCTTTCTATCCACTACACCTTTACCCCCGTGGGAGATGACGCAGCCGGACAATGGAAGGAACGAGAAGTTGTCAGTGCGCTGTATCCAGACAGGCAAGAGATTATCATCGATCTGGAACGCGATGTGGTCGGAGAGTTCTCCTAGAGACGCAGAGGACTACAGTGTACAATAGAGTATATGGGATATATTTATCGTCCATGATGCATGATTATCCACCCATCCGTCCAGAAAGAGAGACAACGCAAAGAATAAAATCATAAACCCTAACCAAAAATGGTGCTCAATCGCGACTTGCTGGATGGCTTCCCCGTGAGCTCGATAATTTTCACCTCCCGTTCCTTTTCATCAACATCAAACATCTTCCGCAGGCCATCGACCTCCTGAGATTTCTCCTGTAGATTGCTAGTCGCCTCCCGTGCATTGTTCCTCGTGACATCGAGCGCCTCCGTGTGCGACGTGAGCAGTGCCTGCGATGCCTCGAACTTGGCTCGGGCAGCCATGAAAGCGGCCTCGTGCTTCTGGGACGTCGTCAAAGTCTTGTTGTACAGCGTTTGAGCCTTCTCTTCTCGCTGTGAATGGAATGAGGAACACACGGAAGAATGCATATCATCAAACGCACCTTGGCTGCAGTCTTTTGGATCTTCTGCAGTTCGGCAAGCTCCTTGATGGATGTATTCAAGGCCTTCTTTTCCGTCTTTGCTTCAGCCTTGATGATCTTAGTGAGCTGTTTCTTGCTCTTCGCTGCCGAAGATCAGTCAAGGACAAAGCGAAACAAGCGGGTGGAGCTCACATCCGCTACGAGCCACCTTGGCCTTCTGGTCCTCGCTCAACGCGGCATCCGCTGATGCCTCCCGAGCGTGCAAGCTCTCATTCGCTTCAGCTGTTGCGAGCGGACCCGTGGTTCCAGCGCCGGCAATGAAAGTTGAACCCGCCACAGCGTTGCCATCCACGTTGGTGAACACGCTGCGAGGGGCGATGGAGGGTGAGGTACTGCCAGATTGGCCACGTACGTGACCCTTATTAGCCGAGGAGGATGAAGGAGAGGAGGTGCGCGCGGGCAGGGGTTCGACGATGTCATTTGCTTCAGTGTGCTCGGTCGTGTGCTCGGGTTCCAGTGCAGTGACGGGCGCCTTGGCATCAACAGGCGCATCGTTGCCGACGGGTCCTGGTTCAGTGGCGGGGAGCAACTCGGGATCGTGGGCGGGAGACTCGACTAGGCGCGGAGGGGTTTCAACGGTCGGGGTCTTGCTGGCCATGATGAGGATGGGGGCGTCGAAGTAAACAGAAAGTTCGCTGGAAGGTGTAGGGTTCATGGCGTGCCCAATGCTTGGTTGGAGTTTAAGTAATTCGGGGGGTATTAGTACGTCATGACCGATTGACACGCTCGATGGTGACGCGCTGGGATAGGGGCTCAAGGTTTAATTGAATGCGTTCATCGCTTCACCACGTGGCGAGAAGAACGCGAAAAACGTTGACCGCGTCGGTTGTAGCCAATTTCCTGCGCGGAAATGACCGGCGCCATCATCTCATAGATGCCCACTTTCTGGAGTCGCAGGTCCCGCGGATGGCGCCAGCGTGCGGCTGCGTCTTGCAGCTGGAGCCGCAGGAGTGTCGTGTTCTCCCGAAACAACGTCGTAGCATCCTTGAGCATGTCGCCTTCGCGCGCGGTTTTCTTCACTTGCGTAATTACAAGCGATCGCAGGCAGTGTGTGATGCTTTTGAGTGCATTGGAGAGCTCAGTCTGTGCAAAGTAATTAATAAGGGTACAGCCAGATATCGAGATCGCACCGACCATTCGGAACGTAGGATCCGTCGAGCAGGATAGTTCCAAATGAAGAAGTTTAGGTGCAGATGTGAGAATATCGGTGAAATATTGCGTGTGTTGGTTGTTTACGTCAGCGTCGCCGGAATCATGACAATCAATCCAAATGCGGAGCGAGGAGAGCGACGGAAATTGAGAGATGGCCCACAGAGCACCCGACATCAAGTACACTCCGTGTGCATGATTCGTGAGCTCCAGACTCTGTAGTTGCGCGACATTGGGCATGTGGCGGACCATCAGGAAGTGGGCACTGAAATGCTCGAGCTTCGGCAATGCGGCGGGGGGTAGATTCAATGACAGGGGGAAGTACCATCCCTCCAGCTGATGGAGAACAACGCTTTCGAGGTTCTGATGATATGCCAAGAAGTCCGTCATGTTCTTATGATTGGTGCCCGACTCGGTTGCAAAAGCGTCAAGAAGGACGAAGTCACCGAGAGTCAAGTGTTGAAGTTGAGGCCATCTGCCTTGGAAGAGTGGCCGTAAGTCGATGTAGCGCTCGTTGACCGTGTCTATCGAAAGATGCCGCAGATTCGGACACCGGTTAAGCAGCATATCCCAGAAAGTGTCAGGGAAGACATCGAAAGGAGGGTGCATGCCTAGGGGTAGGTGAGTATTTCAACTACAGCACGGAGATTTCCATACCGCCGCCGACCAGCTGCTTTACTTTGAGAGTGAACCCTTGGAGATCATTGAATAGAAAGAGCTATGATCGCATGAGTGAAATGGCGTCTCTGCCTCAAGGTGACGTACAGAGCTGTTGTGGGCATAACTTTCTGCGAGCTGGTCCGAGGTGAGCGTCTTGACTGGACAAACTCAAAATGAACGTCATACCGGAAGGTAAAATCCCCCAGGCCAACAGTAACACCCACATGCCGCAGTTGAGGACATCTGGAATGTGGTTGTCAGCATCCTCCCATGCTCTCTAGTCCCCACGGTGTACGAACGATTGACGCAGCGAGACCCAGACACGATCATACTTGACGAACTCCGTCCCATCCCATATAAACTTGCGCAAGTTGACCAAATGGGGTGCGAGCTGATCGATCGTAACCGCCACCCAGCTCTCGATATCCCGCATCCCCGTCTGCGCGTCCGCGCCCGCCCACTCTTCATAGTTGGGCCGCACGACGAGCGTCTTGATGCACCGCGCGACGTGGGGATGTTTCATCAGAAAGTTGAGCGTCAGCTGGCACTGAGTGCTCGAGCGCAGATCCACCGAGGCATACAGCGTCGGCAGGAAGAGGGAAAGGAAGTGCGCATTCTGCAGATTTCATATACACAGAGGTAAGCACAATCAGTCGAAAATGAATTCCGAGCCGTCCGGACGGGGAAGACAAACTCACACAGAGCGCGAGATTGAGCAGGTCCACGCGGGACAGATGTTTCGCTGTTTCAAGCATGACATCTTCCGGGAGCTGGCTGATCGTCGGGCGTGCGCTGGCTGTGGGATTGTTCAGGAGTAGCTTCAGAGAGCTTGGAATTCGCCGCAGAAGCTTGGATGCCATCCTAAAGGAATGTGAGGTGAAGGAGAGACAGACGTGCGAGGTGGAACGCGTAGGGAGTGGTGGATAGAGTTAAGAGAGTGTGCGACAACATACGCCGCCCGGACTGGCGCGCTGTTGAATCGAAGTTGATTGAAAGGTGTGCTGTGTCTACTGCCGAATTGAGCCGATGCACGCGATCATCGATCAACAACTCGCGCAGAATCCTTGCTGGTGTCCATGTAAGACTTGATTGGAGTCCGTTGTGCGATGGGTATGTACATAGATTTGTATTGGAAGATACTTCTCCGAGATGCCCGGGAGCCCCCAGGTTCTCGACTATTCACATAAACTCCAGCTTAGATGATCTTCGCAACCTCAGCATCGATGGCAGCGGGGGTGGTCGTTGACGCCCATCGCTGCACGACCTTGCCCTCCTTGTTGATCAAAAACTTCTCAAAGTTCCACTGCACGCATGTGAGCAAGCCGCACAAAGAAAGTATGCTGCGCTTTGATGTACCTTGATCCGGGACAGTCCCAACAGCCCGGATTTCTCAGCCTTGAGCCATTTGTAGACCTCGTTCGTCTGGTCTCCATTCACGTCCGACTTTTTCATGAGAGGGAAGGTGACGCCGTGGTTAAGCTCGCAAAAAGTCGTGATCTCCTCGTCCGTTCCGGGTTCTTGGCCACCGAACTTGGGCTTATCAGAATCGAAGAATGAAGTGCCGGAGAAGAAGCGCACCTGATTACAGGGGAAACCGAGGATCGTAAAGTTCTGGTCCTTGTACTTCTCATAGAGGGCTTGGAGACCTGCCCAATGTCAGCGATGCGGTGAATTTCCTAGCGAAATTGCTCCTACCCTTGTACTGGGGTGTGAATCCACTGGATGAGAGTCAGCATCAAGTCGAGCAGTGACTTATCGCCAACTTGGCCAAGTACCATTGAGACGCAACGTTCACGATCAGGACAGTCTTGCCTTTAAGCTCAGCAAAGTCAAAGAATTCATCGTTCTTCTTCTGAGCCTTGAGGGTATAGAATGTGGAATCGGACATGGTTGTTGAGTGCAAGAAAGACGATGATAGACATGGTGATGATTTTCAAGCAGGGCCATGAAAGCAGTGCACTGATCATACGCATGACGTGATCTGCTTGCATCAAATCGTAAGTAACTGCTGATTAACCGGCCCGTGCTATAGCCGGGCGTAGATAGGGGCCAGATCCATCAAAGCCTGCTGCGTGATTGACCTGAATCGGCGCGAATACCGCGTGTAAGGCGGTCTGTGCAATTGCGCGTGGATGAGTTTCAAAAGAGGCTCGTAGTTCGTCGGTTTGCGCATTAGCACGGTGTGGAAGGCGTGCATCCCCAGCCTAGAACCAAGTAGCATCAGACTGATGAGTCGCCGGTGAAGGACGGACCACAAACCAGGTTGCCGCTGCCTTCTGTGTCACGCACCGTGCGCCATGTGCCGCTGCGAATTGCGTGGTCGACTTGTTCCGGGTGGCAGCCCACGAGTAGAACACCATCTGCTGGATCGTTGCTGCGCAGATCAGCATGCATTCCCACAACAAGCGCAAACTCACTCCAGATGAAGGGCGTGTGCCTCCGCACATCGATTCCCCATTCGCTCAGATACGAGTTCATCTTCAGCGCACAGAGTAGAAAGTTCTGGTAGATATTAGTTAGGACCGCCGTTTGACTGTTCAGCGTCGAGTCATTGAAGATGACATGAGTGCGAGCTTTCGCGAGCCTAAAAGCTTGATGAGTGGGTACATGAATGCAGCCGGCTCCGGCTCACAGAAGCATCTTGTGCTTGAATGCAGTGCCAGGTCGCCGTCCCCGGGTCACAGTCAATGTCCCTTTCAAATCTAGCACAAAGCCAATGAGTTTGCGGCGGACACTGGATGTGCACGACGCACCAGAATCGTGGTACCGGCTGTATTCGACGGAAACCGAGAGGTCTCGAGTGTCCATGACATAGCCACACCAAGGAAAGCCTGCAAAGAATCGTTGGAACACGGACAAAATCTCAAGCCACATACACACACACCTTTTGCCAATGGAATCGAGTTGAGATGTCCGTCGTAGTCGAAATTTGTCAGCGTTTTGTCTTGGGAGATGAAGCATCCGTATTCAGCATGCCCTTCATTTCTTTTAACAATGCTCAGCACTAGAGATTGAGGTGAATCACCTCGATTCATCACATCCAGGAACCGCCTCGCCTTGCCGAAATCGGCCGTGATAAACAGATAGTCGTCCGTTTGCCTCAGCAAAGTCTGTTCACGTACATTGGCAGGGCGAGGATCAGGCAATAAACAAATTCACGCACACTTCGTTCATCCTGGCTAAATGCGTGAACCTTTCCTTCCAGATCTCCGTAGAAGAAGCAGCATAACAAGGTGGACAAGATCGATCCTTGGGGGATTCCAACAGTCTGTCGATAGTAGTCACTCCCGATCTGTGCAGGAAATCGGTAAATAAGGTGTGGTGAATGGCGTCGAACTTCATACTTTGACCATATTCTCCTCGATATGCTCTTCGAGAAGGTGCAAGATTTCTTGCCGCTGAGTTTGAGAGTACCTGACTTGGTCTACGAAAATGGTATTGTGCAAGACACTTGCTAATTTGGCGGCAGTTTGCAGGAAATGCGGGTACTCTTGTCGGCATCTCAACCACGAGTGACAAGCACGCCAACCAAAACGACTCACCGGAGCCGGGAACAGCAGTCTGCATGTATGTACGTTTGACGTTTCCCACTTCCGGAGCGACTTTGGCATATCTGTGGATGAGATACTTGTCTTCGGATAAGATGTTCCGCAGGATCTCGAGCAGCTTCCTCTGCGGGATGGTATCAAAACACGCTTGGACGTCCACCTTGACAAAGTACAGCTTTGGGCTGTGGCATGTCAGCGCTCGAAACGTAACTGGCAGATCGACATACAGACGTCCGGCATTGCCTTGTAGCAGCCCTTGCTTGAACGTCTTGAGGCGGACGTAAACATGGTCCACGTTGAACACCGAGGCTCCAACCAAATGTGGTCGATGATCTCTTTCGTAACTCAAGATCTTGAACGCAGCGTGCAGAATTTGATTGATGGATCGTCCCTATGCGAGGTCAGCGCGCTCCGCTCCCTAAAGAACGCAGGGAAAGAACCGACATCCTGCGCAGATCCTTTCCGCTTCAGATTGGCGATGGGACGAACACCAGTTTCCTTGGGAAGCAGACGAATGAATGAGAAGCCCAGCTTGCGCTGACGCAACATCTGTTTTGCTTCATCCTGATGCTGGCATCAGCACAAGAAGCGGGAAACATAGATGCACGCACCACGGGGATCTTTTGAAACGTCCCCCCGGCCAAATGGTCGATAAGCGGAGCACAGAGAAACTCCCAATCATCGTGCCGGAAATACAAAATCTGATTACGAAGTGCGGACGATTCAGTCACATAGAACGTGGTCTGGAGCCGGGATTAGACGGGATTCAAGGACGGGAGATCACACCGACCCTGAGCAACGGCAGCAAGAACGAGTCGAAATACCAGAAGAGAAAATCTTCCAGAAGCTGGCGTCGTTTGAGCGCATCAGTGACCGGGACACGCTTCTGTTGAGTGCCAGAGCCAGGGGGCATCAACCAGTCGCATGCTGACGTGCTGAACCCTTGCACTATTCCGTGCAATGACAGACTCTCGTAACGGCGACATGCGATGAAACGTTTGACATCTGGGGATATGGATGTCAGAGTCGCACAACTGGAGCAAGTAGTGCGCACGGCGACAAAGATGCTTGAAATTCTCTTCCGTGCCCCAAAAAGTTTTGGGTATCACTGCTTTCGAGACGAGAATAACATAACGATATACCTGTCACATTAGTCAGGCATCCGCGTGCGTGGCGAGTATAAGTAGAACCTCGTTGTAGCTGCACGAGTACTCTACGAACCGCGGTTTGTTCTTGGCGTGGAATGCAGCCTGCGTTAAGCCATTGGGTTGGATGCTGTTTCCCTCCGAGTCGAGTGAGTGATCGATAGGAGGTGGCTGTGTTCGAGGGTTTGATGACGGATGCTCGGAGATGAGTTCCTGGACTAACGATGAGGTGAAGGCAAGCACTTTTTTGTGGGAAACGTGCCAGAATTACGCTGCTGTCTAGATCCGACTTTCTCAGCTGACCTGTCTTGGCGAAAGTAAGCCCGGGTCAGCCTTGCAAGTTTGTAGAACTAACCTTCGTTGGACAAGTGAGGTCGCGCAATCTCGAGTAACTACATTTGCCATGCCGCCAAAGGATCTTCTCTAGCATGGGTACTGCGTCTTTGAGACGTTTGGGTGTCTTGAATTGTCCCAGGCGCTGGAAATACGTCACCGGCATGCTCAGGAGTTTCTTGAACCCATCCATGCTCACCCGAATCTCATCTTCTCTATCCCCGAAATCAGGCAGCCTGAACCCCTCTCTTCTCGGCAACTCGAAGCGAAACACGTTCGCAAGTCCATATTGACGCGGGAATACATATTTGGAAAGATGTCTTGCTTGTTCCATAAGCTTGACAGGGCCGACACTGTCTGTTATGCGGTTGCTTTTCGGCCCGTTGAGGCGATTGAGCACATCTATGAGTGCATGAGCTTTCCGCAAGATGGCATTGTTAGCGCGCAAACGTTTCGAAGGGAGGCCTGCGATTAGTTCCCGGGCATTTCGATGCGAGTGGATGCTAGGCCGAGCGTAAAATAGTTTGGATCGAGCGAGGAGAACTTGTGAAGGACTCGGTCTATCCTTTTAAAATGGGCACCGAGAGCACGTGGAGTCACATACCGATGCAATTTGACATCTGGGGCACCTCGAGCAGCCGAATTGCCGTTGTCCAGCTTCATTCGCTTGCGAGGTCCTTCGCTCAATCCGAGCAGCTTGCGCTTGGGCACTCGACTAGTAGACGTTGATTCACCGTTGTATAGATGAGGGTCGTCGAGATGGATGTATGCAATCGGTGTCCCGGATAATTGACAAAAACAGTCGTTCGGAAGAGCGAAGAAAAAGCTCGAGTTTGCCAGCAGGTGGACCATCGCGTCGGTGCCGATGCTATCGGGTACCTGTGAATAGTTCTCGCGGACGTGAGGGATAGAGGCAGACTCACCGTGAATGGAGCGTTTCCCATTCATCTGAGCACAACGCGATGACATTCGTGTTGACTTGACGATTGTATAACCCCTCAGCGTGCTTGTTCTTTGGGGAGGTTATCACTGGACTGGCCATAGATAGTTCATGGGCTCACGAAGCTATAACCCTGTGAGAGCACGTTATCTCGTCCACTGTTCGAAGAAAGGATTTTCTTCACTGTGAACTCGACGGTCTGTCACTCTTGAGTTCGTGATATAGATCCTCTATGTGGAAAGTGATACACACTTCACGCATGGTCGACATGGGTGGTGCGAAACCAACGCGCTTCAAAGCTCCATCTGCATTCGAATCCCCCACGAGACACTGATTCAGCAAGTGAAAGTAAGCCGGCGTATCCGCAGGTCCAGGTGCGTATGACCGTTCAGTCGATCCGAGGTCGACAAGATCTTGCAGGTAACAATGAAGAGTTTTTACGACAGGATAGAACTTTCCAAGAAGCTTCACTGTGACGCGCGGTCGATCTAGTTCAGCGGGCACGAGCGACATCCTAGTTCGCGACTGCAACACGCCGGTTGTAGCTTCCTCGAACTGCAAGAGGACAACAAAGCGTGATGTGACATGACGCGTTTGACGAAACGATCACGGGACACGCCAAGAAGCACTGATTCCTTGTACTCTCGGACCGGAGTGAATCCAGTCCAGATCTGAAATCAGCATGCTCTGAGAGTCAATCTGCATCGAGTATCACTGCCAGTCGTACAAGCTCGAAAGATGAATCGCGATTCTGCTGCTCAGACTCCTTAAAGAGCTCAGAAGGGATTCATTGAAGTCAGGGACCCGGGATCAGTCCATCCACTGATAGGCTACACAGCACACTGGATCGAGCTGTCATTGGAATCCTTGTTGGGTAGCTCAGTTTATTATGTACAAGCTGCGGAGACCGGACTGATTTTCCCTGACAACACGAGGCGCTTATGTACATGATCCAAACCATGAATATGACCGGACCGAAGATACACGCCCGCACGTACGTGGACACAGCAGGACACAGCACGATCCGCATCGCCAGATTTTCAATTGGGGGAAAACATTTCAATTTGCAGAGACGGCGGGGAAGTCGCCAATCATCTCCGGTGCCTCGCAAAGATCGCGGCGCTTTGCTAATAGCCGAGGAGAGACTGGGAGAACGTCGGTAAGGTTTTGGTTATCAACTTGCGTAAGAGAGCTCCGCGAAAGAAGGGTCTCCGCGAAAGAATAGTTCCATGGCGCAAGTACTGCACAGGTGGCATCTTACACGTGCAGGCATCGACTTCCCTTTCAGCTTTTCCGGGGAGGTGCTCGGAGAGCTCGAACCTCGAGCTTTTTGCGCTTGGAGCAACGAGATCAGAACAAAGGCTGAGGATCTAGAAATGGTGTGACTGTCACATTATCAGGCGAGAACACGAGGCACGACATGAGGCATGCCGCTTGGACGCTGGAATAATGAAGAGCGAGAGGGGCAGTGAGTTTCGTTTGACAGAATAGCGGCGCATAGAACGGCGAAGAAGAGCAGCACAAGAAACACACATTGACAGGAGTGAACGGGAGCGAGAGACGGTGGCGGACTGTCGGATCGAACAACTTGCATCATGTTTGTGTATATGTACGCGATAAGAACTAATTGAAACTCCGCGATCGTGGCTTCTCTCATACCGTCAAGCCCTATAACGTGCGCGACGGTTCTGTTACCTCCACCCACCACTTCGCCCTCGGTTTTGCCCTCGGTTTTGCCCGCCATCCTTCACACACGACTATTTCCTCTCTTCCACCCGTCGCGACCGCTAGCAGCAAGCTAGCAATCTACACCTTCGTTCTTTCATCTCTCATCTCTCTATGCAGTCTCGCCGTACTTCCGGTCTTACTCCCCTCTCCATCGTCCTCCCTCATCCGGCACTTCCGCGCCGACGGTCTCATCTGTCTTTAGTCCCTTCGCCGCACACTCCACGAAGTTCCCCAACCTGTTCTTCTCTGGCTTTTTCCACCAACACGAACCGGAAAAGTACCGACAGCTGGAACAGTTGGAACAGCTCAAGTCAGGATCTATCCGAGGACCGTGACTACGAATGGAAAGCGGACCAGGTCTTATTATTAAGAAGGGTGCGTTTCTGTATCCTCCAACGACCTGCCCTAGTCATTTATGCCTCCTCTTAGACGTTGGATGCCCTTCCCCCTCACCTCATGACACCTTTCAATGGACCTATACCCCCCTCCAATCTTCTCGACAAGATTGCCAGAGGTGTATCACAGGCGAAGGGGGAGGATTGGCCCCATTCCTTGCGAGCCACGCGTGTCAAGCTCATAGAGTTAGCGCGAACCATCGCCGAGGAAGATAGTAAACCCCGCAAGTCGATCCCCGAAGAGCCTGCATCGGAGGTTGCGCATGGTTCTTTCCCCCAAGGGGATGTTCTGCAGCCGACCACCAATATCGGCAAGGAAGATCGCGGGTCTGGTTCACGACGACCGCTCTACCGGCAGTCGAGTATGGACTTTCTTAATGCCTCGGATGTCCAGGACAATGACAGCATCGGTCGGTCAGTCATTTCAATCTAATTCTATCTTCTTGTACTTACAGGGCGTGCTGTCAGGCTTTCAAAACGACTTCAGAAGGCGGATCGTTTCATCCCCAACACATCCTATCATCCTTATTCCCGGAGTCAGATGAACTCGCGTTCATCTTCCCCGCCCAGGGCCGATCACGTCCCGTCCTTGATCAGCCCTTCGACCCCAAGCACATCTACCCTATCATCTCTTGCCTCCGTATCTGCTCCGAGACAGCCTTTACTGCGGCGCTCTGCCTCCATCATGTCTATCTCCAGCACTACCAATTCGACTACTTCGACGTCGAGAATGAGCGTCAGTAGCGGGTTTTCTGCTGTTGCTGCTGACCCTCGCGTGCAGCGAGTCCGTCGTTCTGAGTCGTTCTGCTCCCCTGTACCGGTGGAATCACGGTTCAGGCCTGCTGTTAAACGCGCGCCCTCTTACGGCGCTCTTGCTCAAGAAGCACGGGATCAATTGCCCAGTGTTCATGAACATGGGTTTCATGATCTCAGTATCCCCGATCCTTCTTCCGACGACGAGGAAAAGATGCGCAGTCGGCGTGCTAAACGAGCGAGAGTCAGAAAGTCCGGCGGAACCGAACCACCACTCTCACCATCGCCGGCACCGAGTTCACCGGCCATGTCAGAGGCCAAGGCCAGTTCAAGAGCATCAGTCCAAAAGCAGCAGTCGGACACTCGAGTTCGGTCTACCGCCACCGTGAAACGAGGCATACATGTGTTCGGACCCGAGCTTCCTCGACTGGCGACGCCGGCTGCTGAACCTCAAGCCCAGTTGTTGTCTGCCGCTCCGATCCTCGCTTCGCCAACATCAAGCGCCGAACGCGTGAAAACGCTCCGGCGTGCCAAACGCCTGCCTGCTGCTCGCCGTATATCTTTTGGCAGTCTCATTGCCCCGCTTGGAGAAGATATGCATGAGGCCGACCAGGAGGATTCGGATGAAATGCGCTTTGGTCCGGGTCTGGGCAGTGCTTTCCAGCTGCGATAAATCCCGGATATCCATGATCAATTGCAGCCATTCCTTCTGCTCTCTCGTGCAAGCCCGAAAGAAGACAGATTGTAACAGTGTATAAACATTGTACCACTACCGGCCTGGGCCCCCTGGGGGACTCACACCCAGATCTCATCTGGTCCAGCATCTTTCCATTCGCCATAGCGCGCCACACTCATTGGAATCATTTCCCGATATTCGACCGCGGGCTGTAACTCCCATCGCACACTCCTTTGCTTTTGCCTCCATCTCTGTATCAACAACCGGAATCTGTTACCATATCCCTCTATATTCGTTTTCTCATTGCACACTGCTATCGTCTACCGTCGCCGTTTTGGCCGGGCCATTGCTGCTCGGTCTAGCGCGACCTTCGCCTGCTCGCCCCGCCCGCTCCGTTTGATCTAATACATCTACCTGGGCCTTGAATACCACCATGGCCTTGACACATCTCGGCACACAGAAACCAAAAGCGAAGCGTCGCAAATGCTCTCCGTTCTCACGTCACCCTGTTTTTCGTTCTTGTGCTGCTGTTTTCTCCTCTTTCATCTTCGACACACGGACCGGCCATCTCGAATCTGCCGTCCCGTCCCCCAACTCGATCCGCTTTCCCCAGTGTTGCCTTGATGCATATACTCTTGCTCCTGATTTACTTATCGTCTATCTAGTAGTCGTCGCCGCATCGTGGCCTGCGCAGTTTGCACATTTAGGCAGTGTTTTGCGGTAATTGACTGTATACATCATGTTACCGCTGGTGGAAGTGGAATATATAACCGAATGGATGCATATTTCCCGCGACGGCCGTCTACACGAGACTTAGACTCACTCGCTAGGAATGGAGACATGAGTGCACAGTTAGCTAGCATTTTATGACGCACGATGATGATCGGTTCAATGCCTTGTCCAGACTTGCATTCTCTATCAGCATCTGCGCGTCGCGTCGCAAACGCATTTTATGCTCTTGCTCTTCGAGAACCCCCTTCATGTACACCGTTCCCTGCCACCAGTAGTAGCCCGTACCAGCGAAGAAGACGGTGCTGGCAAGGTGGCCAACGGGGTCTGAAGCACGGTTGAGTCTCGGATGGGATGGCATTCCGTGGTCAGCAAGCAGGCGTACTAGACAGCATGGGCTTCTTGAGGATACCGAGTTGCCAGAATCGTGCTGCGAGTCCGAATGCGGCCCCGCCGATAACGTGTCCGACAACACCCATAGTGATCAGAGTACGGAGAGAGAGTGTGTGTTGCGATCAAGGCTGCAGCCAAACAAAGATGCATTGTTGAGCACAGCCTGCCAATAATAAGGACGCGCCGCACCATTGCACACCCTAGATCTAGACTCTCTTTACTCACTCGCACCTACTCCGACGCGTTTTCACCCCAGAACCGATATGGCTGATAACTTGACGACCGCTCAGAAAGTTCAGATCGCAAAGGACAAGAAGGACGCCGCCGATCTTGCATTCAAAGAGGGCAACATACCCCTCGGTGAGCCACCGTTTATGTAGACATTACCCTTCAAGATCAAGTGGTTCTAAACTGGGTGCAGCGCTAAGCTCTTACCACGGGGTAAATATGCATCGCATCTGTCCGGGGACTCGTATTGATGGCTACTGCCACAGGCGCTCTTGTATTTACTCGGTCTCGACAAGTGAGCTACGTCCGACCCGTTTCGGCGGCGACTGATGGAAGATATGGCTAGGAATGCTCTTGAAGGAATCGGGATGGCGTCTCCGCCGCCACCGATCGATCCGTCGAAGCCAGATGACAAGACAAAAGAACGAACGGAGGTCTGGTTATTCTCATCTCCGTATGCGTGATTTGGCACGTTCTGAACGCGCGGTTTCCAGGTCGATAACATTGTCGAGAAGATATACGCGAATATGTGCGCTTGCCACTTGAAGAGGGGGAACTGGAAACGAGCCATAGAGACTGCTGACAAAGTAGGACCGCGCTCTCGCTCCCCTTGCCCGCGCTGATGTGTTTGTTACCAGGCCCTGGCGAAGAACGAAAACAACTTCAAGGCCATTTTCCGCAAGGCCAAAGCCTTGTCCGAAGAAGGGTACACCGAACGAGCGATCAAACTGCTCGAGCAGCTGAGGGATAAGAGCGCTGCGGGTGAGTTTATCTTCGTTTCCTGCTCGCTCCGCCTGAACTTCCTTGCCAGATGCACCTTTAGCCACCACCGAACTTGCGCGACTAAGGGCTCTCGACAAGGAGCGAGAGCGTGCGAACAACAAGAAATTGAAGGGTGCGACCTTTCCTTGTTTCGAAATCTAGTTCGTTTCAACGAATCCGTTAGGTTTCTTGTCGCGCGACAGGGGAGAGAGGACGGAGAAGCAAACCGAGGATGCTATCGAAGCCATTGAATCCGCACGGATCGAGGAGATTCCTGACGACCAGTGATGATAAGTATGTGCCGGCTGGCTATGTGCAAATGTTTTCTTGCTTCCAGTTTCCTAGTATCTCGCATGTTGCATCTTGGTGGTACTGTATTACAAGTCGAATTTCAATGTATATAAGCCGTTCTATTCCTCGACAAGAACAACGTGATGCCGTTCCCTTCCTTCCAGCAGACAAGCCATTCCTTCTTCACTTCCAATTGCCAGACATGTGGAAAGTCCCTTCTGGTGATCATCCACCTCTCACGGAGCCCAGGAAAGCCAATTCCGCGCTGAAATACTGAGCGAGCGGCGATCTGAGAGCCCAGTTATGAGCGGAATGCGGAGGTCATCCTGTAGCGTGGATGACTAGCAGGCCAAACAATGGCGCTGAGCACAGCCCAGTCTTGAGGACGAAGCCACAGTCTACGGGCTTCGATCCCATTCTTCAGTCCCGGGTTAGTGTCCTGTACAGCTTCGACCATCTGAGTGGATGCATCGCTCGTCTAGTCATAGCTTTAGGAGAGGAGAAGACGTTGCCGAGTTTGTAGCTGAGAAAAGCCGTCGCATGTCGACGATGAACGCGATGACCCCGGTCGCTCAGACAGTTCGATATCCGCCTTCTCGTGTGTAAGATTGTGCTGCCCTCGAGACATTTGCCGTGGCGACGAGAGAGGTAATCATGTAGCCGGTAGTTTGCACGCTCTAGAGTCTCAGCGGGCTGCCTGAGCGGTGAGGTCGAGCTCCTTTCGGATCACCGGATGGATGGATGGATCATTGGATGGATGGATGGAGAGATGTGATGCCATCGACATAAGCTAAGCGATCCGTCGGCAAGATTGCCAGGACACCACATCTGGGAGCGCTCCTCGTATCCGGAGGTCAAACTTGCAAGCATGCCCCTGTGGACCTACTGGCACTGAAATAATTCTTCGAGAAAGAGACAAGCCTTTCATTTTGACTTGACGATCACCAAGTGTGGTCTAAACCTGAAACATCGCTCTAGCACGTACCGCAACACGACCCTGGAAGGCTGAAACCAGATGCTCATCGGCGCTTTGAGATCCGTTCCTATCTCCAGTAGGATCCATGATCTCCAGTAGAATCCATCGTGTCTTATGGCCTCGCATGGGAACTACAGGTCTCGATACAACCTAATAAATACAATATGTATGCGCTGCAAATAACATACATATGCGCGAGGAGGTGCGTACATCTCCAAGTCACGCTCAGAAAACTGCCAATCTCACGAAAAAGAACCGTGAATCAAGGCATCCCACGCGCTGTTCTTGCTCTTGAGCGAATCGATGATCTTCGCATTGGCGCGCGGATTGAGTGCTTGATATGCAGGGGAGGAAGAGGTAGAGGGAGCGGGGCTGACGGGCAAAGGAATGTCCTGGCAAGAAAGGCAGGGAACGGTCAGCGTGCACGGGAGAGCGAGCAACAGGCTGACCTGGGGGGCGACCCGGCGCGCGCTGTCGGCTACGTGGGCGTGCTCGGCCAAAGGTGACTGGGGATGGGTATGGGTATGGCTGCCGAGATGTGGGAAGGCGGGATGTCCGTGCGCTGGGCTTGCCGTGCCGGAGGTCGAGCGGGAGGAGTCGATGGATGAGGTTGAGCGACCGGACATCAGGGTGGGGCGTTTCTGTACATTTTCAGTCAGTCAGGGCTGAGCGTGCACGAGCAGGGGGAAAGATTCGGGAAACTCTGCAAGGTGTATGATGCGAGAAGTAGAGAGAATGTGCGACATGTTCAGCAACACGCACCGGAGAGATGATGGATCCCAGAGCCTGCAAAAGCGCTTCGCGATGGAGTGCATTGGCATTCTTACAGTGTGTATCGTGACCGTGTGCATCGAATGGAGGCTGCGGCATCGAAGAAGGGGATGGGTCAGGCTGAAAATATATCTCGTTTAGTAGCCGATGTCGCTGAATATAAGCACGGAGGACCACTCGCCATAGGTTATAGAGGGCTCAACGCAAGGATGCGGAGCTTAAAGTGTTGGTAATAGACGACTAGTAGAGTAGACACTCGACTGGTTAACCAGCAGAGATGGGGGAAAAGAGAAAGGCAGGGCTCAACTTGAATACAAAGGAACGTTCGCGGATCAACCAGCGAACGGATTTCCCCGCATTTACCCCACACGGTGATCGTGATTCGTTACAAGGCACGTCACTGAGTCATGTAACGCTGGCTGTCGCTGAGCTGTGATTCAACTCGTCATCTGGATTTTGTGCGCGAGCTTTATGCCATGGGATGTGGTCAGCGTAAGTCTGCGCTCTCCCTGCCATGAATTTTTGAAGGGTCGCGCCACATCCAAACGCTATCTATCTCACTTACCGGATTGAGATCGCTACTCAAGCCTTCTTTGCACCCGAATCGACCCGACGTGAAGGAAGCAGATCCAGACACCTTGTGGTCAGTGCTTAAATCCGTGCAAGGTCGTCGGTCAATCTTCAACTCTCAATCGATTTCCGGGCATTCACGAGGACCGACCCTGCACTTCTTATCCCTGAGTGGTTATGTACAGAGAGGATTTCTAGGCGTTAATTCGTCCGCTGGTCGATTCGATCTTCACCCATGACGAGCCTTTCGAGGTTCCGGACGCTATATCTGCCATAAAAAGCGCTCCCGAATTCTCCCCGATAACTCATTCACGCATTTCCGAAGCTCTCATTTCGAACCACGAGTCTCTGGCCCTGGAATCATCCCGGAGCTCGTACCGCAGCCGCAAATCACCCGCCGGTGCCTTGCCTGAATGAGTTTCCTTCACACAGCCACCTCACAAACCAGGATGACTGCACTACCATCTTCGACTATCCGCTGTCGTTCCTGATGTGCATGGTCAAATCCAATATGCGGATGAGACTAACCCGCGAGATACACTGTTCAGTCTCGGTGACCGCCCTCACCTCGCGCCACCTTCTCGACGCAATGCTCTCTTTCACATGTGCATTGTGCAAACTACTGTCACAGCCAAGAGTCAAGCTGGCCGCCACCGATATTATTGACTTCAGAACTCAGATAGCTTCTTCCCCGACGGACAGCCTCTGTCGTACGCGACGCGGCAGATGGCGGACAACAAGAATGAAGGCATGTGAGATTGGACACTGAGGTGCCATGGTGTGTCACCTCTACTCCGTGCGGTCTTTTGCTCCGCATCACCAGCCCAACGAGACGTCAGATGTAGACCGCCACCTCGCGTCCTCGTAAATGCCGTGCAGCTGGTTTAATTTCCCTTCAAACACCGCCGAGTTCACTTCCGGCCTCAGCTCAAGGCGCAGAGGTGCTTGCGGCCGAGCCAAAGCCGCCCTCGCATCTTTTGCCAGCGCTCCAAGCCAAATGAATTCATCAGCGCTACTCAGCTCGACTTCTCTCTTGCTCTCAGACGCTTCGAGCCGATCGAAGTGCCCCTTTTCTCCTCGGCCCCAATAAAATCTGCACCCGCAAACTGCCATTCGTCCATACCGGTGTTGTTTAAAAGCTACTCATGAGATTGAGTTGGTTGGTTGGCGTCAGCTTGTTCTAGGCGACATTCTCACGGCAGCGTTCAACCAATCTAGGTTTTGCTACGGCATTGATCGAAGTCTTCGAACGATTTGCCTCTGAATTGAGGCCGGGTCTAGTGCCTGCTGGTAGTCACAGCTTCCAGGTCAGTTCGTATCAATATAAATGAAAGCTGTCCGAGTATTTAGCGAGCGACCCGAGCTCCCCAAGGTGCATCTTCTATTCATCCCATGCACCTTTTAACCGTACTGTCTCTGATAGCTGTGGCCGTTGCCCACAAGCAAGCGACGACTGCCCAGGAAAAAGCCGTGGAGAGCTCTTTGCGCGACGCGGCACTTCTCGTGAGTCCTCCGTAGATAATATGTCATGCTTACTCGGCCACATTAGTGTGCACCCGCTGTGGGCTTCTACACCGCTGGCCGCAAGCGCGCTTTCGCGCGAAAGGCACTCGCCTCTTCAGCCGGATATCCCACCGGGATAGACGACTACGCATTATTGTTTGCGCAGGATTCGCTGCACATCGGTTCGTCAGACGAGAGTTCGTTGAGTTGCCAGGCAGTGGAGGATAAGGATGTTCAGAATAACACGTGCATTCTCAGTAGGTGTCTCGTTTTACACGCGTCAATTGGTCTCAATGCGTCCGTGAAGCTCCAGAAGTCACCTCCGGGCCATACTACCACGTCCAAGGACACCCTATTCGTCAGAACATCGCCGAGATGCAGGATGGATTGCTGCTGGTGCGTTTGTTTACTCGACCAATGTTGCCGGATCAGCTCTGACCTGCTCCACCAAAGTTGCTTGATATCGGGGTTATCGATGTTGAGACATGTCAACCCGTCCCGGACGTGCTTGTGGACATCTGGTTGGCCAATGCAACGGGTTCTTATTCTGGCCACCCCGATCCCGTCGGCAGCAGCAACTATAGTGGCATACCCGGCGCAATCCCGCGGACGCAGCCCGCTGAAACATGGCTCCGCGGGGCATGGGCCACTGATCAGAATGGTGTTGCCCAGTTTACATGTTTGCATTCGGTCTCCTTGCCTCCCAGCCCTCGAACGTAACGCTCCATCAGCAATATTCCCCGGCTACTACCAAGATCGCGCGACTCACGTCCATGTGAAGGTGTTTCCCGAGTGGACGGTTGTCCATGAGAACGGCATGTTCGCACCCGGCCGTCTTGCGCATGTCGGGCAGTTCTTTTTCGAGGATGATGTCAACGTGGTCGTGGACAAGGTGTGGTTGTCTCCCTCGCCGCATGTCCTAGCTGACTATTCAGATGCATCCATATACTGACAACCCCATCCGCAACACACTCGGACGCACTCGGAACTGGGACGACTCGTTCCATATCTTCGAAGACGCAAGCCGGAACGGATACAATCCCGTCTTTAAAACACATCTCCTCGGCAGTGTGATCTCCCAGGGCCTGGTGGCTTACATCACCATGGTTAGTCGATTTTTGGTTCTACTCGATGACGTTTCACGTTCGACTGCAGGGTGTCAACATGAGCGCGTCGCACACCAACTCTCTGCTCGATGTCATGTGACCGCGTTTCAAGACGCTCACTCGACCGTTGTGGGTCTTGTCGGCTCCTCGGTATATATCTAGACTCTGGTTAGGGCTTTATTCTCTCTGGGTTTCAGGATCGATCGGCAGCGACCAACCATTATGTAGACTGAGCATTATAGTAGCGTCAAAGTGTGACCTTGCGTGTGACATCCAACACCCAGAGCTCGACTGCTTTGTTCACTACGTCCAATGCATCCGTAAAACATCGGAACTCTAGTCAAGAAGTCCTTCTATAGTGCTCAGCTTAACGTCCAACGCCCTCCTCTTTCCTCGCAGCTCTGGGACTTGACCCTCGCAGCCTCGGCAAGAGACTTGTCCACGAGAAGCTCAGACGGGTTATTCGCTCTCTACGCCCGCTCTAGGCCTACTTTCTCGCCTGCGAGCGAGACGTTTCTGTCCGACCAGTCCCTGAGTTCCTCTCTTCCACCTCCTTGCAAGTTGCATCACCTCGCGACGACTGGCTGGCTGCCCGACACATCAACTATGACGATGATACCCATACAGCCGCCCTTTCTGACGATCCGTTCGCATACATAATACACACGGCAGGGTTCGGCTCCTCACCCCCCATTCTCTGGGGACAGTTGCACAAAGGAAAGGGGGAAAGCAAGCCGTGCGTTTCTGATCTTCGCCGCTCTGGTGTCTGAGGAGCTGGGCGAGGACTGCTTGGCGGGGTGGTTGGCCGGTCTTCTCGTGCCGTTTGTGCGCGGTACCTTAGAGAGGCTTGCTCTGTCGGGGTTGATCAGCGTTCCCACACACACATACACTCTCTCTCTCTCTCTCGTGCTTCCTTCTCTGCTCTGTACACGCGCCAGTGCCGCTGGACCCAACGACGTCTACCCACCGGGCGAGAGATCGCCGTCGTCCCTGGTGAGCGTAATATCAAATCGACAAACGGATGGCACGCCTGCTGAGCGCGCCCAGCCCCTGAGATACTCCGTAAACTGCGCCGCAGGCCACTGGCCAGCAAAACGACCGACCCGCTCCGTCTCAAGCCGTTCGTCCAGTGACACTGAAACTTCAAGCGTTTCGGGATGCCATTTCCAGTGCTATGAATAGCAAGCGGCTCAACGGCCAGATCAAGAACGAAGTCTCGCCGTCCCGACCACCAGTCAAGAAACGAACGCGCGATTCAGCAAGTGACAGGGAACCACGGCGAACGATTGAGTCAAACTGCTGATGCTGCTGCTGTCACTGGGAACGTCAAAGCGCGACAATCATCGAACCCGAAAGGCAAAGCAAACCCAAAGCAACGAACGCGACAGAAGACGAAGCGGAGTAGCTTATCGGCAAGACCGTCAGTATGTTCTACCGAGGCGATCTGTTCACCTTTTCAAGACCCGTGCAAGCGGTGCAGTCTGGCGGTAGGGATATGGCGCACGGCCTGGGAGCGAAAGGTTGCCGAATGACGCCCACCGAAGCCCTGCGGGTTGTGATGCTCGCAGTTTGTGTTGTCGCTGTGTTGATGTGTCTGCAGCTTTACCGACAGGGCACGGAGGGACTGATCATTTATGAAGGCAATTGCAGCCTGACTGGCTGATCCATTCCATGTATCTATGCGGTGTACATTACTAGACAAACACAGGGAACTCGCTGATCCTGAGTTTGGTTGACTGGAACACCCGTTATTCTGGGGTCTGACGAGATTGAGATAAGATAACTCACCCCGTATGGAGTCAGCGTGATGGTGGTCTTGTTTCCCACGCAGGACGGGTTCGTCGGGGGGCTGGCGGCGAACGTCGGGCCCTCGATGGCCCAGTCGACGAGACACGCAGTGGCGGTGATGCTGAGCGGGGTCAAGCCCGAGTCGAAGATCGGGGAGGGCAGCACCCCAGAGGCAGGTGGCTTCGACACGAACTTGAGGCTGCTCGGATCGATCGCGTACTGCCAGGCTGCAGTGGCGTCGAATTCAAAGTCCTGCGCCTTGGCCTGGGCCGTGTTGTTCGCCAGAATAGTCGTGCGCCGGGGGACTGGGCAGAGGGTGAGCGGTAGGAACAGACGGAAGCCTGAACGCACTGTCAAAGGCATAGTTGAGAGGCCCCCTGTGGACAGCAACGGAACCGTGCGGGCGCGACTCTTGTGGATCGTTTTTCAGGTGATGTCTGCTCTTATGCCGCGGCCAGACGCACCGATGGTGATGGGAGCAGGCAGATTCAAGACGAATTTGGTGGTGCCAGCTTTCACTTTGAGGGCGTGCAGACCCTGCTTCGGTGAAACGGCGGCGGGCTTGCCGCCGTCCACGGCGATGGTGCCTTTGACGACCCAGCTGGGGATGCGGACGTAGTATGTGAAGGGCGACTTTGCAGTGATGGTCGTGGTCAGCGTGTCGCTGAACGGGTACATGCTAAAAGCAGATCAGCTGAATCCGGCGAGCACACTGCGAAGGAAAACTCACGTGTCCACGTTGACGGTGACTGGGTTGGCTGGGTGCGGTGTCAGCGAGCAGATCGCGTGTATAGAACGGAGCATAATCACACGGCGCGAGGGTGATCGAAGTAGAGAATGGGCCAAGGTAGGTGTGGACCAGCGACTTCATGTCCGGCGTCGTCGCGAACGAACTTGAGGACTTCAACTGAAAGACCTCGTGCTCGAGATTCAACGCACTTTGTGATGAACTTGGGCCATCCTTGGGGGTGGTTGACCGTGCAGCATCTGGATCGCATCAGATATCCACGGCCTACAGAACACCAAAAGAGCCGGCCTCACGGGTAGTTGGGCTCGAGGCCAAACACGTTCGAGTACGGTCCGTCCACGGCAAATGGGTTCTGGCTCATGTTTCCGGCAAAGATCTGGTTCTGCTGCTGTAGGTACTGTCTGTTCCACATATCTATGACAGCTCGATAAATGGATTAAAAATGACATGGCACTCAACCTACCTCCCGTAAGTGTCGCAGGAAGCGCATTGTACGCGATCCGCTCAACCTATACCAAGCGTTCATGAGTAAGGGGATCAAGCTTTGGCTGGAGTTTCTGGCATACCCGGTCGATGAACTTGGGGTCTCCGATGACCTGGTACAAGTAGGAGCCGGAGAACATGGTCTCGACGACAACGCAGAGCTCGGTCCTGCGTCACGTCAGTGTAAGATTTCAATGTACTGCGGACAACGCTCACCCACGGATGGCCTCCAAACCAGCCAGATACTCGTCAGCATTGAAGATCCCGGAAGGTCGGCCGTGGTACTGGAAGAGAAGATCCCAGCCCTTGCTGGCAACATCCAAATCTGACTCGTTCATCATCATCAGAGATCTCGGTGCTGAGGGGAGTACCAACCCGATTGATTCTTAGTGAATCGGTACGTGGCGGGTAGTGCCTTCAGTCCTTCTGCCATATTGACACCGTGCCACTTGCAACAGAATCAGTGTCCAAGTTGAAGGAAATAGAGGGAATGAACACTAACCGTAAGAACGGGGAGCGGGTTGGGCGTGTTTTCCACTGTGGGAAGTGTGAGTGGTCTGCATCAGAATGGATTATACGACTCAGACTCGCCAGCCGAGGTGGGGAAATACTAGAATTCTCGCGATCGGTAAGCGAATAATGAGAGACCGTAGATCATACCTCTGGCAGAAACACCTTCTCCCAGGGTACCCCGGTGTACTTCAGCTGCGCCATTGTATCGATCAGGAGCGCCTGGCTGGCTGCGTCCTTGGGATGATAATCGTACAGCCTACGAGCAAGTCTCAGCGCGATCGAACTATCAGTCCATGTGCGGCGCACCACTGCAGGACCATCACGAAATCCTCCCTGATGTCGTTAGATAAGGAGGACGACCAGATAAGATGCCAATCATACCAGCGAGTCGCGGTCCAGATCTCGACGCCCGTGTTGTTGCCGCTGTGCAGCATGGTGTTGGCCAGGCTCGTGAAATTGTACAGCGCGTCGACGACCGGAGCGGTGAGCTCCGGGTGGATCTCGGTCATCTGGATGGCACCGAAGAAGAACGGGTAGCTGGATGATATCCGATCAGCAGTCGAGCCGCGAGTCTCGAAGATGAGACGCACCGGCCCCAGAGATAGCGCGGTTTGTTGGTGTTGACTTCGGGACCCAGCCAGCCGGACGCATCCTGCGTGTCGAGGACATACGACAGGAAGGCGGACGTTCTGGCGTTGATGACATCGTGGTTCGCCAGGAAACCGTTCGGGACCATCGCGTTGAACCAGTAGCTACCGGCTGCCCAGCATTGCATCAAGTGGATCTGCGCGGCAGAGACTGGGACCGACCCTCTTCGAGACTCGAGTAGTACGAATTGCCACCCATCCAGTCAGTCTGCGAGACGCTGGAGGATGTTGGCCATGCATGAACAGATCTTTGGATACGGCAGGAGACGCACTAGTGGTAGAATTCGTGCTCGTGGCCCGCGAGACCGTTCGTCTGGACCATCAACTGGTCTTGCAGCCATCCCGTCGCACGAATTCCACCGAGCGGAATGGGCAGGAATTTCTTCGGCGCGACTGTTGTGGTGGAACAGAGGAAACGTCGTCAGGCTTGTGAACTGCGTAGACAGAATTACAGGAGACAACCCACGCGAGGCCTGAGCGGACCCAGCAGCAGCAAGCAGCAATGCACTAGTTGCGAATGCGAACATTGCACTTTCTCCGAGAAGGGGCGATGCGACGAGCCCATTTATACGCAGATACTCCCATTTGATTGAGAAGAGTGATATGTGGGGCCGCTTGTGCGACCTAGGTTATCGTCTCATCAATCCAGCGGAACGCGGCGGTCCGTTTCGAAAGGGGAAGGAGCGAAATGTGATAGATAGTATGCACGTCGTGTTCCCTGCCTGTTCGATAGAACGACATACCCATTCGGATGCCAGGGCTGGAATCCAACGCGTATCGTGTCGAGGCTTCCCAGAAGCCCCAGTGAAGATCGGATGAGCACCACGAGCCTCCAAAGACACCGGGGGCTCGAGACCACCAGTTCCATCGGAGCCGAGAGCAGTACCTAGGAGTTGGGCGCACGGAGCACGGAGTGCCATCGTCTCGGGAAAAGACGGCCTTGGAAGCAAATCGGTTGTGTTTTGGCACGCGACCGATTTGCGCTGAACAGATTGATGTACGCGCTGTGTGTTCTCGGGCGCAATCACGGTCATTGGAAGAAGCTCCAGGGCTCGGTAGGGTTCGGTGATCCCACAGAGGAATGCTGACGCAAGAAGTGAATGGATAGAGGAACGTGTACGGTACTTGGTAAAGCAAGCAGGTCAGTGTAGTTTCATTCGTCACAGTCTGTCACTCGAGTCTCGCCGTCGCGGTCACATGAGCCTTTCACGTGTTTATGAGGACGCGGATGAACAGGATACGATAAAACTATGTACTAGCCGCCTCAAACCCCAGTTTCTCCTAGACATCGAACGGTCACGGCAGCTGCTACCAGGACTCAATTAATGGCCGGACCTGGGCCTTACACTCCAATGTCGCTTCCCCTGGCGTGGCCAAGATGCTGAAAAGTCCCGAACGGCCACATGGACAGAAATCCATCCTAGCTATCTCGCACGTAATCCCGGTTTGTATCTTGCAGTCTTGGGGTCTCTCAGTTGGATCCAGATTCGTCTCATTATGTATCGACTCATCACAAAAGATTCCATCCGTGATGGGCAAGCTCCAGCTGCATTGCGTATCTGATTCGAAGCAAACTGTGTAAGTTCCAGTAAGCGATGCTAGAAGAAGTAGAAACTCCAAATGGAAAGGACTTCTAATGGAAGTTGCGGTCGCATCACACCACTTCACAGAGGGTTTGTTCCAAATACACACGTGACCGAATTCAATTCTGCTTTCTACAGTTCTCGCCTACTTCAAATCAATTTGGCGATTTCCTCGTTCACAAAGTCTTTGATTTGGAAACCACCTGCAGGCGCCGTGACAAACCCTGCCTTTTCCAGCACACTGAATGTCATGTCAAAAACTTGCGCGGTCGTAGGTGTGGAAAGCTTACTCGAGTGTATGTTTGATGACGTCTGCGGGAATGGCCAGACAGTCCTCCGGATATCCGACAGTTTTCATCCATGCCTGCGGAGATGGATCGAGATCAACGAGGCTATGTTTAGTGGCCTGAGCTCACATTGATGTCCTCCTCCCCGTATCCGAACTTGGCCTTGATAACCTCCACATTGGGACCTGCGCGGTTGGATTCCGAGTGGAAGTCCCGAACGAAGTCCGAAAGCCGAGTCAGGAAAGTGCGAAGGGCTTCTGCCGGAGCCCGCGTCGGTGACGGATGCGCAGCAATTAGCCACGACGCCCACGGGGTGGGAACAGACCCAATCTGCGTGAATGGTTGGCTGGTCAATTACCAGTCCAGAAGAGTCAAAAAGCCGACATACGAAACGAGCTTCGCCCCGGTCAACCCAAGGCTTGGTCGTAAACCACTCCCACATGAAGGCACTCGTCGTCCCATCGTTCACCGAGTCAATGAGCCCGTGAATGTCGTTGTTGACTGCTCCAAGGTCACTAGGTCCGATCAAAACACGGAAGCGCGCGTACTCTTGAACTGCAGATCATCCGTCGGCCATCCCTGCTGCATGGCCATCACATACGCCATCGTCTGACTCCCGCTGCCGAGACGCGAGATACCGATGGTCGTGTTTTTAAGGTCTGTGATGGAGTTGTACTTGGTGTCTTTGCCCGTGATGACAGCCCTGGCGCTCGGTGAGATCGAGTCGTGAGCGACCTAACTCCGAGACAACGCACCAGTTCAGTGGTGTAGATACGTAGCTTCCAACAAGCTTGTAAGCTGTGGAACCCTTCGCGATGCCGGAGATCAGAGGATCGGTGAGAGCGCTGCGGTCGATCGTAGGTCCTGTAGTAGGTATGACTTTTGGGTTAAACGCACATTGCGACATCGATCTCGTCGTTGGTGAGACGCTGTATCAGTTGACCTGTACCGCCTGCACAACACGCTCAGCTACAAGTGAGAATATGGCAGACGCGCAGACGCACTGGGGCACTCGACGAGGGTGAATGTTTCGTTCTTGTCCACATCATTCAGTTGTAACAGCGGCGTGGAGAAGTGCTCGCGGACTTCATTAGAAGTCAGTGAACAGACTTCAGATGATTTCTCTCATTTTACTCACCGTATCCAACACGCAGAGGTCGAGATGACATGGTTGACTGTGACTAAGGCTTGATAATCTTATCGCGGTTGCATCTGCTTTTCAAGTTATCTCTTGATCAGTTCTCCGTAAGCTTGTTCGACAGTCACTTTCGCGTTTCTTCGACAACTCGGCGAGATTTGCGCGAGATAGCGAAGGGGCGCATTCAATCATGGTGCGTGAAATGTCCTTGCTTCTCCCATCCTTTCCTCAATCCCACACTATGTCCCCAATACAGAGCAGTAACCGAAGGAAACGTATGCGGCGCGCCGCGGACCCGTGCCTTGGCTTCTACTTTCCACCAAGTTCCCCGACTCCGCCATCCGCATCACAGATAAACATTCCCCCGATCGCAGTCTTGGAAAATAGCTCAGATCCGACAAACTCGTCGTGTCTGGAGGTGGACGAACTGGAGGTCTCTTCAACAGGCTATGTGACTGTCGATGAATTCCTGAAGCACATTCATCCGCCTCCCAAGAACACCTATCACAGAAAGAATAAACGGACTATGGTACAAGACCAGGAGACTGATACGAGCCAAGTCGGACTTGAAGATAAATATGGTACAGAGCCCCCTCGCAAGCGGAAACTCCGACAACGCAAACCTCTGAAGTCTCGTCTCCTCACGGCTGATTTAGTCGCCGATGTCGATCCTGATAATTTTCTGCTCGACGAAACACCGCAGCGAACATCGCTCGTTTTCAATAGACCACCTTCTCCCATGAAGATCCTACCCCCGAAGCGCCCGCGAAAACTGATAGACCCGAAAAGTACACGGCTTCCTCGTCACAACTCATTTCCTTGTGCTCGAGGAAGCGCTTCTCTGGACCGATCCTTGGCACCGTGCCAGCAACTCAATACGCCGACGGAATGGCGTTCCAAACTTGGACTCCCGTCTAACAATGCAAATCGCAAAGTTCGCAAAGCTCCTCCGGTGGCCAGATCCTCAGGCCCTTTCGTGTATGCGCCCCTCAACCTAATTTCTCATGCAGAGGCTGAACGATCTTACTCTCGCCTGAGGTGCGTGTATGCGTGTTGTCACATGTCCGGGGTGTCGAAAAGTGTCGATAGGTCTGGAACACGTGATCCGTTACTTGACCCTCTTCCAGTGCCAGTCTCTCAAACTGGGCGGATCCCACTCGATCTCCGGTCTATCAGCAAGTCATCCTCAGTCAAAGTTGCAACTCATTATCGGTCAGAATCTCCCACCGTCTCATCTCAACAGCCCTCGAACGGTTTACTTGCACGCGGAAATGGTCTCCCATGCGACGCAGCTTTGGCATCCAATGAGGATCATGATAATACCAGTTCTGTCTCAAACATCGAGTCAGCTAACTCTGACACCTCTGCCGATCCGTTTCGAGCTACGAACAGCAACGCCTCCATGAAACCTCTTGGAACTCTACTCGGGCAACTGTACGAGATCTCGCGCGCTGTTTCTCAAAGCCAAGTCAATACAAAGAACAAGCAAAGACGACCCAAGGCACGTCGATCGACTAGGAGCGACGCCCTCGCGCCTAAAAGCTTGATGAGAAACTTATTTTCGTCAACCCCTCCTCCTTCAATCACCAACGCCCAGCTGCTTAGTCCAACTCTTGCGGCTTTCTATTCTGATGTCCCACAAATCGCTCAAGCTGCCTCTCAGTTCCCTATTGCAGATGCTACAGCCTCGAATTCGTCTAGCGCGATTCTGTATCAAGTACTTCTTCCGTCGACACCACCGCCTAGTAATGTGCAAGCGCAGACAGACTTCTTTGAATTTCGCTCCAGATGTACGCGAATTGCAGCGATAGTCAGTTCTTCATTCACTGACTGACGATCAGAAACTGTCACACTTCGCCTTCCGTCTGTGACTGAAAGATGACAAAAGGGCACAAAGAGTGGCCGTTATCGACAAGATGTACAATAACTATTGATACGGGTATGAACGCAGAGTACTGTCCAGTATTACGTACAACAGGCTCGTCATTCTCGAGAACAATGTCTTTCCAACTCTACCGGACGACAGCCGGGGAAGGGCGTTCGAGCGTGGTCAAAGTGTCTTCGAGGATCCGAGCTCGCGAAGCATCCTGTGCTTCCTCCCAGTCGCCGTCGACGGTTTTGTAGCTGACAGGTCGTGACCGGCGCTGTTCTGTCATCGACCGCGCCGACAAAGCGGATCCGCGCCGGCTAGCTTCGGTGATCTGGGAAACAGGCCGTTGTGCCCGTAGATTGTCGCTGAGGAAGCCGGACAGGAGGAATGTGCTGCCGCGGGTGTTACCATAGGCCGGTGGAGGTGCAACAGCGATCAGGTGATCTTCGGCATCGCCTGTTCCGGCACCGCTTTGCGCGAGCGCAGCTGCATATGTAGGCAAGGGAGGGCGGTTCCAGGGCGAGAGACCAATAGACGGATCAGTCATCGCCCGCCGCCGCGCACTCGGAAGCATCTCTCCGGGGTGCAGGTAACTGTATCGCTCTGCTCGCAGACGGAAAACTCGACGCTCGATGAACAGCAGCTGCACGAGTACCGCCACACCGAAGACGACGTGGATGAAGATAGCCGAGGACCCATTTCCAAGCACAGGTTGACTGTCCTGGTTTTGATTTTGGGTCTGGGGGCCGTTAAAACCGGGGTTGGGGTTCGGGTTGGGGCTAGAGTTGGAGTTGGAGTGCCCGACACGCGTGACAGTGAAGTACCAAGCAACAATCATCCCCGCAACAAGCAAAAGCTGAGCAAAGAAAGCGAGAAGGGTAGTAAGGCGGAAGCCCCAGAACGCAGGGACTTTCTTGGGCTTCAAAAATCCCAACAGTCTCTTCCGCTTCGTGATGGAGTTGGGAGTGGTCGCGGTGGTGGCAAGAGAGGCAGTCGATGCACTAGCAGCAGTCGTGGGCACGGCGGGTGCAGAAGACTCGACGCTCCCGTTCGCACTGTCACTGGAAGATCTCTCTTCGGGATGAGGCACAAGCAAGGTTGTGGCCGGTGCACCATCGCTGGAATTACGCCGTCCCTCCTCCGCCTCTGTGAGTGCCACCTCCGACCATCCTATTTCGCCCTGTTTGGTTGGCAAAGGGCCCGCCTGAGGCCTGATTTCCGAATCGCTAGGAGAGCTGGACGAAGAGCCGGACGGAGAACTGGAACCAGATGTTGAAGCCATAGTACTCGGATTCATGATCAAAAGGTCGGGCTAGGCCGAAGAGGAAATGAAAAAGGACCTTGCGCCTGGCAAGGATTGAGGCCCCGACCAGGGATCGTTAGTCGGTGAATGGACGGAAGGGTCTGGGACAAGACACTGTCTGGACTCGTCAGCAGTCCCGGGCCCCCGCGATTGCTGATCGTTGATGGATGATCGCGTTACCAACCACACTGATAGATGGGCACTGCCGCCAATACAATCTAAGCGTGATGCCGAAAAAGCTCCTGCAAGAAGCAGACAATCATATGGGTCCATTCATCCCAAGCAAAAATAACTGGACCAACTCGGATGCCAGTGAAAAGGTTAAGATTTTACAAATGCTACACTCGACGTTGAACTGCCGCTTTGACCTCCAAATGTAAACGTCCGGTGTTGTATCCGAGAGCTGTGTAGACGGTGAATGATAATCTTATAGACGGACGAAACGAATACATACTGATACACAAGACCGGTCTCAGGCGTTTCAAAATTGGCCCGGAGCTCCTGCTCAGTGAAGTTGCAAGCTAGACGTAGCATCAAGTCGACCATTCAATGAATGGAGTGGTTGCACTCACAGGTAATCAAGAAACTTCCCCCGGATCTGATTAGATGCGCGACTCGCGCAGGATAACGCGCAATGGGAGCATTCCCATCCATATCTTTCTCGCTCAGCGCAATCGCGTCGTAGGTCCCCTTGTCGAGTATCAAGTCCCAGCCTTGCTCTCGCAGTGGCGGCGGGTCATCAACCAGGAAATCGCACTCCGCAAACGTCACGGTCTCTCCTCCATCTGTTGCAGATGCAACTGCACGCGCCAGATCCACTGCCCCAGCACTGTAATCAACACCACATAGATTTGACCCGTTGTATCCTGCCTCGATCATAGCGAACAGCAGCGTTCCGTTCCCGCTGCCCACCTCAAGGACTGACGCGTTTTGTGTTGGGGGGACATATTCCAAGGCCCATTGAACCATTTTTTCGACGCTCTGAACACCAAACCTGAGATTCACACGCTCTGAGTAGCAGATTGAAGATGTAAGAGTTGGTAGACGCACCAGATCTCTCCTTCATCTCCATGATCGTGGAAGTTGGTCAGCTCTGTTTCATAGACTTGATCCCAACTGGAAGATCGGTTGGAGGTGATCTTCGCAGGCGTTGGCGCGCTTACTGCTCCTTGGTGCCAAGCTTTGAGGGCTGCAGTTCTACAGTAGACATTGTCGTTTTCGGCAAACTGATGAGTGATCCATTGATCATTGATCAGTGACAAGTTCTCAGTTCCGAGTACAGAACCAATTGGTGATATTATTTCAGCAAGTAGCAAATGCTTTGTCTATGTCAGGCCTCTTCGGGTTCCTCCGCCATCATTCCAGCTAAAGCTCCAGGATCATCTGCTGCTGGGCCATCAAACACAGCAAAAGCAGTCCTGCCTTGTCCCGCTGTCCAGCCCGATCCACGATCTACAAACACTTCGGGTGAGCGGTCCAGCAAGGCCTCAAGATCTTCATCGCTCAGAATTGCCGTGTTGCCCTTCCCGCTACGGAGAGTCGATGGCAACACATCGTCCTCTCGCTCAAGACGAAGCAGATCGGCTGCCATTTCAGCTGTGGTCGTCCGCCTTCCATCTGCTCCAGTCGGCCGCTTGAATTTGCCTCTGGCAATCACCAGAGCCTCTAGTTTCCGCTTCTCAGTAGCCTTCTCCATGATCTTCTCCTCGATGCTGTGTGCAGTCACGAGCCGGAAGATCAGCACTGGTCTTGTTTGTCCGATCCTATGCGCCCGGTCCTGGGCCTGAGCGTCCATTTGAGGGTTCTAAGTTTCTTGAGCGCTACCCAGATAGACACCCGAACGCGTCACGCACCCAATCTTGGTCGTAGAAGATGACAGTATCTGCAGCGGTCAAATTGACACCCAATCCACCGGATCGGGTGCTGAGCAGAAACAGCCGAGGCGCATCAGGTCTGTCACCAGCTGATTGAAAGAGATTCATCTGCTCTCGACGTTCTAGAGGAGGTGTGGATCCATCTATCCGGCATATCGTCCAACCCTTCATATCTACGGCCCAGTCCTGACCAGAATTTCAGCGACATAGATGGAACAGGCGCAAACCGAACCTCTATAATATCAAGCATCGTCGTGAATTGGCTAAAAAGTAATACTTTATGGCCCCGACGGAACAGTTCAACGAGAAGTCGATCAAGAAGTAGCATCTTGCCACTTCCGCCGACCAGCTCTGCTTCGCGAGCAGCGATTTCAGCTTGCGTAGGTGCTGAACGACCCAGGGTCCAGATTTCGTCATCCGGTCGCGAAAATAAGAACGGGTGTGAGCACACTTTACGGAGTTGCATGATCTTATTCTGGAGGTTCATGCTGTTCAACTGCTTCGCTGCATACAACATATCAGCATTTAGAACGAGACCAAAGGAAACACGCACCGATTCCACGCCTGGCAAACTCATCAGCGACTCGCCGGCGTTCGGCTTCCTCCAGATCATCTTGACCGTCGGGCCTCGCTCGAGCTTTAGCTTGCCTCGTTCTGAGACCGACTTCCTCGTTCTCCGTCTCAACGCTTGCCGGTTCTACGGTCTTCGTAGACCCCGTTACCCATGCCCGTACATTTCCACTGACGATGGCCTCATAAGCTTCGTGTTGCAGCTTGCTCATCTTCGCGTACAACACATACGACTTCTTCGGAGGCAGAGCAGAGCCCAGAACATCGGCTTTCACTCGTCGCAAGAGGAAGGGCTTCAAAATGGCATGCAGTTTCACAATGAAAGCGCCCATCCGCTCAGAGGGCATGCCGGACGACAAATCGGGAGAGAACCATTCTTGGAACGAGTCCACGTCGTCAAAGATGTCTGGCAAGATGAAATTGAGAAGAGACCACAGTTCGGCGAGATTGTTCTGCCAAGTTGATAAGTAGGAGGACGCAAGCTATTTCAGGGGTGGTGCATACATGCAACGGCGTGCCCGTTAATATCATTCGTCCAGCACTTTCATACTTCTTCACCTCGCGGATGAGAGCACAATGCATATTCTTCAAACGATGACCTTCATCAACGACAATATACCTAAGCATCATGAGCGCGCGCAGCGACGGAGCGAGAAACGCATAGCATACCCCCATGGATAGGCACTCAACGACGATCGATCCTTCATGATCAGCTCGTATGTGGTGATCACAACAGGAAACGCTCTGAAGTGGGCGTCGATAGCGGCCTCCTCTGGATCCTGCTCAGGTTCCTCGGAAAGTTTCTGTTCATCGACGTCGTCGCGATCCCCTCTCTTCCGCTTTTTCGCAGCTGCGCCACGGCCTTTGCCTTTACCCTTACCCCTGGCAGCAGTCTTCTTCCCTTTCGACGATGAAGCAACAGGGGTGGCCTTGGAGTCATTGTTTCCCCATCCGTCAGGTAATGGAATGGCAGTGCGACGAAGCTCAGCGCGTTCAACAGGGGTCCCATGGTACATGAGGACGGGGATCTATAGAAATGAGATGGTTCGTGTATTAGAATCCTGGAAGCGCACTTTAGGTGCAAAACGCTTGAATTCATCAACCCAATTGTGCATCACACTCAGCGGGCATACGACAAGGAACGGACGGGTGGTGCCCAATTCCCTTAGATGTGCAGCGAACGCAATCGTTTGCAGAGTTTTCCCCAAGCCCATCTCGTCAGCTGTGGAACGTGCGGCAAGATGAGTCAAGGCAGCAGGCTATACGCGGATGTGCTGACCCACCTAGAATTCCGGAGATGCCTTGAGCGTTCAAGCTGACCATCCACTGCAGTCCTTCGAGCTGATAGTCCTTCAGAGTCGCGCCCGTGACAAGGGCTGGTTGTGGGAAAGCGCCGGTGTCCTCATCCTCCTCTGCAGACACGACCGCTTCCTCGGCCTCGTCTGTGCGTCTCCTCTTCCTTGGATAAGAACGCGAGGTATTTTTCTCCTTCGCTTTCTCGGCCTGTTTGCGGCGCATGTGGGACAAGTGCTCCACGCGTGCCTCGTCCATCTGCTTTTTGAGAATCTCGCTGTACATCGTTGTCCGCTCAAGAATTGCCTCTAGGCGAGCCAATTTATCCTCAGAAAGACCTTCGCCTTCTAATGGATCAACTCCCGCCTCATCATCAACTCTACCCTAGATTGCAGTGTGAGGTTGACTAGAACAATAGCCTATGGATGTCTCACTTCGCTTTCTAGACCTTCTGTAGTCGCCTCAGACTCCGGAGCAGGAAAAGGAGACGATGGCGCCGTGCTACTCGGGGGCATAGACTCGGAAGTCGATATGCGCGTTGGTGACGGAGAAACTGACGACTCGGACGACATGACGGTTTCAGAGGTAAATGATTGGTCACGCGCGCGTCCAGTCACGGCGCACGTGTGGGAGTCATGAGCGTTCGTTCAATAAATACTCAATGCGTTGAACGACTTGAACAAGTGTTGAGGGCATACTATATTTTCCGTTTCAGCGAACAATGAATCCATGGCACTAAGAATGTGTTTTAGTGGTAAATGATTACAGCAGTACATCGAACAAATTATTATCCGCTAAAATCCTAGCTTGCGCCTCAGCCTTCCAGTCCCGGTGGATGAGATCTCTCAGCAGTCTCTGCTCAAGAGCACTTTCTGACATCCACGGTGGAATATAGCTGCGAGAACAGTCGATAGACGGACAGATAAGAACACGACCACGACTTACCTTTCAATTGGATGACTAAGTGCATCGTTGATTGCGCGCTCGAATCCAGTTCGGTCGCCAGCAAAGACATGGTATACATAGGGTGGATTTGCATCAATGAGAGATGTGTGTTGTACTGTCCATTGTGTGCGATCCTCAGGGTTCAAATGATCCCACTGTGGAAGGGTCAGCCGCAGCAGTGAGATCCAAGTGACGACCTACGTTTCTGACTGGGTTCAAGAATGGAACACCCATGCACAGATTCTCGAGCACTATAGACTCCCTGCAATCCACGATAAGCTGGGATGCTGAAACGAGTGGCGACGCCACTCACTCTCGAGGATCCCACAGTCCAAGCATTAGCTTGGATCGGGCCATCTCTTCCACGGTCTGGACGAATGATAGTGTGCCGAGCTCCACCAGATTGGAAGGCACCAGATGCAGCCCATCTGCTTGATGATAGTTTTTCAAGCGGCCCTCGACAGGATCCAGCGAAGCCACAAAAGGTATGCCACTGGATCGACCGAACGTCTCGAAGAATTCGGGATCCCACGACGTGTGATGCGGTGCAAAGTAAGTCTCCAATGTCGCCAGGATATACACACGGTTCAAGCGCTCTTCGGGCGTGAAGTGGGGAAGCTGCTTCGCACAGTTTGATTCCATGCTGTAACCGACGTATGTTTTGTTGTTGCTAGGATCCCGATCGAGAGAAAGAGACCATTGTTCTCCGAGCGGATTGGCACGCTCGATGATGTGCCTTTTGTTCCAGTGCAACATCTTCCATATAGGAATGCCTGGTAGATTGTTCGGAGTCCGGACACAGTTGATGCGATCCTTCAAACAGTCTTCGATATCTCTGGCATCCATGACCAGGGCTTTGACCTGGTCAGGGAAGAGACGATAAACTCGTTGCGCCCACTGCACATCGTTGGGGCTGAAGACGTAGATGATGCCTAGCGCATCAAGAGCACGTAGGATGGACCGGGTCTCAAGATATTCATGTCCTCTGAAGCGAGAGACACTGAGATCCTCGGCAAGAAAAATGATCACTAGAGATGATGAGTGGACGTCGCTAGTGACGGAAAAGCTCATACATTTAGAATTCGACCTGCACTCCTGTTCTTGTAGGCAGATGTCCATTGTCCGAAGGGCTGCACTGTTATGCGTGTAATGGGCACTGGATTTTGCAGCGGTCTCTGATAGAAGAGACTCGATCTCCACTGCTGCTGTCTGAGGGTCGTATTTGACCCCTTCGACAACGACACCCGTCTGCGAAGGAGAAGGTGGGGAACGGGAGGATGTTGGAGTTGCCTCGACCATGTTGAGAGGCAATGGAATATGCTCTGTTACTTCCCCATAGTCGTCAGGTCGGAATGGATGCAAAGGCTAAGCCTGATCATCATCGCTGGAGGAGGACCGGTCTAACACACACACCTTTCGTCCCAGTCTCACAACAGCCAGCCATGTCAGCCCGACTACCGCAACAAGGAAAAAGCAGGTCGGTGTACGACGGCCACGACAAGACATGGGGGCTTGGATGGGGACAAGGTCGATTGGACCGTGTGGAACATTGATACTTAGGGGCTTTGAGCGGAACATGAAAGCAGTGCTGATGCTGCTGTCCCTTGTTTCCGACCCCTTGAACTGTCAATGCAAAGCATGAATACATACGTACATTCCACGCTGTATAGAGTAGCTGATCGGCTTTAGCAGAATGTCAAACCAATTTGTGAGATTGAGAAACAAGCGTGAAAGGTTACAGTGTACAATCGAGATAAGCACGAGAAGAGTATCCACCTATTTAGCAGAAATCTTCCGTGTGAGAGTTCTGATCCTTTCAGCGTTCCTCTTGCGCCGTTCAATGTCATTATCGACGCTGGTGTTCATGCGCATGATGCCCGCATTGGCGCTAGGTGCAACAGTGTAGTTTGGTAGTTCGCTTCGAGGAATCGAAACAGCGTTCTTCCGCACACGATCTTTGTCGGCCAGTCGTCCCTTTGCCAAGATACTGTTGAGTCGCTCGACATTGCGCTGAGAGGAATCTACATCCAGCGGCTGAGCTGTTGGAATGATTCGGTCACGATACGAAGCAGAACGCTTGATGATGGGCCTAGACCAGGTCGATACCAGTTCCTCCGCAATCCGCGCAATATCGAATGTGACGCGCTTGCACTTCGTGTAGAATAACACAATTCGCGCCAGCCCCGATTCTTTCAAGACGGCGGTATCAATGAACTCCATTCGCTTGATGAGGGGGAAAAATTCGCGCTGGATATTGAGAGCGGGCAGCGAACGATCAGGCAGAGGTTCAAGCCACTTTCGGACGGCTCCTAGAAGGTTGTTGTCGATCATGGACTGAGCCAGAGAGAATCTAAGGAACATCAGCGTGACAGCGAGTTGATACAAAGAGTGTACATGCTTGCGAAGAGTCTCCATTGCTTCCGGCAGCATTTTGAGCTTGGCTAGAGCGGGTTGCTTAGCCTCGTTAGCTTTCATGTCCTCTTCTGCAGCGTTGATCATGGCCTCTCGTAGCCGCGCCACCTCGTCGTCCGCAAAACTATCCAGCGCTTCCTCGCCTTTTCGTTTCTTGGAGCGGTTGCTCTTCTTTGGTTTCAAGATAGCTTCGATTTGCATATCCAGTCGAATTTTGCTGGCTGTGAAGTTCGGCATATGCACGCTACGTGAAATATCAGTGGCTCACCTTGCTCGGGTGGTAAATCATTGAGGTCTATGGGCTCCGGTTTCCTCTTTCGTTTGCGCGCGGGTCTCTCCTCATCAGCTTTCGTCTTCGATCGTTTCTTGGTTTTGATGACTTTCTTCTTTTCCTCAGCATCATCTTCCGAGTCCGCAGACGACCCATAGTCGTATTTGCGCTGGGAAGGCGATTTCCGGCGTTGCTGTCTCTGATTATCTTGGGGTACGTTAGCAATGTGTGGCTCCGAAAGTCTTTAGAAATATCACCTTGCTCTTCATCAGACAACTCGGAGTCCGAGCCACCAAAGATTGCTCTTGCAAGATGCTGGTAGTGATGAGCCAAGGTGTGAGATATGTGAAGCAGCGGAGAGCGAACGAACCTCGTTTGGGACGGTTGCCATTGTGAAATGACAGTACTCCAAATGTGCGTTCGTGGGCTAAACGGTGCTTGCGTTGTGACAGCAATGTCACGCGCAGGTCAGCATCGTCACTTGATGGAGTCACTCCTCATCGTTCAGAATCATTCGCGCTGAACAGGTTTGCCGGTTGACAGAGTGCCTTGGAGTGCGGCTTAGTCAACTCTCTAAGCGGGGAACAACAGATGCACATGCGTGAGTCTGTCGTCTCCATATCGAAGGCTCACTTCCAGTTCAGCAGACTTAGTCGGTGGATTGTCCAGTCCAGTGAAGGGAACGCCGAGCAGCATTTGAAAGTTTGAAGCTTGAAGTTTTAAAGGAGACCGATGTCGACGAGTCCTTCAGCCCGTGAACATTTGTCAAAGTCCGCAGGCGATCAACGTTCCAAGTCCAACCTCGTGTCGACCTGTGTTTTCCATGGAGCTGAGCGGGCCGGGTCTCGCCGGACAGTTTAATTCTGCACGGGATGACATCAATGATCGCGTAATGCTCGCCACGAACACGCAGATCTATGCGGCCACTTTTTTACCGAACCTGCCTCTTACCAGCCCACCTGGAGCCAGGCCGAGGAAATGTGTGCCAATGCTTCCACCTCCTAGCTCAACCTACACTGCATTCAAGCTTTCTGCACTCCTGCTTCTGAGTCCTATTCCCCATTACGACACTCCACTCGATTGGTACACCAGCCCCGCCATTTCAAGAGGCGATGGCGGTCGAACTCCCTTCTCATCCCCCAGCTCTCTTCCCCACCCTCGAGAACGACGCGACCGACATGGTTTCAACGCTACGGAGTACGGCACCAGTTTTGCCCCACCGATTGACGCCACTGGATCATCGTTCCTCCCATGCTGAACATACAGCACGTCCTCGCGCTAAATCCTCGGGCCCCATTCCACCCATTCGCCAGAGGACGCGAACCCTCTCTTCGCTCGCGGCGAACCCCCGGCATCCTCCGTTTCTCCGAGCGGCGAAACAGCCCCGAGTTCTGGCGATGCTTCTGGCGTGTTCTAGCTGGGCCACTGCATGGGCTCTTTTCAACACATGTCGCGACATTCGGGACTTCATCTATTGCCCTGAACTCAGGGACGTGATCTTGTCCCGCTTCGTTCCTGACTACGCTGCATGTTTGCGCGTGTCTGACCCGCGTCGGTTGACGAAGGTGCCGATCGCGTTGACGGAATTGAATACCCTCAGTGCGCGCCCATTCTGTCTGATGGATTGATCTGATAAGTGGACAGTGATCTCTCGAGCAGTGCCTCTGCACCGGTTTCCGATGCATGCCCTGACATGTGTCTCCGGACTCTTGCCCAACGTCGATGATCTTGAGCGGGAGGAAACACGGAAGTTGACGACATTTGCGCTGGTCCATACCCGCTTCGTGCTTCTACTCCAGTCGCTGGCGCACAGTTCGATCTTGTCTCCACCCCCCGAGCAACATGAACTCACGCTTAGACTCCGGCCCGAACCGAGATTGCGACAGCTCAACTTTCCGCCCCCCTTGTCCCATAACTCTGCCTCAGAACCATCGCCGGTGTCCCGGGGTCGAAAGAATTCCGTCGGATCCCGCAAAAGCTCCGACTCGGTTCGATCGGACACCACCTCGCTGGTTACACGTAGTCTCTCTCGCCCTGCGAACAGGTTGTCCATCTTTCGAACAGGCTCAAAGGCTCCTCCGCCTCCGGCATCCGAGCCCCGCTCGCTGAGGCACTACACCTCTGGTTGGCGGCATGCGCTGCAGCGGGCCTCCGGCTCATTCTCGGACGACGAATGGGGACGAAAGAAACCACTTGAACGGGCCCACCGGCGACTGGCTTCGGTTAACCTTTCAAGCGGCTCTTCGTCACTCTCGAGCCCCTCTCCTCCCTTTTCACGCGATTCGACCGTTGAATCGTCGCCTATCCGACGCGACGTGTCAACACACGACCTAAGTTTGGCCACACAACGAACCCGTGCCCCTATTTTGCGTGTGTTTGTGCCGTGCACCGAAATGGAGCGGGACGACGAGGAAGGATCGATTGCCCAGTGCGAGGATCAGCTCTATGACGCTGGGCTCTGGCCCTATCTGTCGCTCGGGGACATCGTCTGCAACTTTGGCTACGTTCCTCCCGCGAGTCCTGATGTGTCTGACGGCAGTTTGCCGGATGCGACGAGAGAAATTGTTTCTCGAAGTACATGGCTCCTATTCGATGGCCGCAGGCTTGTCCCATATAGTCCTCCAGAATCACTCCCTCTGAGCGATCCTACGATGCTTCCGTCACCGTTCTACTTCATTCACATTATTCCGCCACTCTCGGATCCCCTGTTCACCGTTCGAGGGTTTCCGGCATGCGACGATATCCCTCAGCTGACATTAGTCACCGTCTCAGCGAAGGTCCGCAGCCCCCATTCGCCGCTAGGCTATGCTCTCGTGAAGAAGTCTGCATGGACTGCACGTGTTTGGCGCCGAGTAGCTCAGGATGACGAGATGGGACAGGGCTGGCAGGGCGAATGGATTCTCGAAGCCGATGGAACCCTGGAGGGGCAGAGGATCCTTGTCAACTGTCTGCGCGGAGTCACAGGCCCGTATAGGCAGTGGCAGATCGTCCGGGAAAAGTGTGCAGGAGACAGACTATACCTCAGGTACGTGACCTGTCATCTCCAGTCCTGAATTGCATTGACTAATGGCTTGAAGACTAATCAAGACATTCGCGAGCAAACGTAGTACTATCTCCCGACTAACGAACCATGCATCTCAAATGACCGTCTAGACTATGTAGAGAATTCCAGACTATTACTCATCATCATTCAAAATGGACCACATCGGACACTTGTAACAGTATTATACCACATTGCTAATTATCAAGACTGCTGGCATAAACATGCTTCGTGCACGTAACAGCGACGGTCGAGATAAATTTCAGCCAGATCACAGCAAAAAGAAATGTTGATATAGTTAAATTCTCAATCACCTAACACAGCAGCATGGCGCAGTCTGGGAGCGCGCGGGGCCCATAACCCCGAGGTCACTCGATCGAAACGAGTTGCTGCTATCTTCTTTTCCTCCAATTCTTTTTTGATTGCAGCCCTGCCCGAGAATCCGTCCCTGTGAGATTTGACTTGGACCGTACTTCTGGAGCTGTCCACGTCCGGGAGAGATGTAAACGGGAAATCCTAACATGATGCTTTCATTTTTCTTGGTGCGTCCGTCGATGAATTGCCTCTCCCGGAAATCAGGAGTAAGATTGCTTGTAGCTGCTTGCCCATCACCGTTCCCGTCAAGCCAAAAATTATGCGAAACCTCAAGAAGACCTCCACAACACGATTACCGCAGGCTCTTGCCGAACAGATCCGGGAGGGTATGCACCAAGAGTGCGATTCACTTGACGCTACTGACATTATCTGCAAGGGTCCGATTCCAATGGGACGCGGCACAGAAAGCAGACGGCCGGCAGCGGGAAGGTAAGGACGCGTTCGGTCGGAGTCCATCGACTGCTGTACAGACTTCTTCTCAGATCTCCCGAAAAGCGCTAAGAAAGCAGGAGCGTCTCGATACAAAACAACGCAAGGCGCATTTCTTCGCCGCGCCTCAAAGCGCGAAACGCGTAGCCGAGGAAGAGCACACCGATTCGCCTCAGCGCAAGAAGGTCAAGCTCGGTGCACCGACGGCGACTCCGGTGCTGACTCCTGCCCCGGCGAAAGTCACAAACGCATCGGTAGCGAAAACGGCTGGTGCTTCCGCGAAGACTGGTCCGGGGCTTCCTGCCCCGAAGGCCAAGCCGAAGCAGACGGCTCTCGAAAAGCTGGTTGAACGGGCGGGATCCGGTCCATCCCTCCGGATTCCTCGGACGCAGAGGGAAGAGGAAGAGGACGCGTACATCGCCTACCTGGAAGGCAAGCTTGGGTACTCCAAAGGTAAAGGCAAAAGCGAGGGGGACGGCCTTGACGGTGTGTCGTCTTGACTCTGACTGCTCAATGGTGGCTTGATTAATTGCAGACTTGTTCGACTTTACGACTTCCCTGGAGGGGATCGGACGGGTGAGCGACTTCTGTTCCCGCATTGACCGAGTTGTTGATCATCCGTGCTCGGCTGTAGACCGGCGACGGCTTGGCCAGTGCGGGAGAGGAGTCGGGGTCTGTAGGAGAAGAAGACTTCGAAATGGACGATCAGGAAGACGAAAGCAAGGAAGTGGGCGTATCAGACGAAGAAGCTAGCAGTGAAGAGGATCTCGATGATGACGATGAGGAGGAGTGGACAGGTATCCAGGCTGACGAAGAGGAAGAAACTACAAAGTCAATAACGTCACAATCGACACCAGGTCAGTCGCATGATGAGCATCTATCTACCTTCGCTTAAGATTTACATTCTCCGCAGGGACGGCTTATGTTCCTCCTCATCTTCGAAACCAGCAAAAGGGGGGAGAAGACTCGGAGGCCCTCTTGAAGCTGAATAGACAACTGAAAGGTTTCCTGAACAGGTACATCGCACGCTCTCCCCTCGTTTGCCTCTGATGATTTCCCAGAATGACAGAACAAAACATTGCTTCTATCTTGGATAGCATTGAGGAGGCCTACCGCAAGAATCGGCGCAACGGTACGTGATACAGTGTTGACCAATATGTTTCTTGAATCCTCGTCCAGATGTAACATCCACGTTGACCACGTTAATCATCAACAGCATCGCTTCGCATTCCTCTCTTTTGGATTCCTTTGTCGTGCTTTACGCGGCATTTGTATCCAGTCTCCATAAGATCGTGGGCATTGAATTTGGTGAGATTGCGAGCCGCACACGCCCGACATGAACCTGGCACTAAAGCATCCGGGTCCAGCGGCCTACTTCGTGCAACACGTCGTGTCCGAGTACGAAAGACACCGCTCAGAGCTCGATGGCGACCCGGTGGACGTAAACCAAGAGTCGACGAGGGGGAAAGAGTGCTCCAACCTGATCGTGCTCCTCTCTGAGCTCTATAACTTTCAGGTTGTGTCCTGTGTGCTCGTATATGATCTTATCCGCGGCCTCCTGGACGGCGAATTGTCCGAGTTCAATGTGGAGTTGTTGCTCAAGATCGTTCGTAGTGCGTTTCTCGCTGGGATTGTTCCAAGGAGCTGCTCCTGACTTGTCGCAGACTCTGGGCAGCAGCTACGGCAAGACGATCCATCCGCGCTGAAGGACATCATCCAGATCGTCCAAAACACCATCTCGGATGGTGACGAAATTTGAGGTGATCTCGCCAGCCCCTGGACATGCCCCCGTTGGATGCTGATGACCCCGCAGCTCTCGCACAAGATTCATGGTCGAGACGCTGACCAATCTGAAGAACAACAAGTTGAAGCGGAACGTCACGCAAAATCAGGGTGGCGACGCGGTCGAGCGCATGAAAAAGTTCCTGACTGGACTGGGAAAGACGCGGCATGTGGTGGCGCACGAGCCTCTGCGCGTCAGTCTGCAGGACCTCCACGCCGCAGAGACCAAGGGAAAGTGGTGGCTCGTCGGCGCCGCTTGGGGCGGCGATCCCCTGGTCGATAGACAGCAGCAAGCCACCCCTGCCGTCGCTGTCACGGCGGACACGGACGGCGGGGACAGCTCGCTCGTCAAGCTGGCCCGCAAACAGGGCATGAACACTGCCATTCGACGCAGCATCTTTATCGTGCTGATGAGCTCCGACGTACGTGGTTTACGAACTAGCTTCTTTTTTCGTCGCGCTAAGCCTCGACATGCGCAGGACTACGTCGATGCTTGTGACCGCCTCTCTCAACTCAACCTGACCGAGGTGCAGCAGCGTGAGATTGTGCGCGTGCTATTGCACTGTTGCGGAAATGTGCGTTGCGAAGCGCTATTGATCGAGCGCGCGACTGACGTTGTCTCAGGAGAAGACCTACAACCCATACTACGCGCTTGTCTGCCAGCACCTCTGCCGCTCCTCCCACTCGTACAAAATCACACTCCAGTTCTGTTTGTGGGACTTTCTGCGCGATCTGGGAGAGTCCAGTGTTGGCGGCCAAGCCGTGATCAAGAACCTCAAGGAGGACGAAGACGGCTTTGGCCTCAAATCCATCTCGCAGACGAGGCTGAGGAACGTGGCTCAGGCGTATGGGTGGTGGATAGCTAGGGACAGTGTGTCGTTGACTATCCTGAAGGCAAGGGGGTCGCCGCCCCTCTCTAGACCCTCGACTCATGTTTTCCAGCCCGTCGACTTTACCACCCTCAAACCGCAGTCGTTCAAGTTCCTGAAAGAGCTCGTCGTGCAGGTCTTCATCTGCAGCCAGTCGGTCACGCCGGTGCTCTCCGCCGCCGGGATCCCCATGTCGCGGAACCGCGCGCCGGTCGAGGAGATATTCCTCAAAGCGAGCCGCATCGAAACGCTTGCGATGGGTCTCGTGTACTTCCTCACAGAAGCTTTCCGTCGCGTGGCGGACGACGCGGAGATCGACGACGCCGCGACGCCGCTCGTGCGATGGGCGGCTGGGCTTGCCAAGGAGACTCTTCGGACAGGGGTGGATATAGGACAAACTATGTAACCGGTAACTTGCGAATGACTGGTCATGACTGGCTACACGCGTCCTACATGTCGACGATGTTGAGCACGTCGAAGGGAATGACGCGGAAGGCTGCGGTGAACGTGAGCGCGTCGGCCACGATGATATTCTCGAAGTCGTCGTGCATGAGGATCTAAGTGAGGCATCTGTTCAGTGGGATGACGATCTCCAGGTCAGGGAGCCTCTGACCTCGAAGAGCTTAGCAAAGCTCTCTCCCTCGAAGATGGCCATGCCGTCCCACTCGCTCTGGGCGTCCTGGTCACACAGCGAGCCCAGCTTCGACTCGACGATCTGGTTCAGCGCGAAGACGTTGGTGTGGCACTGCTCAGCGCTCAGTCCCGATGAGAAATGCGGCACAACACAAACGGAAGGATGCTGTTGTTGCACTCGCCTGCTCGTACTTGATGAGGTTCGTCTTGCAGATGTCGAGTGACCGGAACAGTGGCGCGTGGGTCTCGATCCAGTACTGCATAAACTGCTCCTTGGTGTGGTCGTCCCGCTTCTTCATGAGGATGGCGATGCGGAACGCGCGCTCGTGGGGAGTGTACTCGGAGACGTCGGTCATCTGGATATCTGTTGCTGGGGAATCGTCTCTTTTTTCGTGCAGGCCCTTATATACGATCCAGTCGTTCCAGAATGGTATCCGTGCACGGGTCATGCTCGCGCCCGAAAGTCTCATTCGAGCTGCTGTGCGTATGTCTTTCATCTCCTGAGAGATTGCGAGTAGCCCCAATGCTGCGCGAATAGAACACACGCACACGTACAATAGGGATGAGGATAGCAAGCTAGGTGATAACAGTGTATATAACAGTATAAGTAATATATGGTATGATGTCCACACAAACCCGAACAGATACAGAACCCAATGCCCAAAGGTACACGAAGCATATTAAGCCCCCGTACAAACAGCCGTTGGGGCCGGCGAGTTCAAAGCACTCCACGCATCGTAGTACACACATCCCGCCACGGCAGTCACCCCCGCCGACGAGCCCGCAGAGTTGAACCACCCGCTACCGATACTCACTGTCGGCGCGACCCGTGTCACAGCGCCGGTCCCGGTCGCGGTTGACGTTGGCGTCGGGGTCACGAACGTCAGGCTGCGCACAGTGGCGGTGGCGGTGTACGTCGGCAGAAGCGTGACTGGCGCGGCCACGTGAGAGATCGTCGCGGGCGGCCACTGGCCGAATGACGCGATGGCAGTCGGATCGATGGTGCCTGCTCCCAGTCCACCGGTCTGCCACGCGCTGTAAGTGCCATTGAACACCGGCCCGACCACGTTTAGCGATGCGCATGTTCCAATCGAGGTGCGCGGATCCGTGGGCATCCACCCGCCTTCGAGACCGAGCTGGTACGACCACAAGGGAGCACGCACGACACCGTCCGTCGCATTGCCAATCTGACTCCCGTCAGTTCCGCATTCGATACCTGATTTATGTTGCATAACCGACCTTCCATGTCCAGAAGAACCAGTTCTGCATCGCATCCATGCTCGCGAGCGCATATTCATGCAGACCTGCTTTGACACTCGCATTCCAGTTCTGTGAGTCTTCCCACAACGCGCAGTCTCCGCCATAGTGGGCAGTGTTATTCACCCCCGTCAGGAACAGCCCGCAGTCGTTGTATCCGTTGCTGAATTCACCCGCCACAGTCACTCCAAATTCCACGTGACTGGAGATCCGTTAGTTGCACCACACAACACACTTTGCGGACACAGACTCACCTAGTGTTGATGCCCGGTCCCCAGGCACTGCACGCCTGTTTCGGCCAGATTCCACCCGCAAGGACACCCACTTGGTCGCTCGTGGCGATCGGCGAATCGTTCGGCTGCTGGTCAAACGCAAAATACGGGTGCGTGTCCATGATGATCCGGTCCGACCCTGGCAGAAACCCGCCCCAGTTGGACACGCCAATGAATCCGTCGTGGATGCTGATATACGGCCCGTGACCTTCCCCAATCCCTGTGATGCCCCGGATCATGTTGTGTGCCTGCAGGTAGAAGCTCGTGATTTGACTTTTGCCGATCGTGCTCAGCAGCGCCTCGTTCACAATTCCAAACATGGGGATCAAATCTGCCCATTCAGGCTGACTGATGAACTCGACGATGATGCGAATATAGTCAAGCATCCGCTCGGCGTTGGCCACACCCATCGGCCCATTCAAGAAGTTGACCTGGCCTCCCTTGCCAGAATGATTGTATCCTGGACCCACAGTAAGCACCATCCGGCCGGGCGGATTTTGTGAACACACCATTCTGCGACCCTGGTGCAGTGTGAAGATCCAGATTAACGCGGATCCCGTACTTCCGGGCCCATCCCAGAGCCCGCACGATATATCTGATCTGCTTGAGTATCTCGCAACTGGTCAAACCGTTTACTCACTTCCAGCAGACGGTTTCCAAAAAGGGCTCTGCTACTTGATGGGTACCGTCCGTCCCAATGTCAGACCAGACGCTGTGCAACCCTCAGTACATTCAAATGCCAACACTAAAAAACGTACCCGATAGCCCAGAACGGGATCGGAATTCTAACCCAATTCAATCCCGCGCCTGCGATCTGTGCGAAATCCGCTTCCGTCTGGTAGGAATGGTTGAGTATCTTTGACTGTATAAGGATAGCGTAGGATAGCGTCTCACAATAAAGTTGGCATAATGGTCCTCCATGGCAGCGGAGAACGCCTGGTCACCGACAGCAGCCCGCCACAAGGCTGACAGCGTCCATTCATCTGAGGCGGCTGGGTAAGCTTGGAACAGCGCCGGGGTGATGACTATCACGGGTGGTCAGATGTGAGTCATAGACAAGCCAAGCCAATCGGATGAATCCTCACAAGGCTCCAAGATAAACCATCCGCCGAGATTGACCCCATAAATCTTGTCCTTACCCCACGTCCAGGTCTCGTTAATCGCGGGTGTCCATGCATTAGGCTTGGCCCCGCTCAGGAACGGGTTAGCGCCCGTCGGATCTGCCATCCCTGCATATATTCATGAGCTACTCAATCACCAAATCAGCCAGAGAAAAACCCACAAACTCCGCCAAATGAATTCGAATACACAAATGTGGACCCATCGTCCATCACAACGGTACTCCCGTCTCCTCCCGTGACAGTTACAGCGACGTTCCCCTTCCCAGGGCTAGAACCGCTGCTGCCGCCACTGTCTCCGCCACCGCCACTGCCAGAGCCGCTGCTGTGCTTCGCATCCTGGTGTTTCTTGATGACCGCGAAGTACACAGGGATGACCACAACAAGCACGATCACGGCGAGGACCGCGACGGCTCCCGCCCCGATGAGCCGGTGCTTCTTGCGCGCAGCGGCACGGGAGCGAACGCCTGGGTGGTACGTGCCTGGCTTCCCGCCGTACCCACCGCCGCCCATCGCTGGTGCACCGGCAGGGAGGAGGCCGACCATGCCACTGGCGAGGGGGCTCGGGGATGCGTGGTGCCGCGCCGGATCGTCCTGGGAGTCCCGGCTGCTGCCGTATGACGGCGCGAGCGACACGAAGGGGGGTTGCAGGGGCGGGTACTGCTGCTGCTGCTGAGACAGCGGGGGTCCATACAGGGCGGGGGTTTGGAAGGGCGGGGTACTTGGGCCGTCGGAGTAGGGCGTCATGGGGTGAGAGACGGGCGTGGAGAACGGGTCGTGGTCTTCGCGCATCATGTCTGATTTGTGGGGATCTGTTATCTTGTCGCGTCGTGCGAGGGCTTTGCTGAGAGATATGAAGAGCAGGAAACTCTTGTGCGCGTGTCGTTTGCTCGCTGGCGGCCTGGTAATAGAAAAATGGGATGAGAATCCTAGGCGATGTGCCTTTGTCGACCGATGAACTTAGTCGGTTCAGCGAGCAAGAGGAGCGAAAGGGAAGCTGAGAGGACGATAGCCCGATCTCGGTTTCTGTGGTATAAAGAGTGACAAAAGTGAGCAGGCTGGATGGATATTCAGATGGGGTCCACAGGAAAAGTGGGTTCCGAGTCGGCGGGGAAGAAACACCAGCGCCGGGCTTAGTTTCCCGCGTGAGTGATTGATGATCGGCAGTGGGAACAGCGCGCACCCGGCGCAGGGCGGTCCGGATTGCAGTCACGAAAGCACGTGACTGCGGTCGGAAACAACCGCGGGCGCGTCGCGTCAACACATTACAACTAATGATCAATGATCTGGCATGATGACTTGCTCCTGACCGTCACATTGACTAGCCTTCAACCCTTGCTCCTTTCGACCATACCATACATCGAACAACTTAAGCTGGCAGCACCACGCGCCTCTGCGGGAAGTACCTCTTCCGACTACTTCGAGGACGATGATCCCGAATTCCTCGCCGCACTCAACCACATCGCGCTTCCCGGCGATGTCGTCTCAGTCACCGCACCAGCCCAGATGGGAAACTCCGACTCTGAATCGGACTTGGAGCCTCCGCCTCCGGCACAGATGGCCAGACCGCTGAAGCGGCGGCACGAATTGCCCGACCCGGTGGATGAGGAGGTCTACGGAGAGGCGCATTTCGGGGGATTTGGAGAATACATGCACCGCAAGCGGGCCAAGCTCCAAATCCAAAACTCGGAAAGTGGGGCTGCAAAAAGTGGGATATTCAAGGGTGTTGCTATCCATGTGTGTACAGTCTATGGTCACACTCACCAGGATTGCAGTGTCTAACGCTCGGATTTGCAGGTAAATGGATGGACTTCACCTTCCGTACAGGAGCTGAAACAGTTAATTATGGACCACGGAGGCATCTTTCAGCCGTACCTCGATAAGAAATCACTTGTGTGCGTCTAGTTCAATGTATTCTCTTCGCGTTCCTGACCTCCCTCCAGAACGCACATTATTACATGTACTCTAACGGAAGCTAAACGACGGGACTTCAAGAATATGAAGATCGTACGACCTGAATGGCTTATAGAGAGCGTCAAAGCGGGGACGCTTCTCTCATGGAGGGATTTTATGTTCCTCGGACCGACCTCGGCGGCAGGCCACACAGTGTCGAGCACGCCCAGTCTACATGCGCAAGCTGCTCTGTCTAATCAGAGCGAGCTTCCGCGGTATGCAGCAGTTGGCTCAAATCCAAACGCAAAACGCGCTATGGCCGATTCATCCTGGCGTGCGGCTCACACATCTGCTGCACCCGATTTTATACAGGGTTATTTTGAGCATTCGCGACTCCACTTTCTGTCGGCGACCAAGGCCGAGCTCGTGCAACTAGTTCGGGAAGCGCAAAATCGAGCAGAGAGCAACAAAACCGGCAATCAGGATGCAATAGAAATCAAGGGCATTCCGTCGCCCGTCAAGGGGAAAGTCAGAGCCGGGGAAGACAGGGTCATCATGCACTGTGACTTCGACTGTTTCTTTGTGTCTGCCGGATTACTTGCTCACCCCGAACTGCGTGGAAAGCCGGTGGTTGTATGTCATTCGCAAGGCGGACAGGGTGGTGGTAACAGTACTAGTGAGATTGCCTCGGCCAGTTATGAGGCGCGAGATTTTGGTATAAAAAACGGAATGAGGTACGTGTTCATCAACCAATATATCATTTCTCACAAGCACGCAGTCTACAGCAGGCTCAGAAGCTTTGTCCTGGTGTGCAGACCATGCCTTACGAATTCGAGAGGTGTGCTGGAGCTTGGTATATTCTGTCTTTGTCTTCTGATCTTTCGTTGCAGATACAAATCCATCTCTCTGAAATTCTATACGGTGCTCATGTCGAGTGCAGACGACGTTGAGGCTGTCTCAATAGATGAGGCCTTGATAGAAGTCACGACATTTGTGCGGCGACTCCAGAAAACGAGCCTGTCCGATGACCCTGCCAAAGAGTTCGCAGATAACCTGCGCGCTCAAGTCAAAGAAGCGACGGGATGCGAAGGTGACTATCCTGTCACCAATCTTGTGTAGCGGACCATCTAATCGTTCTACAGTCAGCATTGGCATCTCACACAACATTCTACTCGCGCGTCTGGCCACTCGTCAAGCCAAACCCGCCGGCTCGAAGCACGTGAAGGCAACAGATGTTCCAGAGCTCATGGCCACCCTTCAAATAACAGACATCTGGGGATTTGCACGCTCGCAACGGGATAAAGCCCTCGAAAAGTTCGGCAGTGCCGCTCTTGTCGACCTGGCGAACAGGAGTCAGGCCACACTGTGTGAAGCATTGGGAAAGAAAACTGGTGAACGCCTTTACAACACCATTCGCGGGATCGATGATACGCCGTTGCGGTCCGACAAGCAACGCAAATCTGTGTCCGTGGAGATCAATGTAAGACCATCTTGCATTCCGCTGACACCAGTGAGCTGATGCGATCTAGTATGGAATCAGATTTGAAGACAGCGCAGCCGCTCGCAAATTCGTATACAGCATGGCAGAGAAAGTCGAAGAAAGGTTGAACGATATTCAGATGCTCGGACGCTCCGTCAATATCAAGCTGATGAAACGGGACCCTGCAGCCCCAGTCGAAGCACCCAAGTTCATGGGCCATGGCGTATGCCAAGTCTTCAACAAGCAAGTGCCGCTGGCGTCTTCTACGGGTCGAGCGACCAATGATCGCATGGTTATCGGAGAGCACGCTTGGAGAGTCATTCAATCTTATCATTTCGACCCTCGAGAACTGCGAGGAATCGGAATACAGATACAAAAGCTCGAACCGGCAACGGGGCCTGTGCCTTCCAATGTCAACCAGAAAACACTAGGATTCAAGCCGGTAGAAGCGGACAGACAAGTTCTCGAGACACTGCCTTTGGAATTGCGACAGGAAGTCGAGCAAGATTTACGACGAATGTCAGAGTCTCCATTTCCTGAAGAGGGTCCTGCTCGTGCACAATCCAGACCTCATTCAGGTCGCTTCTCCACCCGGATTGTGCCGACTCGTTATCAGCAGAACGCGCTGCGACTCCCAAACGGAGGTGGCAGCGGCTATGTTATTGACAAGAACACCATCCACCCCAATCGCCCAGCAAATCCTTTCTTGCGGCCAACAGATACGGATTTGAAGGCACTGGGCATTGATCCAGAAACGTTCGCAGCCCTTCCGCGCAATGTCAAACGCGAGCAGCTAGCTCTCGCACGGATGGTCAAAAAGTACGGGGCAGTGCCAGAGGTGGATGACACGCACAAAGTGCATAAACCCCGCAAGTTTTTACCGCCGCCGGATCTTTTCAGGCAGCCTCCCCCGTTTGCGAAGTATCCTGAACCTCCGAAAATACGGAGACCCGGCCCTAAGGGTCAAAAGCCGTTCTTCTCCGAGAAGGATGATGTTCAAGACTTGCTCGGGGCGTGGATCGACGCGTTCAAGAGGTTCCCGCCGGAGGAGAAAGACGTGAACCGATTGGCTGAGTTTTTGGTCAGCTCAGTGGACAGCAAGGTGTCAACTGATATCGGTGTCGAGCGGGCCGTCTCGGTCATGAAATGGTGGGCAGTGTTGCTGCGACGATATTGGCAGGATTATGAAGTGAACGAGTATTTACTCGATGATGCAGTGGACGAGGCCGCTGCTGTGGGCGAGGCCTGGTGGAAAGCGTTCCGGGACGTCAAAGAACGACTCGACGTCGTCGCGCGCAAGAAATTCGGAGGGCGGTTGTCCATCCGGTGATCTGTAACATTTAGTCTATGTACTACTAGCAATGTATCCGTAGCATTTGAGTCGAGAGCAGAGAGGTGATGATCATTATACAAATACATGGCGGTAAGCTGGAGTGTTGTTTTCAATGCACGATTGACGAATGTGAGAGGGAGAACGGACCTAAGGATAGGTATGATACACGGGCTGGCACGGGGCACTATCTCTTAGACACCTCACGGTCCAACAAGTCTTTCGCCTCATTGATCTTGCTGGCTAGGTACGGCGACCCGCCTCTGTCAGGGTGGTTCGCGAGCATGATGGTTCGGTGAGCGTCTTTGATTTTATTCCGCAACGTTGGACCGTCTCTGCGCCGAACATTCGAAGGTCAGGTCTCTTTCTATTGGCCACGAGCAACAGTGCGTACTTGAGTCCCAAGATTGCGACCGCCTCTTTTCTGTCCATTTTGGCACGGAAGCCGCCCTTGACCCATTGGTCTGCGGCATTCTTGCCGCCGAGGAAGCCACGCTTCATGAGGTGCCGAGCTGTGAGAGCTGCTGCAAGTGCACCAACACCGATAGCGGCTGCGGTGGCCATAGTAGATGTGGGATGGAGATGCAAAAGGGGGTGGGAGTAAGGACCGAATGCGGACTCGGTGACGGAAGAGAGAATTTCTCGGTCACGTGCACTGATCGGAGCCATTCCAGTACCCGCCGCGACTGTGCCGACGCGGATGTTTCTCCTCGAGACGGCTTCCTGAGTTTCATCTCAAAGCTATATTGTCACCCGCGCGTCCCTTTACAGCTAATCCTGTCTTCTTTTGTCAATGTAGGGCCTCGATTGTGCCATGCACAGAATGGCATTGTCCTTTTACCTTATGGGCGTCTAACCACGTATTCCCCGTCGCCTCGTTCCGTTTTCTTTCAGTCGGTGGTCTTTCTGCCACTTTATTCTCTCTCTTTCTCTCTACAATGCCGTCCACTACGGTGCAGAATATCTTCGGTGCCCCCGGCGATGCGCCGCTTCGCGTCATTGCTCAACACGGCAGTCAACTTACGCCGCAGCTCGTCCGGACATTTTTGGCCACGGCTACCGATGGCATAATCGGAATTGCTCCTTACTACGGTTCTGCGTCGGGACTGTCCACCTTGGCCTTATCTTCGAAGACGGACGTTCTCCTCGTGTACATCGGGAAGAAGCGGTCGAGTCGAGAAAGACACAAGAGCTCCATCCAGAGCGGGCCCCTTGCCGAGGTGTTTCTTTCCACAGCACACGAAAAGGCGGCGCTGCAGATGGATGTGTTGGCCACTGCGCTTTATCTGGATCTGGGCATGCGCATCGTGGGTGGCCTCGATCTGCTCAGCATTTCTGTCAAGGATGATCGGCATTCAAACGAAGCACTCATTTCTTCTGTGGGACACGGCCTGAAGAAAGACGCCCTCATTTCTGTTTGCTCTCGAAAAGACACCGAGAGGCCACTGGCTGATAGACTGGCTCTCCAAGCTTGGGTGGCTTGGCGCGCTGTGGCACGTTTATCAAACGCGAAGTCGTTCTCGGCTCAGCAGCGTATCGACTCCACGCTCATGTCTGAAATCGTCGGTCTCTTGCTGCTGCCCCGTCATCTGGACTGATCACGCGTAGCACCTGGCGGCATTATCCAAAATCGTGCGCGATGCTTGCTGTCTGGACGCGCTGAAGCCGGATGTGACTCGGAACGAAGTAACTCAGAAATTCACCTTTAAGCAAGGCGAGTTGCAAGGAACTTCATCTCGCTTCAAGACCCGAGTTCAAGGCCGAAATACTGCGGTACGAAAGTGGTTTCTACACATGTACATTGATGGAGCATATACTCTTCCTCTCAGTTACTTATCACAGGATTCGACAAAGAAGGGAAAGAGATCCGTGCGGCGACGGGAAGAGTGAATGATATCCGAGGGCGGGCCTTCAAAGTCCAGCTCAAAGGGAACGACCTGCTCCACGCGAAACGGATTCGAGTACGCACGCTTGGCAAGGTTCCATCGACTGGCGCAGAGGTTCAACGAGAAGCTGCCATTCTTTCGGCTTTGAAAGGAGCCTCCGACCTCACTAGCAAGCCGTTTTTCCAGATGATCTGGTCGGCGAAAGACAGCTTTGAAGTGCGCTCAAAGCAAGCGGGCTCTCTTAAGAAACCGACCACCGCGATCCCGATCAAGTTTTCCCGTCCGCTGAATCCTTCTCAGCAGCGTGCAGTTGAAGAGATCCTCTCGCCCCAGCCTGTGACGCTGATTCAGGGACCACCGGGAACCGGGAAGACAACTGTCATCGCGGCGGTTGTCACGAGTATCAGCAGCGCCGCCTGTGGCAGGTCTCTGTGGCTTGTCGCACAGAGTAATGTCGCAGTGAAGAACATCGCTGAAAAGTTGGCTTCTGTGGGGCACCTCGATTTCAAGATCATCGTGTCGAAGGGTGAGTCTCTTTTTGCGATCCGAACTGGTGTTGAGACGACCCAGAATTTCACTTCGACTGGCACGAACACCTCTACGAGAAAATTGCACCGAATGTCATCAGAAGTGACGAGATTTCACAGGACATCGTAGCAGTCGAACGAATGCTTCTGGGAACCAAAACCATTCTGTGTACAATCAGCATGCTGACTAGCGATCGTCTTTCCAACGTCTATCGCATAGTTCCGGTGAACACTGTCATCGTGGACGAAGCTAGTCAGGTTCGGGACCATCCTACTGGCATTCATGTTCTCACCCTTGTGAAGATTGAGATTGGCAACTATGTTCCTCTGGTCCATTCTCTCTCCCGGTCTCTGACCAAACTGGTTTTCATTGGGGATGATAAACAGCGTATGATTTGCACTTTTTTCTCCCGCCGTACTAATGATGCTTTCCAGTTCCGCCCTACGGTCACAGTGACATTCCGTCGCTTCAGAGTGTCTATGAGCTGAAGCATTTGCGGAAGAAAGCCGTCTTCCTTGACACTCAATGTACGTCTTTGCTCTAGACAATCTAGCTGTTGCTCACAAACCAATAGACCGGTCAATGCCTTATCCTGATTATCGCATGAAACTCACTCTTTGCCGCTGTAGTATGCCTATCAGGCTCGGATCGTTCATCAGTCAACACGTCTATTTCAACAAATTGCAAAGCTCTCACAAGAAAACCGACAATTGTTGCCATTTCATCGACGTCCCAGGCTGCAAAGAAGAATTTAAAGGGCATGGCTGGATTGTGAGATTGATCTCTTCGTCCTCTAGATGAATCAATTCAGTCTTTTGAAGAACCGATCTGAAGTCAAAGCTGTCATCGCACAAGCACGTCGATGCCATTTCATGGGACAATCATATCGGATCATCACTCCCTACGACGCGCAACGGGCCATGATCGAACAAGTGCTCAAATCGAGCAACGGATTGCCGTGGGAAGACAAAGTATTTTGTGTCGATTCGTTCCAAGGCAAGCCATTGACAATCAACTGCACATCTCATGTCCTGAACGAAGGGCTCGCAGGAAACGAGGACGACGTCATTATTCTCTCGATCGTCCGCACAGAAAAGATTGGATTCCTGAAAGAGTCGAGACGAGTCAATGTCATGTTGAGTCGGTGCAAGCAAGAAATGCGGATCTGCACCAGCCGTTCCTTCGTGGAGGGTGTCGCCGCTGACACGCTGATCGGGAAACTGGCGCTCAGTGTTGGGGAGGAGGGATGGTACGAATCGTAGAGCATGTGATCGCGTCAAACGCACTATTCAATCATATTCTAGTTTTCCTCGTAGTAATTGTTCAAAAGCGTTGACTTTCTCGCGCTGTCGCTGCTAGTAGGTGGATTTGAATATTTGGAGGAGACTCGACCGAATCTACCATAGACGGTGGAGGCGAACCTCCGTTGCTGCGTGAGCCGAGATGAAATCACAGCCCTGGGCCAGTCGTGTGACGTCAACGACATTTACCGTGGTTCTTTTAGCGCCCTTGGCCGACTGGAATCCCGATTCTGTACAATATGTGTAAGTATATGCTGCAAGCTTCTGGAACCACATGTCGCGTATGTGGGATAGTCAATGCTCATTCAAGCGCCCGGCTTGATGCTCAGTTATTGTCGTTGAAGGAACAAGTTGATCGCCCACAATCTGTCACGCCAGCGGTTGCTCTCCAGGGCTCTTACGCTTCAAGCTTTCACGAGGCAGTCCCGTTCTGTGTCAAAGATGTCCACGAGCGTCTATCTGTAGAGCAATCGTCCACTTGGATCCCTTAAAGAGGCCACAAGACCGACCTACCCCCCACTGCTCATGTCCGACGCATCCTCGTTTACCGTGGCACAGGACATCTTCCGACCACCTTTCCCATCGACAAATATCACCGTGAAGGTCGTCCATCTCGCCGCTCTCACGCGCAATGTCATTACCGACTGTCTGGGGAGTATCACGGGTATGGGTGGCATCGGCGTCGCACCGGTCTATGGCGCCAAGTGTGTCCTCACTACGCTTGCGCTTGCCTCTTCGGACAAAGTTCTCGTCGTGAAACTCGGTCCACAGGCGACTGGCATCAAAAACAGCAACGGAGGTGGTAAAGCGAAGCGGAGACGCGGGCGGGAGCTTCTCACCGAGATCCTGCTCTCGCTTAATCTCACAAAGTATGCCTTCCAGATGGACATCTTGGTCACTTCTCTGTATCTCGACCTCGGCATGCGACTCTGCAATGGCGTAGACCTGCTAGATGTCCTGTCGCAAGGCGCGAGTCGGCGTTCACGTGCAGCTATATTCAACGTGCTGGGTGGGGAGGCCGGGCTGTTCAAAGATGATGTGGCGGCTTTGTTTCAGGGAGAGGAACACGTTCGGGGCACGACGGTGAAGCAGAACGCGTTGCAGGCCTGGGCTGCCGGCTGTACGCACACGATCGGAGGTGCAAGTTTGTTGAGTGCACCCCGGATCGAAACAAGTGCCATGAACGAGCATGCAAGTGTCCATCGCCAGATCTGACAGGAACGACACTGATCTGTACCTCACCAGCGCCTAGACGCATTTGCCAAACTAGTCCGCGATGCACGTCTTTTAGAAGAAACCAAGCCCAACACTGTCCGAAACGAGATAGCGAGCGATTACAGCTACGACAAAGGAAAACTTCAAGTCAATTCTACTCGTTTCAAGACGCGGGTTCGAGATAGCGGTCCAGAGCAGGTGAGCCACGTGCCCGATGCTAGTATACACTGCACGCTTAAATATCCACAGAGCATTATCATCACCACGGAGGGACAAGAGGCTTTCGTCTCTGGTAAAGTCCAGCGAGTGGACGGTCGAGCCGTTGAAATCAGTCTGAACGGCCCGTTACTCCCCGGCGTCATCACCGTGAACACCGTGGGTAAGGACGCGCTGAACAGTGCAGAGACCCAGCGCGTCAACATCATCGTCAAAGCGTTGCAGCGGCAATCGTCTATCGCAGACCGGCCGTTCTTCCAGGCGATTTGGTTACCACGCGAGGCACCGGATTGGCCCCTGGGACCTGTTTCCTCTCGGTTGGGCACGGATGTAGAGTATCCGCGCCCACTCAATTTGTCCCAGGAATTGGCTGTCATGGACATTTTGTCCGATAAGCCTGTGAGTGTGATACATGGACCCCCGGGCACGGGTAAAACTACGGTCATCGCCGCGGTGGTCACCAGCATCCGCGCGGATCCAAGGGCCAGAGAAGAACGCTATGTGTGGCTTGTTGCACAGAGCAATGTCGCAGTCAAGAACATCGCAGAGAAGCTCGCTGCAGTCGATTTTCTAAAGTTCAAACTCATCGTGTCTCGAGGTGTGTTAACTCTGCAGTTCTTGATCTCCGCGGGCTTACGGTCAATGCCAGATTTCCATTACGATTGGTAAGCTAAGCTGTCCTTCCGGATTTCTCTCTAATCTCATGTTCTCTAGGCACGAGCATCTCTACAACAAGGTCGCACCAAACCTGATCAGATCCGATGAACTCAACGACGATATTGTGGCCATGGAAAGACTCATATTGGACTCGAAGGTGATTCTTTGCACTCTGAGCATGCTTTCCGTGAGTAGGACAATCATTTTGGAGTGCATGTACCTGATCACAACACAGAACTTTCGGATCGCTCCCATCACCCGGATGGTTCCCCTACAGACTGTCATCGTCGACGAAGCCAGTCAGGTCGAAGTGGGTGCATATCTTCCCATGATATCCACGTACTCGGACTCCCTGCGCAAATTGGTGTTTATCGGGGACAACAAACAGCGTGGGTGTTCTCATCTCATCGTCCCTTATGTTCACATGAAGCAGTTGCTCCCTACGGGCAGAGCGAAGTCACCGGTCTGCAGAGCGTTTTTGAGCGAGAGCATCTTCGAGAGAATGCCGTGTTCTTGGACACTCAATGTGCGTAACTCATTGCTCTTAGACAGCGAGTGCTCAATCTCACTGTATGACACAGACCGGTAAGCTAAATCGCCACCCAGCAGTGCCACCCAGCATCTTCACATTCCTCGATACCAGGATGCCAAGACAATTGGGGACTTTCATCAGTAAATCTGTGTATGGCAGTAAACTCAAGACCATCCACTCCATCGATTCACCGTGCTGTCGGTTTCTTGATGTTTCGAAGGGAAGGGAGGAGAAGCAAGGCTCGAGCTGGATCGTAGGCATCTTCTTGCTTGTCCTTCCTTCACTCACTGCCCCTCTTCTCATTAGAACGCTGCAGAAACACGGCGAGTCATCGAGGAAGCCACTACTTGCTATAACCAAGGCAAGTCGTACCGACTGATCACCCCTTATGATGCACAAAGGGGACTTCTCGAGTCTGAGCTGAAAGCGGCCAAGATACCTTGGGAAGACAAGGTTTTCTGCGTAGACTCGTTCCAAGGTTCGAATCTTTTTCCGACGTGCAACCTCTTGCTGAATGGGTCTACGCAGGAAATGAAGATGATTACATCATTCTCTCTGTTGTGCGCACTGAGAGAATCGGGTTCCTGGCTGAGCCGCGGCGTGTTAATGTCATGCTGACTCGATGCAAGAGGGGCCTCGTTGTCTGTGCCAACCGTGGCTTCATCGAAGGAGTCGCTCGAAACTCGCTTGTCGGACAATTAGCTATCACGCTGGGACACCAGGCCTGGCGGTAGTACGCTTGCATCCTGCGCTACGCTAGACGTTGCATGATTTCTGTGTATATCTATCACAATCCTGCTCTTACTCAACTTCTCTCATCCCAAGTACGCTTCACTCACGTGTGAATGTTTAAGACGAGACGAGAGTGGTGCAATGGTCCCTGGAAATTCTAAGTGGGTAGAGGAAGGAATCCGAAGACGACGTTCGCCCAAGTCTCGAACACAATTCGTATTGCGGCTGTGATCATCAAATATACCTGGATGCGTGTACGATCAGGGAGAGTTCAAACCATGCTTTCGGGTTCTTGCGCAGGTAGTCGCCGGTGTTCAAAGAGAGTGGTGGTCGGTACAATATACATAGGTGATACAACGATGAATTATAGCGAAGGAGAAAGTCCTTGTCGATGAAATTCAGCAACACAGCGGCCAGTTGTACATCACACACCTCAAGTGTCGTCAGTCATAATAGCAAAAAACTCCTGCTCATTGATCTCTCCATCCTGGTCGAGGTCAAACTCGTCTATCATAGCTTGTCTGTGTATTCCAGAACGGCGTCAGCAGCCTGGAAGCTTAAACTTGAAAACAGCTCACAACTCCTCGTCCTCCAGTCGATCTCCAATCTCTCTCGCGACGCGACGTAGATTCTTCAGAGAGATCTTCCCATTTCCCTCCTCATCAAACAAGGCGAAGGCGCGTCGTATCTCATCCGCTGGATCCCGTGCGAGGATCCTTTCACTCACTGCCCATCAATTTGAGAGTTCTGAATGGCACCATTTAGTCGAGTCACCCACTTATCTTGGCGAAGTCGTCAAAGTCCATCAGTCCATGGCCCGTTTTGTCATGATCTCGTAGTATTTTGAGGACCTCCGCTTTCTTGAGGTCGAAACCCAGCGCACGCATGGCAACTTTGAGCTCGTGGTAGTCGATCGCGCCGTCCTTATCTGTGTCGAAAAGTTCGAACGCTTCCTTTATCTCCTGCTTCTGCTCGTCCGTCAGCTCAGGCCGTGAATGAGCGCGTCGTTTGGCTTTCTGAGCGGCTGAGGACGTGTACATCGCTGTCCGTAATGCGACGCGTTTGTTGACAGAAGCTTGGCATGGACGGAATTTCACGTGAGTAGATCAGATGATCTTATCTACACACGAACACGTGCACAACGTTCTTTGTTCATTCATTGTCGTGACGCGCCCAGGGCTCACTGAGAGCTCTCATCGCGACGTCTTTCACTGCTCCACATGAGCGCTATTCCTCCTCGTCTAATAAGCTGGCTTCGGGAACACTATCCATCTCCTCAAGTGGATCCCGAGTGGCTCGACGCTTGTTATAACTGGGTCATAACAGAACACGAGCTCGATCCTGCCACCCACATGGCATCCATTATTCAGAACGTCGAGGCGCAACTGCTCCAATCCGATCTATGCGATTCCATGTGTCACGGAACGGGGATTCCGTTGTCCCTCCTTACAGCAGTATCGGGGACTCTTCGCGGGCCCGTGCTGGTCGAAATCGTCGCGATCACCGAGGTCGGAGCCAGCGCCCTGGCGCTGGATCAGGTCCGCGTGGTTAGAGATGAACGGCTTGCAGCCGGGGAAATTGAAGGAGACGACGAAGTGGATTTAGAAGTTGACGGAGAAGGCGCTGTGCCTAATTATCCGCGTAGTATGCTCAGATTTGAGCTGAGTGATGGTGCTTCGAAGGTGTCTGCCTTTGAGTATCGACCTCTGCCTGAGCTGAACCTTGGAGTCACACCACTGGGATATAAAGTAGGTCTTGAATTGTACGTTCCACGTTACGGGCATTGACGCAGGGAAAGTTAATATTGAAGAATGTTCTGATGAGACGAGGAATGGCCTTTCTTGAACCGTCTTGTGTCGAGTTCAAGGGGCAGAAGACTGAGGATCGTGAAGTCCAGCAGTCTACAGACTTCGCCCGTGAATTGAGGCACAGATTAGGGTGTGTTTCACTGCTACAATTCTTTCCTACTTTGAGACTCGTGTGCAGAAACCTGGAGCCCCAACCTGAAGTGTCTCAAGCACCAGCACCCCAGGAAATGCGATCTCCACTTCGCGAGATATCGCAGCCACCTTCGCCTCCGGCTGCTGGCTTGCATAATCATTCGGACGACGAAGAACAGCCCAGAAGGCGGCGAGTACCCGGTCCGCCCCCGTCAGTTTCGTCGTCCTCGACTATCGTTACTTCTCCGTACTTCCCCTCTAGCGGAAGTGCTGCAGGCGCTGTCCCCGCCGCAAGCCCTAGAATGGGTCTTGCTCTCTCCCCGACTCGCAGCGCGCCCATCGAAATTGACATCTCGGACGACGAGGACAGTCAAATCTACCTTTAGGGACTTCCGGCGTCGATGCTCGACCGACTGTAGAGTTGCGCTCAAAGAACAAAGGATTGTCGCAACCGCCGCCGCTGGAAGATGCTGCATCATCCGACTATGGCGAAATGGATATGATAGATGCGGAGACGATCCAAGTGCTGGATCACATAGAGCGCAATTCTCAATCTGCGCCGAGAGAGGTCATCACAATCGATGACGACGAAGAAATGGATGACAAGGAAAACGTGCCCGCCCCTCAACGACATGTTCGACGCCGACTGTTCGAGAATGTTATCGATATATCGGACGACTGACTGTGAGCAGGCCGATGGTCGCGAGCTAGATAACAAAATATGTATGATGACAAGGAATAGAAATGAATACACTTTACAACGGGTTAATCGTGAACAACACCGTTCATCCCAGAAGAGTGGGTTTGTTCTTCTTTTTCTTCTTGTTCCCGCCATTAGCGAAATTACGCCAGCTACCAACTCGTTCCTCTCGATTCGCTGACAAAAAGATTTGAAAAGAGTAAAGACCCAGATAGAGAAACACTCACATTCCCATGTCTTATCATCCTCTGCTTTACGCTTCTTGGTCTCGACCTCTTGTTCCTTCATTCTCGCCTCCAGCCCTTCATTGGCAAGATTCATTTTGATAGCTCTATAATCGGAGATGTTGGAGATTCGATGCCGTAAATAAGATCGACTCACTTGCGCCGTCGAAGCTCCTCCTCGATAAGTAGGTCCTTTGACTTCTGCCGCAAGCGCGTCTTGAAGCTGGGCTCTAAACCGCGAAGCGCGTAGTCTGTGCTCAGAGTCGACACCGGTAGCGAAAGGTCTTTGAGAATGAGATTTTTGGCCTGGAGGATCACGGCATCTAGATTCTCTCGTTTCGTCTCTTCAGAAAGCTCGGACTCGGCCTGAGAGCAATTGGTAACAATCTGGAGAGTCGAGGCGTGCACTGACTTTCTTGAGAATGTCGAAAGCCTCCGGTGCACGAGGATGAGGTGTCTTATCGGGGTGAATGACTATGGGATGGGTAGGCAGACTCCTCATGTTGAACAGGGACACTGCTCACTCAGCGAGAGTTGCTTGTATCGTTTCTTGATCTCTTCAGTAGTAGAAGATTCATCTATGTCCAGGATATCATACGGACTGCAAAGATCCCATTAGAAATGAGCCAATGCTTGACCAGTAGCAGAATCACTTCAGTTTGAAAGCCTTGAGGATACGTTCAACCTCGAGCTCCCGGTTCAGTGCATTAGACTCGCGACTGAGAAGCTTATCGATATCCTCTAAGGTTCTGCCAGAGGACGCCGAAGGGATGGATTTGGAAGGTCCTGAAGACATGTGCGGTTAGGTGGTGGGAGCTTTCAAGTGTGATCGGCAAACTCCGAAATGTTGTCTTGCCGCCTACTTCCACGAACGGCGCCATGCTTCCGCAGGTCCCCCACACCGATTTGTCCCATTTCATGGAACCGATACTTCTCAAGCCAAACGCCTCGGCTTGGCCTGAAATTCAAAAGTAGAGCCGAAGTACACAAGGAGCGAAACAGAAATCTGCTCATGTATAGCAGCGCGGTTGTGCGCCTCTTTGCGGATCTACTTTCTGCACCTGCATTGACGTTGCTCAGATAATTGCGACTCTGGGTGTGACATACGCAGCTGTTCCTCTCTACCGAATGTTCTGTGCCGCGACAGGCTTCGCGGGGACGCCCAACGTCGGTACTGGGCGTTTCGAGGCTGAACGGCTGGTCCCCGTTGAAAACGTCGGCCGGATCAAGGTCCACTTCAACGCAGACCGCGCGGAGGCACTTCCTTGGACATTCACTCCGCAGCAACGATTCGTGAACGTGTTGCCTGGCGAGACGAGTCTGGCCTTCTATACTGCCAAAAACACGTCGGACAAGGACATCATTGGCATTGCCACATATAATGTCACGCCAGACAGGGTGTGTGGTCCACTTGAAATAGTTTTCTTCGCAGAACTGAAAACACTTCAGGTCGCGCCGTATTTCTCGAAAGTAGAGTGCTTTTGTTTCGAGGAACAGAAATTGCTTGCTGGTGAAGAGGTGGACATGCCACTTCTCTTCTTCATAGACAAAGACATTCTTGAAGACCCCTCCTGCCGCAACGTGGATAATGTCGTGCTGTCGTACACTTTCTTCCGGTGAGGATCCTATGGCAGTCAGTCCCGATTCTGTACAATAACATATCCTTCAGAGCCAGACGGAATCAACAAGGCCACCTGGAGCCGGATGCCACCGAGGACCAAGTCCAGAAGTCGCTGGGGTTCGAAGACTACGAGCATGCCTCCAAGGCTCACATGCAGAAAACGGGAGATAGCCCGAAACTATAGAGGAATCGTCTCTCGACCAGAGCATGAATGTAAGCAAATGCCGGTAGAATACTTGCCATGTAACAAGCAATCACCCTTCTTGTCCTCTCAAATCTCCTTGGGAAGCGTCACGGTGCGCCCATCCAGACCCCAGGCATTTTGCAAGCAGTTCGAGCGAATCCGGTCGTACCGCACATTTGATCTGAGCACGTCGTCAAACTCATTGAGCATTGAGCACTGATTAGTCGGTCACGATTACCTGCAAGACTCATTTATGCACCCATGTATACTACTGGTCCCCGGTTTATTTCGGACCTGAGTCCCCGGCCTGACTAAGCATCTGCCTACGCACTATAAGCCATGGCATGACGAAGGAACGCTCGGCAATCGCAAGGTTAATTTAACACTCTGTCCTCAATCCATCATGTGGGGTCTCCCTTTGAGTCTACTTCTTTGCGAAATATTCTTGGCCGATTTTGCATCAGCTGGACAGCAGTGCCAGTTGAAGCTCCATTCAAATATTTTGTCAAGTCCATTCGGTGGCAGTACCTCACTGCTGGGAAGCACAAACACGCCTGCCGCATCGACGTGTGTTCATCTGTCCTGGCGTTTTACATTATCGGTAACCGTAGAATCCACGTAGTCCTCTTCCAACGAGTGTACCAAGCACGAGGACCGCGTCCTCCAGCGCATCAGCGTCTCCAACGTCAACACCATTCGCATATGGCACAACACCCATTCGTGGGGTAAACCTGTGCGTCTCACGGATGCCTCGTGCAAGGGACTGCGAACATTCTCACTTACGGTCGTCCGTGTAGAGGGGGCTGGTTCGTTCTGGAGCCATGGATCACACCCAGCATATTCAACAACACCGGGAACGCGAACATTATCGACGAATTCACGTTCGGAAGCATGCAGGACCCAAAGACGGCGTTGACTACGTTGACAAAGCATTGGGAGACGGTGCGTGTTTCTTGTTTCCGGACTTATATCGCGGATGACGGTTCTTTCAGTGGATAACAGAAGCAGACTTCATCGCAATAGCTGCTGCCGGCCTGAATCACGTCCGGTTTGTCTCTATATTTGTTCACACCTCGTCCGCGTGTCTGAGCCAAGTCATAGAATCCCACTCGGCTACTGGTCTGTGCCCATGACCTCTGATGATACCAACGAGAACACATCACCTGCACCCTACATTTCTGGCGCATGGCCGTACCTTCTCACCGCCTTGAACTGGGCCAAAAAGCATGGAATTCGCGTTATTCTCGATCTGCATGGCGCGCCAGGTTCTCAAAATGGCTTCGATAACTCTGGGCAGCGGACATCTAATTCGCAGTGGGCTATTACTCCAGCTAATATCACTCGAACGGTGGACACGCTCACGTACATTGTGAAGCACGTTGGTGGCTTGATCGATGTCATTGAGCTACTAAACGAGCCTGCCACATTTCTCTACCCCTCGACATATCCAGACACATTACGACAATTCTGGCAAGATGGATACGATGCAGTGAGAGCCGCAGTCGGACCAGATATTCGCGTGATGATTGGTGACGGATTCATGGGAGTAGATGTGAGTGCCATTCTTCTATGATTCTTGTAGCTTAACACGAAAAGGCCTGGACCAACTTCATGACATACCCGAGTAAGTGACATTTGCTACAAGGCTCACGGATTGCTGAACTCTTATCATCAGGCGCCCAAGGAGTTATCATGGACTATCACGAATACCAACTATTCAGTGTTCCGGAACTGAGTCGCAATTTCAGCGAGCATATTCAATTCACGTGCTCCAGCATGGCCGACATCGACGCATTTGCGCGCAATAACATCTGGGCCATAGTCGGAGAGTGGTCCACGGCAGTGACAGACTGCGCCGTATGGTTGAACGGTCGAAATATCGGTGCTCGATGGGATGGAACTTGGTACACACCGAACACGCCCTTCGGAAGCTGTGACGGATGGTCCGGCGACTACCACACGTTTTCCGCTCAGTATAAAACGTTCCTGAGGCAGTGAGTGCTAGCTGGTGCATTGTTTTACATCATTGTTCTCATTCTCTCGAGATATTGGGAAGTTCAGACCATGATGGGCGAAGGAGTCCAAGGATGGGTGTATTGGGCATGGAAGGTGGATGACTCGTTATCCTATTCTCGGTGTACATCGACTGAACATCTGCTCCAGGCAGAGAATGCTGACGACTGGAGGTCCGTCTTGAATCTTAACGTGATATCCTCAACTGACGGTGGTTCAGTTATCAGAAAGGATTGGAAGGGGGCTGGATTCCTCAAGATCCGACGGATCGAATGTATCCTAACATCTGTTCCAGCTGAGATTTGTGCTCGTCGATCGGCCATCTTGGCCTGGCAACAGGATGTAGAACAATGTATGGACTGTATAAAAATTAGAATAGTCACCTTACCGTGTAGAGTGTACCATGAACCTTGGACAACGCTTCATAGATGGTGAGAACCGATGCCCCGTCCTCTCGATGACCTCACCTCGTGACCGTGGCAAGCACATCAATCCCTGGCCCTGTCCACTATCTCATTCGCATTTGTGGCTTTGGATATTGTTCGAAATGAGGCAAGAAAAGGTGTGTCCTCTCAGTCTCTTACACTTCGCTGTGAGACTGACGCCGTTGACGCGCGCAGTTTGCACAAAACATGCTCGAGCTGGATATCGATCTGGAGGATTACGCTCTGGAGGTCAGGTCCATGAAGGAGACCGAGTTGACAAAGGAAGTGCTAGAAGTTTTCATCCATGCCGGTGCGCTCTGCTCGCTTTCGTCGATCGAACAAAACTCTCACTGTCACCATGCTCACAGAACCCATCGGCATCGCGCCTGGCTACTCCAAGGAGGGTGATCTTGTTGCCCTGGCCATCGCGGATAACACATACTGCCTCATTGTCTCATTCATCTCCGATCGCAGTGCTTCGAGATCGGGAATCACGCAAAAACGCGGCGGTGGCGGCGATCGCAGCGGACGTGGTCCTCAGAAAGCTGGAGCTGCCGTTGACACGAGCGGTCGGAAACTGCTCGAGAAACTGGTTCTCTGTCGCGCTAGTGGCGATAACTGTGCTTTCGACTGTGGTCCGCTATCTATGTCCCTTTACTGCGCTGTTGGCCTCCGCATCAAGAATGGCATCGACATCCAGTCTGCGTTCTCATCTGTCAATCGCAAACCACTTAGCGCGATCGAAGACGCTGTTGGGGGCACGGAAACTGTGAAGGTCTTTGCAGAGAACATCACGGAGGCTTTTCAAAATCCTTTGTATGACAGTGAAGACAAACACTGCTCTCAAGACCTGGTCAGTCGAGCATGGCTGTCTCAATATCTTCCCATGGTTGGCAATTGTGCGGAGGCATTTGCAAAGGTACCAAAAATTGACACAGAGATGTTGGAGCTGCCAGTGAGCTTTGAGAATCAAAACAAGATGATTTTGGCTTACCAAATTGGATTACAGTTTCTCAATCATCTTGCAAAACTCACTCAAGATACACTTCGTCTACGCCACAGCAAGCCTTCAAATACAAAGCACTCTATTACATTGACCCCATCTGTGGACAGTGAGGGATCAGACCTTCAGTCTCAAGGCTTCAAAAATCGGATACGCTCTGGACAGGTCTGCTATACAATCACTGGGCAGTCTTCTGTTTATTCATGTCATAACAGAATGTGGAGTTCAAGATACAAAATGCCCAGGGAGCAGTGTACACTCATCGTGACAGGGTTGGCAATGTAGTTGGCCGAAGAGCTAATCTCGCCAATTCATATGATCACCTTGACAATTCCAAAGTGGTTCTCACTGTCCATAGCATTGGGAGAGATGATCCTACAACTGCTGAAGCTAGACGGGCCTTGACAGTTTTACATATGCTTCAAGGCCAACACAATCTCTTCAGCAATAATCCATGGACAAAAAACATCTGGCTTCCATCTTCAGATTCTGCTCCAGGGCTTTTGACTTGGCCTGATCAATGGGCTCAAGAGGCACCTGTCCTTTGCTCAGTGGACAACCTTGGCCGTCATAAAAATCTGAATCAATCCCAGCAAGATGCAGTGGATGCCATGCTTTCTAACAAGAATGACCATCATATTGTTTTAGTCCAAGGCAAGCCAAGTTCTGCTTGCACTTTTTCTTGTTGTTTACAAAGTTCCAGGTCCACCAGGGACTGGCAAAACTTCAGTCATTGCAACCTTTGTGAATGCTGCAGTTTCAATGAACTACCAAGGTAAGTTATCTTATTCTTGACAGTCCAAATAATGAGATTTGATTAGGCATTTGGCTTGTTGCCAAAAGCAATGTTGCTGTGATTAATATTGCACTCAAGGTATGCAAATATTAATTTACTTTGCTATATCATTCTAATTGATTGACTGGTATCTAATACTGTTTTAGCTGCAATCAGTTGGGTTTCTCAATTGGCGTCTTCTTGCATCTGCAGAGTTTTCACACAAGGACTGGCATGGCCATCTCTATGACCAAATACGAGACAAGTTCATCTCCTCACATGAATTCTCTAAAATGGGCAGTCAACGGATTCATGGTTGCCAAGTGATTCTCTGCACACTAAGCATGGCATGTTTATCTTTGGCTTCTGTGATATGAAGCTCCAGCTGATTTTCTTTTTGCAATGGAAAGCTATCAAATAAATTCCTTTTCAAATTTACCAAGTCAATTCCAATAAGATCCATTATTGTGGATGAAGCCAGTCAAATAGAGATAGGTAAGCTGACTACCTATGTTGATTATATTGACACTAAGCCAGCAATTTAGGGGACTATATACCAGGTGATGCTGTTCTTGACCATTATGTTCTCTGGTTCTGATACAGTATAGTTATCACTCAGTATGAGAAAACTTTGCGCAAGATGTGCTTCATTGGGGATAACAAGCAATGTGTGTGTTCCTGGGTATTATATGATATTTTTATTCATATTAAACAGTGCCTCCTTTTGGACAAGAAGATCTCCAGGACCTACAGAGTATCTTTGAGATTCCCCACTTGCAGTCTTTTTGCATTTTTCTGGATATCCAATGTATGTATGTTATTTGCCAAAAGAAATTCACTGACTTTACTGCTTCAATAGATCGGATGCCTCCACAGATTGGGGATTTCATCTCTCAACATGTCTATGATTCAAAACTCTCTTCTAATCCAACGCACCCAATCCCAAATTCCCATATAGCTTGTCAATTTATCAATGTTGTCAACAGCAAAGAAAAACTGCAAGTAACAAGCACTTCTATCACTGTATTTGACTTATATTCTTTTCATTCTGATTTTCTAACTCTTGTCCAGAATGAAAAAGAATGTGCTGTAGTGTTACAACTCTCTCAACATCTCCAGAATCACAACAAAAACTTCAAAATTATCACTCCCTATGATGCCCAGCGTGAATTAATTCAAGAAGCACTCAGAAGTGCAGGACTTCACTGGGAAGAAAAGGTAACTCTCATTCTTTCTAGCAAAGCATAGATCTCAGATAAGCTCAGGTTTATAATGTTGATTCTTTTCAAGGTTTAATTCACCATTTGCTTCTTGAGAATATTTCACTAACTGTTTCAGGGAACGAAGAAGATGTTATAATTATCAGTCTTGTTCGAACACGTGCACTGGGATTTCTACAAAATCTGCGGTATTTTTTTCTTGTTCTTTATATGTATGCTTCTGATTCCTTCTCTAGGCGCACAAATGTAATGTTGACCCGAAGCAAGAAACATATGTATCTGGTCACAAGCCGTAACTTTGTAGATGGGCCATTGGCACATGAATGCCTGGTTGGCCATCTTAGTAGACATGTTGGTGATTTAGGATGGCTGGAATTGTCAAGTCTCGACAATGATGCCTTCCTTACTAATTTTCAGAAGCAGCACTAGATTTATATAACAACTCATATATATACCTATGTTGTGCTATTTTGCTTAAAAATGATGGGTTCAGCTAGTAAGAGTAAGTCATAGTCAGAGATTAATAGCAGATGTCAGATAGCTGATAATTGTAAGTGCAACCTTGAGACCCAATCTCAGAGTTCTGGCAAGGGAGAATCTAAAGTGAATAAATGTGGTAGCTAGGTACAAGACTGGCATACCTGGCAAGGGAGAATCCAAAGAGAAACCAAGTTGGGGATTCTCCTTGCCAGGCGCCACTATTTATATGATACAGGAACAATAGACCATGCAGCAACAAATAAAAACAATAGGAACAATAAGTACAATGGCTATGACAGAATGATGGGAAATGGAGACAATAGGAACAATGGCACCACCTGCCATCAAAGAGAAGTGCACAGTGCGGCAGTCTGGGCCGCTGCACATGGCAGCTGACAGGTCACATGAGTGTGATCCCATGCCAGATCCCAGGCTGATTGGTCCAAAGCGGGGGTTCCCCTGATAATAATACACCAAGACAAGATAGTGAGTAGTTTGGAGAAGCCATTAATAGCCAGCCTAGAGGCAATACTAATGGAAAGTTACACTAGAGGTATTGTCATAGTTTGGCCACTTTTTCATCTTATCATCAACAATCTCATCTTATCTCAGTACAGGTTATCTTATCATGGATCACGGCATCCGACGGTCCGGGCTAGGGGTCTAGGGGATTATCTTTATCAATTTGAGGCTGCACAACATATGCTCTGGAAGGTTCTACTACAACCCATGACCAGTACTCCATGTGGTACATAGCCTTATGACTCATTAGTTGTAGATATGACTCAGACTAGATTTGGGTATAAATACTGTAGCCACTTTGTTGTATTCTCCAGTCTTCAAATTCACTTCTCTTATTGACTTGTTTTTGAGTTGATTGTTACAGGTATAGTGTTCAGGCACACAAATCAATTCCAGATCAGCTAGTGAAAGTATTAGAGACAAACAACCTAGTCTTGTGACAATCAACCCAAAAACAAAGTCGAAAAGAGAAGTGAATTCGAAGACTGGAGAATACAACCAAGTAGCTACAGTATTTATACCCAAATCCAGTCTGAGTCATATCTACAACTAATGAGTCATAGGGCTATGTACCACATGGAACGCTGGTCATGGGTTGTAGTAGAACCTTCCGGAGCATACGTCGCGCAGCCTTGAATCGATAGAGATAACCCCTGGAACCCCTAGCCCGGACCGTCTGATGCCATGATCCGTGATAAGATAAGTCGTGCCAAGATAAGATAGGATCGTCGATGATAAGATGAAAAAGAGTCGAATTATGACATTACCCCCTCTCTAGGGTCGATGCCCTCATCGACTAGGCCAATGGGCGTGAAGACGTTTTCGTACGGGTCGAAGAGTTGTCGCTGGGGGTATGGAAGGCGCTCGTCTTTGGGTTTGTAGCGATGGATGAGGTAATCCCAATGTCCGGCTTCGAGAGTTGGCAGGAGGCGAATGCGTGTGTCTGGGTTGGATTGTTTCCTCTGCCAATCTCTCAGGACCTTCTTCGCGTGGGTAAGGTGACGTGATGGTTCCCAGGTGTTCTCGCTATGCGGCCATCCCTTCCATTTGACCAAGTACTGTTTTCCTCGGCCGACGTTTCGCTCTTTCACGATCTCTTCGACTTCCCACTCCTCTGCTCCTCCGATCATCTTGGCTACAGGCCTCTTCTCTCGGCGATGGGGGGGTGGTTCGTGATAGGGTGTCAACAGTGACTCGTTGAACACCGGATGTCTTCGGTCCGTGTCCGGTAAATCCAGCTTCCATGCGGCCGCTCCAACCTTCTCCAATATCTCGTATGGCCCTAGTCTCTTGTCGCTCATCTTCTTTGATGGTCGATCCGTCTCGATATTTTCCCCTTCTATGTACACCTTCATCCCAACCTTCAACTCCGGAACTTCTTTTCTTTGTTTATCGTAGTATTTTTTCATTTTTTCTTTTGCTTTTTCTAGTGCTGTTTTTGCTTCGTCTTGTATTTCTTTCATTCTTTTTACAAATTCCTCCGCCGACTCGTTTCTCGACTCCATCCGTTGCTCCACTCCCTTCCATGGGTGATATCCGTGATTCGCATAGAATGGCGATATTTTGGTAGATGTGTTCATTTTATTGTTATATGCGAATTCTGCCATCCCTAGCCACTCCGACCAGTCCGTCTGATGGTAGTTGACATAGATGCGGAGATAATGCTCGATCTCCTGATTCATGCGTTCTGTCTGCCCATCCGTGATCAGGTGATATGCGGTCCCCGGATTCATTTCCACGCCCAACATCCGATTCGTCTCCCTCATGAAGCCCTTGATGTAACGCGAATCCCTGTCGGTGATGATCTTGCGAGGGATCCCGTGGTAGCGGAAGACTCGGTCCCTGGTTAGTCGTGCCACTCCTTCGCTGCTGATGTCAGTACTAATTGGTTCGACATGGATCATTTTGGTGAAGGTGTCACACCACACATGAATTGCGTCATACCCGTTACTGACCGGCAAGGGTCCGATTTGATCCATGGAGATGATTTCCCACGGCGCGTTTGGAACTGCATGCGGGTGCAAACTCCCTGTCCTTGCTCTCCTGGTCTTGGTCCGTTGGCACGCCTCGCACGTCTGGATGTATTTCCGAATTTGGTTTCCCATCCTGGGCCACCAGTAGTTTCTTTCCACCATCTCCTGTGTTCGGTTGATCCCGGCGTGTCCGACCAAAGGGGTGTCGTGGTGTAGTCCGATGATTTTGTCCCGCAACTCCTTGTCCCTTGGTACATAGAGCTTCCCATGATACGTGATAAGCCCCTCTTCCTTCTTCCATCCGACGAGTGACTTCTCTACGGCCGCCTTGACGCTTCCATCAATTGCTCGAATGGCCTTGATTTCATCGATTAGCTGCTGATCCTGTCCCTCGAATGTGACTTCTTGTGATCGGAAGAACTCGGGCTTCAGTAGCGTGACGTCCTTGTTGTCGTTCTTGCCCTGATCGTGATCTGCTCGTCGAGACAGGAGGTCCGCCTTGCGGTTGAGTGCGCCAGGCCGGTGTCGTAAGGTGAAATCGAACTCCGCCAACTCCGTGATCCATCGTGCTTGCCGTCGATTGAGCTTCTGCGGCTTCCGAAAGTACTCGAGATTCTGATGATCGGTGAAGATCTCGAACGTTTCCGTGGCTCCCAGGAGTAACTGCCTCCATTCGTCAAGTGATAACATGATTGCGAGCATTTCCTTGTCGTAGATCTCGTAATTTCGCTCGGTTTCGGTCAATGCGTGCGAAATAAATGCGATTGGGCGCCAAATGCCGTCTTGGTTTTGGCTCAAAACTGATCCTGTTGCCCCTTCCGAAGCATCGGCTTCCAGACGATATTGGCCAGTGTCATTTGGCAGTGCTAGGACCGCATCCTCCGCGATTCTCTTCTTCAATCCATCAAATGCCGCATGCTCATCTGCACCCCATGACCATCCTGCCTTTCCTGTCAGCCGTGTCAATGGCTTGGCAACCTCCGCGTATCCCCGGACAAAGCGCCGATAGAAGTTTGTGAACCCTAGAAACGCTTGGACTTGTTTGATGCTCTTTGGTTCCGGCCATTCCATCACGCCCTTGATCTTGACTGGGTCCATCCGCATCGAATTGTGTCCAATAATTACACCCAAATATTCGATTTCCGTGCGTTCGAACTCGCACTTTTCGGGCTTCAGGTATAGCTTGTGCTTCTGGAGTAATTCGAGCACTCGTTTCGTGATCCGCCGATGTTCGTCCAAGTTCTCTGTAAAGATCAGTATATCGTCCAGATAGACTACCACGTGTCCCTCGTTGATCAGTTCTCGGAGTATGTCGTTCATCATGTTTTGGAAGGTAGCCGGGGAGTTCGTGAGACCAAAGAACATGACCAAGGGCTCGTACAGTCCACGGTTTGTGCGGAACGCAGCCTTCCACTCGTCACCCTCTTTGATCCGTACGTTATTGTATCCCCATCGGATGTCGAGCTTGGTGAAGAACTTGGCGCCGCATAGATTATGGACCAGTTCGGAGATCAGCGGCAGCGGGTACCGATTCCGGATTGTCATCTCATTCAGCTTCCGATAATCCTGGACGGGACGTAGTGAACCATCTTTCTTTTTGACGAAGAAGAATGCTGAGGCCATGGGTGATTTTGATGGTCTGATTCGTCCGCTGGCCAGGTTCTTTTGTAGGAACTCGTCGAGTTTGACCTGCTCGTTTCGTGATAGCGGGTACACCTTGCAGTCCACTGCTTTGGAACCGGGTTTGAGCTCAATCGCATGATCCCAGGTTCGTCGGTCCGGTAGCGAGTCGAATGATTCCTTGGCAAATACTTTGACGAATTCCCGGTATTGATCCGGAATTTTCCCTTCGGTCATCCTCTCCTTCTCTTTTTCCGCTTCTTCTGCGAATTTCTGCGCCGGTGTTTCCTTCAGCCGTAGATCTACCTCCTTTCCAAAGTCGATCAGCAGGATCGATTCTCCCTCTTCCAGATCCGGTGCGCTCGTGTCCAGGTCGATTGCATCCATGTCAATCATCGCTTGGTGTTCCTCGTGACCCCTCATGTGACACCGTTCTGGGCATTGGCTGAATCTCATCGTTTGCTCCTGCCAATCCACCTCCGGGTTGTGTTCCGTCAGCCAGTCAAGACCAATGAAGATCCGGGCCTTCCCCAAGCACATCAGAAGGAACGTGCGTGTCTCCACGTGAGGACCGATTCTCATCCTTAGGTCAACGTAATGCGTGATCCGGCCGCTGATGTTTTCGGTGTTGTCGGCGTTACGAGCCACAATGGGTTGGGGAAGTTCTTGGATATCCAGCTTCTCTGCCCGCGCGTAGTCGGTATCGATGCAGCAGGTGCTACAGCCACTATCGAGTAGCGCCTTGACTCCGCGCGTCTTTCCTGAGTCCAGGCCTGTGATCTGGACATATACGTCCATCGAATGTCTCTTCCTTTCGGCCTGGTAGTTGCGCAATTCCTGCGCCAGTCTGCTGGGCTGGGGGCCCTTCTGTCTCTCGGCTGCCCA